CAAAATTTCTACTGGTAGACACTTTTGTGCATCGCACAGTATATGCCATCATACCGTCCTACTCTACATGGAATGTGAAAATGATTGACAGCATCTGCTGGTTCAACCTGTGCATCACAGTAGAAAGGTGTGTCTTTTAGCTCACTCAAAATTAACACTGAATGTTATGATAGCGTCATTCTTGGTCCAGGGACTTGGGAACTGGAAGCAGCTTTGTAAGCTGTGTGAGGTGCAGCTTTGACACATACTGAAATGCTGTTGATGCTGCTCTCATGAATTCTGCAAACATGAACTTTGTTGGCCTTTATTAAAAAAATGTAGATGTGACAATTTCAGATGAGAAGACATGTTCTACTCTGTCAATGTGAACGTGAATGATGTGATTGAGGCGGCACAAATAGTGTGAACTGAGTGGATTATATGTGGGAATGACACAAAGTTGCTTCATGTCCAACGTGCCACAAGCTTTAAATGCTACTTTGCAAGAGTTGAAATATCTGAACATAAGTGAATGTTTGTGTTGGGATTACCAATCAGATTCCTTGGTGAACAACAGACCAGCAGCGATTCATTCATGTGGAAAACTTGAGGATTAACTTCTTATGACAGTATGTGGCTACCTCAGCTGTTGGATACAACTTGTCTGTAACTCTGAGACAGGAGTAAAAAAGAACTCAGCGGGAGGAAAGTGAGTGAGGAGGTCTGACTATCTGGTAAGTTGTTTGAACAAAACTGATTTTCACAATGTGGTCAACCTCTGCTATGTTTGATGTAAACAGACTAATCTGACATGTAGGAACCCCTCCTCTCTTTCTCTTCTCCCTGGCAATCACAGTGAGTGAATCATTTGCGTGAATAATGCAAGTCATATATGCGAATAAAGTGAGGAGATGATTTGAATGAATGAATGAATGAATTTATTTAATCACGCTCGGTGTGACCACAACATTAGAGTTATAATTGCCCTATCCCAACAGAAGCGTAGACCATCAAAGTCTTTCTTAAACTGGCTGTGACATACGGTAGAGTCCTTACCCTAGTTGTTATTTAGATATAAAGTGCCTCTGTCCTTCACGACAGGTTAGCCTGGCAGTGCTTGCACTCAGAGTTTTGACTGAAAGTTAAAAATCATGGTTTTAGTATTTCTGCTCTTGCTCACATGAAAAGTCCCTTTTGTGGATTTGAACTCTGAATCTGTTTAAGAGGCAGCAGCCTTCCACACCACAGGTGAGACTTGCTGATTTTTCTTTTTAGGTGTTTTCATTTCACATTTTGTTGTCCAAAAGCACAGCTTTAACTGCATGTGAGGAAAGTGCGTCCTTCCACACTCTTAGGTTTTTTTTGTTTTTTGTTTTTTGCAGGGCTTGCTTGTGTATTTCAATCTATTTTCTATTATGTTGTGTTGATACAAATGCATGGCCTACACTGCAGTTGTAGGAATCCAGAACTTTACAAAAGCAAAGACAGCCCCCCTTGCTTAGATTTTAACTCAGGACTCATTTGCTATGAGGCATCAGCACTCACCCACCACATTTAGGTGCTTTCCATTTATTTGCTCAGGTATATTTCCTTTGCTTTACATGGTGTTGATTCAAGAGTGCAGCCAGGTCATGCTAGCTTTGAGCGAGTCATTGCTGGGAGTTGAAATAAAGACCCGTGTACTGTTAGACATCAGTGTCACCCAACTCAGTAAGGCGCCACCACACACCATTATTTTTCATGTAAATAGAACCAAGTGGATTTCATCTACTAGATTGAATCTCACAATTTGAAGTTGGTATCTTTTTTGAGACATAATAACCAACATTGGTGAAATGCAAACAAACTATGTGAGATACATCTGTCATATACAACTGTCTGCTAGGCCAAATATCTGAAATTTAGAGCTTTCATAGTTTCAGCAACCTTTTTTTCTGATCCTGGTTGTTTTCTAAAATGGCACCAATCACAAAAGCACATTATTATTTTGACATTTCTTAAAGACCAATGCCATGTTATACTGTTTATATACACAGAAAAATATTCACAGAAGAGGTAAAAGCACCCTTTTAAAAAATGGAAGTGGTCAAGGACATCGATTCAAGACATCCCCGCTGAGTGCTCTCAGGGATGCATTTAGAATACACTTTCCAACAAAGAACATGAAAATACATGATAATGTTATCAACTTGTACTGACGTGAACAAGGCCTGAAACATGCAGGGCAAAAGTGTGTGGACTGAATAATAATATTATCCAAGCGTATGTGCACTTTACAACAAAAGCAAACATGTTCTGACATCTGAACCAAGTTGAAGGTGAAATTTTTAATGGACCAAAGTTTGTTTTTGTTTTTACTTTAATCATGTAAGGTAAACTTGAAGATGATGTTTTCACAGAACTCCTAATCTGTGATGAATAACAATAACTGTCTGTTGTTTGACAGGTCATTTACCAAAGTTAATTTTTTTTAGTTTATGGATTAAAAGGTTTTTATTTTCATTTTTTTTACCAAAGTGCACACATTCGTTTTACAGCGTGAAGGTGACTGAACTTGCCAGAGCAGCTCCTGCTATAGGTCCAGATGAAGTCTTTGTTGAACTTTCCTAAATGTTTTGAAACCTAAGGGCCAGTTCAAAGATGACATACTAGAAAGGGTTAATGCAAACTGCTGCATTTGCTCCACATTGCAAGAGTCAAAGCATACTTTTAAAAGGTTGTTATTTGGAGGTTGTGTATTACATAAAAGGGTTGTTGTTGGTATTGTGAACACTCAGGGTTATGTTCTCTAATGACAGCTACAGATATGATTTGTTTGTTTTTTGCGATTGTGAGGAAGATGTAACTACATTTTTAAAAAAATTTATGAGGGGCTAAAGTTGACCAAGACCAAATGTGAGGAAAGATGTCCCTTTAATTTGATCTTTTCTATCAGGAATAAAGCGCTTACCCTGCATCCCTTGCTCTAATAATGTGACCAGTTTATTATCATCTGGGTTCTTTGATCAAAGTAAGGTGATAAAACTGACAAAAAGTAAACCTATCTAAATCCGTGTTGTGATTTACCTTAAGGCATTTACTGTTTAATTTATGACTGGGAAACAGTTGTAATAAGTCTGTGTTAGTCTATACAATTTGATGGCAGTAGTTGAGATAACATGAGAAAAAGTAATTACAACTCATATCAACACATTTTCATAAAGTTATATATACATATGCACACACACACACACACACACACACACACACACACACACACACAGGACTGACCTTACCCCAGTTTTCATGCACTGGCCAAAAATCCAGTGGTAACACTTTATAAAAACGGTCATTAGTATGTCATTCATAAATCATGATCTAATGATAAATAAATAAATAATATCAACAAACAATTGTAAATGATTAGTCAATAATATGTTTAAAATCATGAATATTTTGTAAGTGATTTGTAAGTGATTTGTAAACTATGAATTATTTCAGACCAAATCATGAGTAAATGATTACTTGATGATTTGTTGATATATTATGACTGACGTGCGAGCAATACAGAGTGAATGCACGATATCGGTATTAATGAATGTTAATATCACAAACATGTCAGCTACAAATGATTAATTAATTGTGAAAAATTTATGAACTAACAATTAGTAAATGTTTACGTAATGCTTTGTTATATAATTAATGACCTTCACCTGTTATAACTGATGTGTAAATGTATTACTGAATTATTCATAAGTCATTTACAAATGCATCTGCAGCCCCCTGATCTAAAGTGTCAACAATTCATCACACCAGAGAATGTTACATATTATTTGTAGTTCTTCCTCACCTGTTACTTTTTCAGCAGCCATCTAACCTTATTTTCAACTTTTCATGTACCAAGGAGTAGCATACCAAACAGCTCCTCATCGGTGACAAAGGACCTGTAGATATATTAATTACTATGAATATATACAGTTGTTGACAGACACATGTCCACCTCTGCCACAGTAAGTGTCAACATGATGACATGACCCTGTTCAGCTTGTTATTATTGGGTCGTCTCCTGATTGACATGTTACGTATCTGTAACAGCCAGCAAAAGACATTCGCAAGAGACTATAAAGATGTCACTTTTACAGCTCTGTGTGATAGGGAAGTTTCTTCTTTTCAATGTCTTTTATTTTGTCTGTAGAGTTTTTGTTTACTACATCCATGCTGTTCAACCACCTGCTCAGAGCATGGCTTGTGGGTACCCGAGCATGCACAAAATGCCCACTTTGATTGAGTCATATACATGACAGAGAAAAGCAATCTCCAAAGACAGTATTCAGGTATGTTAGTCCAAAAATTAGAAGCTTGATCTCAGAGCGATTCAAGTGTGACTAATGTGTCCATAATAATTTTCTTTGGTTAAAAGAGTTGATATGGCTTGAGGGACACAGAACTTAAAGGGATATTCCGGCGTAAAAATTATTTATGGTCAAACACACTGTAACACTGAGTAAGACAACCCCTCGACAGATAAATGTTGCCGACCGCTTGCTTCTCTAGTTATACCAACTTTAGTAACGACCGCGGGATATCAATACACAGTGGTCCGAGGAGCCATAAACAAACCTCAACCAAAACGCCACTCTATAGCCACAAATAATGCTCAGAACGGCACCTAACTTCATCAACAGGTTGAGGTTTGTTTATGGATCCTCAGACTGCTGTGTATTGCTATCCTGCAGTCGTTACTAAAGTTGGTATAACTAGAGAAGCAAGCAGTCGGCAACATTCATCTCTCGAGGGGGTGTCTAACTCGGTGTTACGGTGTGTTTGACCCTAACTTAACTTTATGCTAGAATATCCCTTTAAAGCTCTGTCAGGTTATGTTCTCACACAATGTTGATCAAATCTTATCCTCCATGTCAGCATACAAACATGAAGACTTAGCATCATTAGCATGAAACAAAAAAAAGGCTATTTTGAAGTTGTCTGAAAGTTATTTAGCAGTCTTGCTTTTCTTTTTCACCACTTTCATGTTCTTTAATTTGTGCTTTGAAATGTCATTTGTTTGGGAGGTTTGGGCTTTGTTTGTCAAGTGATTTGTACATTTTATTTCCTGTTTTCTTTATATTTTCATTAAATTTGTACATAACTTCAGTCAGTTAAACCCTTGTCACTATCTGCGCCCCACTTTTCAGTTGCCATCTGTAACTATGTTTCTGCCGCACCAGTGAGCACAGTGAGCTTTGACACTGCCATCCCCACCACTTGACAGTTCCTCCTACTTCTCAACTGGATCCCTGGAGGATTTCCATACCTCCTACATGTCAGGAGCTAATTGGATAAATGTGTATAAGTGAACTCTATAAGACGAAAGGGTCATTACTCCAATTAAAAGCTTTCACCTCTACACGCCCCAGCCAAGCTCTGGAAGTATTGTCAACTCTGACAGCTTGCTGCAGGCGCTGCGGCTCACTGCCTGTTGGTAATTATCCATCTGTATTTATGAGCTTTATCACTTGGACTTGGCTTCTGCGGGATGTGTGCAGTGAAAACAGGAATCTGAATTTGGTCTCTTGTTGCTAAAGTGAACATTTCTGTGCTCAGCACTTATTTACACAACTGGTTATTCTTGAGGCACATAATGGGTACATTTCCAACACTATCACACTTATAACCATTACACTGAAGACACATTGTAAGTAAAAATAAAAGAAGATAAATAACACCATATATATACATCACAGCTGAGCATGAACCATTTATTTACATGTATTGAACGCACACACACACCTCAGACACCTGCTGCCATAGAGACAGATTAAATGAGGCGCACAGTGTTCATTCTGCAGCCACTTTAAGTATATTGAACCTTCCGGCTTAACACAGAAAAACAGCGTTTTAATTTTATTTTTTTGTGCTCTATGAATAGAAGCAATAATGAAACAGCTGGGTGAGAGGATAATTGACAAGAAAATGACAGGGCTAAGGGATGCAGGGGTAGGAAGGTCACGAACAGACACACACTGCGTCACACACTGCAGCAGTCCACACCACCACTGATAGTTCGCATCATCTACATCTAATCCTGCTGTGTTTGTGATAAAGCTAATGTTTAGTCTTTGGCCATCGGCTGATAAAACAGGATCAGTGTAATGGCTGACTGATCCTACAGATTCATTTGTTGACACAATGTAATTGTCAATGTCCCTTTATTTACTTTGGAAAGAATAGAGGGACCCATTTTTCTTGTTGACACATTCGGTAATGAATTCGGTTTGATAAATGTTATGGATGTTCATAAAATCTGTTTACATTGAAGAGGAGGACACTTGAAGCACAGTCAGGTTGTATTTAGATGGCTCTGTTTTTCTTTCAACCTTGACGATGAGGTCATATTATTGGCTAGTAGCTTTACAAAAACGACAACATTTTTTCAGATATACGTATATTCACTTACTTAGCAGTCAAGGAGCAGACTAATACCACTCTCATGTCTGTGTCCTAACCTTGGACAAGAGTCTGGAGCTGGTTACATTTAGGACATCAAATTCAGTCCATTTAGATTTAGCTGTTTACAAAGCCTTCATAATGTTTTTCTTTTTTAAATCAGCTGCACAGAAACTCTTATATCAGCTCATAAATCCTATTAAGGGCCAATGTCATCAAAAATGTGTGTGCATTTCAATGATAAAATGGCCTTTTCTTTCATTTCCACTCAGCAAGACACGCTGGAAGTCCTCCAACACTGACTGTTAACAGCATAAAAATATCTGGTTGTCACATGGTTGATTCATGGTTCAGAATCGATTTTCTAACAATGGACTCAAGTTCTACTGAATTCTGACAGGATCACGACTCTTTCAGAGCAAAGCGGCTCCTGTAGTTGCAAAACCATTGAAAGTGTTGACGTTGTTAAGGCTGTTTTTATGTTTATTTTGATAGGACAGCTGTAGAGGGGAATGTTGAGCCAGTGACCACTGCTACAAGCACTGTAACCTCTCATTATGTGATGGATTTTAACCACTAAGCAGAAATGGTGCCCAACTTCAATGGAGGTTTGGATGCAAATTGAATCTGCACCCTCTTGTTGCTGTGACATTAATAACGTGGCTCAAGGATTGCTCTCATTTTTTTATCCTGCTTTTTGCTGTGACACTTTGATCAGTAAAAGCCTTCATTCCTCTTGACTCCATCAAGTTACTGCATAAAACAATTTGACATCAAGAGGCGACACACTTACATATAGATGCTTGACAGTTTTTCAGCTTGGTGAGACACACTGTCGTTCCAAGACTTATAAAATATATATAATCAGCATTCCCGTCGAGATCATTTCTCTGCCATAGAAAATACCTGAAAAATCCATGTTGTCATGGGGACAAATCAGCATGTACTGTATGAAAGTCACATAAAAATGTACTTTAAAGGCATTAATCATGATAGAGAAGGGGTTATTAACGGAGTGTGAGGACAGCAAGTAATGGTCCATGTCAACCTGCTGCAGACGCCCTTAAAAGATTCAGACTGCTGCTGTACAGAGTATGTAAGAAGGAAATGAGACACCAGAACAGGCTCAACATCCTGTCGAAACTCTGGTGTTTGATTTCTAACATTATAGAGCGTCTTGTTCATAGACTAACAACTTTGCTCCGCCTTCCGCCAGTATACAGATTTGAAGCCGAAAAACTCTCAGTAATTCCACAACTTTTCTCCACTTCCTGAAACCAACATTGCGCAGTAGCATTGTACGCATTTGGCTGGAGAGTCGCCGAGAGACACTATAATGATGCACAGCTCAAACAGCGTATCCCCTGGGTGAGCTACGCAATCTTCATACGCTAGGGTGATAATATTCTGACTTCCCAAAAAAAGGATACAACTACGGAGTCACACAAAGTTTATTTTGAGAGTTTTTCGGGTTGGAGCGAGTGTCTTTTACGCGCTTCTAACTCACGAAGTCCACGTGACACAAAATCGAAACAAAACCACAGACAGTTGAAGGTTCTTATAAACTTCCTTGGATAAACCCGGACAGCCCCCCAAAAAGAGGACATGTGCGGGTAAAAGTGGACGTATGGTCACCCTATTGTACACCCATAGGCTGTATCAAGTGTCATTCATAGAAAACATGAACCCCCTAATTACTCTCAAAAACGGAGCTGCACAGAAAAAAAAGGATTTGCGCACAAACCAGTCTGACAGTAACTACATGTCAACATCAAAAGCAGGGGGGAGAAAAATTTATATTCTGTGTGATAAATTTCTAAAATGTGTCCACAGCTCCATAAGGATGGCTGGCAGAGGCAGGATTTATGACTTATACTGCAGCCCATCAAGAGAGTGTTCTGTTCTCGGAGTGGCTTCATCCAGCGAGAAGGCAGACGGCGTCCATTCTATATACAGTCTCTGTTCTTGTTACTGAAAATCATCCCAGTATTTGAAACATATTCTCTAAAATACTTTCTTTTAAAAATAGAGTCAAGTTGACAGAAAGCTTTACCCTGAAAGAGAGCTGGAAGAACCAGCGTTTTAATCACGATGATTATCTCAAAATTTTGACTCAAGACCCCATAGTGTAAAACCACTGGGAGAAAAACACACTAGACTAACCCTTAATGAAGTAAAAATCTACCTTCAGTAGGAATTACTAGAAATATTTTTAAGCACAATATCTATGTACCGATTACTCATGTTCAGACCAAAGTTTTCTGAAACTTTTGCAAAAAATAAAAAAAAACATTTCATGAAGTAGTTTCTGTCTGCAGCTGAAGTTATCCTCTCTTCTCTACTGGAACTTGCCCATTTTAACTGGCAGACAGTTTGTATCTTATCTGCTGACAAGTCAAATACTTTTTTAAAAGCATGTTTCAAACCACTGGCAACTTAACAAGCTGAGTCCCCGGCCACGCTGTCAGCAGAATAAGAGCTGAAATGGTTCATAGCATTAACATTTCCCTGCAACATCAGTTTGCTGCTCTGTGGTCTGGTCTAGTCTTTGAATGTGAATTCATGTCCAAATTTCAATTCAGCAGCAAATGTGACAGGACATATTAGAGTTGGACAAACATCCTCCCAAAATAACACTCTTTTTGAGTGTTACTAGATTAAAAATACTGAGACCTGGGTTTTTTGGGAACACATATTTGATGATGCTGGATCTTTAGATAAGACAAAGAGCAGGGAGGTCAATCTTAAAGCTAACAGGGGTAGAACCTTTGTCTAAATCTGGCCTCAGCTACCATCCCACTGAGCAATAGACAGCTAATAGACGTCTAGTTTTTTTTTTAGACCTAATTTCAACCGTCTAGATTCTGTATATTTTTAGGCGTTGCACTTTAGCCCATTATTCAATAACTATTTCTTTCAAAAAGCAACTGTGAGTTGAATAACTGATCTCCAAGCACTTAACCAAAATAATTATGATAGCTGTTGAGCAATATACAGTGTAGTATAGATAAAGCCCAGAGTTAGACTTGGTCTAAACTTGGTCTAAATTTAGACGTCTAAAAAACTTTTAGACCAGTCGTCTAAGCCAGTGGTTCTCAACTGGTGAGTCCCAACCCAAACGTGGGTGGCAGACACGTTTTAGATGGGTCGCAAACAGCTGGTAAATAAAGTACATTTTTAATGAGCATCTGATGTTTGACATGTATTTTATTTTGAAAAATAACTTATTTTGTGCAACTTGATACTTATTTGATATTTTCTGCATATGCAACTTTAGTAGTAGTCGTCCTCAGTTCATGTGCTCTGAAATGCACTTTACTCAATGAAACGGGTGTATTTGTGTTGAAGATTTGAGTCTTTAAGGGTTTTTTTTTTTTTTTTTTAAACAAAAATAAATTTGTTTGGTTTGAATTCCATAAAAATGGGTCGCGACTTCAGGAGCATGGGAAAATGTGGGTCCCAGAGTGAGACCAGTTGAGAACCACTGGTCTAGGCTACATTCAGACGTCTATTAGACCTCTTTTGGACCAAAAAATGCTCAGCGGGATGAAACTCAAGTTCCCTGCAAATTGAAGGGCAGCCAGCCCAGGCTTCCCCGAAACAGAACTGTGGTCCAACTAGGAGTCCAAGGGAAATCAGAGGGAGAGGGAGATCTGCAGTATGAGAGCCCAGTTTGATAAGGGAAGAACAGACTAAAAGCTAAGGTGAAGAAAGCTCAGGATAAACTCAAGGAGAGGACCTTCCAAGCACTGGACCTGCAAGTCTACCTGGTTCAGACAGGAAGGAGAAAGAGGCCATTCACAATAGAGTCAGTGCAGGTAATGAGGCCTGAAGGCCGTTGATGCAAAGCACTTATAAGCAATGGCTGAAAATGATCCTGAGAGGAGGCTGAAGGAGCAGCTCTTTGAAAAAAAAAGGACACTGCTCAGCTAAACGGAGCATTCAAAGAGTGGTCTACAATTTGTGGGACTTAAGATGTATCTATCTGTAATTATAGTTAAAAGGGACATTAACAAAGTATTCTTAAAGACAGTGAATAGCGAACTTCATTAGTGTCTGGCTTTTACCGCTTTACTTCTGGTCAATATTTCAGCAGCAAAGAAGCTTGTTAAAGGTGATTTATCCATCGACATTACGTAACTGTTTTTCCTTTTCAACTGAAAATAGGCTATAAAGGCACAGCTTGTTCACTTTATCTCCCACTTTGTGGTAAATGAAAGCATGTATATATGCAGAAGGGATTTTAAAAGCTGAGTGGAGACAAGACAGAATCTTGAATTAATGCGATATGTCATACCCATTACGGCATAATGTGTGACAAAAGTGGCTTGAACCAAAGATAACGTGGTAGAACTAACATGTTTGGTGTCTCAGTTAATTCTTGACAATCACAACAGCAGGTGACAAAAACATAAAAAAACAAAATCATTGCATCATCCACATACTCACTGATAGGTTTATGTTTGCGTTTTTCATTAGATGTTTATAAAAGCTGTGTTTGCGTCGTCCTAAAAGACTGTTGAGGGCTGTCAGCGTTAACACATTATTGGGATGCTGTAAGAGTCCAAAATGAACACATCTCTTTTTAAATACCCTCTAGTGAAGCTGCGACTACTGGTGCTGCCTGCCACAAAGTAAAAGGACACAACAGGGCTTTTGATCGACATATATTTCACTTTATACTACTTTGTACTAAAACTACTAACTAGTTACCAGGGAAAGTAACTTTTTTTTTGTTTAACTCTAAATTCTCTTCTTAATGTGTTGCCTTCCTAACTAGATAGCCAGGGAGGCTGCCAGTTCTTTGGCTTGCTTACATGTAAGTCCTGTGATAGGTTGCATGTCTTCCACAACATACTGTACCTGGCAATCAGTCTGTTTAGCTGTGTCTGGATTATAGACTGTGCAACAGGGTTTGTAAAATCAAGCTTTCAGAGTTTGGCTGGAGTGGCTCCTCCTTTAGCGTCAGCGGAGCTAACGTTAGCAGCATCACCTGTGTTACCTTCAGGGTCTTTTCCAACTCGCTCGGTAGATACATGTTGTTTCTGAAGATGTTTCATCAAATTAGAATTGCTCGTCTTTGATTTGGATAGAGTTTTTGAACCTCCACAAAGATTACAGGTCACCACAGCATTCCTCCCCTTGTCTTTTTCCATCAGAAAGGAAAAATAATGTGCATATTTTCACGAGAAAAATCCCACGCTGGACTATCGTTCATTGTTGTTTTCATTCATTCACCTGCACGTCACTGCGTCACGTGTGCTTCACATCCACCACAGAACCTGTAGCCCTGAGTTGTGCTCGTGAAGTAACGAGTAACGAGCCAGTTTAGACTGATAGGTTTATGTTTGCGTTTTTCATTAGATGTTCATAAAAGCTGTGTTTGCGTCGTCCTAAAAGACTGTTGAGGGCTGTCAGCGTTAACATGCACAAACATAGACTGTATATAGAATGGACGCCGTCTGCCTCCTTGCTGGGTGTAGCCACTCCAAGAACAGCACCCTCTGTTGATGGGCTGCAGTATAGGCTATACATCCCACCTCCGCCAGCAAAGCTTATGGGGCTGTTGGCAAACTTTAGAGATTTATTACACAGAACGTAAATTTTTCTCCCCTCTGCTTGTGATGTTGACATGTAGTTACAGTAAGACTGGTTTGTGCTCAAGTCCTCTTTTTTTGTACAGCTCCATTTTTAAAAGTTATTTGTGGGTTCATGTTTTTCTATGATTGACAGCTGATACAGCCTATGGGCATACAAGGATTGCATAGCTCACCCGGGGGATACGCTGTTTGAGCCGAGCATCATCACAGCGACTCTCAGCGACTCTCCCACTGAATGCGTACAACGCTACTGTGCAGTGCTGGTTTCAGGAAATGAAGATAAATCGCAGAAATACCGAGAGCCTTTTGGCGACAAATCCATATACTGGCAGGAGGCGGAACCAAGTTGTCCATAGTATATACAGTCTATGGTCCCAACACTGGTAGTTAAGTGTTTCAGGTCTTTATGTTCCAACTTTTGGCTGGTCATTGCGACATTGTGTTTTTCTGTGAATTATATCGAGGACACGTTGGAGTTTCCAGCTGTATGCATCTATGTGGTTGTTTACATTTTTATCAAAAGCTGTTTACTGATTCACCTCCATGAATCTGAGATTACGTGTAAACAGGGTCTTTCTGTTTAAAAGATAACAGTGAGCAGCCCTAACTTTTAATGTTTAAAAAACACAACCAGCCCTGGAAGGCCAGTTACTTGATGACATTGTCTGGTTATATAACATCTGTCTTGGAAAAATACTTATTACCTGAATAGTTATTTAAAACCCTGATTAAGAATTCTGAGGAAGTGAATACTTCTCATGGAAGGTGGCACACACAAGTCTGGGCTCCTCCCTGCAGCCACGGTTGTTCACTCAGTCTTCTTTTGGGCTCCTCTTACATGAGGGCTCTGTCTACTCAGCCCCCTATTACCCCCAGCCTCATGCACCTGCTTTCCATTTTCTGTTCTCTGTGATAAGGACACTTTTTCTTCTGAGGGAAGGAGATTGGATTCCCATCCCTTTCCCTTTGTTTCTGTTTTTGTAAAGCAGACAGAAACACATACTCTTGGTAGGAAGGCCTATAAAGCGTCCACACAAATACAAGACTGTCAATGTACCTGAGTGAGTGTGAGCAGTGCTGAATGGGTTTTTTAAGCTGCATCATTGAAGTGTAATCAGTGTATCTGGGGTAAGCTCACAGGTGCAGACTTTTATTTTGTAATTGAGGGTCCAAATGTCCCTATATTATGTTTTTATGTGTCTATAATGTCGGTAAGAAGAAAGAAAGAGAGTTAGATTGACTGTCAAAAAAAGAGACGTTTTGAGAAAAAAAATCCCCCTTTTTATTTTAATGGAAAGTCTGAGCACGACCGTTTGAATTATTTTAAAACACTCAAAGGTTTTTAAGAAATGAATCCCAGACAAGCACTGTATTATTTCCATAAATTATTTTAGTGGTATATTTACAGCAAAAACGCCTCCATGAAAAAAAAACAACAACAACTCAGTTTTCTCTTTTCCTGCACAGAGCTCTTTTTAAACACTGAAACTAACAGGGTTTGTACAGACGATTTACATACAATTTTAACATACAAACGTTAATAACAGGACTGACAAACTGGCACATTTAAAACATAGAAATTATTCTGTTTAAAAGGAAAATAAATACATCCCAGTATGATAGAAACAGTGTCAAAGGATGGCTGATAACTGCTTCATATTCAGAATGAATTAAGACTTCTGAGAAATGAAACCTTAAAACCGAACACTTCATTATGGAGCTGTGACACGCAGCTAAAAAGGAGTGTGGAGTGCATGTGCCAGTGATGAATTTAAATGACCAAGAGGCAAAGACACAGCGGAATAAGATCCTACTCTGGTGATCCAAATCCCACTTGAACAGCTGGCTCCCACTAAACAGCCATTATTTTATAAAACTGTCAGCCTCTGTTGATTTTATTATGACCAAGTTTTAAGACCAAGTTTCTTTCCTTAGGGTGCAATGGGATCTCAAAGATCCAATAAATAAAGTATGTTTCATAAAAGGCCATCCCTCCTGCAAGATATTCTCAAAACATCCTGGTCATTTAGTTCCACCTCACAGAAGCTATTTAATGTCCTGTGTTTCCATGTTTTATCTTCACTTGACAATCGTCACCCAGTTTTTCATGGTGTTCCAAGGCCCTGTTTAATTAAGTCGAACACAGTCCACTAAAGAGAACCTGACAAATCTGACATTAACAATTACACTTCCTCCTAGACTTTGAACCTGCTACCACAAATAACTTCGTAGCAAATATTTAACACAGTTATCAAACAGCCAATAAAAACTCTGATTGAATACAACTACACGTAACTCATTACTTTCTCTGAACCACTAAGGAAAATGCAAATTCCTTTGAGTCTTCCTCGCTCAAAGCTGCCAGGATACGGCAGCGTCAATGAAACACCTACATGAAGCTGTTATTTACAAAAACAGTTTAACAAGCATCTTTCTGGACGGTCCTGGATTCGTTCTCTCGCACCAGACGAGCACAGAATACATTTTGTGATTGTTGCTTTAATGCTTAACATCACCTCACAAATCACTGATGATTATTCAGTTTGGTAATTAAAGGGAAAAAACACTGGAGTGGACATGGCTACAGTGAGCGATTGAAAAAAAATTATGTTTTTTAAAGAAAGAAGGGTAGACAAAACATCTGAGATACCTCACAATACACAACTGAGTCCAACGCCTCACAGTGGCTAAGTTTCAGAGAACAAAATCAGTATTTGTCTGATTTACAAATGAGTGGTGTTTTTCTTAGAAAAGGGGGTTTCAGCCAGTGTGGCACTGTTGAGAGTTAAAAATTCCAAGTTTGTTGAATCACTTTTTAAAAGAATGAGGTGTTATTGTGTGGAGGTGTTGAACATTAGGAAATTGCAGAAAATCAGTAGCCAAAGCTTCCTGGTCTAAAAAGTTTCTCCTTGTGTCAGAATTCAGAGAAATTTCTTGTTAAAAATTATTTTTGAAAGATTTCCCCCCCAAAACTTTAGACTAGATCTCTGCAAAGATAAAAGCTGTCCCCATTTCAGCCTTTAAGGGAGCTCTTAATGTGAAAAACGGCGAGGAGGAGTGAGGGGGACTTTTAAGCAGCTTAAGAGTTTCTCAAGCTGAGTATGAAAACACAGAAAGGTAGGAGGAAGTAGGAGAAATGCACTCCAAATTGTGCTTACATCGACAAACCAACACAATAACACTAAACAGGAGAGTGGTCATGAGGTATTTAGCTTCTCAAAAAACGCTACAGTTTCACTTGCAAACTTTTATCGTGTTGGATGAACTGCGCATAAAGAGCAATGCTGAGTAAGGTTAACAGCAAAATGACATTTAAAGGTACGTAAATATTCGTAAATGTCTCTGCAGTCAGTGCATAAAAGGCAAGAGACCTTGGATGCTGACCATATGATGAAAAAAATAATCTGCCTGCCTGTGACCTTTTTACTTTTAAAGTGTATCTTATAATTCATTCAAGAGAAATATATTAAAATGCTTAAATTAACTTTCTGATCAGTTCATATGATCAGACTGAGTGATCTATCTATCTATGCCCAATAATGATGTGTATTTCTTTTTTTTTCCACATTTTTTCTCTTTTTGTGAATCACAGCTTTTGAAAGCATGTGTCATACCAAACAACAGGGTTAACCTCACCTCCTCACTGAAAGAAAAGTTTCTGCTCCTTCAACACTCAGAGTTGCTTTGAGAGTTTTTCTAAATCACTCCTAAGACTCCTTGCTAAACGTTCAGAGCTTTCTGAGAGGATTCCTAGACTGTTGCAGTAAAGTAATAGCTTTCAAAGCACATGGATGTGTGAGGAGAGCAGGATACAGTACAGTATCACTCTGCCAACTTGTCCCTGTGATACTGCAGCACAAAAAAGAGCTATTACCGAAACCAGCATTTTAGAATAGTCATGAGACCTTAAACTGCAAAGAAGTTCTCTTTTAAATGGTTTAACTTTTTATGTATTGTGCCGAGGTGAAAAAATATATTTTTTCATGAGGTCACCTCAAAGGGTAATCTGTAAACCAGGCTGCAGTAAAGCTGAACACATACAGGATCCGTATTGAGCGCATTCTGTATTTGCTCCGTAGAGCAGCCCTGGCTATCGCATACAGGATGTGTATTTGGAGCGTAGCAGCAGTGTAGTGCGGCCCCAGTCAGCTGGGCTCAGTATTGAGGAGACAACATGTTCACAACAGGTTGTTTTGCCTTTCTGTGGTCCATTTTCTGCTAATTTGGATTTAATTCAGTGACTGGTGAGTCTCTACTATATGTGAAAAAGCAACGTGATTTTACAGTTTCGGTTTCTGCAGGTTTACTAGTGTTTAATAAAGTAAACTATGTTCCTTTATGCTGTGCTGTTACCTTCAGACAGAGTTACCCCCAATTTCCACCACATCCGGAACAGCTGCGAAAAGGCCGTATCTGCCAATCGTAGCTGATCGTAACCATTCAAGTTAATGTGCCAATTTCCAAGAGTCCTATTTTTTTCGGAGCATGCCGAATAAAGTCAGCACAGATTAAACCGTGCTGGAAAGGAAGTCGACACAGACACAAAATAAAACATCCGGCTTCTTTTCAAAATAAAACACTCTGTGTTTCAGGTGGATTGTATTTCACACCATGCAAATGGGACGAACAAGTGAAAGGTTTATAGACAGCATTTCACCCCAATGACACCATGGATGAGAGGATGCTGATTTTTTAAGTCTAGAAGTAGATTTCCTCCTCTAGAAGGACACAATCTACTGCTAATATGGTTAGCCTATGTGGCTAGAGACAACTTGTTATCTCGTGATTGCATGTGAATCTGCGGGTTCTTGTGAGTTCTCGCGATTCCCGCTGTCTGTAATCCGCCACGAAATTCGCCTCCCAAACGGATCCGGTAGGAATTGGTGGACGGCAAAAATCACTGCCGTTCCGGATGGGAACTGTTACCTGTAACCAGATGGGAGCTGTAACCAGGAAGTATTTCTCATCTACACAAACTGATGCACAGTCGGGAGTTCGCAAATGGTGTTTTATTTTGAAATACCAGATGACATGTGCGGTTTTAGCTCTTGACTTCCTGTGTAAAACGGTCTTCTCTGTGTAGATTTACGTGCATTGGAAGTGTAGAAGAGCAAAAATACACTTGGCGAGTATCTTTAGCAGTGCTGCTGTCGATACGCTTCTGATACGATGCTGCGACGGCGCTGATACACGTCCGATGTGCTTTGTTGAATTGAGTAGAATGGCAACCTATTTGCTGCACGATACACAATGTACTCAAAATGGATCCTGTATGTTTTTAGCCTTAATGCCGACATGCAGGTGCAGAAGGCTGCACAGTAATGGAAACAAAAAGCCTTTTGAGTTTCGCACCACTGGTGCTATTTTCATTCATTCCAACATGCACTATTTTTAATCTTGGATCATGTTAATCTCCATTGTTTTGTTTACATTGTGAGGTGCTATTGTTTTGTCTACCCTTGTGTCTCTCTGATTGATTTGATAATAACCAGACTTTCCGACCATTTGCACACCCGTTCAACGGCCCATCCAGTGAGGTTCAAACCCAGGCGTGAATGCTGCCTGCCCAGTCCAGCAGCCGCCCTCGGTACCAGGCACGAGTGATTGGCTGAATGAGAAGCAGGAGGCGAAACTTTCGCAGGAGCCCGCAAAAGACGGCGGCGGCCACAACTACAAGCGGGGACATCATCACAAAGCCCAAGATTATGAGGGCGGAGCAGCTGTTGTCGTCAAGGTAGTTGCAGACAGCAGAGTTGGCATCAAGGACCTACGAGGAAAAACACAGAGGGAGAGTTTGAAACAAAGGGACTGTCAAGGACAAAATGAACATCGTGGTATCAGTACGATCTGCCTCTCCTCTGATGATTTACCACTGAGTACGTGCGTGCATGTCAGTGTGTGTGCATATGCTCATGGTGCAGGAGTGGGACGGTGTGGTTAGTGGGCTGTGACAGAGTTTCTCCCAGCCTCCCTCCACAGTTCAGATAAGGAGTGGCTCAGTGGCTGCCAATAGCCCTCTGAGCTGTCAATCACCTGTGACAGCAGGTAGAAGTGGGGAGGTAAGCAAAAGAGCAAAAGACTAAAAAACAAGAAAAGGATGTAAAAGTGTTTGGGAAACAACTAAACAATAAGGAGAAAAGGTAAGAGAGAGCAGCTGAAGAAATACATCCTGGCAACCTTACAAAAGCAAATATCAGGGTTAAACACGCTCAACGCTTTAACAGTAACATATAAAGCATATTATCTCGTCTGTCAAACACTCAGACAGACTCACAATGATTTGATTATGTCTGAACATTTCCTATTGTGAGCTTTTTAAAAAGGAACTTTGCTACCAACAAACGCACCATAGCAACAGTCTTGTTTAACACACATTAACACACATTTACACACACACCTCTGTCAAGTGCACACTGTGCTTCCTCCAAGTACATTTTCCTCCTCATCGTGTTGTCTTTGTGTCAGTGCACAGCTGGTGTTGGCACCAAATCACACAGCCTCTGGTCTCCTTAGTGGGCCTTTCAGTCTGTCACCACAATAGCGAGAACTCTCTGACTGACAATGTCTCGAACTGTTTGCTCTGGGCTGACATTTGCGCTGCACTCTTCACAATTACTGTCACGTAGCAGACTCACTTAACATGTTTTGAGTCTGTCCTGTCTGATATGCACATCTCTGTTTCCAGACGAACCATAAATTATAAAAAAAAAACTGTTCCTTATTCTGAATAAGCACCTTATTTAAAGACTGGGTGTTATTTTTTGACCTGTCTGCTGATACAAGGACAGAGCTGTAGATCTTCACAGCACGATTTCACGTGATGGCTGGCCGCACCATATTTTCCTGATGATCTGTGTGCCCTTCACAAAAATCAGCCGCACCCATCTCCTCACCTCATTCAAGTAACACCCTCTGACAGGCCTCAACATATGAGCTCAGTCATTATCTATCTTGGATTGTCAAAATAAAAACAAAACAGCATAAATAAGGAATAGGTCTGGACACTTTAGTTGAGCTTAAATTGCCAAAACACTTAGAGCTTATTTTCTCTAAGTCTCCTGGTGCCAGCATGAGGTTTTTCAAAAGATGACTCTCCCTCTCTCACTGAATAGCATGGGCCTACTTGTCTAAACTTAAAGTAAAAAAAGATGGGTGGAGAGGTGGGAACAGTGCAGATGACTCTTTTGATGCTGCTGCTGTCAGTTTTTCTGAAGAAGTTGCATTTACTTTTTGGTCACTGTGGGGCAGCAGAATCAGGCTGCACTCACAATTCTAACTTTCTTTTTACTTTTAAAGTTGATGTGGCAAAGGTTTCTCACTTAGAAATGTAACAGATCAAGTACCATTATCATTAGTTCTCAGATGTGTTTGCATCAATCTGAGAAAAGAACATAATTTAACACATATTTGGCTCCACCAAGCATTCTCCCTCGAGTGGATACCTCTGGAGGGCATATCGGAGAGCTTAGCTTGTTTGCATCTGTTGGACTGGTGGGTTATTACACAAGAGATGTGGAGGAACTTGAGGAGGATGCTGTTTATGTTCATTCTGGGTCTCGGTGGCCTGGTGAGTGATGAAATCCTGGGCTAGCTCAAGTGACTGTTAAATGGTGATCAGAACACATGGATGGCATAAGCCACACTCGGTATTTCCAACATTTTCCTCAAGTCCCAGATTTGTTACCTTAAAAATTTGGAGTTTCCACATTGACCTCTAAAACTGAATCTATTACCAGCTGTTTTTGAGGGGCATGTTTGTTGCTGTGGCAATGACTTATTGTAAAGCTGTGGATAAATTGTCTGCCAGCTTGTCTGTCACCTTTTGCCATTATTGTCCCTGCTGCTGTGTTGCTGCTGTCCCATCCCCTCTGCCTTTACATTGCTAACATCGTTCATCTGCATACTGCACTGAGCTCATTGTTAATTTTTGAGGATGTGCATACTGCATAGCTACTGCCATAGTTAGATGTCATTTTGCCTCATGGCAGCTGGGATAGGCTCCAGCCCAACTGTGACCCTAAATAAGATGAGTGGTAGAGATAATGGCTGGGTGGGTTTTTACAAACCTTTAAAATAAATACTTCAATTACCACATTTCACTTTTCACTTTCCAGGTCTTGGTTTTTCAAAAAAGCAGAACTTTAATGTAATCTTTTTTTAGGTTTTTCATTTTCATGCCAATTCTGGTACTCTCTACACTCTCTGTCTTCATGCGCTCCCTTAAAAGCAGATCTATGACACTGATCCATACTTGTTTTGGTTGCATATACTGTATATATTATGGACAACTTGGCTCCACCATCCACCGTTATACGTATTTGAAGCAGAAATGCTTTTAGTAATTCCAGTATTTTCTCCACTTCCTGGAACCACCACTGACACAGTAGTGTTGTACGCACTCGGTGGGAGAGTTGCTGTGATGACACTCTGCTTAAACAGCGTATCCCCCAGGTGAGCTACGTAAACTTCTTACGCCCATAGGTTGTATCAAGCGCCAATCAGAGAAAACACGAAACCCCTAATAACTTTTAAAAATAAAGCTGTACAGAAAAAAAAACATGGGGGCACAAACCAGTCTTACAGTAACTACATGTCTACATCGCACACGGGGGGTAAGAAAAGTTTATATTCTGTGTAATAAATTTCTAAAGTTTACCCACAACTCCATAAGGATTGCTGGAGGATTGATGACCTATACTGCAGCCCGTCGACAGGGGGTGCTGTTCTTGGGGTGGCTTCACCCAGCAAGGAGGCAGACGCGTCCATTCTGTATAACAAAGTTCCATAACATGAGATACAGATCTATAGAGACCTCTCATGAACTGTAAGCACCATTATAACAGCAGCTGATGTAACGGTAGCTTGAGTAAAAGGTTCTTTGAACCTCCAATTATTTTGTTTTTGTTTAGGACCTCAATTTCAGAGTGCATCTCACAGGTGTATACTGTTGCTGGGTTACAAAAGTTATCCTGTGGTACTTAAACTGCCCTGAGTAGCAATCATTAGACCTGTTTTAAGACACCCTACACACACACACACACACACACACACACACACACACACACACACACACACACTTGTGGGCAATTTAGGGTGACCAGTTAACTTGGCAGGCCTGTTGTTGGCAGTTGGAGGAGGTCAGAGTACATGTTTGGGGAGAATATGCAAACTGCACATAGCATTGCCCCAGCTCTGCCAGGGATTTGAACCAACAATCTTCTTGCTTTGAGGCAACAGTCCTAACCACTGCACTGCTGTGCAGCCCCATGCTTTTATTCAATGCCATTTTGAAAAAAAAAAAACTAAAAACAGTGGACAGAAATAGTTTCCTTGCATGACTAGTAGTGCTAGGCCTTGAAATTGGACCTCGTAAAAACAAATGTAGTCACTTTTTCTTTGGTACAGACCTCCGCCACCATTCTGAGAAAGACATTATTAGAAGTCTGGCCTGTCTTGATTCTGATTGATGAGTGACTGAACGTGAAAGTAATGAACATGTCTGTGTTTCAAAAGTCAAAATATTTTTACAGAGGGCACTGAGAAGAGCACACTAAGAGTGTATTTAGGACACTAGGACCCCAAGTGCTGAAAACGCTGAACCAAATACAGCGTGAATAAAAAACCTGCAAACATGGTGTCAGTTGACAGTTGACACAGCCCCTGGTGGAAACCTAGCATAGAAGCTAATGGCAAGCCTCAGATATTTTCTTAAAAGGTATAACAAAGCTGTGTGAAAAGTAACACCCACACACTCTGTCTAACTTTCTATCACTGAAGAAGCAGCCAAAATAGAAGTGTTTCAGGCAGAAGCTGGATAGTGCTGAATCCAGGGTTTTCATGGAGGTTTATGAGCTTCAAATCAAGAAAAGCTACCCTAAAAACAAACAAATTAAACAAACTGGACTTGGTGCAGATTAATGTGGAAAAAGTTGCTCTTACATGTTCCTGCTTGAATGCAGAATTTGTTGCATTTTTATTTGCTTAACAGACTTTTCTTTGCTCTCTCACTTGCTGCAAAATAAATGAAGTGAACAGTCTAACTTGATAAAGCAGACGACAAAGGCATGCATCTGGTAACATCATGTATGATAAAATGTGTTATCAAGCAAAATATTTACCATTTTGAATTTGATCTGTGTCAAGTATTGTAGACTTGACCCTGTACCTCAGGCTTCTCTAACCCATCATTTAGAGGCAGGACTCACCTTTAAACAAACAAATTTAGGGGTTTGAATCCCATCAGTCGATGAGATGTCAACCACAATTACGGTTATCTTGTCCTTTGTGAAAAGTTAATTAACAACAGAGCAACATCTCTCATTCTGAGTCCAATGTGCTGGGTCAACTCACCCTGGAGTGACAGAGGAACCCGACGTACAGCAGCAGTATTGCTGGCAGCAGCACCACAGAGAAGACCACGGCCAGCAGCAGAGCACTGGCTGACACCACACACAGGTTCCAGATGACAAGACCCGCCCCGCATGCCAAACAGCCGCACCTGCCTCGCCGACTGCCCCACGCACTGCCCCCGCTGTGGGCCACTGGAGGGGGCAGCATCTTCACTCCCTCTCCCATCCAGAACTCTTCCTCTTTCTCCTCCTCGCCTGAGCCCCCGTCGTCCAGGTCCACATCCATACCGCACATCTTGGGAAATAGTACCAAGAGAGAGGAGATGCATTAAGGTAGGGCTGGGGGATATGGGAAAAAGTTTATCACGATATATTTTTTACATATTAGTCGATATTGATAAATATCATGATATAAAAAAAATCACTTGTCAATCTTAAATGTTCCCTGTTACTCTTAAATAAAATTCAACAGTGCTTATTGGTAGCATGTCTTTTGCAATACAATAAGATACTGCAACTGTAAGACCTTTGTGTCTCTTTAACGTTTTGTCGTGAGGCGTTGCGCTCGAGAAAGCGGACTGAATGGTCGGCTGTTTCGGCTGCACAGGTGCCATGGGCTCCTTGCTCCACTTGGGGTTTGTAACCTTTTGCATTGCACATGTTCCGTACATTACTCTGCTTTGAGTCCGACCTCAAAAAAACAAAATCCCTCCACACCACTGACGTTTTCAAGCCAGTGTTGTCAACGATATCGTCATCTGTTGAGCCTTCATCTACATTTCTGCCGGGGGTAGCACTCATTTTCTTTTTTTCTCACCAACAGTGCTGTCGGCTCCATGTGTTTAAGTACTATAGTTGCGTGTAATTGCAGCCTGCTACTACGCACTTGTTTGCTACTTGGTTCTAATTTAGCACATGATTGGTTCAGTGTGGAGCGGACCCGGAGCAACTCCCTTTTTCATTGGCTATTCGTAGAGTCAACCAAAAACTGGCAGAATGCCGACTATCAAAAAGCCTATTGACCATGTTTAATATTGAAATCGGGGGAGATAAATTTTCGATATCGTTTTATCGCCCAGCCCTACAGTAAGGGTGTGATAATTGTGGCTGAATGAGATGTACTCAGTAAGTATCAACAGGGACCATGACTGTGCATATTTTAATTGTGCCAAATAGAATTAACATTAAACTGATGTTATTTTTAAAAAATCTTTTAAAAATTCCCATTTCAAAATCAACAAATTTCTCAAGTTGTCATTACTTCAATCACTCAAGCAATACGGCATTTTACTTAGGGCCTTTTTCATTTAAATTCCCTATCCTGTTTAATTTACATCTGCTTTAATTACTTCAAACATGGTGGATTTCAAATCCTTAAACAGACTATTAAGGCACAAACAAAGCCTTACCCACCTCCAGCATCCACTTCTGTCTTCATTCAGGCAGCCAATATCTCATTAGACTATTCAAATGAGGGGCTGCAGCCTGCTTTAACTTAAAACTCACAATATCTGTCTTCACATCACTCCCTCGGATCGATCCCATTGATTAAGAGCTTTGTCACTAAAGCCTGGACTAAACGTCAATACGGTTTCAAAGTAAATCAGCCCCGCACCTTTTAACCCTGCACGACCTAGACCGGGGATGTTCAGCCTTTCCACTGGACAGGATTCATTTTTCTATTTCACTTTCCTATACGTGGTTTTAGTGCCTTTTTCAGTCCGGTTACTATTTACGCATGAAAACCAAAACATGTGCCAGTAACCTTCGACTACATTAAACATACAACGAATGAGAATTTAGCTACCCACCTCGAAGTCCAAATCTCTTCAATCTTTTCGGTGTTTTTGTTGAATTCCTCACTCGCTTGTTGACCCTCAGTTTTTTTTTTCTCAGCACCAAAGAAAAAAAATCCTCGTGGAGTCAGATACTCAAAGACAAAGCGGAGAAAAGCAGCTGCAAGTTGTTCCCAGCGCTGCTGCTGTAGTGATGCTGCTGTGTGATCTGTGGAGTATCTGCGCGTCTGTGGGAGCGATTCACACAGGCTCGAGCGCACAACCGTGAGGTGCGCGTTCACGCGGTGGCAACAACAGGTTGATTTACAACCACAAATGCACACAGAAAAGCTTCGCTTTAAATTAAAACACATAAAATGAAAGCTATCTTTGACTTTACGAAGTCTTGTTAGAGCACACACATAAACACATAGGTCAATGTAAACATCTAATAATGAGAGGTCAGTAAATAATCAAGATGCAATAACGCTTTTGGCCACTTGTAACCCTTTCTGAGGAATTCAAGCTAAAGCCTCCATTAAACCAACATCGGGTAGGGGAGACCGGGGCTTGGCACATGAGTAAGTTGTCACATTGCAATACTAGTTTTATCTTTTACATGGTCAGGGGTCGTGTCCTGTCTGAAAAGAGAAAAGCACAGTGTGAGCTGAGATGAGTGCCAATTAACCATTTAACACAATTAACTTTATATATTTTAAAATAAGCTTCTTCCAGATAAGAATTCCAACAGTGATACATGTGGACTTGTTAGAGGAGAGATTAAGGCATCCTGTCATACCTCGGTCATTGTTCTGTTTTAAACTAACTTTAAGCTATAATCAGCAAACATGGTAGTTTGGGGCAACATTTCTCAGTCATATTGGGGTTAGGTGTCACATGTTTAAAAGGGATTTAGGCCACTTTTAGACAGAAACAGTCTCCATAGAAAACGGAAAAGTGCCGTTTCGTGTTCAGTTTTTATGCTGTGTTTACACAAAAACGCAATGTGGTTGAAAACGCTGTAATGTGCATGCAAGGTCACTAGGTGGCGCGTGTCGGTATGACCGCGCTCCCATATAGACCAACAACGCATACATAGAACAACTTCCGTTCTATATTAATTATTTGATGCAAATAATTCAGACGCCTCCTCTGCTGAGCAGTATGATCCGTGAGGATTCTGAACAGGTCGAAATTGAGCTCCTGCCCGTTCAATAATAACAACAGTGCGACTCAAATGTCTAGCATGGTTGTTGTTATTTTCAAGGAAGTTGCACATGGCTATGATGTCATAAACGTGAGCCGACGTGAGCCATGGCGTCACAGGTTTGACCGTTTTCAGCGTTTTTGTACTTTAGACGAAAGCAGGACTAGCAGAGCGTTTACAACATTTCCACTCTGGAGGGGGTTTTCACTTTGTTACATTTTCATCTCCTGAAAACGCAGTTGCCGTCTAAACGCACCCCCCTGAACGAAACTTTTCAATTTTCTATGGAGACTGATTCCATCTAAAAGTGGCCTAATATTAACATAAAGAGTCTGCTTATCAGCAGTTGTCATAATGAAATTTTTAATTTACTTTTACAGAGAAAAGAGTGGTTTTAATGAGAGGAGAAAGCGAGAAGACATGGTCAGGAATTTCAAAAGATTAACAGAACATGGCAGTGCAGTACCTGATGTGATGCTGAGGGCAGTCAGGCAGGTGACCCTCGCTAATAAATCAATCTGGGGGACAATAAAGGACTTAAATGTCAATTACCATACCTTGGCTTGGTACTGTAAAACATTCACCCCAGCCAAAATACAGAGTCAGACAGCTCTCCAAACTCTAGAGCATGTTGCATAATATTTTATGTTAACGTTTGTTCAATGGCTAATGTTCAATGACTTTTTCTAGCTCGATAATAAATATTTTTTGTGCCTGACTTTGATGTTCACTTTCATGTAAAAAAATGAGAACAACAATAATTTTGTCCTTGTTTTATTAGCGGCAAAATCAACTGTGACATCTTACCCCATGTATTGAGACAACTTACCTGGTGGTGGGGCAACATGTCACATGTTCACACTCTCTATTTGATTGCTTATAACTCTGCACTGAGAAAAGATATGAAAATGATACGAAATATGTACCTGAGACTTTGGTCTTTCCTATGGTACACATTTTGTTTATATATGATGTATCAATTCCAAGTAATATATAGAAGTGTAAAAGTGTGCTAACAAGCCCCGGTCTTCCCTCTACCAACTACTGGTTGTTGTTGGGGGTGCTCTTTGAATCACAGAAGTCCAAACATCTTTCCATTTTTGTGCACTTTTTATCCTGTCAAAATGAATTCATGTCAGTTGGCTCCTTGAGATATTTAATTAATGTCAGATCTTGTAGCCTTATGCTTCAATATACAAAAAAGACCAGATTTACCTAGATTTTGTTGGTACTGGTGACATGATGTCATTATTATTACATGACATCTATGGCTTTGTTTTCGCAATATCCAGAAAACTGTCTTAGAAGATAGCTTTGTCATTTTAAAATAATGAGATGATCTGTTGTGGATTTTAGAAAAAAAACAACATGAACTTTTTGCAGGAAAACCGTGATTGTTGTTCTGAGATAAAAAAGTTAAGGATTTAACAGGAAAAAGTACTTTTTGCATTAGAAATCAGTATATAAATGTATGGATGGATGTCCTCTTTGGGCTTCCAAAGTTATGCATTTCATAGTCATGTTAGAGATGCACAAAAATTTCAACTAGAGAAAACAAAAAGCTGACTCCATAGTAACAATTCAGATATCTGGATACTTTTGTTTGTCTTGGTAATTTACAAAATCAGGCTGTACTAAATTATAATAATAGCTGCTCATTGTCATAACCTTTTCATCTCATTGTCTTTCCAGTTAAGCGGCTTTGCTGCAGATAAAAATCATTCTGTCTGGTCAGAAAACTCAGCAAAATGAAGTTAGTTTGCAGTTACAATCACTGTCACAAAAACTGTGAAGTGTGCTCCCTCTACCAAAACTGTGCTTAGAGTACATGTTTCCATTTAAAGAGAAAAGAAGTAATGAGTAGTGTAGTAAAGATGATAAGCATCTGAGCAAAACACAGCAAAAAGTGAAACGAACTAAATCAAAGCTTGATAAACACATTAATAAAGATAAGCCATTCAAAATTGTTCCTCTAAATTTCCCTCTCTGACCTCCCCTAGACTCAAAGAAATTGTCAGTTGTGCAGCAGAGAGATAAGAGGATGATCGATTTGTTTTGCAGCGCAGACCGACAGTCAACCTTTAGCTGCTCAGATTTAATTACACAGAGCAAGAGAACGAAGATGGATTGATACGGGACAGAGCTGATGGGAAATGGAAGAAGAGATACTGTCTGGACCAAGAGTTAGAGATGAGACAAAGACTGATAAAGAAAAGGAAAGATGATCGTGGGAGCTGGGCAGGGCTGATTTTGAGGAACTGAAAAGTTAAAAGTGTACAGTTAATACAACCTTTCCACTCTACCTATAACATTTGCTGACATCTGCTGGACTCTCTGTGAACCTCAAATGTAATACAGATGCATAGAGTACACAGAATATATTTGGCAACTGCTTAAAAACAGTGTTTGCAGGTAAAGTTCTTCAGTTTTTCTTTGTTACCTGGATTTTCTTTTATGAGAAATTCAGAAATTCAGTTTACATAAGTCAAAAGACTGCACTGGACTGTATTTCACTTGCTTCCATCGGGCCAAGGTTTTCCTGTCCATCTGTGGTTCTGCCCCTCTCTGCTTCCAGCAACACAGGAGGTCATTCAGCATCCATTTATCAAACCACAGCCTGATGGTTACCATGGCAATTCACCCTACACTGATGGCTTCTGTCTGCCTGTCTATATATCTGTCTGTCTATATATCTGTCTATCTGTCTATCTGTCTATCTATCTATCTATCTATCTATCTATCTATCTATCTATCTATCTATCTAGCTATGTGTCTGTCTGTCTGTCTGTCTGTCTGTCTGTCTGTCTGTCTGTCTGTCTTATAACATTGCAAAATAAGGTTAGTTTGCAGTTACAGTCAAGAATCTTATTCAAGAAAGAACCAGCAGAGTCTGTTCACTCTGAATTTTCGGTAATTTTTGCTCTATGTTTTGTGTTTTTGTTGTGTTTTAACTGCTGATGGATGTTTCTGCTGGGAAAGGAGTTTGTTCAGGAGAGGAGGTTTTTTTCCTTGAGACAGAGAGGGTCTGGACAAAGGCATCTGGTTCCGGCAGACATCTGGAGGTGTTTTTCTTGTTTGCTGTGCTGCTGTGGAGGTGAAGGTAAAGTTGAAGGCTAGGAAATGGAGATAAACCCTTTCTTCCATCAGTTATTATGGGAGACGTCAACTCTCTGCCCAACAAAAGCTACAAGCTACAGATATAAGTGAAGACTGAGAAAGCATACTGTGCGCGAGTGTAGTCTCCTGTGTTTTACTGAAACCTGGTTGAATCAAAACACAGGAGACTCCAGAGTGGAGCTACCTGGCTTCACTCTTATAAGGTCAGACAGAGATGCTTAAGCTAGTGGCAAGAAGAAAGGAGGAGGTCTGGCTATGTTTGTCAACCAGAGATGGTGTAACTCTAGGCGCATAACAAGGAGGGGAGGTGTTCTCCAGATATGGAACTGTTGGAGTTCCATATCATAACAATACTTGTATTCATCCCACCCAAGGCAACTGAGTTCCTTGTGTTTTATACTGCCTTCCCAGCAGACTACAGCATAGAACAAAACACTTGCTATTATAGACCGAAAAAACATCTGCAGCATCTTCCTGCAGATGTCTATTGATCTGAATCTTCTCAGGCAAAAGAGGCGGCTCAGATAAGGCCAACGTTCTTGGACCAGTCCAACTTATTATCAAGGTGAACACCTAAATATTTATACAATATTACTGCCTCGATGTCTACTGTAAGTGTGTAAGTGTAAGTGTTCACTGGCTGAAGAGGGATAGTTGGATAGTTATGATAGTTAGATAGTCAAATAGATCATTATGCCTGTGATGCTCAAAGGATAAAAGACTGTTTGAAAGCTGTAAAGGCTTTAACAGTGGCACTGAGAAACAACGAATCAGTTTTTGATCAGTGAGTCATAGACAAGTGACTTTCATTCAGTTTTGTATGTGATTGAACTCACTCCTTTTTTACTCTTGTAAACAAAACAATGCAATTTGCTTGAATAAATGAGTAAACGAAACACTAACTGTTCAGAGATTTGAGCACTGAGTTTTGAAAAATGCTTTTCTCGCTGGGGGAATTATGCCAAAGCAAATGGGAAAACCAGTAATCTAGCACTAAATATAAGGAGAATAAGGACTGCAAGGTAGAAAACGTAGCTTTTAAGGTGGCAAACTGAGCATTTATTATTATAAATGTCAGGATTTAAAACTTTAGATCATTTGATTGTCTCTTAACTATAACTGTGAATTACCTTTTACATAAAAGTCCTGATATTTAATTGTTGAAGTATTGGACACTTCTCTCTTTAAATTTTTGTTTTTAGTTTGTATAACACATATGGGACCATCAAATTAACCATAAAAAAATAATTGTTTTCTCGTTAGGATAATACTGTAAAGCAATATTATCTTAACGAGACACACACAAACACTAACATTTCTTACGAGGTCATTTTAATCTGGCATTAATCATATTCCATCTGAAACTTGGAACAAAGAACTGAAACTCATGTTGTTTTACAAGCTCTTGCTGGCTCAATTTTCCATTGTACTTCAAAAGAACCGGTTCATTTGTCGTCTGATTTGATGGTGACTGTGATCCTTTCTCTTCATGCTGGCTGCAAAGATATCACTTTCTAAAATGGCTCCAGTGTGAAGAACAAAGCAAGCAGCCAGCCAAATGAAGTGAAAGTCTTTTATGATTTTTTTCTTTGTACTTGCTCTCTGCTGTAGCTTTGCAAGTACAAGCCAGCTGTGGCAATACAAAGAGAAAATTATACTCTTAAAGGCACTTTTACTCCGTGAGAAACCAAACTGATATCAGCTTTGGCGGGAGCGCATTTTAGCACGGCATGAGGACAGGAGATTTTTATCTTTACTCTCTCTGTCATGGACAATTTTACTGCTTGTGTGAACAAATTATACAAAAGGTGAGAAGAAAGTGTGAGTATTTTTGGGGTTCAATGCAAAGTCAACTCAACTTTTTGATTCTCAACAAAAGAGAGCAAATTGCTTCTTAAAGGATATTCTGGCGTAAAATTAATTTAGGGTCAAACACACTGTAACACTGAATTAGACACCCCCTCGAGAAATGAATGTTGCCGACCACTTGCCTCTCTAGTTTTACCAACTTCAGTAACAACCGCATGATAGCAATACACAGCGGTCTGAGGAGCCGTAAACAAACCTCAACCAAAACGCCACTCTATAGCCACAAATAATGCTCAGAACAGCACCTAACTTCATCAACAGGACATATAGGGTCCCAGCCATAGAACTAGCCACCAAACATCTTTTTAGCTTTGCCTGATTGCTTTAGCAAAGAGACTAAACACAACTCACCTACTCTCGTCCAGCAGCCGCTTATTTGACCTCGGGCCAGTCCATTACAGACTGCTGCGGGGTGACGCAGCTCAAGGAAGAACATTTATGATCATTACTTAATCATTTTTCTTGAAGTAATAATCACCATATTAATCATTTTGCACTGCAGACGCTGTAGTTCTTCTGCCTTAGCGTCTCAGTCTGATTGCATTTCCATGAAGAAATGATCATAAATGTTCTTCCTTGAGCTGCGTCACCCCACTGTAGTCCGTAATGGATTGGCCCGAGATCTCCGTACAAACAAGCAGCTGCTGGAGGAGAGACGGTGAGTTGTATTTAGTCTCTTTGCTAAAGAAATTAGGCGAAATTAAAAAGATGTTTGGTGGCTAGTGCTATGGCTAGGACCCTATATGTACTGTTGATGAAGTTAGGTGCTGTTCTGAGCAATATTTGTGGCTATAGAGAGGCGTTTTGGTTGAGGTTTGTATATGGCTCCTCAGACCGCTGTGTATTGCTATCCTGTGGTTGTTACCAAAGTTGGTAAAACTAGAGAAGCAAGCGGACGGCAACACTCATCTCTCGAGGGGGTGTCTAATTTGGTGTTAGGGTGTGTTTGACCCTAAATTAATTTTACGCTGGAATATCCCTTTAAATCATTAAAATTAAAGACCAAAATACAGTTATCAAAACAATAGAATTTATTGCATTAAGCAGATTAAACAAATGAGACTACAGCTTCTTATCAGACTATAGTCATGTCTGTATGCACATATATGCCTGTTTAATCATACAACAAAAAGAGTGCATAGGCTGGTGTGTTTGTATCACTTTATATACAATAGAGTGTAATCTGATAGCATGACATTGTAAGTGTGTGTGAAGCCTTATTTTCAAAGTGCCTTTCCATTACTACAGAGTGGTACAAAGGATGCAGAGGAGAATAGAAATGAGAAAAATGACAGAGTGGGACCTACCCTCCGTCTGTTGAGTGTGGCAGTGTGTGATGGTCTGTGTGTGCGTGAGCGTGTTTCTTAGGGTGCAAATCTGAGGGAGGCATAGGGTGGGCCTGGTTGCTGCTGAGAGTGTCAGACAGAGAGGGAACATCTAGGACGTTGTCTGCTGGATACAGTTGCATCACTGCCCCCTCCTGGCTGCCTTCCTTACCACAGGACTGGCAGCTGCAGTGGAAGATCCTCTCCACCAGCTTATCCACATGAGGAGACTCTGCACCTGGGCACTCCAGAGTCACCTGTTAACACACACATATAATTATCCCTCTGAGAAAATTACAAATTTCTTTTTTTCCAGTATGTTCACACTCACAGCAGCATGTATGTGGATCTAGTTTGTAGCTGTGTGTGTTTTGCTGTCTGATTTTTACTCCACGCTATTGTTTTTCTTTGAGTACAACACTTTTGCTTGTTATTAATTGTTCCATAAATTTTATTATCAGTGGGATTAAAATATGTTGGGAAAACTTTGGGATGGATTACACAGAAAATAAACAAACATGTAAACCTCAGTGTTGCACAACCTCTCCTAGCACTCCAGACCACACACACAACTTCCCCCGCTGTTACTTTATGGAAAGAAATTGATCATTCAGCAGACTTCCCAAAATCTATCATAGGTGCCAAATCAGCATGGAGCCGTATCCTCTTTCCTGAGAGAGAACTTGCTCTGTTTCAAACTGAAATTTGTTGAAACTCCTGCAACAACAATCACAACCACAGACACAAACATTCATTTCCAGATAATTAGAAGTAAAGTGACACTGTAAATGCACTTTCTCTGGCTTTTCTGGTACAAAAAAATAGAGGGTGAATTTACTAATCTATCAGGTAACAGCAGTTCACTCTGAAAGATACAATATTTTCTACGGAAACATGAGGCGACCTCACCTGTGGTCCAACCCGCCTAGCTGACCTGGCAGTTTTCCAAACTACATACACCTCACCACAAAGCCTTTGTTGTCGCAAGACTGGATTCCTTCTGGCTGAGAGGGACAATGAACTCCAGAGGAATATCAAATACAGACTTAATGTTTATGGGAACGGCAGAAAGATTGTGGCAGAAATCTAATAAAAATCCTCTGAAAAATTCCTACGCTTTGTGTCTGCCAGCGAGCAGCAATTGCCATCTTTCATGTTGAGAACTTGTGGTTTTAGTGTGAGTTCAACAAGTCAGTGTTGCTGTGTGCCTGCCTCATGAGCTAATGTGCAATAACTCTTACCACTTCCCACTGTGTCTGGGCAGGCATGCAGGAGTCACAGTGCACAAGAGACTCTGTCGACTGTGGGAATGTGTTGGGGACGCTGTAGCTGAAGCACTGGCCCAGACAGGCTCTGTGAGAAGGAAAAAGAACATTATTTCCAATGTGCATGCAGACACATCTGTGGGGAGTCCATGCCTGTTAAAAAGAGTTGTTGATTTTTGGTGGCCTCTTAGATCAAACACATAAACAGAGGAACTGTTAATAAAAAATGTAAGGAGGATCACCACTTCTCTATGTAACTAAAGAGTAACAGTTCAAGGATATACATCTATCTCTGTGGGAAGTGCGGCTAATGAGAAAATACATGTGATTGTTTTTTGGGGGAATAACTTCAGTTTGACTGTTTTCATAGAATAACTCAAAGCAAGAACACAAATTGTTAGTAAGATTTACAATTATTTCTGCATCCTCAGTCGTCTTCCAAAAAACTATTCAAGCACATCCCAGACCCATACGTCTGCACTCGGTTTATTAACAAGAACACAGTGAAAGTAGCTTATTTGACCCCATCATGCACACATAGTCCCGTTTCTACTAACATCAGTAGAAACCATAGACTGTATATAGAATAGACGCCGTCTGCCTCCTGGCTGGGTGAAGCCTCTCCGAGAACAGCACCCTCTTTTGATGGGCTGCAGTATAGGTCATAAATCCCGCCTCCGCCAGCAAAGCTTATGGAGCTGTGGACCAACTTTAGAAATTTATTACACAGAACATAATTTTTTCTCCCCCCTGCTTGTTGTTGACATGTAGTTACAGTAAGACTGGTTTGTGCTCAAGTCCTCTTTTTTCTGTGAAGCTCTGTTTTTAAAAGTTATTAGGGGGTTCATGTTTTCTATGATTGACACCTGATACAGCCTATGGGTGTTCAGGGATTGAGTAGCTCTCCCAGGGATATGCTTTTTGAGCCGAGCGTCATCACAGTGACTCTCTGCGACTGCGCGGCTGAATGCGCGCATCGCTACTGCACAGCGCTGGTTTCAGGAAATGAAGAAAAATCCTGGAAATACCGAGAGCTTTTTGGCTTTAAAACCGTATACAGGCGGTAGGCAGAACCAGGTTGTCCATAGTATATACAGTCTATGGTAGAAACTCAACAATGAAGTCCCTAATATTAGCATGTCTGCCTTTGTATAGTCTTTTGTTTTGTTGTCTTTGTTCCTAAAGTGTTTAGGGATATACAGAATATACAACTCATTTTTTTATATTAACATGAAAATTAAGTCACATTATTAAGTATTAGGGGTCAAACAATACAGGTCTTTAAGGGGGGTAGACCTATACTGGTTAATAATAATTCATGAGACTGATAACCAATATTTAAATGGATATGCATTTACTATCAAAATGAAAAAACATGTAAAAATTTGTAATACCATTAACTCCAATATAAAACTGTATATGAATACCTTGAGAAAATGTTTAAACAAACTGAAACATTAAGGATCATATACAGAAGTTAAAAGTTGACCATTTACACTCACAGTACAGCTGTGTCACAGTCATGGGAGGTCCAGCCAATCAGATAGTGTTGTGGGCGGGCTTTTAGGTGAGCCAATTGGTGCAAGAAACCAGACCCAGAGGGAAAGAAACACCCATAGTTGCACCAAAGAAGCACACTTTTTAATTAATTAATCTTATGAACCATCTGTAAGATAAAAGGCTGATACAAATAAGAGTCCAAATGCCAAATATCTGCTCTGGTAATCAGCCAAGGCCAATAATCAGTCCACCCCTGTCAAGTTTCACAGACAGTTTGTGGAGTGAGAAAATATTGTGAGATTGACTTTGATAGTCATTGCCAACAGTTTTGCGGTGGATTTAAATTTTTTGGTTGTAGTTTTACATTTCAAGTCACTACTAATGATCATGAGCACATGTACAGGAGAAAGAAAAATACAAACATCTATGCAATGTAGTTTACTTAAAAGTGTTTATGATAAGCTAACATAGCATGCAAAATAAATATGAGGTTAAACTTAAAGTTGATGTTCTGTAGTACGTTTATAGTACCAATGCACCCCAGTGTATCCTGTATGTTAAACAAGGCACACAGAGAATAAAATGACCAGACAGAGCTGGTATATTCACCCTTTTCAGCTGCAATGAGAGATTGTCAGACAGAGGGAAAGACAGAGAGGGCCTTCATCCTGACCTGTTTTGAATAGAGCGAGGCTGACATCCCGTGTGCCCGACTATCTGTGTGATGTTCTTGGCTTCGCACCAGGCACTCTTGTCAGGGAACAGCGCCAGACGGTTGATGTGTGCAGGCGGTGCCGCTGAATACAGTGCAAACAGTGCGCAGCAAATCTGAATCCTCCACATGACTGCACCTAAAGGGGTAGAAAACCACAGTGTGTTCACCACTCTGTTAACCTTGTTCTTGACAAAAACACACAGTCAAATGAACAGCCACTAAATCTCTTAATGTCCACTGTTGTCTACTTGTGAGATACTGCATACTTTTACTGCAAATAAAACAGGATACGAAACTTTGCAAACCCCTGCATCATTGGGCTCCCTAGTGGGCTTCACCTTTGACTCATTACCATATTGTGCGTAATCAGAAGGGATAACATAAGGGTATATCAACAGCTTTACAGAGAAAACATGAGTCTATTATTGTTCTCTGTTTGACACTACAATGTGTGAGGGAGGCCAGAATGTGCCCCATACCACCTGACTCCAACGCCAAGTCTTTGCTGCACTCATCTTTAAAAATGCCTTCACCAGTCACGTCATTTACAACCTACAAAATCGTTTTCTCCTGCTGCTTGTAAAAAAAGTGTCCTGTGGTCTCCCACATTGACTCTCATGCTCATTTTCGGCACTTCCACATACCCCTGGCACAAATAGACTTGTTTAAGAATCTATGCCTCATCTTCATTATTGTGTACAGATAATAAAAGATAAAAAGGGTTAGAAAAGATGTTTGTTAAGTGGTCACATATCTCATTTCATTTCCCACTCATTTAATGTGCACCAAGAGTCAGGGCCACAAAAACCAAGACGGGTAAGAAGTTATTGAAAAAGTTATTGTAGGCCTCTGTCATAAATTGGGTCACTTTGGGAAAGAGGAGCATCCTTTTTTTCTGAACACCGTAAAAATCCAGACTGGTCACATTTGAATCAAGTTTTCAAGTTACGTAAAGGACGTAAATGTCTGTTAATTTCCTCAAAATTAGACTAACGGCTGCATTTAATAAAATAAACGTAAAAAAAATACCCTTGAATGTTACACTTTTGCTTCAACTATGTCTTGTTCAAGAGGGTTTTTTTTGTTAGCAAATAAACATTTAATTCAATGGATAGCGTAGGTAACGTATGAAGTTCCAACGGTCATTTCATTAAGTGCAACAAGCTAACTAGCATATAAAATTATCGAGTGTAAGAAAAATAAATACTAAATTACAGCAACTGGCAGCTTTAAGCAGACGGTAGGGGAGTTTTATTTTTTGAAAAAGTGTCAATAACATCACTTCTAAGCTAGCAGTGAGTAATAAAGTATTTTCTGAGTGACAAGCCCCAGCAGTGGTCGTAGTTGAGACACTCACCAGAGCTCACCGACCCCGGGGACAGTCGGTTGAGCAATGCGCAACGTCCCGCTGAGCTGAGTCCCCTCACCGAAACCTGGAGCCAGTGGATGCGACTCGCCGTCAGATATCACCGTGCGCTGGTAATTAAAGGAAATGGGAACCCTTTGGGTTGTGGAGAGGATGAATCCGAGGTAAGGCTGTCATAAAACAGTTACATCATCCGGAAAGAAAAAGAAGCGTCCGTCCGGTCAGGAAGGATGGGGAGATGGGTCGGTTATTCAGCACTATCTCATCTCCCGAGTCCATCAGCTCCGACCGTCCCTCCCCTTGTTCTCTCTTCCCCGTTCACTGTTAAATTTCCATGTAAGTCCCGATGAATAAGACTGTTCAAGTTGTTGTTTTTGTTGTAAAATTCTCTTGTAGAGGTTAGGCGCGGCTGAGCCCTCAGACAGGGGTCCTGCTGTGCCGTTTCTGGGAGAAAGAAAACGGGGAGGGAGGGAAACTGTTGGTAAGGTTTCAAATGTTTCCCAAAGTAGGAGCGAGGCGAGAGCGCAGATCAGATTTACAGGAGAAAAATGCAAACATAACGAGATTGTACTATCACACAAATAAGGCTTTACGAGCAACGCAATAACTTTTTAGACATCTGGCATTGCTGTGCTCACTTGCAAATGAGATGTTTTGCAATTCACACTCCCAAGTATGAAATGCAGAATGAAGTTGCAAAGTAATGAGGATAATTTCTCCAATCCCTGTTCTTTGATAAGTTGTCATCAATACCTAAGTTTCAAATTGAAATCCTTTTTTAATCTATAAACACATGAGTAAAACACAACACAACTTGATCTAATTTAGGCCCCTAAGTGTGTTCTGATGGAAACACCAACAGGGTCATTGAGCTGCTGAAAGACACGATGTTCCCTGGTTTGCTGACTTGTCAGCCTTCTAAATCAAATTTAATAAGAAATATGGGGCCTGCCTTCTGGGCCTTGGAATATAATGCCCTGCCAGCTAGTAAAGCATGTGTCTGTCCTGGCTCAAGGCAGTAGCCTCAATCAAATAAACAGACCACAAATGTAAAAGCCAAAAACCTTAGGGCCAAAGTGTTAAAAAGAAAAGCTTAAGCATGATTCATGATTCACGATGATAAGCATGATTCACTCAAATACTTGACAGGCACAAATCAAGGGTAGCTGTATTAAGGTGTTTTTTCACTTCTGCTTGTACATTTTAGCCTTAGGTAGCTGAATCTATCACATTTAAGTTGAGCATATCTGTAGCACACAAATACATTTACCGATACAGTAGAACCACTTTACCTATGTAATACATCAGCAATAGTACTATTTTAGTTAATTAACCAAAACTATGACAACATAAAATTTATCTGGAGTATGTAATACTACCTTTAACATACAAATACATAGTACATTAAAAATGCTTTCCTTTAGGACATGAACATACTAAAAGCCACAGGATCTCACAAACTTTGTTTAAACCCTATCTGCATAAAGTAAAGTTGAAGATACTGCTGTGAGAGTGGTAGTGGGAAAAGAGAGAAAAGTTTTCTCTCTGATGGAAACAGTTGCACAAAATGTAATCTTTGCAACCATCTTAAATTGTCCAAGAGCACTTAACTAACTCAGCTTACCCCTGCATGTGGTTTCAAAAAGGCTGTTTGGCTTTTTAAGGTAACAGCAACAACAGCAGCAGCACACAAGTCTGGTCTTATATTTCATGCCAGACACACTGAAAAAGCATTGAGCTATTAGATTAACAAATGGGATTAGTGAGTGTTATTAGACTTAAAAATATGATTCTTACAGAGCATTTTTAGACAGGCACAGACAGGTAGGATTTTTTTGGGCTGTCCTGTTACACCTCAGCTGTGTCACCGGTCTCCCCTCACTCACACCTCATTCCTGCGCTTCATCCTACCAGGGCAGCCTTGCTTACAGGTGTTCACTTGGCTCATGTCCATAAGCTACCCTGTTTCACGCTTCACTTGCAAACAAATATTCTAATGGACAGGAGATGAGTGACACGGCTTAATATCTGACATTGTTTATTATGTGCTTGGATTGCTGAGAAAACTGTAAGTGCAGAGGAGAGGGGAAAATATGAGTGAGCGTATGCACCAGTGTTTTCTTTGATGTGAAAGTGTAAACCATGTGTTATGTTGGGAGTGCAAAGTGCAGAACTCACCTGTTTGTAATAAGACTGAGCTCTGGTCCAGAAATGGCATTCCTCAGCATTCCACAGACTGTGCTTCACCAGGGGGCTGGATAAATGTGTGTGCGTGTGTGCACGCTCACACAAACAATCCATCTTCTCTGCTGGCAGGCCCATGAAACCAAACATAAGTCATCAATCACGCAACAAAAAAATCAGGCCAAAAAGACACTAAATACACAGAGATAAAGAGATCTTTCTGATACAGTGACGTGTGCTTTTCCAACTGCCTGAGATGGTCACAGCAACAACTGTCCAACGCACGCAACAGAAAAACAAAACAGCAGACCATGCAGTACTGTGAGACTGCTTAGTCTGGATGAAGCTCAGACTGGGTTACTTCCCTGTTTCAGAGAGGAATCCCTTCATTCATGTAGAGAAACTACATCTAGAAAAAGGGAAGTGAATGATAAAACTAGAGACATTTATACTACAAAGATGAGCTCAACCTTTCCTCTTTTTTGAAGTCTATCTTAGCACTGGCTTTACTTTTCAACTATTTTTCCTTCTTTCACCATTCTCTGAAACTTTTTGTCCTCCCACTCTTGAACAGGGCTGCAGATGCTAAACCTGGCCCTCATTCCAAAACAGCAGGAGTTTGACTCCCCTGCTCATTAACACACAAAATTAACTCCCACCCTTAAAACCGCATTTCATTCCTTTTCAAACATGCACACACAAAGACAAAAAAAAAAAAAAAAAAAAAGAAGAGAGAGAGTTTTTCCAGAATCACTTTATTAAATATACATTGACTGCCCGGTGATAAACGTGACACGGACATGGCAGGACTTAAGTGCCAGGACAGGAATGAACAGCAAAATAACGCAGGAACATGAAGGACGAAATCCTCTTCTTTAGTCCTTCACTGCTGGTCCTGTGAACAATCATACGAAAACGTTGCATTATGTGTGCTCAAAACAAGAAACAAAGAGAGTCTGCGATCTTTACTCACCTTTGCCATGTGGCCATGTATGAGGTATGGAGATCTAAAGTCATGCTGACAGTTGGCGTATCCCATGCCAAGTCCCAACCCTGAACCAAATGAGACAGGCCATGTGCGACCTGGTGGAGAAAAACATTTACCTATGACATCTTACATTTGTATATTTATCAGTTTATCTTGCAAAAGAGCACTTACGTTTAAAGAGAAGGACGGAAAACACAACACCCACGCCCAGGCCAGTTGCTGCAAAAAGGAAAAAAAAAAGAGCTAAATTCGACTGATCTGATTAAACCACACATAAGCAATAGTTGACTTTATTCCTGAGGTAATGTGATCATGTCTCATCCAGTATAAAACACACAGATGTAAATCTGTTGTAATGAGGTCAGTGGGGTGCCTCCATTATGTTTGAAGAGTTGGCAAAAAGCACAAGTCAGCAAGACATTGCTCATTAAGGGGTAGAGAGGGAGAAAAAGAGCAGCAAGAGAAAAAACGTCCAAGAAAGAAAGCAAATAGTAAAGGGGGACTGAAGAGGGGAAATTCTGTATAAAGAGCGAGGACTGTGTCAATGGGGTGAGAGGCAGGGGAGGTGCAGGGTCGGAGGGTGCACACACAAACACACACACACAGGTAGCCACGTCTTAACCTAGTATGGACAGGCAGAAGGTGAGTCAGTCACACAGAAGTTGGCTTGGTTGTTAGAAGTGTTCAGACCAGAGCAGGATCTTGAGGAGGAATGTGTTTGTTCGTTTAACTCCACCTTGCTGCAGGCCACACCACGCCCAACAGCAGGCCAGCCAGCACAGAAAACACATAAAAACAGCCATTTGGGCCCCTCTGACTCTTAATTGGATTCAGGGAGCTATGCAGCATGACCGATTTGCCTGAACCAGAACCCTCAGACTGTTCCCTATTACACAACTTACAAATGTCAAACAAGACCACAAAGTATACCACATACTCTAACTTAAAGCACAAATCAGCAACAAAACCAGGTCCTGGTTTAATTTTGAGCTCTCTTTTTAAGGCAACCTTTTTTTTCTGAGTTTCTGAATTCCCACTGACCATGATACAGTGAAGGCACAGACTAAATACGAAGCCAGATCAGTGTTTTATTTTGGCATCTATTCTCTTCGTCTGGACATCTTTAGGAGATGGATCGTAGGGAAAACATTTGTGCTGGAGCAGAATAAAATATTTTACCCTGAAATTATCGGGCAGGTTTGCCAGGAAACAAAATACAAAGATGGTAAGAGTGTTGTTATTCTTTGTGTTCCCAATTTCAAATATTTCCAACAACAGAGGCCAGGTGGCCATATGCTGTTAAATAAGAGGTCCACTTTTTTGATTATAGAACAAACACAGTGTCTGAACATTTTATTTATCACAGCCATTTTTAACAATCAAATTATCATGAAACACAGAAATATGAGACTGTGATGCAGAAGTTTAGAGCACTCCCGCACCACTGCTTATTAAGTCCTCTAGCCAAGCACCACATTTTTAAAAAAAAAGGGCAGTCCTGAAACAAAGAGGATGTGGCAGACAGTCTCCTTCCCCTAATAACAATGCACATCATTTGGTTTCTCTTTTTCTCTGTAAGTTTTAACCCTCCTCACGGTCTTTCTACATGCCAGGTCAAGAATTGCAAAACAAACTTTAAAACATTCTCTTCAGTTAAGCACATGCTTAAGAGTTTATCTGACAACTACAGTCGTCATGGTGCATTTGGTTGTTTGCTGCACTGAGTGACCTCAAAGATATGCCACAAATAATGCAGCTGTTTTTCGTCCTAGCAAGATATTTATTTACTGTGCTGCAGTTGACGTCATTAAGTGTGTTTTGGGATGGATTGCTTGCCAGTGTGAGTATTTGAGTGCTGAACAAGAACTGTTTGAAATACCAGATAAATTCCTGCATTAAGACCCCAGAGCAATCTGCTCAACACTGACAAGCAGGCAGCTGAGAGATGAAAGCAGAACTTTTTATGATTTATTATTAAAATTACAGTCCTGAAGAAGTATTCTCATTTATAATGTACCGTGACACACACACACACACACACACACACACACACACACACACACACACACACACACACACACACACACACACACTTTAGCACTTGATTCACTCATGACTGTTTTATATGGTCTAACACTCAGTTGCCATTTTATACCTGAAAATGATTTAAATTAAACTCAATGCAGTTTATTTGATGCTTGTAGTTTGGGAGGAGGAGAGAGAAAAGCATTAAAATATGCTGCTCCTGTTAATCAGACTTCTGGTTATGCTAATGAATTTGTAATTTTCTCTTATTTTCTTATTCTATTACTGCAGATGATAGGCAAAATAGCAACAATCTTTTACATGTGTTTTGTAGTTAATTTTTCAAATAATTTTGAGCTCAATTATTACTGCTAGTATTTAATCAACATTAATAGGTTAAATTTATTTCTTACCCCAACTGTTAGTGCTCCATTTGCCCAAAATAATCCCAATGACTGTGAAAGACTGTTTATACCATGAAACATAATGCTAAAAATTGGAAATGATAGCAGTGTGTTTGTCAAGCTTGCTTAATATTTATAGTTAAAGGACTTTAACTTACCTCAACACAAAAATTGAATAATTTGAAAAGAAGTCTCCTTCTTTCTCTTAAAGCCTCCTGTCCAAACTAAGAACTGCATTTTTATCACTTTAAAGTCCCTTCAGATATAGCGAATCTAAGATTGCATTCTTCATTACCAAATCAAGAGCAAAAACATTTTATATTTAGTCTATCTTAATGGAAATTGAGAAAAATTCAAATGAAAATCAACATCATGTGACACTGGATATATAAGAAAATCCTTTTACAATACAGAAAGGAAGGAGTGAGACAGCTACATACCAAGCTGGGTCTTGGCAGGGTGATCATAAACTCTTTTCTAATTGACTAAATAGGTTTCTGATGGTTTTAAGCATGGGATGAGTTTTGAGACTCAAATGGCTTAGTATGGAGAAGAGGTCTGATTTGGATCACTTTCTCCCACTGCCAGGGTTTCTGTTTGTTCTTTTGTGTGTTTTCTTTGCAAATCCTTTCGAAATTTGTTGTGGGGGTAAGTGTAAGAAAACTCAACAGCAGTCCAATCATGCTTTTGGTGCTGTTTGGTAATACTGGATGAATGCTGGGATGAGACAGAGCAGAGAGATCATCATGTTTGAGGTAAAAGGGCAGCATGTAAACAGAAAGATCACTTTAGTCTTCAGTCTATTTCCAGTGCAATAGATATTATGAATTTCCCCTCAAATATCGAAGCAGGTTTCGTTAGTTTTATACATTCATCATGCAGATTGTTGGTTGACCTTAGTAAACTGTCCCAGCATGGTCACACAAATGGCTCCTGAAAAGACTTAAGACTATGACCCAGACCAATGACGCAGCGTTTTTCACAAGGAAAAGTGTCTGCACGATCCACTGTGACTGCATGAAACTGCAGCATGATATGTATGAAAAAATATTAACCTGTTTTCACGACTGTATCAGCAAAGCAGCGGTCCCATTTCCGTCCGTGCTCGTCCGCCATGTTTCCAACTGTCACGAAGCCCCGCAAAATATCGCGAGAAAAAAGGGGACGTCACGTCAATTTCCAGATTACTGCAAACTTTCCCATTCACTGTTTGTAATGTGTTTAGTTTAGACACGTTTGTATTATTTAACCATTCCCTGCAGATCTCTAATTGATTAAAGCTTTACTTTATTAATGGGCGTTACTGACAACAGGACTGATGCACGGTGTCATTTGTGTCAGTAACACAGATTACAGAAATTTCAGAGGCTTTTCATAATGACTCTCTTAAAGTGCCCCTCCTTCTTTAGATTTCCCATTGAATTATGGCTAGATTTAATCCCTCTTGTGATGCATGCTTAAAAATCACAATCTGACTGTCTCTAATCAACACTATATTCCATTGTGGAACCTCAGTTTTACTGCTGATTAGACTGAACCTTTTCCCCTCTAACAAGCAATATGCACAGGACGTAACATGCATGTGCAGGATGTTAAACATGAGCTTCTGTTAACAAGACTATTAAATCCAGTTAAAAGCAAATCTATCAAAACGCTCAATGAAATCAGTGTCAGTAAAATGGTTGTGTCTCTTAAATGTGTGGCCTCCTCAAATTTTCAGAATAACTTAATCAAAACTGTTAGCCCAGAAGGTCTAATGATGATTGTTGTTATGCTTGTTATAGAGGTAGGTTTTATAGTTCAGGTTTTTTCTTTTTTCTTCAGAAAAATAGCATTAGTTACTATCTATGATCAGCATAATTATTACTGCATACGTGAACAGGGGAATATTCAGAAATTCATATTGTAAATAACAAAACCTATAAAACGACCAATCAGTATCCAAGGAATTATTGTCAGATAATAGTGAGCTTATCAGCAAGGTCTATCAACAGGCAACATTGTTTTAAAGTCATTTAATTTTTGAAGTATTATTATTTACGTTTTATCTACAAAACAGATTTTTCACGAGTTAAGTATGTGTGTATTATGTAACAGGTACCAGGATATGGCACCAAATCACAGATATATGTGTTCCTGTAAACAGGATAAAGATGTTAAAATAAGAAGAGACAACAAACAGTGTAGCGTTCGTTCACCATTATCCCCTCACTATGTTTATTCACACAATCACAATTACCAAAAATTTCCTGCCAATAACGTCCCTGGCTATACTGCTACATTGTCCATTTACTTATATTTATCCAGCATTATAATAATACTGCATTTCACTAAGCATAAACAATACTGTTACTTTCCTTACTGTCTGTCTAGACATATACTGGTTACACATTCATATACATTCACATTTTATTTTATCATAAAACACTCAAGTGTCAATAAACACCATTTCACATCTGTGTTGTTCTTTTCTCTAATAATTAGATGAGCTCAGAAGAAATTCATTAGAAATTGTTTGGATTTTCCCTACAAAACAACTTTTTTGTCGTAGTTTTTGTTTGGGCAACTCTAAACATGACATCTGTGCAGGCTTCAGTTGGCAGTTCTGTCCGGGTTCAGTCTCTTTCAGTGAAACTATCTATCTGCTGCCCTACGATATTTGTCTCATCCTATCCCTTATAAAGCAAAAAAGGTCACATTTAAAATACTAAATGACATTTATCCATCAAACCACTTTCAACATATAAGATTCAATTGGGATAACAATATGTGTGGATTTTGTGATGGTGACACTGAAAAAGTGGAACATATTTTCTTTGAATGTGAGCACGTTGTACACTTTTGGACATTATGTCAAAACTGGTTGTTATCTAAAAAAAATTATTTTGCCCCCATTAAACTGAATGTCGACCAAGATTAGACTACAATTAAAGGAAAAGAACTTGGACTTCATGGTGAACATGTTAATTACACTTGGAAAACATTTCATTCACAGATGTAAATACCTCAAAATGAAGCCCACTTCAACGGATGGATAAACAAACTCAGAATATAAACAAAATCTTTGAACTACATGAATATACGGTGGCCAAGAACTGCCACTGCTGCAAAAAGAATGCGGAAAAAAAAAAAAAAACATAACGGAAGTTACTTTTTTTAAAAGTTAGTTACTGCGAAAATAAAATGATGCAAATGAAAAAAATCCACAACGGAACTGAGCTGCCTGGGACCAATAATGATGATGCACTGGTGTTTAACGATCTAGGCACAGAGGAAGACGGCGAGAAGATGAGCAAAGAAGTTAGTGGAAAGGCTATTGTTTAATTTCACTTTGTGTACTTTTCAATGTGTCATTTGGTCAGGACATGTAGCACCTGAGTCGATATGAAGTTGACTTGGAGGATGCCCGGGTAGTGTTAGCTTCAGTTCAACTTCATATCGACTCAGGCACCACATGGCCTAACCAAATGACGCATTGAAAAGCACATGAAGCAAAATTAAACAGTAACCTTTCCCCTTACTTCTTTGCTCGTCTTCTTGCCGTCGTCTTCTGTGCCCAGGTCGTAAAACAGCGGTGCATCATTATTATTACTCCCCGGCAGCTCACTTTCATGGTGGCTTTTTTTTAATTTGCATCCTTTTATTTTCGCAGTAAGTAACTTTTTTTCTACTACCACTTTTTTTTCTTCATTAACTTCCGTTGTGCCTTTTTTTATAATCTGCACCATTTCTTTTTTTGTTAGCACCGGGCTTTGGTTTCTCTTTATTTATTTATTTTTTTGCACTCTTTTTTTATTTGCAGCAGTGGCGGTTCTCAGCCACCATATAAAAAAACAAAATGCCCTAAAACTTTTTTCTTTACTTGACTTCTTTACTATCCTAGAATAACACCCTCACATTCTCTTTTTTTTCATGTTCTTTTGTTAATCTAAAAAGCTGGTTCAACACTTTATACTCTAAGTATCACCAATGTGCCTAATGTTTGTATTTGACGGACAATAAAACGTTTACAATGAAAAAAAAAAAAAAAAAAAGTCATGTTTTGAGTTTCCCAAACAAAAACTACGACAACAAGTTGTTTTGCAAGGGAAATCCAAACAATTTCTGACGGATTTCTTCTGAGCAATTCTTATACACAAATACTTCTGTATTATTAAAAATCTGTATTGTAGATAAAACGTAATAATATAATAATACTTCTAAAATTAAATGACTTTAGAACACTGTTGCCTGTACAAAGTGTTGAACCAGCTTTTTAGATTAACAAAAGAACATGAAAAAAAGAAAAGAGAATGTGAGGGTGTTATTCTAGGATAGTAAATAAGTAGAGTAAAGAAAACAGTTTTAGAGCATTTTTGTTTTTCATGTAGTTCAAAGATTTTGTGTATATTCTGAGTTTGTTTTTCCATTTATTGAAGTGGGGCTTCATCTTGAGGTATTTACATCTGTGAATGAAATGTTTTCCAAGTGTAATTAACATGTTCACCATGAAGTCCAAGTTCTTTTCCTTTAACTGTAGTCCAATCTTGATCAACATCCAATTTAATGGGGCAAAATAATTTGTTTAGATAACAACCAATTTTGAAATAATGTCCAAAAGTGTACAACATGCTCACATTCTTTTTTGATCAAGGTCTTTTTTATTTTTCAAATAAAACAAACACAAGAAATACAATACAACATGCTCACATTCAAAGAAAATATGTTCCACTGTTTCAATGTCGCCATCACAAAATCCACACATATTGTTATCCCAATTAATGTAGATAGTGGTTTGAAGGATAAATGTCATTTAGTATATTAAATGTGACCTTTTTTGCTTTATGAGGGATAGGATGAGACAAATATAATTTTCTGATTGTTGTTGCTCATAGACTGTATATAAGATATATATATATATATATGTATAAGATATTATATACAGTCTACGGTTCTTGCTTCAACAATACTGAGATCTCTCAGAACATATTTTCTTTTTAGTTGATAAGGGGAGTACTGTGCAGTTAAACATTTCTAATAAACTTATTAGAGAATACTTTGTGACCTAAATTAACTCCTTCCACACTTAGTGATCTCATTTCAAAAATATTTGAATGCATCAGCAGTTGTTGAGTCTTTATTTTAAAGGGAATGTGAATGGCTTGGATTATTTTATTGTACTCTTCAATTGAGCAATGAAAGTTATATTTAACACAAAGGTTTTCACGAGTTAGGAAATTGCCATGATCATCTAATACATGTGAAACAGCCCAAATTCCTTTATCAAACCAGGTCCCCCAAAACAATGATTTACGATTGGTCAGTATATATCTCTTATTCCGCAAGGGTGAGTTGTGAAGAATTGTGCTTATAAATTAAATTCCAGTAAAGGAGAACTTGTTGGTGACAATCTGAAAGTTTCACAGGCAGTTGACATATATCATAGTCACAACGCAACTTTCAGAGAAACTATCTATCTGCTGCTGGCTTTACTAAATTTAATTCAAAATTACATGCATTACTCTAAAGGAATAATAACCTTGCCTAACAGTTAAACCAGGTTTCTTTACTTGAAAAAAAAATGCAAAAATAATATCATTAATAAATTATTCAAAGATCAACTATTTCATAACTTTGATAGAAATGTAAAAATGTATGATAGTGATGAAAAAATAACCAATAAAGGGGTAAAATTTATGAAATGGCCAATTTCCCCTAAAATCAAGGAAATGCAGTTTAAAATAATCAGTGGTTACTATCCTTCAGCAACAATCCTTATAAAGAGGTTTGGGTATGAGGTGGAGCCATGTGTTTTCTGCTCGCAAGAAGAGGAAACAATTGAACATCTTTTTTTCTCATGAAACATAATTAAGAACTGTTGGCATGATTTAGTAAAATTGTTGAAAATTAAAATGGATAAAGTTGCACACTTGAAATTGGAACAAGTGCTGTATGGAAATTACAACATGCTAAACAAATATTTCAAAATTTGCAATAGAATAATAATTATGGCTATTATCTAATATTTACATTGGCTGTTTGCATGAATTCCAAAGGCAGGCCTTGCTGTAAGTTTTGTGTGGGTTTTTTTTTTCTTTTCTACATTATGTTGTTCTCATGTATATTATCACAGTTGTTTTGTAAAAGTATGATGTACATCTGAATTGCACTTGTCTCCCATTGAGAGTTTTGTAAATTGTTGAATATGTTAATATATATAACAAAAAAAAGTTTCTGTAAGGGTTCAGTCTGTTCCAGTGAAACTATCTATCTGCTGCCCTCTCTGCTCGTACACTGACTGCGCCACACCTCTCTTTCCATACTTGGCAATGCCTTTCTCGCTTCTTCGCTATTGGCTGCTGTAGAGAAAGCTCAGAGTGACCCGGACGTGCTACCGGGGCCTGTTTTTCTGAGCGCTGCCTCCTTCCTGTCGCCCGGTTGAGGAAGTGAATTTCGCTGACAGGGCTGGGTTCAGTGAGGGAGAGGCGAACAAAACATCTTCCGCGGGGGGACTAAAAAAATACAACATAACAACAACAGACGAGAGGAGCAATTTGTTAAAGCATTGTAAAGCTAAGGTGCCCAGTCATCGGTGATATCGTGCTCCCCTGCCCCGCTGAGACCGCCACAGACCGCCGCAGACATGGTAAGGGCCGCAGCGGAGCTTGGCAGGGGAAGCTGGGGACGGGGAGAGAGGGCTTTGGTCGTCTGTTGCTAACAAACCGCTGATTGATACGGGTGCTAGGCTAGGCTAGCGGTAGCTAAAGGGTCTGGGTGGTAACCTGAGAGCAGCAGGAGGAGATCCAAGTGTATAAATCACCGATGCGTATTCACTGTTTGCTAAACTTCTGCTAACCGGATACGAACAAATTAGCTCTGAGGCTAAGCTAGCAGCTGTTTCTCCTTACTGGTATGCTAGTAGCTTAGCATACAGCCCCTAGGCTTCTAGTTTGCGAAGGATGTTTTGAATTTAACACAAGTTCGTATATCGTGTTATTATTAAGGTGTCCTAATATGTTACACACACACACACACACACAGGCGCATAGTCCAGCAGTCGTGCACAGCAGGCGCGCACACAGGCTAAAATAGTCCAGCGCCCGGTTGCCTGTTGCTAAAATAAGACTGCTTGCCCCTCCTATCCCTTACTATGACCAACTCCTAACCTCCTCAGTTGGAATTTTCATGTCCTGTAGTTTTATTAGGACGGGTTTTTCTGATGTTTTCTGACAGGAATTAGCCCTGCACGTCATATCACTGTTTAGTCATGACCTGTATGGGCGCGTTTACTCGTGTGGCTGAAAACTGACTGATCTAAATCAAGTTATTGACCCTGAAAAACTGTGATTTGAACAACAAAACTGCTTTTGCACAGCGAGGCACCATCTCTGCTGCAGACATGAACATCAGACTCACCTCATTAATAATATAAAGCCAGAGTTAACTATTATTAGGCCTGCTGACTGTAATCACATTAAATTAATTTAATATAGTCCATAATTACTTATATCATAACCCTGTAAACTGAATTCATATTGTTTGATCATTGCATGAGCTGTTGTTGTTGCTGTTGTCCCCTGTCTCTCTCTTTCTCACCCTTGTTCTCTACTCTCTCTCCCTCCCTCTCCCTTACCTATTCTCTCTCTCCTTCCTTCTATCGTGTTCTCTCTCTCTTTCTCTCCCTCTGCCCTCTCTCCTACTCCTCTCTCTCTCTCAGCGGCCTGGTGGCTGTCTAGCATGAGTCTGGTCCTACCCAAGGTTTCTGCCTGTTAAAAGGAAGTTTTTCCTTGCCTCTGTCACTCATGTTAGATGAGATGGGTTAAATCTGTCCCATCTTAAGGTTGGGTCTTGATAATTCATCAAACAATGAGCGTGGTCTAGACCTGCTCTTTTTCTTTGGAAAGCGTCTTGGGATGACAACTGTTGTGAATTGGTGCTATATAAATAAAATTTGATTGATTGATCCAGTGCATCAGCACTATTTACAAGAGTGGGTTTTGTAGAGCAAGAAGAAGTCCATATAACCTCAAACATCTTGTGTCCGAGTTAGAAAGAGCAGCTGGAGGATCTCTTCAGTCTCTTCTGCCTCACCTCATCCATCCTGCAGGCTCAGTCTTACTGGTCTCCCCCTGACCCCAGAGGTTGTTGTCTGAGCTGGTGTTTACACTGAGACAGGAGCACTAGTAAACACAGTGTCAGGGAGCACAGGTGTCTGATGGAGCAGAGTGATTCATTAGCTGCCAGAGACTTTAAGAACATGCAAAAAAGTAAATGGAAAGCATTGGAGACATCGCTACGAAACTACAGCTATATCCAGAGTCATCTTTAGGTGTCATGTTTATGGAACAAGGGCTCCCTTCAGAATAACATGTCAATGTCTTTCAACCAGACACCAGCCTGATAAGTGTAGTCTGTTCATGCACTTCAGAGGTGTTACTGCATAAATAAGCCTAAATCAAGGGTTATCTTCAAATACTAAGGTGTGGCAAATAAAAACTGCATAACACTCCTATGATGGCGCAAACATTATTGCTGAGGACCAGTTTTATAATTTCTTATGTATTCGCTACAACTTTAAATATGTTTACAGATTTCTCATAATTAAATATTTTTAATCAATAGTAAATTGCATACTAGTGTGCATGATCTCATATAATCTCCTTTGAATACAGGTGTAAAGTGCCGATATTAATCATAATGTAACAGGTCAGTAATGCTGTTATATCAAACTGACATTACAGTAAGTTCAGGCACTCAGTCATTCATATAACAGGAGTCAGAATATTACTGATAATTACTTAAAAAGCAATATTAAACTACAATGTTTTTTTATTCTTAGCTTAGCTTAGGATCAAAGATACCGTAATTTAGGATGCCAGAAACTTGTTTTCATTTTTAAAAGATCAGTGAAATATGAGCCCCGAAGCCTTTGTGATGGCAGTTATTTTAAAATGCCAATAACTGGCCTGATAAGTTTGACAGATCAGTCTATCTATCTCCAGCCATCAACAGTGCTTAATGGCAGCCACACTGACGAAGCAGCCAGCTGTATCTGCTGATAATACTTGGTCACCTTTTTAATAAGCCTCTTGAGTGCAGGAATAGGCTTTTAGTATTTTAATGGGACTTTGGTCTTGTTGAAGTGACGTTGATGGTACAGTCTGAGCTAGGTTTAGCTTAGGACAGTTTCTCTTCTCTCCTCGGTGATAAAACTACTTCTACCTTCTGGCACATTCCTCAGATATTCATGTTGAAGCCGGTCTGTCCCCTCACTCTCTAATATCCTGCTGCTCACTGCATTTTTAAGGGAGGGGGAACCCCCAGAGGGGTGGGGGGTATGCTGTGCAATCCTGGTTAGTTTGTGTCTTATACTGACTTCATGATGCACAGTTATCTGTTTTGTTTAAACACTTTCCTGGGCAGTTTTTCATTAATTTAGTTTTCTAATAAATTGTAGCACAAGAAAGATGCTGTCAGTAAAAATAAAGGGTTTTTTTGAGGGGGAGGAATTTCCCCTCTCGGATGAAACAGGAATGTAGAGCTGCAAAAGCTAAAAGCTAAAAGGCTGGTCCTGCTGCTCAACAAACTGTGGTTTATGGAGGAAAGTGACCCATTTTTCAAACAGCGCTCTGAGTGTGTGAGTATATAAGAAAACAAGCCTTAGTAAACAACTCAAACATGAAGCCAAATAAGGAATTTGACTCAGTGAGCCGCAGGATGTTTAGAGGACTCATGAATTGTTTTTGGTGTCAATGGTTTTATAGGCAGTTATAACAGTGAAAATGAAATTAGATTGTTTGCTCTGTATAAGGGACACATTATAGACATTGTTCTTGTTTGATGAGGGTATTTCAGTTTCTGCACTGATTGAATTACAGTCTCATATTTAAATTCTTTTAGCATTCAGTTTATTGGTATTAATACAGAGATTAAATCAGCTGGTAAATGATCAGTTACATTATAAGTTTACTTTGAAGTGATTTTTGTCTACCCAGTTTGTCAGTCTGGTTTCACTGAATGTTTTGTGTTTGTTTTTTTCTTCTTAATCTTGTATATTAATTTAGTCTGGTACAAAGTAAAAAAATTACTCTATAAAAAAGTCAGATTGATTTATTAGTAACAGCTTTATACAGAGGGAACAACAAAACAACTCTTCGCAATTTAGACAGTACCTCTCCCTGATGTGAGGCTTTGCACTGTGACTTTGATCATTGACATTTTTACACCTTCTTTGATATTATACCTTTAAAGCAAGCCTCAACACTTAATATGCAGTGAGTCCTTCAGCTTGGTCTTGTGCTGCAAATAATACTGCCTTTGACATCTGAGTGGGACGATAGTGAGGAGTCATGCCACTGCAGTAGTGTCACTTTTCTGATTGATTGGGTTGTCAGTGCGGTGGGGAATGGGAACTAATAGCAAACCTTTCAGTTAATGTTTGCTAACTGTCTAGTAGAGTACAGTACATATCTGAGTCTTTCAGGAAACAAAGTCTGTCATCCGTTTCTCTACTCTTACTCTACTGCACTAACAGCTGGGGTGTAAAACTTTTTTACCTGTTTGGTGTTAAATCTAGTACAACTTACACTCATAACTTTGTCAACAACAACCTGCAACAACCAAACCGAGTAAATCTAGTGATGCTAAGGCTAGGGTATGAACGTACATGTAGCAAAGACAAGTTGCATGCCAACTGTGCCTCATCTCCCAAGGCGGAGCTGATGCTCTTGACCGGGAAACTCCTTCAGCTCTGGCATTGGGCAGTTAGTAAAGAATCAACCAGGATTTTTCAGCTCTACCTCATAGTTTCAATATTTGGAAAGTGAACCAAAGGTTTTGTAGGCGACATTAGCAAATATCTAAAAATCATTTAACTCCCCACTAGGCCCGAACGATATGGATTTTTTGGGGGCCGATGCTGATACTGATTATTAGGGGAGAAAAAAATTCAGATTACCAACATTTTTTTATGAAGTTATAAATATATATATATATATGTATACTGTAGATATACTGTAGGATACTGCTCTTCACACAGACAGGAAGATCGACTGATCAAACTCAGACCAGATAAGCGCGTGACCGAGACCAGCACAGCGGGGAACATGGTGAAGTGGGTTGAACTGAAACTTGTTGACTTATTGTGTATTTCACAAACTGGTTTATTTACCGTTGAGGCGGACCACTCTCTTCTGTGCGTCCCTGAGCTGCCTGCTTCAGATCCATCACTCTTTGGCTGTATTGGCTGAGCGGGAATCGTGTTGGTTGGTGAATCTCGTTCCACTTCAGTGGGGCAACATAAACTGTGATTTATAAAATAGCTCTATTGATAGTAAGAACTAAAAAAAAATATCTACTCATGCCATCATGTCGATTTTTAGTAATCATTGTTTCGGTGTCGAACTATTTCCTTTCTGCGGTGTAGTGATACTTGCACACGCGCAATCGAATATGCAGAGGGGTGAAGCGATTTTTGTCACATGGACCAATAGGAGCTGAGTCTCGTTGTCATAATATCAGAAATACACAAACATGGCGACGAGCGCATCTAGCAGTGAGACAAGTGAAGAGGAAGAAAAGAAAAGGAAAAATAGAAAACAGCCTTCAAAAGTGCATAAAAAGGGAAACGATGCTATATGCATCTATCATCTGTCCAGAGTGAAGATATTTCATTGCTTTTATTACACAGTAGGTTGTGTCATTTTCATGTATGAAACATAAGCTTTTAGCTAAATTTACTGTATATATTTCATTGTGCTGGATGCAAATCACTTGAGTTGAGATGTTTTCTTCAAGAAATTTGCTACATTTCATAATCTGAATTCACTTATGCAGATAGTAAGGCACCAATAACTGTTTCAGATGTTAGGTAGATGTATTTATGACATTTGAGAAAGATTTTCTCTTGCCAGAATCAACATAGCAGTTTCTACAAGCAAAAACTGCAGCACCATATAATTGTTTTTTGAGTTACTCACATATATGTTCATTTCTGGCTGGTGACAAAAGTCGGACAGATAGTCTGAGTAGATATTTTAACCCAAAGTCCAGAATGGTATTGTCTATGCAAAAATGCATTGAACAAGTAGCACCAGCGTAGTTGAAAGAAATTCACTTTCTAGGCACTTTTTCCTTGTCCCAATACAGCTTAGACCTTGAGCGAAGTTTCTTTCACGGAGTTTCAGATGCCGTGGACGTGGATGCATCGGCGATGCTGCCTGAAGGCTTTGACTGACCCGCGACTGCATCACGTTCTTGTTTTTCAAACGTCTTTTGCAAATAAATCGCTGGTAGCATGTCATGTGAAACCCAGTGTCAGCAGGAACATTGTCAAAGTCGATATCAACGCAAAGTTTATAAGTTTCTGCAAGGTCCTTTATCTCACCCTGTAGAGAAAGCCACTTTCCAATACTAGTTCTGTAAGTTTCCCAACATGTCCTTGTAAAGTCGAGAACGTCTTCACTCTGGACAGATGATAGATGCATATAGCATCGTTTCATTCCATTTTTATGCACTTTTGAAGGCTGTTTTCTTTTTTTCCTTTTCTTTTCTTCCTCTTTGCTTGTCTCGCTGCGAGATGCGCTCGTCGCCATGTTTGTGTATTTCTGATACTATGGCAACGAGACTCGGCTCCTATTGGTCCACGTGACAAAAGTCGCTTCACCCCTCTGCATATTCGATTGCGCGTGTGCAAGTATCACTGCGCCGCAGAAAGGAAATAGTTTGACACCGAAACACTGATTACTAAAAATCGACAGGATGGCATGAGTAGATATTTTTTTTTAGTACTTACTATCAATAGAGCTGTTTTATGAATCACAGTTCATGTTGCCCCACTGAAGTGGAACGAGATTCACTCTCTAAGCACTTTTTCCTCTGTCCCAATACAGCCTATCTGCTGTACTGTGAGGTAGTTAGTGGATGAAGATTGTCATAAGGTCGCTGCGCTATCTACAGGATAAGTTGGATAACATTTTCGAAGTGAAACCGAATCTTATTCTCCGCATTTTATTTCTGAAAATATCTGAAAATAATTTGAGTTTTGGCCGATTAATGATTGGTCTCAAACAGACTAAAACTGGCCGATTTAATCGGCTCACCAATAAATTGGCCGGGCCCTACTCCCCACTGTGTCTGTTGGTCTAAAGAAATGCCTAAGTCAGTAAAACATCTTCACATCTTAGATCCTAAAGTGGTTCATCTGCTGACTTGCAATCAGAAGGAAATCCTGTATGAAGAGGGTTTGCTGCCCTTACCCTGGCTAATGAAGAGTGTTCAGACCCTTGTACTGACGTCACTGGTTTGGACATGTTAAGCTGTGCCACATGTTTCACCCTCAGAACAATTTTGTGCATTTTGAGATTTAGTGTAGCTGGAGTTCTGGCTGTTTAAAATTCATTTACTCTACAACTTCTTTTTTCTCTGTCTGCTTCTTCTTATATAACAAAATGCGCATGTTCTTCACTTTACTGAATTGAGCAAGTTGTCTCTCTAACCTCATGATGCGAGCAGGGTTTGCCTTCAGGGGTGTGAACATTTCCTGCACAGACACTCCACTCATAGACGCTTACAGATGGTAGCAGGCCTTTATTATCAGTGTGCTGGTATGGAGACCTAGAGGAGCTGAGAGTGGTCATTTTTTTATTTTTAGAGCCTGCAGGCTTGATGCAATAGTGACGTATATTTTTCCACATACAGCTTCATAGTGTAAACCTTAACTGTTTCAGTGAGCAAATTTAGTTTTGATGCTTATGTCTCCTAAATGTCTTTTTTTTTGTTTCAGTTTAGCAGGGGTTAGCAGGATAGGTTTATGATTTACCCATAAGAACCCTTCTTTGTTTATTTTCATGTAGGTAATAGTGTTCAAAATCAAATGACTTCACTTACAGTAAAACTAAATATCACAGCTTACTCACTTTATTTAAATGAGCCTGCCAAAGCCTCGTTATATTTAGATAAAAAAAGGGAACTAAAAAAACCCCACAAGTTTATGGACCTCATTTTGGTGTCCATGAATAGAAAAGTCTGCAGAAATGTTTTGACCCAGACAGATCAGGATTTTACCAACACAAATTTAGTTTTAAACCCTGATTGAACCAAAAATTCTGAAGGTGAAGTTGGCTTGTCAGTCATGTGACATACAAACAAAGTGAGGAAATTTTATTCCTGTTTTAGTGACTCGAGATCATTTCAGCACAGACACAACGTGAGAATGTAACTGTCTAATGTAATGAAGTTTGACGTCTAAATCGGCTTCATATAAGTATGCATAGTGTACATTTCAGCTGACGTCTGAATGAACTTAGAAACATTGACCGTGTTGATGATGTTTATTTTGCACAGTTTCAGACTCTTTTCTGCTCCCTCCAGTTGCCTGTATGTTGGTTTCCACTCTTGTGTTTATACTTTTGATACTTCTTTGAACAAGTTGTATTGATAAACACAAAAATGGTCTTCACTTTGAGAGCTTGGTTTTTGTGCTACTTTGAGCCCAAACCAAACATACTCGGAAAGCATATCCTCCCTCTACGTACTGCATGTGTGGAAGTACAAGTCTTGAAAATGTCCAGACTGTATCCTGTGGATATGTCTGTTGATTATGTGCCAACATGACACATACAACTCTAGTGTTTCAAAGGAGTTCATTTTCTTAATGCTGGGTACAAAACATCAGATGGGAATTTAAGTCCAATAAAAAAATGAGAAGAAAATATTGATCATTAGGTGAACTGAATAAATGGATAATTTTTGTGGAAATTTCCGTCTAACATTCTCAATAAAACCTAGTTGCTCTTGGGAGTGATTTCTTGTCAAAGAAGCTGCTTCAGGTGGGAACGAGCTCACTTTAGTATTTTCTGGTTTGTAATTATGCTGAAAAAATACCACAGTTGTAGGTTATCCAATATGTTTGTGTCGGCTTCATACTTCACATTTATTCCGCTGAAATTAGCACAGAATAAAAGTGTTGTACAAAGTGGTTATTTTCCTTGTAATCTGCCCATTATTGGCCTTTAAAAAGTATGATATGAATTATTCAAGAAGAGTTGTATATGAGATGAAATACTATGATTGCAGTTTCACGCTGTGCTTTGAATTATTTCTTTTATATGTTTTCTTGTGGAGATTTTATAAAAACAGGTGTGTGTGTGTGTTTAAAGTGTGTTTGTGTATTGCACCCATGTAGGATGTTTTATTCATCTTAATGTCCTATTTTGCCTTTTAACTTTAGTTTTACTTTTTTCCCCCAAATCTGATTTTTCAGATTGAAACATGAAAAACTTGTAGGAAATGCTAGTGTACAATAATCCAGCAGATGAAGTAGGGCTGGGCAATCAAACAAATTTACTGATACCAAAATTTACGACAATAACCCACGTCATTTTACCCATGTCAATATATTTGGTGTCACCCCTAAGATGAAGTTGCTTGGTTGTGGGGCACTTAATTGTCATGTGTGACTAAAGTCTGCAAACATCGTGTAATAAGTGCTTTCTTTGCTGTTTGTGTGTGGTTTCAGAATGAGCAGCAGCTGGACTGTGCCCTGGACCTGATGAGGCGTCTGCCTCCTCAGCAGATCGAGAAGAACCTCAGTGACCTCATTGACCTGGTAAGTCCACTGTCTTTACTTCTAACTCTGCCAGATGTCCAGGTTGTGTCTCCTTCAGACAGCTTTTATGTGTGCAACCAAACAACAAAGTTCAATAAAGCACAGACTAAATTAAAGTGAGGTTCAGATAAAGCTAAATAAAGGAAAAAGGATGAGAACAAAAGACATGAAGTTTGGATTAAGTCTGTCAAAGAGAAAAGGAAATGTTTTGTTTTTTTAAAGGGACAATTTGACTGGTTCCTTCTTATTTGTTGAACAAAACATTCTCTGTTAATGTGATTAAATTATTTTAGAATTTCAGCTATTGGACACCTAAGATCCCCTAATTTCTCAAAAGAGTTTTTTCTGTGTCTGTGTACTGGAGTCTTTTTGCACAAGGACACTTGTGTGAGTCTGGATCTGCGTTCAGATTCCAGCTGAGTGATCTGTTTTTGATTTGCTTCTACATGCCTGTGATCTGTTTTTCATAAAAGTCTAAACAATGTGACATATCACATAGATATGAGCCCATTCATTATGATCTGGGCCTTTCTCACATGTGGATCAGATACACGTCTGATTATTTTCAAAACAAGTTCAATCTAAACTGTTTAATCTGAATTCAGCAGCTTTTTCGCTTCATTATTTTGACAAGTTTGTCTCAGCTCTGTGCAGACAAACACAGCTCTTGAGTCAAGGACTGCTCAATGAAGTCCATTTTTTTGTGAAGTCGTCAATGTCATGATGCCCTCCTCTGTAACAAACATCCCACAGCACCGCACGGCTGTCAAATTGTTTGTGAAAATGTCATTCATTAAAGATGTATGTATGATGACACTGATGGCTCCACAAGAACCTTAAAAACACTTTTTACAAGGTCTTAAATTTAAGAGTTCATTTAATCTGAAAATGTTTAACACAGTAAGACTGCTCTCTGCATTAAAATAGTTATGATTAATCATCTTCTCGCATATCTGAACTCTGATACAGATTTGTATTTCTAGTCAGTAATTCCTGTATTGTTTCTTTGTTGTATAGTTACAGCTTCTGTTTTGGCCACATAGACACAGGGTTATAAATGACATTGTGACCTTTGAACCTGCGCTGAGCCTAAGACAAATCCATAATGAGTGTCATTTCTGTTTAGACAGAGATTGCTGTTACTGTTCATATATTAATGAACAAAGAATCCAAACTTAGATGGATAATGTCAGTCTTTCGGTTTTGAGGTGATTTTCATGTTTTCTTTAGAAGTAAACATCTGTTTGTGGAACGGGTCACCATTTTTTGAATATTAAGAGAGTTTTTAAGTTTTGTTTTGTTTTGTTTTGTTTTTTAATTGAAAAGTTTTTGGAACTATTATCTCATCTAAAATTATATATGTTTCTGTTATTTTTACTTGTGCCTGGTTGCCATTGTCGAACAGTGGCTGTAGTCCCTTTGAAAGGTGTTTCCTGCAGGAACTTCTTCAACCATCTGAAACGTCTGTGAGGCACTCTGCAGGAGTCTGACTATTCAAATAATCGACCAAGAGTTCCCAGTGATTATCAAGCGGTTTTCAATCACATATCAATTCCGATTTTGCCGTTCTGTCATTATAAAAACAAGATAACAGAGATTAAAGTTGACTGGGCTCCTTGCCAAGTTGCTTTTATTTTGTCAACTTTGTTGGTGCACAACAAAGTTTGTGCAAACAAGTTGTCACGTAACGTATGTATTGGGGAACTGCAGTTTAACACTGCTAGGGAGGAGCAGGTGTGTGTTAGTAAAGCAGAGTGACAGAGCGCGCATGAGTCAAGAGCGTGTTGATCGAGTAGGTATGAAAATGACTGGGTTGTTGATGCTTTGGCAAACATAAAGAGGAAACGATTTTTATATGTTTTTATGTTTCTCCGAGTGTTGAAGAGTTTGTGTCTCAGACATCTGTTTAGATTTAACAAATGTGGGTGTTGTAGACGTTGTCGAATGGCAGAGTAGTCATGTTTAAAAGTCCCGATCACAGTATCAATACATAAAAAATATGATGATTTTACCAGAAACTGAGCAGCTCTCAAATAGTTTCCATTGCCTGAAATGCCACCTCTGCTCTGCACATGACTGCCTTCTGATGTATGATCTGCTGTGACTGTTTTGTTGTAGAAAGGGAGGTGGGAATGGAGAGACTCTAAGAGTTTGCTGAAAAGGAAAGTTTGCAGAGTGTGCAGTAACTGAAGCAGGATTCTGACCATTCCTGTCTCTAAAACTGAAAAATTCAGATTTTCTTTCAGCTTACTGTTAACATACTTATTGTTTTCACTAAGTTTGCTGCTGAAACAGGACTCAGGTTCTCTTCCATGGCAGTGCCAGCTACTGAGCCTTACAAATGTCTCAAAATCGGACGTGTATCTTATTACACTTTACCGGTGTTCGCATGGCACCTTGATCTGTGTGTTGATGCCAGCCAGTCCCCCACCTGCATACCTTCCTCTTCCTTCACCTTCGACCTCTCCCCCTCTGAGCCTCGGCTTTCTCCTCACTCATTTCTGTGTGTCTGGTTGTTAGTGATAATCATCTCAGCTGTCAGTCACCTCTTCCTGCCGGTCACTGTTTATGCTCCACTGCCTCTGCTTCAACTCCACCTGGTATCACCTGAAATCACCCTCTCTGCTCCACGTCTGTATTATCTCTCTTCTGCTCTTAACTTTCCCTTACCCATTAGTTTTTGCCTCCCCCCTTATTTTGCCTCACCCAGTCAGGATTTCCAGGTGTGGTTGGTTCAGGGGTGTTGTGGGGGCTTTTCAGAGGAAAAAACAAGGCCTCCTTTGTATCTATGCCTACTGGAGAGCTTATAGAGGGGGAATCCATGTCAGTCTCTGAGAAGTAATTTGTACCCCCTTATCCTCCAGATATTATGTTTCCCATGGAGATTGTATTCCAGCTCAACACACTAACCCCAGCCTTGAGAGTGAAGCTGGAACATGAAACTTTAGACAAGGATTTTTTTTTTCCGTCTTGTTGTGTAAGATAAGAAATCAAATAAAAGTCTGCTGTTGTCTTCCCTGCTCAGTCTCCTCATTCCCACATTCACAGGTGTTATTTTAAATTGAGCAACTCTTGCAGAAAGAATGCTTTCACAGCAGCCCATGTGTTGTACTGTCTCCCAGGACATTTGCAGTCAAGTGTCTGGAGTTTAACAAACTTGTGGAGAAACTCCAGTGGCTAAAAAATGTCAAATCTTTCCTGTATGAAAAAGCGAATTCTCTCTGTTTTTGCGTCCAGGTGCCCAGTCTTTGTGAGGACCTCCTCTCCTCTGTGGACCAGCCCCTGAAGATTGCCCGAGACAAGGTTGTGGGCAAAGACTATCTGCTCTGTGATTACAACCGAGACGGCGACTCCTACAGGTGGAGCTCATAACCACACTTCATACTTAAACTGTTTTGAATAACACGGTTGACATCTACAGATGGTTGAGTTTGAGAGGAATTCAGAGTGTGGCAGGAATACTTGCATAAAGCTTGATAGAAAAGATCTTAAGAGCTAAGTCTACATCATAGCTCTTGTCTCACTTTGCAGCCACCATCATGGGTGTAAATGTCAGAGAGGTATTTGACCATCTGAAGAAGCGTACTGGCAGCTGTTAGAGAGTTGAAGAGCAGTAAGAGGAGCACCCCCCGATACAGTGTCATAACAGTGTGTCCTTTTAAAGTGCCACTCTTTTTGACTGCATTTCACATGCGAACGTTGAATGTGAATAGGCGGTTATGATTAAGTTGTGACAGCAGTCCGAGCCGTAACATTTCACCAAGAGGAAATTGGATGCTGGTGGAGTAAAGCAGAACAAAATTAAACACGCAGACGTGAAATGATTTATTCAGAACTCATTTGCTCTGGTACCATTGGCCTCATAAACAGCATGTGACTCTTCGTCCTCTTTGATGTGTGTATTCAAGTGTTCATTGTGTCTGTGTGAGACTAAGTGCTTTTCATTGTTTCACTCATTGCTGACTGTCAAAGAAATCGTCCCTTAAGGATAATGAAGTGCACCTGGAACAAAAATCGCTGTTAAATAAAAAAAAAAAAAATCCAGTTTTAAAATCATGAGACACAGAGCTGCTTTCAGACCAGTCAAAAATAATCTCTTTATTAAGTTTATAAAAGATGTCAAATGCATGAAAAGAATCTTTTTCACTGGCTGTGCTCGGTGACCACAGATCAGCTTCTTCTCCATCACAATAAAACAATAATTCAGGACTTTACCACTGAGAACATTTTTCAAAAACTAACCTAGCGACTTTTCAAACCCCCTTTAGCAACTTATTTTCAAAAAAGCACCTAGCAGCAAATCTAGTGACTTTTTCTGGAGTTTGTAGACTGACATGAAAGAAACAGATACAGACAAACATACAGACACTCTGAGGAAGACGCCTCCATCGCCTGGGGATCATGCAAATTAGGAGATGGCGTCATCTAGCGACAGCCACTAGGGGCTTTCCTTACCAAGGAGTTGGAAACATTTGAGTCGTCTTCCTTCTGTGCCAAACTAGTGCTCTTAAATCCATCCCAGGAATTTTGTAAAATTCTAGTCATGTTTGTATAATGGCATAAGGAAACACGTGCTTAAGAAAGGCATTCCAGAAAAATGAAGCCAGCAGTGATCAATCATAAGTATTTACGTCTGCAGAGGGAAATGTCAGGGACAGAGTCAAACGTCAGGGACTGATATATATATGAAGATTGAAAATGCTACTGTTTCTGCAATACACCAGATATTACAGTGGGTTAAACAAATGTGACTTGTCTATTTGGTGTGATACTTATTTACATTGATTTCTGTCCTTTTTTCGACTGCTTCAGATCCCCATGGAGTAATAAGTATGAACCTCCCATTGAAGATGGTGCAATGCCTTCAGCCCGCCTGAGGAAACTCGAGGTCGAAGCCAATAATGCCTTTGACCAGTACAGAGACCTGTGAGTGCCAGCTGAACGATCTGAAGGGAAGATTTGATCAAGCTGTGAGCGCAGCCTCTCGTTCACTCTAACATCTGTGTTGTTGTTTTTTTTTTTTTTTTAGATATTTTGAGGGAGGTGTGTCCTCTGTGTACCTCTGGGACCTGGATCACGGCTTTGCTGGAGTTATTCTCATTAAGAAGGCTGGGGACGGATCCAAGAAGATCAAAGGATGCTGGGACTCCATTCATGTGGTGGAGGTGCAGGTGAGAGTTAGCTGATGTGGCATGGTTGCACATCAGGTTGTGGCAACAGGTTGGCATTTGTCAACTTCTTTATCCATGATACAATGTTTTATGAAACTTTGTACAGTAATAGAATATTTCCTGATACTGTAAAGTCTGTAATAATCAGTATCAATTTCATGTAAATCAGTGGCTGATGATTGTTTATATTGGCATCACAAACAAAAGATAAACTTGCTCATCTTGAACACGTCAAGACATGTTTTTGAACAAACTATAATATTTCTAATTATAATACAGAAAGTTATTGTTCTACATTCTGTGAAAGTGCAAAGTTTGACTCACAAATTACAAAAATGTAATGTCTTTGGTCTGCTGAGCTACCATGTTGGTAAAATCCAAAATACCTCCTGATAGGTAATCTACCTCAGATGACGTTACGATAAATATTTGAGCCTAATGTCAACAGTAATGCCTTCATGGGTGCAGAGATTGGTCAGGCATGATATGTCAATTTTATAATCAAAAATAGTTTCGTATAGATGATGATACAGAGTGAAGTTTCCATTTGTTAAACTCTTAATCATAATATTGATGGAAAACATTTCTGTTAATAGATTTTTTACACTTTTGCGAAATGAAAAGAGACAAGCTGATGTAGAAATAAACCTAATGCATCAATTTGCAGCATGTCAGCATGATCAAAACTTAAAAAAAAATACAGAGACTGATAACTGACATGATGAAGAAATTCCACCTTTTATAAAAATCTAAACAGGATATGACTCTCTAACCTATAAAGACAAAATATAGATAGCTTGCCTAACAGTACAGTCATTCTGGTCCCGAATGGTAAGGGTGATGACGTTTAACTGTAAACATCATTTTCATGAATCCTGAAAGAGTATATGGTTTCCTGTTTACTTTGCTGATATCTCATTGCTTTTTGTTTATCCTGTGTGAGCAGGAGAAGTCCAGCGGTCGTGCTGCTCACTACAAACTCACCTCCACTGTCATGCTGTGGCTCCAGACAACCAAGACCGGCTCTGGTACCATGAACCTGGGCGGTAGCCTCACAAGACAGGTGCTGTGATGAATTACAGAAGAGAAAGTACAACTCAGGGATGACTCATCCAGCCTGTTGTTTTTATAAATCTCAGTTTGTCAACCTCTTTTTTTCAGATGGAAAAAGATGATCCAGTTGGAGAAAACAACCCCCATATCGCCAACATCGGCCGCCTTGTTGAAGTCAGTACTACAGCTGCCACACAATCTGATGTTTCAATTATTGTGTACAGTGTTTCACAAGATCTCTCAGATTGCAAAAGTTTTCAAACAGTAACTTCATTCACTGATAAACCCAGATAGTCGCTCATACTTGCCAGAGAGTAACTGCCCATCCTTTCCTGAAAAAATCAATAGAGCACCTGTCTGCAAAGAAAAACTGAGGGGTCGTGCTTGAATGTCTTTGTTTTCTTGTCAGGATATGGAGAACAAGATTCGTTCCACACTGAATGAAATCTACTTTGGCAAAACCAAGGATATCGTCAACGGCCTAAGGTAACACTTCAGGAAAAAGTCAATCTTATTTTACAGCAAGTCAGTCAGCAGGGTTTATGTCCACTGGTCAAGTCTTTTTTGTTTATATTTTATATGATTTCATCAAACATGCCTTCATGCGTCTCTTGTCACTCCAATTCTTTGTTTTCTTCACTTCATCCCCACCTGGTCATTCCCCTCTTCAGCGGTTCCTCTGAATCTGATCGTATTTTTCTTTGTAACCTTTCTCCCAACATTTCTTCTGCCATTTTCCTCACTGTCTGTCCTCATGTCAATCCTTCTGTCACATCTCCCTCCCCGCTCCAGATCTATTGAGTCTCTGCCTGATAACCAAAAGTACCGGCAGCTCCAGAAGGAGCTGTCGCAGGTGCTCACCCAGCGTCAGATCTTCATTGACTAGGGTCTGAGGTACAATCTGGCATGGAGAACGCTGTTTTTGTGTGTGGATGCAGGCATGTAAAATATACAGAAAGGAAAGATGTAGCTCATGCCACGGTGGCCTCTGTTTAAAGTATACTTTTATTAATAATGTTGCATTACAACCACTTTCTTGATATTCATTGCTGTAGAAAAAGTGAAACTTGCAACCTCTCACTGAACAGACTATTCAAACTGTTCAAACTACTGTACATGGCGAACCTTCAAATAGAAGTACAGGGTTTCTACACAGTTGGAATTTCCATACTTTACCATACCCTACTTTTAAAAATTATATTTGGAAATACCTACTTTTCTGTTTTAGAAAACTATTTCAGAAGTGTGGTAATAGTCTGGAAACATAAATATTTTTCCATACTTTATTTTCCTTTTCCATCCTTTTTAAGACCTGTGTATCGATCACGTTTATTTCCATACTTTTCATACTTGGGTAGGAACCCTGGAAATATGATCTTCACGTCTCTCCAATAAATCAAGAGTCTGTCCTATCAAATAACTTCATCTTAGTTACAGTGTGTGTGTGTGTGTGTGCGTATGTGTGTGTGTTCATGCAGTACAAACATATTTGCATGCTCCTCAGAGTGTTGAAGATTGAGCAGCTGTTTCAGCATGTTGTGCAGGTTGTGTTTATCCTTGTGTCCCCGTGCGGGAGTGATGCACACTAACCAGAGTCAAGAGTATTCAGAGGACCCACCAGGCAGCAGGATGCTATACAGTTTGCCTAATAAGGTTTCCTAAAATCCCGTGTTTATTCAAGAGCATGGAACTTGCCTCAAGCAGAGATATAGAAGTATCACTGATAGATAGATAGAAGTGCGTGTATGTGAAGCCCACATTGAGATGAATATCACAGATATGCTGGATGTGCTCCTTCTCTCTGTAACAGGATTATCGTTATATTGAAGTTCAGCGTTTCAGAGACATTCAGCAAAAGTCGATCCTCTTTGGGGTTTCAGAGACATTTTTGAAACATAAATGAAGTGCACATGGAATCTGCTTCTCATTAAATTTTTCTTCCTCCAGTTTGCAACACATGCCTCCGATCTGTTTATGTTCATCTCTGTGTTGTAAACAAACCACCTAGCAGACATTCTGCAAGTTTGTGGAAAGATGTGCTCGTAAAAAATAATAGCATCATTCAAAACATCACAAAAGGCTTCAAATGAATGAAACAAGTCACTTTTAGAAGTAGACACAGCAGCATGTTCACAGAAATGTTGGTAATTAGATCAATGTTGTTATTATTGTGCTTTTTTGACACAGAAAATTGAATATTTGAGCATGTTAAACGTCATCACTGTAGGCAGGTAAAGAACATGGTTTAACTGCATGATAAATAACAAAAGGTTTAAGCCGCCTGATATTAATATTTCCCATGCGCAGTGTGTTTACATGTGCGATTGTATGTTTTTTTGACTTCCCAGAAAAGGAAAGTTGGACTAAACTCTTCAAGAAGATTCATTTTTCCTCTCACAAACTAACTGTTTTGTTTTTGTTTTTTATCTGGCCTCCTGCAGAAACTTTTCCACCTTCTCGCTGCTTTTATATTTTTTTCTCTGGCACACACTTGACTCTCTCCCCTCATTTTTGTCTCCCTTTCACAGGAGTGTTCAGACTCTGGCTGACAAGTCAAAGCAGGAAGCTCTGAGGATCAACCTGGTGGATGCACTCAAACGCAAACAAAACAGCTAGAGATGCTACTGTTGGTTTTTTCTTCTTCTCTCTCTCTCTCTCTCTCTCCCTCTCTCTCTCTCTCTCTCCACCTCATCTCTACCATCTTTTCTCTGTTTCTTTGCATCTCTCCCTCCATGCCTGTTTCAGTGCTGCACTCTCGTTCATTTGTGGAAAAACAAAAAAGGAGAAAATGCTTAGCTTTTTATTTGTTCTATTTGTTTTTTTGTTTCCTGTCAGATTTTTGTTTTCCTGCATCTCATCTGCCATGAAGCCATTCACTCACCCGCTCCCTGTGTCTTCTTTTCACCACCGTTCTTCTCTCTGTCTCTTCTCTTCTATGTTATGAATAAAATGATAGTATTACCACGGTTAATGATAATCTTACAGTGTGAGGGTCATTGTAGTAATAATCCCTGATGTTCTCACAGCTGATGAGTCCTCGGTTCAGTTCGAGCGACTCTGGCCCCGCTCTTCCTCTGTGATGAGGAAACAGACACAGACTCTCCAGTAGGTGGCATAGGCTGGGTGGGCTGTCATAATTATGTACATCAAATTTAATTCTTGCACCTATTTTTGTCGACAACACCCCCACGATATATTTGTATGAAAATATTACTGTCCATGTATAACTGTCATTTTTCTGGGCGACGTAAACAGTGTGAACATGAGGGTGGCCTTGGTTTGGTTTGTATTTTTACTCTTCTCTTAACTCTGTCCACATGCATGTGCACCTGTGTGGGAGCATGGGGCTGCAGTGAGTGGAAATATAGACTTATCAAACATGGGGATGGACTGTTATAATCACCGGGTGATTACACCCACCTTGTCAACCCCACCCCCTTACATTGTGTATAACATGACAGTTTGCCTCCCCTCTGTCCTGCTTATTCAACCTCTCTCTCTCCTCACCTGCTATGTCTTTGTTGGGGGTCACAGTTTGTCTTTGTGTCTCGGTGGAAACACACAACTGTTTCCATTTTGGAGGGGAATTTTCTGTTGTATTTTTGTTTTGTTTTTATTTTGTAAAGCTTATGATTCATATTGTATTAGAGCCTCCAGCAACAATAAAAACAGTAAAAAGCTACTCCTTTTCTTACAATGATTATTATACATGTCACAATGTTAAAGCAACAAAAGGTAGTCAACAAAGAAGTATTCAACTAAGTTCCTTGCTGCCTCTTTTACAAATCTAGGACAGGATAAAACAGATAGCCTACTACATAACCTTTAATTTATTACAGTATAGTTAGAGCAGAAAGTAGAGTCAATTGAGTGTGTGTTTAAGCAGAGTGAAGGCTGGTGTAGAGAAATGAATAACATAAGTTGTTACAGACCCACGTATGGTTTTATACTTGTTTGAGAGTCATAATGTCATGACTGAAAGTGAGGTGAGTAACACTACACAAGTTTTCTCTTTATGCTGATACTTGAATAGGCTACTTTTACTTGCCTTGCTCAATGTACCATTTAACACCAGTCAAAGCTAAAATAAGTTTTGCTTCAGAGTAGCTTAGGTGCATATTGATCTGGTTCCTTTAATGCATTTGAACATGTCAGCCTGGTTTTTCCTTCCATCAGTAAGTCAGCCCAAAAAGATGATTTAGTCCATCATTTCACCATATGTTTGACTCATTTCTTTTGCGTGGTGGTACATCCAGATTATTTATCAGGCTTATTGAATATCCTTTTATGGTTAGGAATTTCTGGCATTTAGCTGCCCTTTGCTGTGAGTTTTAAAGGGATATCTGTCTAAGCTTTTGCTGTCAAGATTAAATCATCATTTTTCATACCCAGACAGTCGACCTTCAGGTGTCCCAGATTATATTAAAAACTATTAAAAACATTTGCCTACAACAACTAGGCCAAGTCCATCATCAAGTTATTGAAGACTATGGGCCAGTGTGATATTTTATCTACCGCTCCCAAATGGCTATTAGATCAAGAAAATTAACTTTTAGATTTACATGATACAATCTGGGGAAATTGGCTAGATAGGGGCAGTCTAATTCCTGGGTTACTTATACAAGAGAAAACAGATTTTCATATTTCAGATCACTACATCAAGGCAATCCTAGTTTAGTCTCTAACTAGTGTATCTGCATATATTTTAAGATGTTGTGCATCCCTGCAAACCAACAGAATGAGTGTAAACATAACTGTCTTGATAATATAGCGTGCCAAAAAAAAGTGGTCTCCTATGTATTGGGTAAGTTGACCATAGGAGCGGGGTAAGTTGAGCCATGTCCCTACTACCCCCCACTCTCCACTCCAGCCCTTCCTCACCTTCTCTCTCCCTAAATAACAGTCACTTCTTCACATTCATGTGTACTTTATCTATTATATGCTATTCAACAGGTACAATTATTAATTATATTATTATTGCATATAACTGCTAAAAAGCTGTTCTGTTAAAAAGTCATTTTAACATGAGAATGTCTTTAAGTGATTCAGAACATTCACAGCTGTAGTTTTTAAAAGAAAAAGTCAAATATTTCAACAATCTGAACTGAAACTCTGATCCTCTCACCAGACTCCTTTACTTTCTCAGTTGAGTTAATGGCTTTTTGACCTCATGTTGTAGCTCATAGATACAACAATTGATGTTTAAAACAAATTTAAAAGCATCTTCTTTGGTCTGAACACAATTGTAATAAAACTTATGACAGACTAAATTCACGTTTTCAGGAGTGAAAAAAGTTTTTTTGGAAATAAATGTCTAAACCCTTCACCCATGTGCCTTTAACCTTCACAGACTCCGTGAATTGATGCCCATTTCCTAAATATTTGGTCACATGATCAATTTTTTTTTACCATATCCAATCAACTTACCCCACTCTCCCCTACTCTTATTGATTGATTCAACTAACTGGAGACTATAAAAACTTTGTGTCAATGCACTGGGAAACCTGTATTATGAGGCCTAGAAACGAGCCTCTCAACAAACTGTGTGACCTTATCTCGTCCACTAGATGTCACTCACATTCAGCTCATCAGCTGAGCTCCAAGTTTTACACCTTTAGTAAAGATTTCGCAGTCTCTGACCAGACTCGGCCTTAACACATTTTACTTATTCACGACCTCAAAGCTAAGATTTCAGCTGTACTTTATGAATGTATATTTGTTCAAGATGTTAGATAAAAGATAAGCCATTTATAAAACACGTGAAACAAGATCTGTTGGTTCAACACAACCTCACAGGATAGATTCAGCTGTTAGATCTGGGAACTGTTGGTACATCAGTGTGACTGATAAATTGATTGAAATACTGTGTTTTTCTCTCTGTAGGATTCTTACTGGAGATAGCCTGGCAAAGAAAATCTTCAACTCTCAGCATCATGGCTTCAGACACCCTAACTTTTAAGGAATGTGCAAGTTAATGTGTAAGCCGTTCTTGGAGGTGGGTAGTAAATGTTTGTCACTGACTGTAGGCTACATTAGAGGTTTTTGGTGGTTATGTGCCACCACTATGCTACACCATTCCCATTCAGCTTACTTCTCTAACATTGACTCTCAGACCTGACAAATAAAACTTGATGAATATAGTGTTGTCAAGTAAATAAATGAAAGTTGTTGTTCTCTGTAAATAATGAAGCTTTAGGAAGTTCCCATTTATCACTAGTAGCAGGGGGTTTCTGTCAAGTCCTCAGACCTCTAACAGAGCTGTTGTCCCTCCCCAACACACACACACACACACACACACACACACACACACACACACACACACACACACACACACACACACACACACACACACACACGCAGGTTTATGATAATGAGGAGCCTCAAGGCAGGGGGAGCAGGAGCCATTTTTTCACTATTCAAGCGGAGTTACGCGGACGAAGCGGAGGTGCCGCTGCTGCTGCTGTTGTTGTGACCGGCGTGTGTGTTGTGTGAGTGAGTGTGTGGAAGTCGCTCCGGCCAAGGTTACTGCGGATTTACCTTCTTCAAAAATTCACCGGAGTGACCGGAGAGAGACGCGCGCACTGAGAGCATGGCTCCTCTGCAACAAAGGGAAACTCTGAGGCGGAAAGTTTAAAGGAATAAGAAGCGGCAGAAATACGCATTCGGAGGTCCGGGTGAACACAAACTCAGGAGCGATGCACTTCTTTAAATGGGATTTGTTGTCCTTTTTCTGGTGGTGTAAGCTGGTTTCGCTGGCGCATTGTTACACCGTTCAAATCAATGAGGATGCAGGGATCGGGACAGTGGTGGCCGGTTTGGAGCAGGGCGCACGGTGTACTTTGGATCAGGTTTTAGCCCCGAAATTTACGGAGCGGTTCCTGGAGACGGACTCTGCGGCAGGTATTGTGTTTGTTTCGGACTCTGTAAAGTGCCCCATGCTGCGCTCCAACCCTTTCACCGTGTTCACTGTGTCTGACTGCACGGACTCCGGTTACAGACACCTCCTCACCAGCCAGTACAGCGTGCATGTTCACGGTAGGAACTGCTCAAACAAGCGTAAAAGAAAACTCAAGTGGGACATGGAGGTGCTCACGCTGTTAAACTCTCACAGTCCCCACAACTCAGAGTGCCACCAAGCAGGCTCTGCTTTATTTTCAGTGGGGGGTCTGCTACCTGGAGACCCAGTCAGATGCAAAGTGACCAACAGCCGTAACTTTTACTTCTCGGAGGGGGACCTGTTTGTGTCTGATACTCTATGCTGGAGACAGGACACACTCTTTGAGTTGGACTTGCTCTGTGATGTACTCACTGGAAATGGACTGACCGCTAAAGTCAATCCCATCACCATCCATTGGCGTGTTGGGCCGGGGCCCTTCAGACAGGCCCACCTGCGGAAGTTGTTGACAAAGGCGGCTCAATCTGATTCAGGGATTGTAAGCAGGAGGAGAAGAAGCATCAACAGCAGCCCTCAGTTTCAGCCTCCAATGTACCAAGTGTCAGTGTCAGAAAATAAGCCAGCTGGGACTCCTGTTGTGGTTTTGAAAGCAGTGGATGTGGATGAGGGAGACGCAGGTCGGCTGGAGTACTTCATAGAAGCTCTCTTTGATAGCCGCTCCAACAACCTCTTTGCTGTGGACCCAGCTAACGGAGCTGTGTCCACAGTAGAGGTGCTGGACCGCGAGACTAAAGACACCCATGTGTTTAGAGTTACTGCAGTTGACCACGGTTCACCACGCCGTACAGCCATGGCCACCCTTACTATCACAGTCAGTGACACGAATGATCATGACCCTGTGTTTGAGCAGCAGGACTATAAGGAAAGCATTAGAGAGAACCTAGAGATAGGCTATGAAGTGTTAACTGTGAGAGCCACAGATGGCGATGCACCTGTAAATGGCAACATCCTCTATCGTATCATTAACAGTAATGGTTCCAGTGATGTGTTTGAGATTGATTCCAGGTCTGGTGTGATTCGCACCAAAGGCCTGGTGGACAGAGAGTTGGTGGAAGCATATATGCTGTTAGTTGAGGCAAATGACCAAGGTCGTGACCCCGGCCCTCGTAGTGCCACAGCTACTGTTCACATTGTGGTTGAAGATGATAATGATAATGCCCCTCAGTTTAGTGAAAAACGCTATGTGGTTCAGGTGCCAGAGGACATGGCCCCCAACACAGAGATCCTGCAGGTCACGGCCACTGACCAGGACAGAGGCAGCAATGCTATCGTCCACTTCAGCATCATGAGCGGGAACACCAGGGGACAGTTCTACATCGATGCTCAGACAGGTAAAATGGACTTGGTGAGTCACCTGGATTACGAGGCCAACAAAGAATACACCCTAAGGATCAGAGCTCAGGATGGAGGACGTCCGCCGTTGTCCAACATCAGTGGCCTGGTCACTGTACAGGTGTTGGACATCAACGACAATGCCCCCATTTTTGTCAGTACCCCATTCCAGGCCACCGTGCTGGAGAATGTGCCACTGGGTTACTCCATTATCCACATCCAAGCAGTGGATGCAGACTCTGGTGATAACTCCAGGCTAGAGTATCGTCTCACTGAAACCACACCAAACTTTCCTTTCAGCATCAACAACAGCACAGGGTGGATTGTGGTGGCAGCCGAGCTTGACAGGGAGAGCGTAGATTTTTACAACTTTGGAGTGGAGGCGCGGGATCACGGCTACCCCATCATGTCCTCCTCGGCTAGTATCAGCATGACAATCCTGGACGTCAATGACAACAACCCAGAGTTTACCCAGAAGGCATATTACATGCGACTGAATGAAGACGCAGCTGTGGGCACAAGTGTGGTGACAGTTTCAGCAGTGGACCAGGACATTAACAGTGTGGTGACGTATCAAATATCCAGCGGAAACACCCGCAATAGGTTCTCCATCACGAGTCAGAGTGGAGGAGGGTTGATTACACTAGCGCTTCCTTTAGACTACAAACTGGAACGGCAGTATGTCCTCACTGTCACTGCCAGTGATGGTACACTGTTTGACACTGCTAAAGTGTTTGTCAACGTCACTGACGCCAACACACACCGGCCAGTGTTTCAGAGCTCACATTACACTGTCAATATTAATGAAGACAGGCCTGTTGGAACAACTGTGGTGGTAATAAGCGCCACAGATGAGGATACAGGTGAGAACGCGCGCATCACCTACTTCATGGATGATAGTATTCCCCAGTTTGAGATCGACGCAGACACAGGTGCTGTCACCACACAGATGGAACTGGATTATGAAGACCAGGTTTCCTATACTCTAGCCATCACCGCCCGGGACAACGGCATCCCACAAAAGTCTGACACCACCTACCTGGAAATACTGGTGAATGACGTCAACGATAACTCCCCCCGCTTCCTCAGAGATCACTATGTGGGCTCTGTTATGGAGGATGTCCCTGTGTTTACCAGTGTTGTCCAAGTTTCAGCCACTGATAGAGACTCCGGGCTCAATGGCCGTGTCTTCTACACATTCCAGGGTGGGGAAGATGGGGATGGAGACTTCATAATTGAATCCACCTCTGGCATTGTTCGTACGCTGCGCAGATTAGACAGAGAAAACGTTCCCGTTTACAGCCTGCAGGCTTTTGCTGTAGATAAAGGAACTCCTGCCCTGAAAACACCTGTGAACATCCAGGTAACAATCCTAGATGTGAATGACAACCCCCCAGTGTTTGAGAAAGATGAGTTTGATATTATGGTGGAGGAAAACAGCCCCATAGGCGTGGTGGTTGCACATATATCAGCAACAGATCCAGATGAAGGTAGTAATGCACAGATTATGTACCAAATAGTTGAGGGAAACATCCCTGAGGTGTTCCAGCTGGACATTTTCTCTGGAGAGCTGACTGCATTAATAGACTTGGACTATGAAACCAGGTCTGAGTATGTTATCGTGGTCCAGGCCACCTCTGCTCCTCTGGTCAGCCGCGCCACTGTCCATATCAAACTTGTTGACAAGAACGACAACATCCCTGTACTGAAAAACTTCCAAATCATCTTTAATAATTATGTAACTGACAAATCAAGCAGTTTCCCCGCTGGAGTGATCGGACGCATCCCTGCACATGACCCAGATGTCTCAGACCAGCTTCACTACAGCTTTGAAGTGGGGAATGAGCTGAACTTAGTCCTCCTGAACCAAAGCACGGGAGAAATCCAGCTGAGCCAGGCCCTGGATAACAACCGGCCCCTGGAGGCCTCCATGAGGATCTCAGTGTCAGGTGAGTCTGCTAGATAGCTGGTTTCAAACTCCACCCAGACAATGAAAAATAGAGCAGCGAGAGGACAGAAACCTCTCTGCGGTGTGCTCTATTTCCATTAGCATGTCATTTCCTTAATTTACACGTTCGCTTCACTTCACCGGATAATGGAAGCGATGATGACTTCAGTATGTCTGTCTTGGCTTTGGTTTTCCAGAGTGATTTCCTTTTTGATATATTCATGAAGTAGGATTAATATTCACCACAGCGTATTTGTCAGTTACTTTCCACCCCTGAGAGTCAGAGTAACAAAGCTTGATTTAAACATTTGAATTCTGTCAGGAAAATGGTTTCATTTGGTTTATTTGTAGGGGGATTCTGTATTTTTCTGACCTCTCATTAAGCAGCTTTCTGGTTTACAGAAGACTGATTTAGCTCCGTCTTTTGTGTAGATTTAAATAGCTATTTGTCTGAGCACGTCTGTATCCTGTGGGATCCACACTCCAGTGGGCAGACTGATCATGCCCCATTATTGCCCACCACAAAACCCTCCCTTACCACAAACAATGAAGGACCTAATTCAATTATGGCCTATTTCTATGGCTTGGTTAAGATTAGAAGTAAGAGTTAATTTTCTGCAAGGGCTTTATTGTTGGACTGGCTTGTTTTTTTTTTTTTTTAACCAAAAAAGGGGGGTTAAAGAGTTTTCAGTATTTAAGGAGAGGATGCTGGGAGAGAGGAAGAAGTTTGTAAATAGCAAGGTTCATTACAGATATGAATCTTGAATTTTCAGTTTGTCGTGTGACAGATGATGTAGCTCTGAAGCTTTGTCTTCTCTGCTTATGCATGCTGCTAGTATCAGTTTGTTAATCTTGCTTGCTTTCATTGGCTTGCACTTTTAATTTTTCATGGCATTGCGCATCACTAGGATTTGTTTAATTGCACTAAATATGTGACTGAACTTGATTTGCACCCAGAGTGAAAGCATGGGATAGTGTTTGTTGTTGTTACTCTCTGCTTGAGCTTATTTGACACAGTATACTGTAAATCTGCTCTCTCCTTGACCTTGTTACAGCCTAAGGAAGAAGGAAACCAACCAGGGGTGTGATTAAGATATTTAGACATCAAGGGTAAAAGAAAAACAGGTATCTTTCATCTAACTGATTGCATTAGCGGAGGTGTCTGACAACGAGTAGTGCTTTATTGATGAGTTGACACTTAAAACAGATACTGTATGGTCTGAGTGGGTAGTCGTTGTGATGGATTGGAGCAAAGCTTTGCCTCTCTGGAGAACAATAGTCATCTGTCAATTTCGGGGTAGGGGCTACAGCTCATACCAAGCTGTGGTTGGGGGCAACAGCTGTGACTCCACCACGGACCAATTAGAGGCAGTGTCTCTCCAGCACGTCCCGCACCTGCTGGGGTTTATGTGTCAGCACCCCTGCAGGAGACAGAGGGAGATGGAGGAAGGCAGAAGGACAGAGGGGGAAGGGGTGGAGGGTTATGTTGAGGTTGTGTAAACCTGGAATGAGTCGCAAAATACAGTCAGACTGTAAGAGAGACAGAAAGTCATCATACTTGGACAGTTGGTGGTGGAGGAGATGGAGTTGGAGGATGAGCTCCTCCTACAGACGCCGCTGACCCCAATTTTCAAAGGCTTCCCCCTCCAGGGACCTCCCAAGTCTTCCCATTATCTCTTTCTTTATGCTGCCGTTTAAGAGGCCCCTTATGGTGGACGATTTTTGATGGGCTCTTTTGTATGTTGTTGGACTGTGATTAACATCGTTTCTGAGCACTGCTCTTCATCCCAAAATGGATGTAACAGCTCTAATGAAGATATACTTAACTTAAGATTTCATGGGTTTCTTACACACGCCTCTGAATGTTAATCTTTGAAAAATAGGTCATTTTGGATTTTATTCAGTTGAATACAAGAGTATGATGTTTTACATTGCCCTGACACACAGGATTTAAGTTTTGAAGATAACCTGACCTCACTTCATAAGCCTACATTTTCATGTCATATGAACTAGAATTATCATACCATCATTTCACATATATGGTACTGACTGTATATTGCAGTGTATTAATCAAAACTGAAATCAAGATGTGCTATTGAAAGTAAAATATAGATACAATTTGATCACCTTTTACACCTTTGACGTGTATTTATTTTTCATTTTAGAGCAATGGTGTGTACTCTTAAAGTATTTAAATGAACCAAAACTTAAATTTAATGGAGTGGTTTGGCCTCCATGTCAATGAAAACACAAAGAAAAAAACTTCTTTAGTAACAGTTTAAAATCATTGCAGCTATTAAATCTCCAAGATCAACAAATTGGTCATAAATGCTTGGTATCCAAACAACTTAATGTACCATTCAGTATGCTCACTGCTTTCTTTTTTTGGTTGTGACATCAAAAACTCAAGACACCAAAAGCTGGTGAACAAAATAAAATTAGTTGCTTTTTTATGATAAAAGTTTTGAGTCACAAAAAATGTGTTAGCCAATTAATAAGTTAAATCACGAAATATATCATTTCAAAAGTGAAGAATGCATCTTGACTTGTACTATTATCATCCAAACAATGAGCAGCCGCTCAAAAATGCCTCTGATAAATAAAATAACTTGTTGATGCTGCTGAACTTAAGCTGTGTGCACTAGCATAAATTTAGAGATCATTATCGAAATATGAAGATCGATTATCAGCGGTTTTATCTCAACAAGAGGAAAGTGGCAAACCCAGATTTGTTGGTTTGTAAGAATTCTAGCTGTACTGGAACTAATCATTTGGATTGCAGCCTGCTTTTCAGGTGTGCAGGGAATAAAAATGGGCATACATTGTGTGATGATATTATTCATCATGTGTCACTTCTGCATTCTAAACAGAGTTGTGGTCACACTGCAGAGTAGCGAGGTGGTTGTCGTCTGAGGGATTAGATTAGCTGAATCTGTATCCTGGATATGTCAGACCAGTGTTGACACACTCAGAGGCTGATCCACTGTTCCCTGGCAGGCGTGAGCATGCATAAATAGGTGTTTGGGTCGGATGAGGAAGATTTTTCCCTGTTTATCTCTTATTTTGAAAGCCTTCTAATTTCCGTGTTGACGATATGGCTAATCCCTCATTATTCCTCATTCATGAGCATATTAAGAGTGGTGGTTTATGAAGCAGATTTGTTGTGTCTTTTACAGCTTTTTTCTCAGTCATAATCAGCGACTTCTTTGGGCTAAAAATCAGCACTGATACACTTATTTTGGTTCTCCTTGACTGTCTGTGTGTGGTAAATATACAGTGTATACATTATGGTAGCCTAGCCACCAGGACACTTTGTCCTTGTTTTAATCAGATTCAGACTCCAAGCCAATATTGTGCCCCCATGCTCACTTTGCAAACGCCAATGCAGAGATTTAACAGACAAACACGCCTCCGCAACTAATGATGGCAGTTTGATTCAGCTCACATCACACTGCAGGTTGTACAGGCGCTCAAATTACATGGTGGACAGCAGATATTTTTCTGTGTTTTATGTTTAAAGTGTGAGTCTGGAGAGGCTGTGGATCCTCCAAGGTTAAATGACTTGGCTGTCAAACTTTTGTGAGCTGAACTTGCCCGCATTCAGAATACCTTGCTGAAGTAAATGGCGTATAAACTTAAATGGCTTTTGTGTCGCTCAAAGATTGTTCACCGGAGTTAAACGTCTGTCGTGTTTAAAAAAACAATCTGTTTGACTTGTGAGAATGTTTTCTTTGCGAGCGCTAATCAAAACAGATGTTAGTTTTTTTAATGGTGAATATGATTTAATACGGTATAGGCTTACATAAGATTGAGCTACAAGACTGGAATTTTAATGCTCCATCACAAACTGTTGAAGTAGAGGCCTAGACATTAACAGCCAGTGTAATTTCATTATAATCTATTTAAGCCTTGAGCTGTCTGTGGAGGGACTTTCTCAGGGGTTTGTCTTCTGTAACACTAGCCCATCAAATCTGGTGTTTGTGTGTGTCTCTGTGTGTGTCTGTGTTTGCCTGTGCATGTGTGTGTGTGGCCTCAAACAGCTGGACCCTTCTGATTGCCTCCCTCCTCGCCTTCCCGTCTATATAATTATTTCACCCGAGCGGAGCACACCTTGTATTTCTGCGTTCTTTATGCTTGATGAATTTCTGTTTGCCTTATGCTTGATTCACTGGATTCAAAGTCACAGCTTGCGAATGCTCGTCGCTTGTGTTTTGTGCGACCAGAGTCATCTGTAATGCGCTCCTTTTATTCTCCATGCCTTCCTCTCCCTGGTTGGTGTTAGTCACACTTGCAGGCTCGCTTGGAATGTTTGTATCATTGTTTCTCTTCTTTTCTCTCCTTTTTTAGAATCACCTATCACCTTGATCCTGTTTCTCTTTCCCTCTTTTTGTTTGCCTGTCACCATTCCCCATTTTTCTCCTATCTGCCCGGGTCTTATAGCTCTCACCCCTGCACCCTCCACTGATCCCTCCCATCATTTCAAGCTCCTTCACCCCCTCTCTTTATACCCCCCCCCCTTTCTCTGTCCCTCCTCCCTTTGACTGTTGTCCCCCTCATCTCTCCCCTGTGAAAGGAAGAATGTCTAAGAGAAATGCTTTGTTAAGCACCCAGTTGTCATGGTGAACCCAGCAATGCCTGAGAAATTCCTTGTGGGTGGGGAAGAGGGTTAAGGTCCCTTTTGTGGAAGTGAAGATGGGGGAAGGGGAGGCACATAAAGTTCTAAAGAGCAACTGTCCCTCCTCTCCTTCTTTCCAGTGAAGCATGTAAGGCTTTCTTAGGGCCTGTATTGCTGCAGGACATGATGACCTGTCCTGCCGGCTGCAAACATTTTTACAGGGCACACATCAAGTCAGCCGACACCTGAATGCAGATAAACTTTCCATCCCCAGTGTCATTGAAGGCCAGAGTCTAGTCTTGCATATGACACGACTTAAGAGGCGGTGAAGCATCTAAAGCTGCAGGTGATATGATATTGTTGTCTCTCCGCTCTTTGAGCTGTGACACAGATGCACTCAGAGGGTATCCAATTTCTTGCTGCCAGCTTGTTTCTTTGGATGCAGGACATCCTCATGTGGGCCTCGCTCCTCCTCGCTTGGTTGCATCAAATGTCCAGAGGAGCTGAGCTGAGGTGATGTGAGGGTGGGGTAAAAGGGGAGGGGGATGACATCATCTGTATATTAGGAGGGGAAGTGGTGTTTGGGATTAGGGCCGGGGTATTGCTAGGGTGAGGAGACCTTGTGGTCTTGCATATAGCTCAGCGTTGTCCTGCATTGTCCTTGCTCTCCCAGCAGACAAAGGGCTTTGCTCTGTCTGGGATAGCCCCCCTCTCGGTCTTTGTATCCTCTTGTTTGCTCTACTGCTGGTGTCATCAGGACAGTTCCACCAGGCCGGCCATTCATCCATGAATTATCCCTTTTACTGTACGATCTGCCTTCCAGTGAACTGCTGACTGAGCATATAGTTTACAGCTGAAGTCTCGCCACAACCAACCAAGAATAAAACACACACTAGCTTCTTTTGCACCGGATGTGTTACCGCGCGTTAAGTATAGCTAACAAACTATAAAGTTGAAAAAAGGTTGGAGATGTTGAAAAAAAATATTCTAACAAACTTGTGTCTCCACCTGCTAAATTAGCTTAGTCAGCTGTTTAATTGAAAGGAAATTCCCAAATCAATAATATTGTTTAAATGCTTATTATAATTTGCTAGAAGTGATGTTATGCTATGTTCGAGTTACCTCGGAAGTTAAATCTCGGAGCTGAAAATGACGTCACACCCGAGTTACCAGGGTTTCAGTTATGAAGTCGGAAAAAGGCAAAATTGGAGGTGGAGACAGGATGGCTACATCTACGAAAGTTATTTCAGTGCTTGCCTTGTCCGCGCTAAAATAACTTCAGGTTCGGACAAGGCAAGCGCTAAAATTACTTCAGGTTTAGACAAGACAAGCAGTAAAATAATGTAAGGTTCGGACAAGGAAAGCGCTAAAATAACTTAAGGTTCGGACAAGAGAAGCACTAAAATTACTTTCGTAGATGTAGCCATCCTGTCTCCGCCTCCAATTTTGCTTTTTCCGACTTGGTAACTCAGGTGTGATGTCATTTTCTGTCAGTTAAATGCAGCATTAATCTGTGAATCACTTACCCTTTATTTTCCTCTTTGCTAGTTTCACAGCCAGAGATATATTTGACTGCATAAGTTTTTTTTTAAATCAGATAACATTTTGACTCTGTTTTAGACAGGACCACAAAATGAAATAAGAAGTACTGCTTGGCCATGGACGATGCAAAAATGAACCCTGTTTAAGTTTCTGACATAAGCATTAAGTTTGTCTGACAGTTTAGGTATTATTATCTCTTCTTCTGTGGACTCCAAACAATTCCTCACATTAAATGTAGCGCAGGAATTACTTCAACTGCATGATTCACACACTGCAAATGTGGCAGATGATGTTTATCTAAGAGCCTATCACCTTTACACTAGATTGCACCCCTTTAGTAACCAACCAGAGCACAATTTCACAGTGACCTGGTTTCATATGCTTTAACTCCGAGGGGTGAACCGCCAACATGAAGCTGTTAAACACGAGGGTGAGAAGTGTGACCAGTGGAAGACGTGAACCTCAGCACACACAGTAGTTTGAGATGTTTCATCCCTGCCTCATTTGTATCAACACTGATGGGAGGGTACCGAACCCACAAACACAGATGGCTTCCTCTTGTGTGGGATAATTGTGTTTTCTTTGATGGCGCTTAATGAACGAGAGTTACAGTCAACACACTCACATGCAGGTGGTTTCTGTTTTAGAGAGTAGACTTTTTTTTTTCCAGTTTGTCTTTCCAAGAATTATTCACTCCAACATTGTTGTGTCAGAAAAATTTCATATAACAACTGAAATCTTTTTATAGCTCATATCAAACCAAGGTTTTGGTTTCTTCCTGTTCCTGTTCCTATTCAACTCGAACCTTAGTTCCCAGTATCTATCATACAACCATTGGTATGTTTAAATAACAACCGCATGCTTGGTCACGTCTTTGCATACTAATGTCTCTTTACTATTGCGCTGACAGCCGTTTTCCTTTGATATGCAAATGTCCTGATTGGAGGAGTTCAGATGCTTTTCTGCGGCTCCAAAGCCGCTTCACTAAAGAGGAAGAATCCGTGGAATGCCCTCTTCTTGTGCTTTTTCAGATACAGCAGAAAAAGTATCATCAGGGAGATGTTGTTGCAGCATCCACAAATGAGTACGAATGGCCTCTCTCCAGCACAGTCAGCTTTTCCTCCTAAATGGAGAAATCAGGAGAGGGATTGTGGGTCTGCTCTGACTCCTCTGGATGGAAATCCTTGAACTGACATTGAGCTACACAAGCAGTTTTCATTATTGACTCCTCGGTCAGTGTAGGATTTAAGACGTGTTGTGTTGTGCTTATCGTTACAGCTGATCTTTGTTCTTTTTTTTTGTACTACTAGACCTTAATTACTTGGCAGCTTAAGATAAAAAGCAGTTACATTACTGTTAGATTAAAAAAAATATTTAAAGGCAAGGTCAGAGGCTTGATTATTTTTGTATATCTGTATATTTTTCTCTTTGACACAAATGAACACAAACAAACATCTTTGTACACACTGGAACTGATAATTGCACATCATGAAGCTCAGTGTGATTTGTGTGCTTGATCTAACAGCTTTAACAGAGCTCACATACTGGTAACAGCCAATCTGCTGTGTAGGCGTGCGAGTATGCCGTCCATTCCCTCCTTTTGAGGGTGTGATATGCAAGAGGGTTTTCTCTCGTGTGTGCATGAGCTGTTGTGTTCAGATGTATTTTCACTTAGCGGTTCAGCTTTTTCACAACAATGCGAATAACAATACAGTACTCAACAATACTCAGCCTGATGAAGGTGGGGAGCTTTTATGAGAAAACCTGCCATAAATCCTCTCCAGACTGAGGTCATTGTATGCTGAGAGCCCCCTCGGGCTGCAAATATCCTGCAACGGCTACGGTGATTACAGAAGCTTTAACTTTGTCTCAACTCCCATGGTGTATTCGATGGTATATTCGGTAAACAAGGAATGAGTTACAGTAACTACAGATACCATTCCAATACTACTGTTGAATGAATAAACTGTATACCTTGCTCTGTGAGTGAAGGCATCAGGCTTGACTTGTTAAAAAAAGGTAACAAATTAACAGATATAAATGTACTTAATATTATTTATTAACAAAAAACAAATTGCACATTAGCACACTGCTAAAAGAAGTAAGACTTCCATGTAAACATTTAGTGCAAAAGGATAGACAGACATAGAATATAGATCGAACAGAATTTCTGTGTTGCTGTGTATGAATTAAATTTTAAAAGAAAAAGACTGGATTGGCGACACTCATCAGATATCTGATCCAGTTATTTTGTCAGAATCAGAGCTGATATCCGATCCAAACATGGGATTGGTGCATCCCTAATAAAATAAACATACACATTAAAAGAAGGAGACAGATTGACCATTTAATGCAGATGGATGGTCTAAATAAGTGAGATAATCAATTCTTTCCTGAAATCGTAAACACAAATCCAGGCCATGGCCCTGGGCAGACTTGCTGTACTTCTTGCTGAAAAGCTTTTCTTGACTTCTGAAAGCTTGATGGTGAAGTGAGCCGCTGTGGTTGGAAGGAGGCCTGGCAGGTGTCGTTAAAGTACTTTATGCAGAGCGTGGTGGTGGTGTCAGCAGTGGCGGCGGGGTGCAGGCTTCAGCCGTTGCTTGTCTAGCAGGGGGTCAGGAAGAGGGGAGAAGGGGAGGGGAGGAGGTATGGGGGTAATGAGATGAAAAATCTGTCCCTCTTTTTGCAATGCATAGCCCCCATTCAACCCCCGCCCCAAACCGGTCGTTAGCCTCCATTCAAGTAGCAGTAGAGTGAGTTTCACCTTTCAGCACTGGTGAATTCAAGCGGGCCGCTCTTCAGCCACATTTACTGCACCCTTTTTGATCAGGAGGAGCTGAAATTGAGCTTTTAATTAAATCAACACTAAGCAATTTTTAATGAAGGAGACATCCGATAAGCTTGACCTACAGAGACTTCTTCAACTCATGATAAACTTCAGTTCTCTCACTCTTGAACCAACATCAGTCCTCATTAGTGTTTTCCAGGCCTGATATCTATCCTCATTCTTCCCTCCTGGTGCGCTAAACTAAATCTCAGCTTTCTGATTGGTAGGAATTCAGTCCTGCTGGGTGCTTTCTGTTTTTTTTGAAGATTATCTTTTGAACTTTTGGCTTGGTTGGAAAACAACTAGTGAAAGGAGAGAGTGGGGGACTATTTTGCTGTCCAGTCACATAAAACCACAAAAATCCCAAAGAATCTCTTACAAGTATCAAACTGAACAAATCTGTAGTCCTGGTTTTCTTTTTCTTTGGTAGCTAACCATGAAAAATTACAAAAGCTTCCCCTCCCATGTGTTTGAAGTTGCTCGCGGTGTTGGGATAGCTGTGTCTCCAGTTGTCTTCTTAGTTTTTCTGCCCTGTCCGATTTCACCCCCCTAAGATTTACAGTCAAGCAGGCCCCATGTTGACGGGTCTCAGCACCTGCAAGCTTTAGTCTCACACTGGCCATAAATGTGTCAAGGTGACGACACAACTGAACGAGTGAAATGCAATAGAGGGGGTGGCTCATATCCTCACATACAGCAGCAGCAGCAGAGCTCCAGTAATTAATGCATGTGATTCAAGTCTGTTCCAAGGGCAGAGTATTTAACTCTAATTAAATGAAAGCGTGTCCTGTTTGTGGCCCTGCAGGGATTTGACTCTCAGGTCGGAGCTCTGAGGTTTGTATGGTGGGTGGTTAGTGGGTGGTATGTGGATGAGTTGTCTCTTGTGACCTTGTGTGGGCTTTGTGGTGTGATGAAGTGTGGTGTTTGTCGGCAGTATGCACAAGTGACACCTCTCACAGCGGTTTCACACAGTATTACCTTGTAAACTGTGTTTTGCTGATCTAAGTTTCTGCTGCAGGAGACCGCTTGAAGCAGCTGAACTTTCACAGCATAGTCATGAGGCCTTTTCACTCATGAACTCCTGACATGTTCTCGATAATTTAGGGATCTGTTATTTCCAGGAACTTGCCTTTCACACATGCATCTCACAGCGGGAGATTATCTGTGTCAGACATGCTCTTGTCTCGCAACTCATAATATCTCTTTCAGTTTGGATGGGGTTGAAGGGCTGGGTAGTTCAGGCAGTAAAGGGGAGGGGAAGTTCTGTAATTCAATCACAACAATGGAAACAGAGTATGTTGGCAAATGAGCAGTTAAAAGTTTCAAGCAGCAAACCTCAGCTAAACACAAACAGCATCATGACCTGGTGAGTGTTTCAGACATTTACCTGCAGGGCTTACACATCAACTCACCCCAGCTTTGTTTGGGTGCTGGCAGGAGAAATGCTGAGGCCAAAAAATTTAATTGCTTATCTCACATGTGCCAGCCAACTGGATGATGCTGTGAAATTTTCAGGAGCGCAGTGTCTGTGTCAAAGCAGCTTTAACCTTAAACCTCAGTCCCAAATGCAAAGATAAAATGTAACTAATTTCCATACCTTGAAAAAAACAAAAAAAATCACTCCAGAGTAGGGCTGGGCGATAAAACAATAACAATATATATCGAAAATGAATTACCCTCAATATAGATACAAAATGTGGTCAATATGCTTTTCAATAACTGGCATTCTGCCATGTTTTGTTTGACTATACATATAGCCAGTGAAAAGGGGAGCAGCTCCAGGTCCACTTCGCGCTGAACCAGTTATGTGCTGAATTAGGACCAAGTAGCAAACAACTGTGTAGTAGCAGGCTGCAGCTACACGCAACTATAGCACTTTAACACGTGAAGCCGACAGCACTGTTGGTGAGAAAATGAGTGCTAACCCCAGCAGAAATGTAGATGAAGGCTCAACAGATGACGACATTCTCGACAACACTAAGGCGAAAATGGTGGTGTGGAGATATTTTGTTTTTTTTGAGGTCGGACATGAAGCAGAGCAACGTGCACTGCAAATTATGTTGAGTACATGTTCTCGCAAAGTTGGGGAATACCTCAAATCTTTTTCACCACCTGAAGCAGTGCCACCAATGCTACCAATAGGCACGGTTAAATTTCATTTTTATATCGTTATATATATCAATATCAACTGTATAAAAAAAAAAAATAGTTTTCCCATGTCGCCCAGCCCCACTCCAGAGGATCTTTGAACAGAAACCGACAGGAACTATAAGAGACTTGTTTTGTATTGACAGCACAAAATAACATCAGCTATGCCATGATGTTCAAGATGTTATCTGAAACTGTATTTTCTCTTCTAAACTAGGTGTGCTATGCCAGATTTTTCCATATGATTTCTGATTGTGTTGTCACGGTTTTAGGACAGTGAACTGTGAATTCTTGCACAGGCTGTAACCCTGCATAGTGATTTTTAATTTATGATCTCTCTATTGATCCTGAAGCGGGACCCCGGCTTTGTGCTCTTTGATGTAGTGAGCTCTCTCTCTGCGTGCTACACATACTGTAGTGAACTGATGCTGAACAACCAAGACAGGCTCTGCTCAACCTCATTACCTTCTTACCCGGAGGTTCCCCTCAACATGACACACTTCTGCAGAGAAACACACAGCTGCCTCTGAGGGAGCACCGGCCGCTTGGGATCACAGAATTAACGGTCTTTGTTTGATCGTGGCGTCATTAGATATGTGATGAATGGCTGCTTGAGAGAGCTGTTTGAGTGTGATTATTTATTGTCTCTCCACTGTCAAGATGATAAATCGTATTTTTATAGTGTCTCTAATGTGTTTCTCTCTCTCCACTTATACGAGAAGTAGTTTTCATTGGCTCTGTTTAACCTGCATGTTTGGAGGTTTAGCAGCAAAGTTAAAGTTCTAGTATCTGTTGAGATATATCTCTACACAAAAGGTCAAGTAAATAACTGCTAAATAACTCGTGTGAATATGCTGTTTGTGTAGACAGGTAATAAAAAGGTGACTTTTCAATAAGGATGCACCAATCCGCGTTCTTTTCACCTCAGATACTGATACAGATATCTACAGTTTAGTATCGGCTGATTCAATTCTGATAAAGAAAAGCTGCGCTGAATTACCTTAAGTTGTAACTTAAAAGTTAACCACCGCCCCTCGGAACGTTTACTGCGCAGGTATTGCAAGTGGTCGTCGAGCTTGTAGGGTGAGGTAGTGTGATAAAGTTTAAGATAGCAGACCCCTTTGCTTGCTCCATTTAAAAGACAATGTGGGCATCTGTTCGGCCTGTTTACTTGTGGATGCCACTCATGGCGCATAGCATAGTTAGACTGAATAGATCGGCCCCTATGCACCGGCCCAATCTAGAATTTTCTTCAGTGTTGGGACCAATACTGATCTCAAATATGGTTAGGTGCATCCCTACTTGTCAAGAATAATTACATTTTTCATGAGCTATTTGTTTACCGCCTACAGTTCTAGATTGGCGTGCCATCCTGTGGAGTGTGGGCCAGTTTTTAGTTCAGACTTTCTCTTATCATAACTTTTGTTTTCATATCAAATCTGCATATTTTTCCTAACTGTATGCAGAAATAGAATCTTATTTTATCCTGGAAGCTTTCATGTACGACCAGATCGTCTGCAGGTTTCTTCATGTGTAATGTTACAGAGATGTTTAGAAACTGTTTGAATGCAGTACACAGGCCTAAGTGAGCTGAGCGCAAACAAGCAATCCAGTTTCAGTCCATACAGACATTGTGTTGTCTTGCTGTGCTGTTTACCTCCATAGTTTTTCAAAGTAACATGCTGGTAAAAATATGATGTATAATGTGTTTAGTGTAAGTTTATAAGAGCTGCATATAGTAGTGTTCAGGTCACGGTGTCCCTCTGTTATCTGAACATGCAGGAGCTGGGTCAGAATCCTACAAGTCACTGTACTTGTGTTTGATTACACATTTTGTGACACTTGTCCTTGATGGATTTTTGGCTGTTATGTTTTTTTCAAAATATCAAGTAGTCCTTAAAGCTCACTTGGTACAAGGTTGCATTCAGACCAGGACTCTATTTTCTTTTCTCTTTCATACGCATTTTTTAAAAACTTTTTCTATCAAAAACGACTAAAAAAGAAAAACAAAAGAGCAAAAAGGATTATCCCTGAAAAAAAATAATATTGAAACCCTAAACACTGTTGTTTGTGCTTCTTGTCTCCATCCATCTCCATTACTGTTCCAGTAATTTGCATGCACCGTGTCAGAGAAATGTAATGTTTCTACCATATCTTTATCATTAGTTTACTTGTTTACGTCATAGCTTGTAAAACCTAGTGTCATGGAACTGGAATTTACCGCCGTCATATGCTTTATCAGTCATTTAAACACAGCTTTGTTGATGTTGATGATGACCACTTAATGCTCTGTTAGTTCTTGCGCTGATGCTGGAACAAAGTCTTAATTCAAGACAAGGTGCAGTTTAAGTCCAAAGTCCTTCAGTCCTCTAGAGGGGAATTTCTCACATAAAATGTCCTTAAGAAGCTGACTCTCCCCCATTTCCCTTGCATTCAATTCTCTCCTCTATATGCTGAAAAACAAATAAGATCTGATACAATCTTCAAACAAAGAGAGGAGCAGAAATTACAGATTAACTTGGAGGTGAAGGGGAGGCTCTGAGAAAGAGGGTCAGGGTTACTGAAGGCTGATGTCTCTGTCTTCGGTAATTTGGTCACCCAGTCCTTCTGATCTTTATCCACCATGACTTTGTTGACATTTTCTGGGATTGAGCGGGGAGATTTGATGGCAACTTTGTGCTCTAATTAGGCCAGTCTCACCGATTTGTTCTTTGAGTCTCTGCCTCTCTCTCAGCGCTCCATTATCCCGGCTGCTGAGATTCCTGGTAGATTTGAAAGAGAAATCCATTTATATCAAAGCTTGAATAGCATGATTTTTCCCAGTAAACTCACTGACATCAAGGCTGCCTATGTTCTTTTAACACAGTAGGGTAAGTGTTTGTTCATAATTCTTATGCTACTTGAAAATGGGCATTATTAATATTTCACACATAAGAAGCCGCACACCTCCTCTCCTCGACCTCCTGACTGATAATCTGTTTCCCTCGATCGACAGTTAAACATAACCTCTGTGCGTCTCTGAGAGACTCTTCTCTGTAAACCCCAAGGAGTCCGCTTGTTAAGATGCCTCCGTTTATTATCTGAGGAAGGGTTGTAGGGTTTCCTGGCTGTGTATCTGCCTTGTTCTATATTAGGAGTGTAAACACAATCAATCGAGGCCTGATTTACGAAAGCATTACTCAACTTTTGCACCCATGAGAACACAGCAAATGAGATAGATGGAAAATGTCATTTCCACAATGCACACGAAAAGGGTTACAAGCCTTTTCGGTCTGTGCTTATTTAAATGGGGCATTGTGCATTAAACTGGGACAGAAATGGCTCATTTTTATGCAAATGAACCTCAATGCAAAGAGTTTATGATCTGTAAACAGTGCTGCTGTGGACTGAGCGCAGTTAAGGTTAGATTTTTATTTTCTGCTGAGTGTTGATGGTATTTACATTAAATGCTCAAACTTTCCAGTGATGATGACAGTAATGCCACTTCTGTATGACCCAAAAATCTAAACAGAGAATCTGTTGATGTTACTTTGGCATCACTGCTGTTATTTTTGTGTTTGGGATAACGAATGGCAAACAGTTTTTTATGTAAATTAGGAACCAAGTGAGTCAAGACTGGACAATGATGTGAACCTGTTCCAGCTGAAATTGGGTGAGAAGCAAGGTGCACCCTTGACACATCATCATCAGTCTATCACAAATCAGACATAGAGAGACAAACAACTATTCAGAGAGACCAGTCAACATGCCATGCATGTTTTAGGGCTGTGGGAGAAAGCCAGAGTACCTAGAGAGAACCCTCGCATTCAGGTTTGATTGTTTATTTTATTTCATTGAAGTTTCTCAATAGTTGGAGTACTGATGTACACCAGAGCTGCCAAGCGTCAGGCTTTGAGTGTGACAGTCACGCAATTTGACCCACTCTCACACCACACACCAAAAGCCACACTTGACATTTCTCACCCTTATTTTTCCCCATTCAACACTCTGTATTTATTTTTTTCATGATAATAAACTTGGCTTGTCATAGTTTGAGTAACTCTGATTGACTGACCGAGATAACCAATCCTAGACTAATCCATCAGTCCTTTGTACCTAATGCTGCGTTCAAGTTACCTCGGAAGTCAGATGTCGGAGCTGAAAATAACGTCACACCAAAGTTCCCAGCGTTTCAGTTACCAAGTCGGAAAATAGCTAAATCAGAGGCCTGAAACAAGATGGTCAGTCTACGATAGTTATTTTAGCGCTTGGACAAGGCAAGCGCTACAATAACTTTTGGAGATGTAGCCATCTTGTTTCCGCCTCTGATTATGCTTTTTTACGACTTGGTAACTGAAACGCTGAGGTTTTTTGGGGGGTCTTGGCGTCTCTAACTATCTTTCACACAAAACAGTGCCAACACTTAAAACCCACTCGACGTAATGCAATATTGTCAAATAAATGTATTTTGTCAAAATTCTTGTTACAATTTGTATTCATAATTTCTGGTTAATTAAGACTAGCATTAGGGAGAGCAGCTGGCATGGAGGTGAGGACATCAGTCTTAAGGTATAAATCGACGTTAAAAAAGACAAAACATTTTTCCTATGGTCGGCGGCCGAGCACATCGAGTCTCACACTTGTCATTTTCTGAAACTTGGCAGCCCTATGTACGCATTTCTTCTGATTTTTTTTGAAGATTTTTCTATAAATGCCGTCATGCACAAACAAGGAGAAAAAGAGCATCCATAAGCTGTTTTGGTATTAAATACTAGTTTTTATTCAAGTTCTGATTCTGAATTATTTTTATGTAAATCTTTGTTGTTTCCATCAACTTCTGTGAGTCTGAGATGACAAACCCTCCGCTGCTCAAATGCACACTCCCCACTCTGCTTGTGTTGACGTATGGATCAACACCACCCACACACCCACACAGACAGTTGCACTGCTGTACACAGCCTTGGCAGTCCCGCGGCCTCAGTGTGTGTTTAATCTTTTCCCTGGCGCCACTTCCTAGCTGAGAGCATTCCTGGCACCCAGAGGCCCAGAGGGGGTCGGACTGTGGGCTGAAGGCAGTGTCACACTTCAGGGCTGGCACCTCGTCCTGTTACCAACTTAGCATCAGTCTTTTTTCCCCCTCCTTTTTGGCCCTGAATGCTCCGCTTACCCTCCGTTCCTGAGCGCAGGATCCCTCCATGGAGAATGACCTCTTTGAGGGATGGTCTGGTTCCTTTCAGAGTAGATTCTCCTCGCGCTCAGGTTCCCAGCGCTGCGTCCATGTCTGGATCTCTGCCCGAGTTCTCGACCAAGAATTTGAATTGGCAGAGGACATAATTAAGGAGATGTCTGTTCTTATACATAGTCTAACATTTAAGAGCCTCTGTTCTTCCCTGAGCTCAGTGTTTTTCTGGCTCCTGTTGCTGCAGAGGATCGGTTTTAATATGAGCTCAGTGGATGAAGAAGAAGCCGTTTCTCTGTGTTTGGCTGAGGTGGATTAATGTTTGTTATTTTCTCTCAGGTTAGACAGGATTTCAGTGTCAACACAGTAGCCTGTATTTACTCTAACTGTGACAGTGACAGTTAGCAGAAAAGTTGGCTGAATGACTTCTCCGCATACCGTCAAATTCTCACTGGTGGATCGACACAACCCGCTGAAGTCACCTTGATTTTGATCAAACTTTGTGTGCGTTTTAGTGGGTGTGGGCTTGCTTTTGGCTTTGCTTTCTTACTTGTGTGTTTGATGAGGTCTCTGCAAAGATTCTGAAAGAGGTCTCTTAAAACTTGTCAAAGCAGAGGTCACTGTTTGTGTACAGATTTGTGAAACTCTTTTCTCAAGGTTTATGCTCTCACATTTAAAATTGCACTAAAAGGATCAGTAAAAATAGCAATAATAAGCACCTGCTCACCTGCTCCTTAAATCTGACGGTTGGTTGTGCTTGCATGGAGATCACAAAACTTAACATTTTTTTTCTTTCTTTTGGCATTCTCAAAATGCAGAAAAAAGCATCATCTATATAAGCCCCCCGGTAACACTCAAGGTCTGTTGATGTTTTCTTTTGACTAGTCCTGTCGAAGTGCCAAAGCCCATACTGAGTTTCAGTTTGTGGTTCCTTTGTGTCTGTTTTATTCAACTCAGCTGATGTCTCTGTAATTCACCTCCCTCTGAGTCATGCCATGCTCGTTGTCCTCCTCTCCTCCTTCTTTCTTTGGGGATGACTTGTCAGCCATTAACCACAAATCAAACATTTTGTGTTCCCATATTAATTGAAGCTAATACACTCAAACTACCAAAATTTACAACGTCATAAATTTTTAAAAATAACACCTATACACCAGTCTCACCCTGACTTTTCCTAAATGTGTTTATATTTTATTCTAACATTGTTTTATCATTAAAATTTCAAAACACAAAAGAGTTCTTAGTATTACTACCTCGAACTACCACAGCAGTCAAATTGACTGCATGCTTTTTACAAAGGGTGTTATATTTCACAATATGGTACATTTTCCTGCTCTTTCTCCTGCGCTATTGTTTGTTTTGTACTTTAAGTTCTGTGAAGCTAAAATCTTGCTATAACTTTACTCAAAACCCAAGAAACTCAAAAATTACAACTAGAAGAAAAATGACAAGTATGGAGGCTGTATCCTTGCTTCAGAGCCTTGACGGGGAAGAATCCGATGGACGAGCAAGTTCAGGGAATGATGTGTCTTGGAATTTGGGGAAGGTTCTTAAAAATCTAATTTATTATGATTTTCATTTTGTGTACTGATGTGTTTTTTTATCTATTACACCTATTTATTATTAGTTTTTATTGTTTATTATCCAAATTATATGCAAATAAAGACTGCGCTGTCAAAATGACTGCTTATGGTCACTGTAGTTGTGGCAGAATTTTGATAGAAATAAAAAACTTAATAACATGTTTGGAGAGAAACTTGGGAGATATAGTTTTTTTGAATGAGACATTAGGTTGCCCAGCAACATGAGATGGATGTCGCCTCACCAACATGAGCTCTAGTGAGTTTAAGATAAATCATTAAAACTACAGCTGCCAAGGAGTGGAAGTATTAATCCACTCACATGTTTAAAAATCTGAATAATATCCCATTAAAGTACATTTAGAAGATATTACAGATGTTTGATTAATATGCAAAGAGTCCAGAGTTAACTATTGACAATCATGCTGTTAATTGCTATTAAAAGTAATTGTACGCCAGTAACTGGTGCCACTCTTTTTCACTACTATGTAAGTGAAATGTTACTTTAACCACAAAGTGAATTTTCGAGGTCTTTTAAGGCTTTTAAGGATATAACTCTTTATAATTTAGTTTAATTTAGGTAAAGCAGAGGTCACTCCGAAGGTTTTGAGCGCAGATTAAAAAATGCTTCCCTGAAGGATCAATACTCAAAAGAGTGATCAGCAGGTTAACTGGCAATTAAAATCAATCATGAGCTGTATGCCTCATAGAGCACAGAGCCAAGACTGTGAACTGATCTGTCTTTGTCTTTGTCGAGGCCTCCTGTTATGTTTTCATGCGTACACAGGTGTCTGTGTGTGTCTGTGTGTTTACAGTAAAGTGTGAATTAGAGGAGCGACCCTGCTTGTTTCTCTTCTTTGATTTCCCTCACTTCCTCTGCTTAGGCCCTGTATTATTACAGTGCTGGAAGTGCTTGACTAAAAGCAGAGGGATTAAAGCCGTGTCAAACATGCCTCTGTGTCTTACTTCCTCTATGACCCCTTCTCCCCAACCCCCCCACCCCCCTCCTGGCACTTTGTGTTTAAACTCGCCCTGCGCCAAAACAGAGATCTGGTAACTTTGGGCAGAGCTGTTTGTTTGAGTGAGTTCAGCTCACAGGTTCTGCTCTCTGGCTGGAGTCCAGACTCTCTGAAACAAAGCATCCCATTGATTATTTTGGAGCAGTAGCCTAGGCCTTGTTTTGTGACACATTTCATTTGATTAAGCCTGTTTTGTGTTTGGCCTTGAGGTTTCAGAAACCTGCAGGCTAGTGGTGAGACAGACAAAACAAAAGTGGGCTCTCTCTGTGACCTATAAGTGAAACTATGTGACTCTTGAGAGGCTTAATGACACAATCTCCCACTTAGATATACTTAGTTTGAAGGTTTCACTTAAAGGATTTACTGCGTACAGTCCTTTAAGACTGGATTGACTTAGAAAGATGAGGAATAAAAACTCAAACTCGTTTCATCAGACAAAATATTTCACATTTGAAACCAAACAACCAAAAATGACTTTGAATCATTTTTATTTATTTTGTATTTAGACTTAATTTTTTGACTTTTTGACTATATTTTAGGGAGAATAGGACAGATAATAGAGCAAATAACAGAGGTAGAGTTAGAGTGGGATGTGATAAAGGAGCTGCAGGTGAGAATCAAACCCAGGCTGTATCTATATTAGTGACATGACCTCAGTATATGGGGTATGTAGGTTGGCCGCTAGGACAACAACACCCTGATCTTTTTTTTTATTTTTATTTTTATTATTATAAAGATTTACCAAAAGGTGCATGGCTATATTAAAGGTGGGGTAGGCAGGATCTGAGGAAATGCCAGTTTTGGGGAGTAATCTTGAATGTAAATACTACACCTCCAAACTAGTTTTCCCCTCAGCTCCTCCTCTCCCCTCCCTCTCTGCTCCAGCAAGCCCCGCCCACAAGCAATATGAGCTTCTGCTCGCTCGTATCGTTTCAACTAAATTCAGGTATAATGCAGATAAATACTTCAGATGATTACAAATGGGGCCCAGTCAAGGTGAAAGTAAAAAGCATTGGTGCTACTGTAGATGCCAACAGACTACCAGCAAACACAATGTTTGCAGGACTTCTACATCCAGGATAAAGTAACATAGTCCAGGACTAGAGGTAAACAGTTTAGCGGTGCTACAACTCCTGTTATTCTGCCAGAGTCTCCGGTATTTACTTTGTTTTCTTGCTTGTGTTGGCAGTTGTGGCAAAAGGAGGATTCAGACAATTTTCCGTACTGTCTGGTTGGTTTCTACTGTCAGATGTTGGAGCATGCTAATTTTGTTTGGGCTTGTGAACGTCACGAGGGAGCAGCATCTGCCTCACAACCAATCAGGTTGGGGGAAGCAGAGGATGGTTTTGTTTACAGTCAGAAAGAGCGGGCTGCTAAAAAAAAAATTTAATGTAGACTGCACAGACATAAGGAAACACAGTGATATCGTTATAGTACCAAATGTCATCAATAACTAATAGCTATTGACTGATATTAAAAGCTTTTTTGTATATACACCACAAAAAAAGATGCCTCTTTAACAGAATCCTGCCTACCCCACCTTTAAAGTTAGATGAAAAGACAGTGAGACTTAGATTCTATAGTTGTGATTGAAAAAACTGACGACATTTCTATCTTTGTTGTCTATAATGGCAAACCTAAAGTAAAGCTTTTTTAAAGGTACATGTAAAACCTGAATAGAATAGGATGTCTTCAATAATGGGAAGCATGTTTACTATGTGTTTATAAAATGACTCTAACCTCTTGTCTTTGATAGGAAAATAAAGATTTTAGGTCAATTTATATGTTTTTATTTTTTTACCTTTTTTCCTGTCTGCTGTATGTAGATCTACCTGAGGCTATAACAGACTCAGTTTATAGGTTTGGAGCTTGTTAGCAGCATAAGAAAATCTCTTTATGTTTGGATATTTCAGTATCAAGTCAGCTTTCATTATAATTTTACTCCTCAGTGAGCAGGACTCTGACTGTTCCTGTTTGTGACGTCCAGCTGATACGTTATTTTTCTTTTTTCCTCTGAATGTGGTGACATAAAAAAAAAATAACAGGCAGGAAATAATGGTTAATAACATCATGAGCCAAAGCCACATAGTCTTTAAGTGTTTCTGTTTCTTCATGTTGCCATGCAGAGAGTTGTGTCAATGCGATCTCCTAGCAGACCCATACAGACCCAGCACAAATGACAAAGGCCTAACATGGGAACTAATGTATTGAGCTAATGTATTGTACAGTCCTCAGATACAGCACAATGGCAGACAAAACACTACATGTGTACAGTGAGGTCTAAAGAACTGCAAGTGTAGAAAACAAACCAGGATAAAAGACAAGTGATTTTCTCAGCTGAGAAACACTGTAACCAAAGAATTTGGCATGTAAAATAAAGAAGCGTCTCTGCTTCCGGACAAAGAAAAGAAAGAGAGAGTCATGAATACGAGCGTGAAACGGCTGATTAAAAACTTGGAGTGTAGTGAAAGAAGAGATACACTTGTTCAGTCTGAGTCTTGGCATTCCTCTGTTATCTCTTCTGGCACATGAGGAAGACTCCCCCACCCCCCTATCCACCCCTTTAGTGTGAGCCAGTAGAATATGATTATGTGTGAAATTCATCAAAGTAATAATTAAAGTATAATTTTAGGCTTTTGTATGTGAGTTTTCTTTTCCTTTGCAGTGTCGTTAGTTTGTTTACAGAGGACTTTATCTGCAGCTGTTGCTGCAACCACCATGCCTCTACCTGCATACATCTGCATGTTGTGTTAAAGCAGCTGTCCCTTATGCTGGTGCTGGAGTCACTGTCAACTTTATTTTTATAACTCTAGTTTTGAAGTGAAAAACACTTTTTTTTTTTTTCCACACACCAAGTGTTAAATCCACGGATAAATTTATTTATTTGTAAAGGCTGATATGTCTTCAGTATCTTTCCCAAAGTAGATATTAAACTTTTTGTCAGTATCTGAATAAATAATAAACAAAAATACTTTTTTCTTTTAAGTTTTCAGGTTTTGCCGGTTTGCCGGACCTGTCAGTATCCAAAGTAGTTCCTTTGCAGTTGACAGTTAAGTCCTATAAAGAGTCAAAAGGCCTCATTGTAATAATAAATCTGTTCTGTAACTCATCAACTATCATCCTAAAACTATACTACCCCTCAGTAGGAGCTGAGGTTAGTTTAAAAACACTTTGGCCATGCCTTCCTTTTCTGTGTGCCACCATTATTTACAGCCTGAAGGGCAACTTGAAGAGAGAGAAGGAAAGTGGTGTTGAGGAGCTATGTGCAGAACTGTGTTTATAGTGATTAATTCAAATTGAATCTCAGTTAGATAACTGTCAGATTATGCTGTATTGTACTCTGTGTCCTTTGCTGTTCACAAGGGCTGCCTTCCTGTTTACAGCCAAAGTCTTCTGAAAGTACTGAAATAACAAACAAAAAAATACCAAAAACCACATGTCTGTTAACCTGAGCATACATCTGAGTGGACTAGCTGTAAACAGATATTAAAGAAACATATAATAAGACAAATGTCTGCATTGCTTGTCGGGGTGTGAGAAAAAATCGATACAGCATCATATCGTGATATCATGTCTGGTGATATGTTGTATCGTTTCATTTACCAAGTATCGATTTTTCAAATTAATTGTTAATATGAAGTCAAATCATTGAAAATGGAAAAATAAAATCAACAGTTTTTCCAGTGGGGTTGGCAGAGGTGACATCATGGAGCAGGAGAAAGTTAGTGCAACAAATATAAATAATGTTTTCAAGATGTACTACATGAAAATAAAATACAGTGTAAAGGAAAAATAAAGGAAAGACAAATTCTAAATTAGCTTAACAGTAGAAAAAAATCATACAAAATCTCAATATATGGTATGGCGATACTCACTGTATTGCAAAATGTTAAAAATTGCAATGATATCGTATCATGGCCCAAGTATCGTGATAATATCATGATAATATCGTATTGTGGGGTCACTAGTGATTCCAACCCCTAATTGCTTGAGTGTTCCTATGCAACCATTAACCCATATGCTAATATCCATGTTTTACAAAACAGCCCAAACCAAATGCTCCTGAAAGTTGTCCTTAACAAATCCATTAGTTATGTCTTAGTGAGACTGATTTGAAATAAAGAGTTTAAAAAAATGCACAAAAAAAAAAATGCTTGTACTGTCCTGGAGAGGCAACATATTATTGAATAGCTGGTCTTGATAGGAGCTTTAATCTGTATCACACAGCCTTTGTTAGACTTGGTTGACTTTCATTGATGACCTTTTGGTGTCTGCTCATGTGAACAAATCTGTGTCCATGACGGTTAATGAAGACTATGGACTTGACAAGCTCATACCAGGAGAAAATTTGTATTTCACCTTCAAATGGACTTTGAGGTTTTTCAGGAAAAAGTTTCCCTTGTAGCTTATGGAATTGAAAAAAAATGAACATCAAACACACAATACAGAATTTAATATGTAAAACATGATTAAACTACTTCAAAACAAACACTATGGGCTTATATGAAACATAGGACACCCAACTATTTTTATCCAACTTCATCATCAACATCAGGGGTCTCTGTTAATATCATCCTTGTTCTCTTGGTTACACACTGTCAAAACTTTCATTAATCACTCCTTTTCCTGTATTTGGTCTTTTCAGATGGCAAACACTCAGTGTCGGCTCAGTGTCTTCTTCAAGTCACCATCATCACTGATGAGATGCTGTCCAACAGTATCACACTGAGACTGGCCAACACCTCCCAGGAGCACTTCCTCTCCCTGCTGCTCGCTCAGTTCCTGGATGGAGTGGCCCGTGTTCTCTCAGCCGCCCCCGAAGATGTCGTCATCTTCAACATCCAAGATGACACAGACGTCAGCGCTCGCATCCTCAATGTTAGCCTATCGGTAGCTGTGCCCGTGTTAGGAGAGGCACATCATCGGGCTGGGGGTCTCGACCACGGCATGGACCGGCCTGGGAGAGGACTTGAGAGTGGGGGAGGAGAATACTTTGGCTCAGAGGAACTCCAGGAGCGGCTGTACCTGAACCGCAGTCTTCTAGCAAAGATTTCCTCGCAGGAAGTTCTTCCCTTTGATGATAACATCTGCCTCCGTGAGCCTTGTGAAAACTACATGAAGTGCGTGTCTGTGCTCAAGTTTGACAGCCTTGCACCATTTGTGGCGTCAGATACCATCCTGTTCAGACCCATCCACCCCATTGCCGGGCTGCGCTGTCGCTGTCCGACCGGCTTTACAGGAGACTACTGTGAGACTGAGATCGACCTCTGCTACTCCAAACCCTGTGGAGCCCACGGAGTGTGTCGCAGCAGAGAGGGGGGCTACACCTGCGAGTGCTTAGAGGACTACACAGGTGAGAGGCATTGCTTTCTTTGACTTAATATCTGTTGAACTATTGTTTCTTTTCATTTGGGGTATCACATTGATGCTTCATCATGCAGAAGCACTTCCTTTGATTATTGCTGTTGCACTGTGAGGCGTTACTTTATTACATAAAGCATGATGCAGGTTATTATTATTATTATAGCAATGATGGAAATAGTTATATCTCTGGTATCACAAAAAGTAGGCTAGTCTTTTTTTTGTTAATGTTTTCAAAATGTAGCTTGCTACTAGGGCTGGGCTTTAAAACGATAACGATATCTATCGAAAATTAATTTCCCTCAATATCATTATATATTAATATCATCAATATGCTTTTCAATAGAAAGTATTCTGCAATGTTTTGGTAGACTATATGAATAGCCAATGAAAAGAGGAGTTGCTCCAGGTCCGCTTTGCGCTGAACCAATCATGTGCTAAATTAGAACCAAGTAGCAAACAACTGCGTAGTAGCAGGCTGCAGCTACACGCAACTATAGCACTTTAACAAGTGAAGCCGACAGCACTGTTGGTGAGAAAAAAAGAAAATGAGTGCTACCCCCGGCAGAAATGCAGATGAAAGCTCAACAGATAATGACATTCTCGACAACACTGGCACGAAAACGTCGGTATTTTGGTTTTTGAGGTCGGACATGAAGCAGAGTAGTGTGCAGTGCAAATTATGTCGAGTACATGTTCTCGCAAAGTCGGGGTATACCTCAGATCTTTTTCACCACCTGAAGCAGTGCCATGCGGCAGAGCACATGCAGAGCAAAAGGTTACAAACCCCGAGCAGAGCAAGGAGGCCATGGCGCCTGTGCAGCCGAAACAGCCGACCATTCAGTCCACTTTCTCTAGCACAACGCTTTATGACAAAACGCCAAAGAGACACAAAGATCTCACAGATGCAGTAGCTCATTGTATTGCTAAAGACATGCTACCAATAAGCACTGTTAAATTTCCTTTTTTTAATTCGTGATATATATATCGATATCGACTGATATGAACAAAATATATTGTGATAAACTTTTCCCCTATATCGCCCAGCCCTACTTGCTATTAACACCAAACTATTTAAACTTCTAATTTGACTGAAATTTACTTCTAGCCATGTTTTTAAACAACACAAAAAAAGCAAAAGGATCTTAAATAGATACAGTGAAAACAGAACACTAACTTTGCAGATGCACTTTCATTCTGCTTATCTGTTTTTCTGATTTAACAACTGAAACTGGATAAAGACAGAAACAAACAGCAGTATTCAGTACAGAAGAAGACACCAGCCTATAAAAAATGCAGCCTGTAGCTTTACATGGATTGTCGGTATAATTTGATTCCCAAAGATCCAGAGGTCTTACTCGTGACAGCAAGTCATTTTCTTGGATTGTGGGCATTAGCTTGCAGTTTATCTATCCAGTTTGCATGGAAGTTTCTCCACTTTTTCCTTCAGAGTTTTTTCCTCTGTAAACTCCATAACATATTGATATCCGTGTGTGTCTGCACTAAATGCCATCATTGTTTAGTTCAGTTGAATTTCTGTTTCTTGAAGCCTGGACAGCTAATCAGTGCACAGCATGTGGAAATGTACCCTCGAGTTACATCCATTAACAGTACAAAAGTAAGGGCTGTCTGATAGCAAAGTAAACTGCAGAAAAATGTCTTAGTAAACCACACACTTAAAGCTGAATGAGTGCTTGAGTCAGAGCCTCTGAAAATGAGCTAAATTATGTGGCAAGCTCAATCCTGTCTGCCGAAAACTGTCACATACCTGGAGTCTTGTGTCTATAAGCTGTTTCACTCTGGCGGGGCTGATCAGCAGCCACTGTTGCCAGTTCATTTACAGGTGACATGTAACTCTTATGAACAGCCCCACCTCAAATATTCGGAAAAATGTAGAAAAACATAAAAGAGGTAGATTTGGCTGATGCAGGAGTATAAATCTAACCAAGAGTCATTTGTGGTAAGCTTGTTAGCTGAACATGCTAATATTAGGGCAGGCAAACAAATCCCTAGATGAGGGTGAACATATTTTCAAACCTGTGAAGAATGACAATATAATTTCATAACAAACCCACATGTATAAGCTCATGGTGCATCTTGTTTTTCCATCAGAGCTCCTCTCAACACCCTAAAAAATGGCCCAAGCAGATGAAAAATTGGTTGCAACAGTGCCACTTCTAGCCTGAACCCATCATTTCTGTTTGCTTTTGGTTCTGTATGTCAACCACTCTATCGTTTGGGTCTGAAATTGGACACTCTAATGTGTCTGCAAAACAGTGTGACAGGTAGCCTTCTTGACACCCTGACACGATGCAGCAGGTCTAGTCAGTATGATAAGCTGAGATGGATTGATACATGTACAAATAATTCAGCTTTGACTTGCATTAAGGATGTTTTTCTATTGTTTAGAACAGCAACAGCCAAGGCAATGGAAGTGATTGAAATATATTCCGCGAATCAGTTTTGTAAGTGCGGCGCATTGTTTTGGTATTTTAAATCAGTATTTATATGAGTGTGTCATAGATATTTGTTGGGACACAGAGCTTAAAAACAGGACAGTCCAGTTCAAACAGGCAGAAAACCTTTTTCTTATATTTTTTTGGTGTTTTTGGTCATAAAATGTTGTCCATATTCATTAGATTTTGAAAAACCTCTTATTCCTCTCTGGCTAGCCAGCATCTTGTTTGCTATGACTAAAAAATCACTGTTTAAGGCAGGGGCCTCACAAAGCTGTCCCACAGGAGTCCACACTGAATAATTTCCTGTCTCCAAATGTAGTGCCACTAAAGGGTCAAAGGGCACAATTGCCGCCAGGCTGTCCACCTGTAGTCCTCTAAATGTTGATTTCTTCTCCTTCACAATGTCCCATGGGGGCTTTAATTTCCACATCTGTCCCATTCACTCCACTCTTCTGGTCTTAATTGGACCTGGCTCTTTATGGACAAAGACAGCGCTGTACGCTGATGACGGCAGCTCTGCAGACAAAGACTGAGTGATGAGTTATTGATCTGCTTTTCCCCGTCGCAGTCAGCAAAAGCAGAGAAGGGTTAAATAAAGAGGCCCGTAAGGAGCAGGAAAGTGTCTGTAGTTTCAGATTTTTTTTTTCCTTTTTTTGGGGGGGGGGAATTTTTGTTTAGAGTTTTTCCTTAAACAGTGAACAGTATTTGAGACAAGATCAGTGGTGTAGAAAAAAATAAAAATAATAATGATTATAATCCCATAACTAGGTATTGCTGCATATGATGCAGATGTACATCAAATATCCATTACACATTGAAGTAATAAGGAAAAACAAATAGGATAAACCAAAAGACATACAAAGATAAATAAGTAAAAAAAAAAAAAAATTAAACAAGAAATAGATAACTAAATAATACAGAATGAATACATGATAGGATAATTTTATGGGGGGAAAAAGGAGGAAAAGGGCAAATTCACATCATTTCAGGTTCCATTTCTGTCACTCAAAGAGCAGCCCTAGCACCACAAATAGTTCACATTATTAGGTATTTTCTGATCATGCTCCTTCTCTGATCAAAAAGGTCAATTTTTAACTGTAATGATGCGGTCTACACCTGTCTCAACTTCTGCTTCCATTCAGCCACAGCCGGTGATTTAACATTCTTTAGATTTTTTTTTTTAAATGGTACAAGCTCATTGTATTATTTGGCGCTGACTACCATGTCGGTTTGGTCTGTTTATTTATTGGAAAAAGTTTAAGTGGCTTCTTTTAAAATCTGTCATCAATCCTAGAATCCTGCTTGGAAATGTAAAGTTTCTATTTTGATGCCAAAAAAGAGCTTATGTGCTTAAAATCTGACTGCGTTTTGAGTAGGACACTTCTCTCTTTCTCATAAACCCCACTGATGCTCTATAACTTGCATACCTTCATAGTTATGCACACCTACACTAATAATTTCATCCTGATCTGCAGCAGAAACAGCCAACAAACAGGCGAAACAATGATGTAACAAACCTTGCTGATGTCTATTTAAAAGCTAGAGGTTTTCAGAGGAGTCTTTACTTTGTGTTGAATGATCAGCAGTGAAGAAAAAAAGGTCTATTTTCTCAAACGAGACTGATACTGCTGAGTTGAATAAGGGAAGGAAATCTTTAATTATAGATGGATACAGATGGAGAGTGTCCCTTGGCTGAAACATGCCCTGCAGTAAAATATACCTAAAATAACAAAAATATTATCACAAAGCACACAGTGTGTCACAAAGACAACAGAAGCTTAAGTTTTCAGGGTTAATGAGGAAATAATTTATGACCATTGGCAGCAGAATTGCAGGAATTGTTATTCTGTTCCTGCTCCGTAAAATATTCTCATCCTCGAAGGGTTAAAGAGCGTCTGCTTGCTGTTTTTGGTTACAGGGAAAAGGAAGAAGTTGAAAAAGAGTTTAAAGATGAAGGCTATAAAATATGCAAATTTATACAGTATGAATATTTGGGGAGTTGCCCCATCTTCTTTTTGAAGGGTTAAGTGGGTCAAACACTGACTTTTTAATGTGATTTAAAGATTCATTTCATCTTTGAAGTGTCACACTAGTTGATTTAATATGTGCATTAATGCTGAGTAAATAAATACTTTTACTCCAATGCTAAAGTACTGAGGTACAGTTTTAGGTATACACTTACGGAGGAAAAAAGTAGTAAAATAGTCGTGAAAAAGAAACAAAAGTGCAGTTTGAAAATACATATAACATTTTTAAACTGCACTTTGCATAGGTTAAATTTTTTTTAATACTATTTTACTACTTTTTTCCTCTTCTTTTTAAACACATTGTAATAAAGGTGTGGTGTAGCTGCTTAAAAAAGAGAGATACTGCCATAGAAATTTCCGTGTATTCATTTACAATGACAACAAAGCTTCTTCTTCGTCATCTGTAGTGCAGCCAGTTTGATACTTGTAAGAAGAATAACTAAACTTTTTACATCTAATTTTATTTGACACGTTTAACATGGATTGGACTTCTCTAGAGTATGTATGGCTCTATAATTTATCAGTGAATTTACTGCTTGCAATATAACTGATGATTGTACAGTATATTATAAGTATAGGACTGTATCATGTGTAAAATTTTAAGGTAAGATATCTGCTTGATTACACACAGGTAGGTTTAAAACTTGGGCTGAAGGTCAACTCACTTATTTTCTCCCAGAGAAGATTTGGGCTGCAGTCAGAAAGAAGTACTCCTGCTTTACTAGACGCCATATTTAAAATAAGCCTCACAGTTCTCCCAAGGGGGAAATGTAACAGCTGCTCATTGTCAATTCAGATATATATTCATTAATCAAATTCAAACAACAAGTATATCATAATTAGTTTTAATTAGTTTGCAATTAAAAGAAATACCTTAGGGATTATAACAGTGTTATATAATGCCTTATACAGTGTTATATCATTCATTTTCAAAGATTACTGTTTGTGAGAGAAGCTATAGTTGATGATATTTATTTACTTCAAATAAACACAAAACAAAATGTCTTAAAACCAATGAGAACCTACAGTAAAGTGAGCATTTATGAACACTTTTGCAGGTTTGTTTGTTTGCTGTTGTTGTTTAGGATAATGCTCCCATCATTTTGCTGCAGTACCATCACACTGCTCAGCAGCTTTGCACTCTTTCTGATGGTCCGTTCAGGATCTGATGAAGCACCACTTCACTTTCTCTTTCCGTGGAATCTCGTTTTTCCATTTGCTATGAAACAATGACTTTAACAAACATGATCACAGAGAAGTGTACTGTTAAAAAAATAAAAAAATTCCATTTTCCTTTGTGCTCTCAGTAATGGAATCGTTTCCCGTGTCCCCTGTCAAACATTAAAAGGTTTTTTTCCTTCCATCTATTTGCGTGGCTGTTTATGAAACCTGAAATAGTGCTGGTATTTAAATGTGTGGGCTCAGTCACTCAGAGTCCAGGTTGAGTGGCACTTACATATTCCTATGCACGGCTGTGGGTGTCAGAGCCGTAGCCGCAGGTGCTTTTAAAGCGAAGCAACAGGGATGGAGAGTGAATGAATGAGTGAGTGGGTGAAGTGGGCGTATTTTCATTTGGAGGCAGCAGAGAGAACAGTCATCGACATTTGCCTCGATCAGTATAGGATGCAAGGCCAGGTGGCCAGGCTGTTAGATCCAGGAGTTTTCTGAGAGCGAACAAGGATCTTTTGATTTAAGATGTTCGAATATGACTCTCAGACTGTCTGATCAAACATGCTTTTACATTTCCTGTATTTTCCTCTGTGATCCACTTCTTCACTCTTCTGCTCCAGTGAGCTTTGCCTGCACTCTCACATTAGATGTGTTGGAGTGAGTGTGTGTGCGTATGTGTGAGTGCTAAATAGCTCTCTCTTTGGGCGGGTAGCTGAGGACTGAATAGCTGCGATAATGTGTGTAAGGAAGTTGGATGGAAAATCTGTGGTACGTGTTAATGGTGTGTGAGTCAGTGTGTGTGTGCTGGTTTGTGTGTGACTGCTGGACTGTAGGAGTTGGCAGATGGAAGCATGAAAGAAAATGAAAAAACAAAAAAACATAAAAGCCGCCGTCTTTGCTGTTCTTGAAATGGACAAATGAATGATTCTGCTCGTCTTAGTCACTCCTAACATGTTGAACAACAGGTTGTTATCCCCTGTCGTTTCTCACACGTTTCTCTTAAAACACACTGCAAGGTTCAAACACTGTAAAAAAACAAGTGAATTAAAACCACCCTGCCGCTGACCTCTGTGATGAGACTCGGTTTTCTCTATCTCTGATATTTCATTGACGGATTAAAACACAATTTTGATGCTTAATTTGCAGACAGTGCCTGAAACAAAAATGGGTGAGTGTTCGCCTTCTCAGTTTTTTACACCAGCCAAGCACTAAAAGCCTCTACAATTAGCTTTTGGCGGATGCCAGAGAAATAAAGACCTAGAGAGACACATGGACAGTTTTGAAAACCAGGGTTATTTCACTCAGATGTTTTGTTCAGGTTCTCTGACCTAACATTGAAGCACCTTCACTCAGTTTATCAGAGACCACAGCTCCTTTGTGCTTAACAAAAATCTGTGAACCTCAGTGTTTGATATCATAAGGCATTAATTCAGTGTGAGGTTAGACACCAAACATGTGTCTAATCATAATGAAAGTGAAGGTCAGCAGGACTGTATTTGACCTGCTCTGAAGTTTATGTGGTCAGACTAGCTACATGTTTTACTGTAGATTTGTATGGAATTTGTATGAAAAGCTTGATGTTATTATTTATAAAATGAAGTATTGTATTTAAGAATCAAAGGAATATTGCAGCGTAAAATTAAGTTAGGGTAAAACACATTGTAACACCGAGTTAGACACCCCCTCGAGAGATTAATGTTGCCGATTGCTTACTTCTCTACTTATACCAACTTTAGTAACGACCGCAGGATAACGATACACAGCGGTCTACGTCTTCATGTGCAAACCTCAACCAAAACACCACTTTATAGCCACAAATAATGCTCAGAACAGCACCTAACTTCATCAACAGTACATATGGGGTCCCAGCTATAGTACTAGCCACCAAACATCTTTTTAGCTTTGCCTAATTTCTTTAGCAAAGAGACTAAACGCAACTCACCTACCCTCTTCCAGCAGCCGCTTGTTTGTAGGCAGAGCTCGGTCGAGTCGATCATCGACTGCAGTGGGGGGACACAGCTCAAGGAAGAACATTTATGATCATTTCTTAATGGAAATGCAATCAGACCGAGATGCTAAGGCAGAAGAACTACTGTGTCTGGAGTGTAAAATGATTAATATGGTGATTATTACTTCAAGGAAATGATAAAGGAATGATCATAAATGTTCTTCCTTGAGCTGCGTCACCCCACTGCAGTTGATGATCGCTCGACCGAGCTCTGCCTACAAACAAGCGGCTGCTGGAAGAGAGTAGGTGAGTTATGTTTAGTCTCTTTGCTAAAGAAATGAGGCAAAGTTAAAAAGATGTTTGGTGGCTAGTACTGTGGCTGGGACCCTATATGTACTGTTGATGAAGTTAGGTGCTGTTCTGAGCATTATTTGTGGTTATAGAGTGGCGTTTTGGTTGAAGTTTGCACGTGGATCCATAGACTGCCATGTATTGCTATCGTGCGGTCGTTACAAAAGTTGGTAAAACTAGAGACGCAAGTGGTCGGTAACATTCATCTCTTGACGGGGTGTCTAACTCAGTGTTACAGTGTGTTTGACCCTAAATTAATTTTACGCTGGAATATCCCTTTAAGTCCAATTTATGTGCCCAGCAGTCCATCAAATCTTGCCTTGATAACACCTAATAATTCATAGAACTGTAGAATAAGTTATTAGGATCTGTCACATGCTGCCAACACCAGACATGCTTTTAAAGGCCAGTAGTTGCTGGATACTGATTGGATGTGCACTAAAGTTAAAAAATAGTCAGTGCATTTTTTTTTCTGAAGTCCTTTTTTTATTTCCAAAGATGCAGTAAGGAAGTTTTAATTTATTAATTCTCATAGTTGATCTGGTCCTGTGCAGGTGAATGTCGTTCTTGAGCTGCACAGCACATCACTCACTTTGAATCTTTGATCCCTTTGTCTGATTTAGACCTTTCTGCAGCACTGACCAGAATTAATAATAACCATAAATGAACAGTCAATTCTCGATGAAGTGGTCACTTTAGTCGAACATGACTGACAAAGGTTTTAATTTAATTCTGTGTCATAGCGATAAGAAAATCCTCATACTGCTTTTGAGTAAATAATGATGTCTCTGACTGTCAGGGTGACTGACAGGTACAGGTGACGTGTTTTATGATTTGACAGTTTTGAATTATTGTAGAGGAAGAAATATCTCTCTGTCGATCATATGTACACATTATTATGTACTCCCTTCACACGTCATTAAATGAATTGTGTTCGAGTGTGTCTGGTCCTTGGGCTCTATATCCTGGAAAATGATGAGAAGAATAACTCTCTCACACACACACACACACACACACACACACACACACATACACATATCGCTCAAGGTCATGTATCTATACAGCTATTGATCACCTCATGCTTTTATTCTCCTATATATTCCTGAGAGGTCGAGTCTCTTCTGATCTGGCTCCCAGCTTCTCTCAGTATGGCGTCTTTTGTCTGTCTGTTGGGATCCTATCTCTGGATGATGCTCCACTGTTACCTAGCAGCACAGACACACCTGTTCAGGTCTTGGAGGAAACTGTCTGTAGACACAGGTGGTCCCCTCGCATGAGCAGAAACTCTAATTATATTAGCTAATGTTTTAAAATTGAACAAAGTTTTTGAATGGTGATGATTTAAATCATTTGGTTACTCTTTGCTTGATGCCTATCTCTGTAACGCATTATAAATATATGTATAATGCATTATAATCACGTTATAGCTCTGTATAACTAGCATTTTATCATGACTTACAAGGTCAGGTATTATAATGTGTTATAACTGTTAATGACTCACTGACAATGTCCACATAGATAATGAAATACAGCTGCTGTTAACAACATTACAACACATTATAATACCTGACCTTGTAAGTCATGATAAAATGCTTTATAATATGTTATGATTATTGCTATAAAGCATTATACATCATTTATGAGTGTTTATAACTATAGTTATACAGTGCTATGAAGTGATTATAATGCATTATACATATATTTATAATGTGTTATAGAGATAGGTGTCAAATAAAGTGTTACCAAGTGATTTTATAAAATCGAGCTGGTTTAGACATGCTGTATAATATGGAGTTCTTCAGGTGTATTTTAAACATCATATCTACTTATTATAACCTTTTTTTTTACTTTGTGGGCCCACCCTGAAAAAAAGCCTTATGTGTAGTTACAGCTGTTTACATCTAATTACATATACAGTCACATGATTGGCAGCTTTTAATTGAGTTTACAATTTGCTGTTTGTACAGTGTTTTTTTCGTCTAACAAAGCCACTTCTCATAATGTGATTATGTGCAGAAATATTAAATCAAACTCGTGTTTTTTCCCATAGTGTTTTGAGGGTTTGAGATTCGGTGCTTCTTTCCCACAAATAGAGATAGAAAATAAGCCCCCTCCTGTCTAAATAAAAACAGGATCTCAGAGGTATCTGTGCGATTTGCTGCTTTAATGATTCATGCTGGCAGCAAACACCGGGTGTGGGCACCAGGATGGACTTACAGACGACTGTAAATAGAGCAGAGGAGACAGGTTTGAATTATTGATCGAGATATTCTGTCAAATTGTGACTGTGAGCCACTCCCCACCCTGCTGGGCTGCTCACCTGGCAACGTAAAGCTGTTGTTTAGGACCGCATGTGCTGGAGACGTCCCACAGGGAGGAACTGAAAAGTATTTTATCCCTCTTCACTGAAGCAGAAATGTATATATTTGAGCCAAATAGGCTCTTAAACATGTCGTTTTAGCCACAAAGATTCCCTCAGTGTCATTGTGCCTGACGTCTCTTACAGCTCTATTTGCTGTAGTGATGTTTGACCTGTGTGAGTGCTTAAAGAAACACAAGTGTTTTATTGCCAACAGCAAGCTGCTGAATTAATAATGAGACAGACAGCAGTGAAACAGAAAGGCTTTATTTTCCAGCTGGTTGGCCAGTCGTGGCTGTTTGTCACCAGGAAGCATCAGTAAGAACATGACAGCTAAATGCTCCGGCCTGACACCATGGCTGTTTCACCCCATTTAGTAGCTTTGAAAGAAGAGTGGCAAAATGACATGTTGCAGGTTTTCACACTACTTTAGTGCTTAGGTTGTCAGTGATGTATTTACTGTGCAATGATTGGTGCCTTTAAGATCAGTCAATCCTTTTACCGATTCAAGCATGAATTAAAAGAATATTTATGTCAAAGAAACATCCTATAAACGATAAAAGTCTGAGTATTTCTGTGAGACATCAGTCCTGTAGTTTAAGATTGTGGTTAATCTTTAGCGAAAAGGTTTTCCTCTGAATGCTCTGCAGCCTCATTAAAAAAAAAAAAACTAAGACTCAGGCCGGCTAAACCAACAGTCAGGTCATTTTAATTTATACAGCTCCAGTGAGCCACACAGCAACCCATTTTTGTTTACATAAGGTGCAGTATAACTGCAAGCTAATGCTGAAATGAGAAACTTTTTTTATCTGAACAGGAAGTTAAAATCCTGAAGTCCCACTCCGATCGTTTTTTGTTTTGTTTTGTTTTGTTTTTACTTCTTTAAGTGTTGTCAGTGGTTTTTAAATTGTGATTATAAAGTTTTTACCAAAAATCACATTACCTGTGTCATTTTCAAGGGCTTTTCTTCTGCAGAGCTCCAGTAGATCATTAGCAATTCGCCTCTGAGTCGTGGGCAGAGACACTGCTGCTCTGCACTCTCGTCTTCACGTTAGCTTGTAGCCTAACATTGCTGGTGTTGTAGAGTGGCAGCTAACATAGGAGCTATTCAGCTCTCGGACACTAATGTCTTTAGGGACACGATGAAAGCTAATATCATAATTAGCTTTCTTTCTCAATCCGCTAACACACACGCTTGTTCTGCGATCGTTCTCTGTATTCCTCCTTTATATGTAGAGTGCGGCCTGCATAGCGGGACTCCGGGGGCGGAGCTTGGATTGGTGATGTATGTAATCTCACTGTTTCTGAATCTGCTGTTTGGGTCTGCAAGAGGTTCACAGCGATTTCAATGAAGAAATACTCAGAAAAGCAATTTTGCATTTAGTTTTTTATGATATGTCCTGTAGCATCAGAAAAATGCCACATGAACATATAAAAAACATGATTTTCATCAGAGTGGGTCTTTAAAGCCCTACAACTTTGTCTTTATTTTGCATTTACTACAGCTAACATTTATAATACAGATAAAAGCTGATATGTCTCCGTTGTTATCAGAGAAAATCTCAGTGTCGTTTTCACTAAAATGTCCAACCAGTGATGAACTTTAATTTTGAGCAGCAGTATTAATGATAAGCAACCTGCTCTTGATGGACTAAACAGAAGATTAAGAGTTAGAAAGTTAGTGTGTGTGTGTGTGTGTGTGTGTGTGTGTGTGTGTGTGTGTGTGTGTGTGTGTGTGTGTGTGTGTGTGTGTGTGTGTGTGTGTGTGTGTGTGTGTGTGTGTCAGTGTTACACTAGAGCTCTAGTTCAGAGGAAGTCCTCCTCTCTGCTGACTGAGTGGCTTTGACACAGATTCCAGCTCACGCATGAGGGTGCGCAGTCTCGCCTGAGCAACTGCTGGAGCCCCCCGTCCAGAGCATTAAGACACACGGCACATGTGAGCCGATACGAGGGGCAGAGGAAGAAGAGGAGGACTGGACAGAGACACAGAATCCTCATCTGCACATGTCTGGCCCAGTCCTGTTCTTCCATGTCAGAGTGATCATTACTTCCTTTGTCGGTCTGGTGTGACCCGTGGACTTCTGACCCTTATAGTTCAGCTCAGCGGGGAGCTCTGGCTGACATTATCCCTCATTATCATCACTGGATGATTTCTCTGAGATTTTGATTTAGTTCTGACCAGTTTCCTGTTCTATTATATGTCAGACATTGGCATTTGTTGTGTATTGAAGAAGTTTGTCTTGAACCTGTCAGTGACTCTTGTAACCACAGTTGAAGGTTTTTCTTGTTTGGTTTATATTTTGAGTGCAATGGGAAGGAATCAAAGTTTATTTAAAAACAAAAAAAGGCATCTACTTAATTTTTTATGGGAGAGTCATAATAATTATTATTATGACTTTATTTATATAGCACTTTTAAAAAACAAGAGTCTACAAAGTGCTTTAACATGCAGGAAAATAAAGAAGATAAAAACAACAGAACAACAACAAGAGAACACTTGGGGGAAATGTCACATTACTGGCAATAAAGAAATAAAGTTAAAAAAAAAAAAAAATCGGTGGAAGATATAGACGCATTGATGCATTTCACATGAGCTGAGATGTTATTAAAATAAAGAGATTAAAACAAAGACATTTTAAGAACCAGTGATACCCAGCCAACACATGAACCCAATCACTAAAACCTGAAGCTTAAAAGGGTTTAAAGAAGACAAAATCACATAAAAGCAAGTACAGTGTAAAGTGTAGCTGGTGACAGTGAATAAATGCAGATCCTCTTATATATGTCTTTCTCAAGCCCCTTTGTAGTAAGGCTTGGCAGTTTTTCTTGATCTGATGGCAGGTATAACTCTGGTTTTGAGGACATATTTTAGATCACAAAATGAACCAGATAATCTGAGGAAAACTAGCAGAATAATAAAAATTGATTATAAAACAAAAAACAACCCAATGTAAGACCCATGACAAAACAGTCGTCAGTCCTTAACATCAGAATAGATGTGCTTTAGAAGTGATCTCTGAATCAGATTATGGGTCAGGGTGTGATCAGTCTGTAAGACTTGCCTCCTTTTTTCATTTTAGTTTGTTATTGAAATTTAAGGATGAACTTATCATATGTCTGTGCTGAGGAGGGGGAACTCTGACAGTAATTATCATAAGCCGTTGAAGACTGCTGGAACAGCATGAATCTCATTTGGTAACGACAGATTCGGACTGCTCCTACACTTCAGGCTCACTGCTTTAAGAAATCAAGGTTTGAATATAAATGCAGCACAAACTGTATCATCTCCCCAGAGGAAGGAGAAGGAGCCATGCTGGGTGTAACACAGAGAACTGACAAGCATTAAAGCTGCTGGCACACTCATGGATGAAATACATTTTTATTCTTGTGATGCACCTTCAACAGAGTCATTTATTTTTCATCTGATCTTGTATACTTAAACTGTACAGCGGTATATTTCAGATGGATAGTGTCACATCTCTATGATGGCTGCAGTGTGGAGTCCCTGAGGTGGAACTTAGAGGGATGTCTAAGCTTATGCTGCCTGTCAGAAACAATATTAATCCTCATTATTTCCTCCTTCTCCATCCATCTCTCTCTTTCTGTGTCCAGGAGAGCGCTGCGAGCTGTCGTCCCGCTCCGGCCGCTGTGCTCCAGGAGTCTGCAAGAACGGCGGCACCTGTGTCAACCTACTGGTGGGCGGGTTTAAGTGCGAGTGTCCACCAGGCGGTTTTGAGAAGCCCTACTGTGAGATGACCACACGGAACTTCCCCCCTCATTCGTTCCTGACCTTCAAGGGCCTCCGCCAGCGCTTCCACTTCACCCTCGCTCTCACGTAAGCCCCCTCTGCAGAGCACCTGGTCCACCTGTGCTTCTCCGTCACCTTTCAGTGATTCACTCTACATCCACCTCCACATCACACTCCTGCACGCTCGCTTTACTGGAGTGTGCCCACCACCTCAAATTTATGTAACCACATTATGGTTTTAATGGGCATAATGGGTTCACTGAGTAACATCTATCTTCACTGGAGCCACTCTGGTACTAGAGCAAAGTTTCTGTAAGAACCAGTACTACAATCAATCAAGGCATGAATACTTGGAGTGCAAGCTGACAATAATCCAATAGAGAGTGATCTGCAGAAGCCGTGTTTTTGGAGGAAAGGGTTACATAAAATGAGGAAGTTAATCCCACAGCAAAGTGAGTCTGATCTTATTACAGTCAGTGTCAGTGGTCTCTATGAGCCATGAGTCACCATCTGGTCGAGATCATCACAGCCCATGAGAGAGTGGCTGTGTCAGTCATGTGCTGTTTGTTTGAAAGTTGTTATCATACTATAAGATACTACTTGCTCTTTAATATTTAAATTCCCTGCTAGTTGGTTTTAGTTTAACATCCCCAAGTGGTAAATGAAGTTTTTTGCTTGTTTGTTTTCTACTGTCTCAGTCCTTCCCTGTGGGAGGACAGTCATTGTTCACAATAAAAACAGTCTTTTCTTTTAGGTTAAATGCCAAATCACCAATCTTACATTAGAGCCCAAAATAAACATTTTTCTATCCTTATATTCTATCCTCACACCTAAAAAGCATAGTTAAAGACCCACTCCAATGAAAATCATGATTTTCTTGTTTTTCATATGGCATTTTTCTGATGCTACAGGACATATCATGAGAAAACTAAATGCGAAATTGCTTTCCTGAGTATTTCTTCATTCAATTGCTGTGAACCTCTTGCAGACTCAAACAGCAGGTTCAGAAACAGTGAGATTCCATACGTAACAAATCCAATAGAGGACAAATACAGAGGACGATCGTGGAACAAGCGTGTGCGTCAGCAGATTGCAACACTCATAAGAAAGCTAATTATGATATTAGCTTCCATCGTGTCCCTAAAGACATTAGTGTCTGAAAGCTGAATAGCTCCTATGTTACCTGCCACTTCTACTACACCAACAATGTTAGGCTACAAGCTAACGTGAAGAGGAGTGTGCAGAGCAGCGCTGTCTCCACTACGACTCAGAGGCGAATTGCTAATGATCTACTGGAGCTCTGCAGAAGAAAAGCCCTTGAAAATGACACAGGTAATGTGATTTTTGGCTAAAAATGTCATAATCACAATTTAAAAACCACTGACAACACTTTAAGAAGTAAAAAAAAAAAAAGAAGCGGAGTGGGACTTTTAGATGTTCACCTGATACCTTTACTTTTTGAGAGATTAAAAAGACAACATTTAGGAGTCAGGCTTGTACTTTGACCTGCTGAGTTTGAAGCTTAATAATCAAGTTTTTTTATGATTTCTTTGACAAGAGGACACTTGATTTTCAGAAAAGCATGTGCACACTGTAAGAAAAATTCCACTTTAGACTAATTCAGGGTTGATCTTTTCTCGTCCATTGTGAGGTGCAAACAGAGATGTCATTGCTCAGCTGGCCCCCGTGTTCAGAGGCAGAGGTGTTATCTTTTTCTGTAATGAGCATTCAGTAAAAATAGCTAAGCCCAGGGTTCCTTTCATGTCCTGCACAGCACAAAAAAAGACAACCTGGAGTCTTCTCATCTAAATTTTATTACATTGGTTTTAAAAGAAGACAGATTTACATTTTGCAAGGTCTCATTTCTGCTTTTATTCCACCTTAAGGCAGAGCTTCTCAACATTATCATGGTTGTAGGCTTTTATGATGGTGTTTTTATGTAGATGAATAGTTCTTCTTTTTTCACACTACGACCCGACCCGTGTCAGATCATTCGCTATAACGCATGTGAAGTATGGTGAGAAATTGAAGCTGAAGCCTGTAATCTGTGGGTTTATCTTTTGGAGGTGGTTTGTGGAGGGGGGAGGGCCCACGGAGATGAGCAGATGAGCTGTGAACACTGAACACATGCAGAGACAGCAGGACTTCCAATCTGCCTGAATTCTCCACGTGATGAAATGTAATCATCGATAAAAGCAGTTCGTTCTGTTTGATTTCTGTCACAACAAGCGACAACAAGTATCAGCTCTCGGATGGTATCACAGGGAATATGTCCAACCTTTTTGCTTCACTTATTGTCATTCTTGTCACCTTAGACGTGCTTGGCAGGGGCAGACTCTCACAATAGCTGTAGGTGAAAATAATACACCCCTTGAGAGCTTCACGGACATGGCCCTTTTTTAAGCCAGTTTCAGATTACATCGTTTTTTGATGCAGGACTGCTCAAACCAGTTTTGAAAGTGGTCTACATTTCACTGGCAGGTCACAGAAGCTGTGAAGTAGCTGGTGTGTAAAAGGTGCCGGTACTGAGTGCCCCAGGCAGGTGAGGTCAACAAGTGTCTCTGTTACCTGAGCCTGCACCGATCAGGTTCTCCCAGAAAGAGCTTCTGTTATGATGAACAACTCAGGATGTAGATCTTGTTCTCTGAGTGAGACTGCTAATTTTAGGTCTCATTTGATGCAGTTCAGGCTGTTGACTTCTGCAATCAACGCTGAGATTCAGCAGAAAAAAAGCGCAACATGTTACAGGATCGAAACAAACAAGATCAGCCTCCTTCTGAGTGAGTTCACAGAGAACTGAACGCTTCAATTAACAGCTTTTGGAGACGTGGTAAAAAGCACTTCTGCAGGAGTATTTATGTTGACATTTGTGTTCCTCTTGTTCGAGCTTTGCAGTTGAACTACCTTTAATAATGCACGAGGCAAATGTCACAACTTTTATTTATAGAGCGCTTTTCCTGCATGGACAGACAACACAAAGAGCTTTACACACACATAGAGAAAAGGAAAAAAAAACAGAAAAACATGCTGTTATAACTTACAGTACATCTTATGGTTGAAATAATTGTTGGTGAGATGAACTCAGCTTTGCTGCTTTGCCTGGCCTAGAGCTTGCTTCACTTTTTCCTGTCAAAATCATCCGGCCATTTTTTCCTCCAAATATTCTGCCTCGAACAAAGTAAAGATCTTTGGTGGTACATGCAAAGTGAAGTGGTCCCTTAAAAGGATATTCCGGCATAAAATTAATTCAGTGTCAAGCACAACGTAACACCGAGTAAGACACCCCCTTGAGAGATGAATGTTGTCGACTGCTTGCTTCTCTAGTTAAACCAACTTTAGTAACGACTGCAAGATAGCAATACACAGCGGTCTGAGGAGTCACACACAAACCTCAACCAAAACACCACTCTATAGCCACAAATAATGCTCCGAACAGCACCTAACTTCATCAACAGTACATACAGGGTCCCAGCCATAGTACTAGCCACCAAACATCTTTTTAACTTTGCCTGATTTCTTTAGCAAAGAGACTAAACACAGCTCACCTACTCTCCTCCAGCAGCCGCTTGTTTGTAGTGAGACCTCAGGCCAGTCCATTACGGACTACAGGGGGGTGATGCAGCTCATGGAAGAACATTTATGATCATTTCTTTATGGAAATGCGATGAGACGCTAAAGCAGACAAACTACCGCATCTGCAGTGCAAAATGATTAATATGGTGATTATTACTTCAAGGAAATGATAAAGAAATGATCATAAATGTTCTTCCTTGAGTTACGTCACCCTGCAGCAGTCTGTAATGGACTGGCCCGAGGTCTCTCTACAAACAAAGGGCTGCTGGAAGAGAGTAGGTGAGTTGTATTTAGTCTCTTTGCTAAAGAAATTAGGCAAAGTTAAAAAGATGTTTGGTGGCTAGCACTATGGCTGGGACCCTATATGTACTGTTGATGAAGTTAGGTGCTGTTCTGAGCATTATTTGTGGCTATAGAGTGGCGTTTTGGTTGAGGTTTGTTTATGGCTCCTCAGACCGCTGTGTATTGCTATTGTGCGGTCGTTACTTAAGTTGGTATAACTAGAGAAGCGGTCGACAACATTTATCTCTCGAGGGGGTGTCTAACTCGGTGTTACTCCCAAATATCCCTTTAATCTCTCTTTTTTTGGGAGGGATATGTTAAGAAATTTTCTTATTTCTGTCAAAAAAAGGAAACTTCCTTGTTTTTAAGGTAAGAAGTCAGGGGATCGCAGAAAGAACTCTGTATTTTCTGTGCAATATTTTCTGAGATATTTCAGTCTTTGTGAGAAGAAGTGATTCAACAGCCTGCCTCTGCCATCCCTGCAGCTAAAAATAATATCCAGAGGATTATTCAGAGACACCTCTCCTTCTTCAGGTATATATGTTCTATATATTAGCACAGATTTCTCTTCAACACACATCAAGCGCTTACAGGCGGTAAAATCAATATGAGGCTCTTTTATTTTTCCTCCTCAGTGCACACATCGTATGAAGTACAGCATGTTAGCATTGCGTGACATGGTTCCCTACATAAGGGCAGACTGGTTGTTATTTTTACTGATGGGCGCCTAATGTGACATGCAGTGATGCCAGTTCAGTCACCATTTAGCTCTGGTTGATTACTCTCATAGTTCAGAGGGCTCAGGGGGGCAATGTGGAGAGGCCTTTTAAATCGATCCATCAAAGACTAAAGCTCACTGACTGACTTAGGACTAATAGACTCTGGATTGATACTCGAGTCGGCATTTTGTGGTCTTTACAGCATATATAGAGCAGCCCTGGATTCTCTGGGCTCTGTCTCTACTCTCACAATCAGTTGGAGCATCCTCTCCCTTCTGAGTCTATGACTACAGATTTTCTCAGTAAGCAGGTCAGCGATGCTGTGCCCTCTGGCTTCTCTCCAAGTAAAAAATCCTGCACAAACAGCATCATTTACAGAAGACCCTCCAACCTTGAGGACTGAAAGAGGGGGGGTGGGCTGCTCATGTTTTCATGCATGAGAGAATGTAAAGATATTTAGATGTGGCATCTTTTCTTCTTTAAAGGCTTTTTTAGGGTTAAATAAATGTTACTTTTGTGTTTGAGGACTATAAGTGTTTAAAAGTTCCAGTGTTTGAGCTTTTGAGGAAATTTTAGATGCATGTTGTTGGAGTTAATGACCGAGAAATACAGATGCTAGTTACTCACACATGCCCCTCAGTTGACAGATGTGCTCACAAAGTCTTGTTGTTGTGTCTCCTGTGGGATGATGAATACACCCTGTTGTCCATGTAGTTTTTTTTTTTTTAAACACACTTTCAAACATCACAGTGACCCATTTCCACAGATTCAGATTTACGAGCACAGACTACAGATGACAGGAAAGTGTGATATTTTTAAAACCACGTGCAGTAATCCCAGATCCAGAGTGAGCCGTCGGGTCTTTGGGTTTGAACCATATGAGCCCAGATATATTGAAATATGCATTAATATGCGTGGTTAATGCAGCATGTCCCTGGGTGATTTGGTTTCAGCTGCAAGATGCCAACAAAAACCTGGAAGTGTGGCCGTGGTTGCAGCATTCACAGCTGTCTGTTTCTTTCTCTTCCTTGAGAAAAATGATTTTAAAGCTGTTGTTCCTCTAAACTGTCTTCCTGTGTGCTTCTTCTTTCTTAATGTGTGCCTCCACCCTGCTGCTTTGACATTGCCCTAGTTTCCTGTCTCTGTGTTGTAGTGTGTGGTTCAGTGTGGCTCTAATATCTATTCATGTCACGCAGATTGTGTATTCCTTTGCTTCCGCTAATACACAGTCTTGTGTTCATGATTAACCTCATTATTTGTTCACTGATCTTTGTATGATCAGCATTATTAAATCCTGACTTTATAATCAGAATAGTGAGTTACTCATCGTGCTTTCTCTCTTTGTGGGTCGAGGAGTATACGCGCGTGAAGAAAGAAAGGTGGATGTGAGGGGATGGTATGGATATTTCTAAATGGGTCAAACCTAAGGACCACTTCCCTCTTTCTTTTCTTGTCTTTTTTTCTCTGTTAATGGGGTTTACAGACATGGCCAACAGCACATGTACTTTTACTTCACACATCAGTAGTCCTGCAATTTTGTGTTTTTATACTCAAAGGCAGGGCAATGCTAATGAATTAAAAGAAATCTTAGAAAACAACCAGGAGAAACCATTTCTTGAGCTCAAAAGTTCCACCAAAGTCAACAGTAGTTTTGATTTGGTCTATGTGGGGACATGATTTTAAAAACAACAGTTATAAATTATTGTCAGTATATTTTTATAGCAAAAGGAGGCTCATTAATTGCTCATTAGGCACTCCAGAGAGTGCTATCAGGAGAAGAGTACTGAGTGTGATGTAGAAATAATAAATGAGAGTAACCTGGTTTATGGATGTCATCCAGTGAAACTGTGCGACTCAGTCACTTTGATGGTTTATTTTTTAAATTCTGTTATATGTACAATTGTTGGTGCACATACTAGACTGTATATAAGATGGACAATTTGCTCCACCTTCCTCAAGTATGCAGATTTGAAGCAAAAAAGCTCTCAGTAATTCTGTGTTTTTTCTCCACTTCCTGAAACCAACATTGGGCAGTATTACTATACGCATTCGGCGGGAGAGTCGCTGAGAGTCACTGTGATGATGCATTGCTCAAACAGCGTATCCCCTGGGTGAGCTACACAATCTTCGTACGCCCATAGGCTGTATCAAGTGTCAATCATAGAAAACATGAACCCCCTAAAAACCTTTAAAAATGGAGCTATACAGAATAAAGAGGACTTGAGCACAAACCAGTCTGACAGTAACTACATGTCAACATTGCAACCAGGGGGGAGAAAAATTTATATTCCCTGTAATAAATTTCTAAAGTTTGTCCACAGCTCTATAAGGATTGCTGGAGGAGGCGGGATTTATGACCTATACTGCAGCCCGTCACCACGGTGTGCTGTTCTTTGGGTGGCTTCACCCAGTGAGGAGGCAGACGGCGTCCATTCTTTATACAGTCTAAGTTGGTGCATCAGTTTGCTTAGCAGATTTGGTGTGCCAAGGCTACAGTCCTCTTTTGCAGTGGTTGCTGGTTCGACAACCCAGACATGTCCCCTTTGCTGGTGTCGCCCTCAACACTCTACCTCTCGATTTTTTTGTCTCTTTTCATCTGTTTTGTTTAATAAAAGCACAAATGCACCTAAAATGAGTGAAAATTTTAAACATAGTATTGTTAAATATTGTTGATGATGAGGAAAGAAAGGGAATTAAAAACCTTCCTCCAGCATTATTCTGAATTTACTGAATTATTATGAATATAACTCATGAAGATAATAAGTAATTAATTAGTGTGTAGTGTCAAATTTAATCAAAAAAAATTTTTTTTCTTCAGATTTGCAACAAAGGAGCCAAATGGTTTGTTACTCTACAATGGCCGCTTCAATGAGAAACATGATTTCATCGCCATGGAGATCATCAATGAGCAGATCCAGCTCACCTTCTCTGCAGGTACCCTCACTTATGACCTGTCACTTTGTTTACGAAAAAAACATTTCATCACTTTGTGCCAGTTTGTAGAGAGTGAGTTAAATTCTTCACTGCTTCGACTCTTCCCAGGTGAGACCCAAACTACAGTTTCACCGTTCATCCTCGGAGGGGTCAGCGATGGCCAGTGGCACGTGGTGGAGGTCCACTACTACAACAAGGTATGAGCTCTAATAAACTGACCCAAGAACAACATCATGAGTCCCCTAAGTTTATCGACATGCAGAGGATAAGGCAAAAATGTTTTGGCTATCTTCTGTCAATTGTTTATTTTTAGGACACTGACAGATTTAGTCGTTCAAAAATATCACACAAACCTATCAGCACCACTAAATCACACTAAAATACATGTTTTATCTCTCTTTAGCGGAAAGTTAAAAAAAGTGGCAAATTTTGGTTCTAAAGAAAGGTTATTACCTGATTTAGTTGCCTTTTGACAGAGCTGGGCAAACTGACCCCAAACGTTTCTGTTGTTCAATGCAGTAACGCTTAATTTGACGCCTATCTCTATAACGCATTATAATGTGTAATACGTTATAATCACGTTATAGCACTGTATAACTATAGTTATAAACACTCATAAATGATCATAATGCTTTATAGCAATAATCATAACACATTATAAAGCATTTTATCATGACCTACAAGGTCAGGTATTATAATTTGCTGCAACTTTTAACAATAATTGCATTGCATTATGTATGTGGACATTGTCAGTGAGTTGTTAACAGTTATAACACATTATAATACCTGACCTTGTAAGTCATGATAAAATGCTTTATAATGTGTTATGATTATTGCTATGAAGCATTATGATCATTTATGAGTGTTTATAACCATATTTATACAGTGCTATAACATGATTATAAGGCATTATAGAGATAAGCGTCAAATAAAGTGTTACCTTTAAGGCTAAACTAAGCTAACCAGCGACTGGTTTTCACTCAATGTACAGAAACAGACATGATGTCACCCCAGTGAACATGTACTCATGTTGGATCTTGTCCACACAGCTATTATCTGTTTCATTTCCTCTTTTTAATTGTCATACAATAGCTCACATACCTTTGTTAAAAACCGCTGTGTCTGCTGCTGCTCCTCTCATCAGGGTTGACGTGACATTACAGAAAAGATCCAGAGTGAAATCAGGTTGTCGGTTTGATTCCCTGCAGACAATTGAAAATGTGTCTCTTTTTCAGTAACTTGTTTTTTCACCTCCATAACTCTGTATCTGTACTGAACACAGTGAGTAGATAGGAAACCCTGAGCCTTGTAAGTTTGTTGCTCTGCCTCTTTACTGTCAGACTTAAGAATCGCTGCTGACAGGCGGATGATCTGGAAGAGTGCCAACATGCCAATGAAACACTGACAGAGGCTCAGACAAGAGAGGAAAAGTGTGGGGGGTGTTAATGAATGAAAGCCAGAGAAAGAAAAAATGCAACTTTTCTCCAGACTCAACGGTTTATGTTTTGCTGATACAATCCTCAGTAAGAACATTACTTAAGATCAATCAGAGGAAACATATTAGGACCTGTTGCCTCAGCTCTCTCAGTGTTTTCCCACTCAGGAATAACACGCAGAATGTCACTCTAAAATCTATTCAAATCGTCACTTTGCATTATAAAGATGTTGCCAGGCAACACCCCCGCTGCTCACATTTTCTATCGAGGGTCTATGATAACATGGCTGTTTCAGATTTTAGTGATGAAAGGGGTAAACTTGTTGACTTTTGGATGAAAAATGGTTGCAGAAAGACATTTATAGTCTCATTAATCACTCTTGTACAAAACCTGTTTATCAAACAACTTTGAGTTATTGTTGTTGAACTTGCCCTTCAACTTCATTTCTGTAGGGGTACAGACTGTTTGAAAATAGGATGACTCTTGATATGAGATTTACATGTACACTTCAAGTTAAAAATACAACATGTAGATATTTTACTCATTTTGGTGAAAACTTTTTGACACCAGTTTTGATCCGCTTTGATGCAGAATTCCAGCTCATTTAGTGGCACCAAGAATAATGTATGAAGTGAGTTTAATTAATTGATGATACATTAAGAATTAAGTGACCACGCAAGCTCAGAGAGCGCGATCATTTCTTAATGGTGAGCAAAAGAAATTAAAAAAATATATGTCATACGATATGTTCATTTTTTATGGAGTGAAGCCTGTGTACGTAATGATGTTGAATACATACCGTAAGTTTAGTCTTAAATATCCCAGAAGTGTCCTGGTTTCCTCCTCTCATCTCGTCCTCCACATCCTGTGAGCTGCTGAGGTAAAAACTCGGCTCCTCCCTCTGAAGGTATCCCATGGTGGCCCACTCTGACCTGTCCCTGTCCCTGTCCGCAGGGGGTGGGGCAGGGTGAGGCAGTTTGGGGAGGAGGGCATTTTAGATTGAAATGTGGCTTTCAGGATAGCGGGGGACTGTGGAGAATGGCAATGACCGCTTGCCTTTGTGTCGGGCTCTGCTTCCTTTGGGACCATGGGCAGTGAATGATGCGGCCCCGGGGAAGGTGCCCCTGTCTCTCTGTTCTCCGGCATGACAGAAAAGCGGAGCAGAAGAGGAGCGAAAGGAGGCCAAAGAAAGGCTGAGAGATGTATTGACTCGGGCTTTGAACGGGGATGGTGCGCTTCAGGGCCGACCCCTCTTGTTGCTATGGTTTTTTCAGTCAATCTTAAATCCCATATTTGTGTTGCTTGCTGCCATGGTCCTCCTGAGAAACCCCTGTCGCCTTCTGTGACAGCAAACTCATATTCCCATAATCTCCTGTCGCGGCGAGTGAGGGCAGTGTTTAATGTTGTCCTGAGTAAATATGTGCGTTCCAATCAGGGCTGACAGGACGGGGTTTGTTTGGCAAGGAGACGTCCTGACAGACAGTCATTATTGGAGAGTCAACAGGCGTGACTGATGACAGCAAAGGTCAGTAAAGGGAGCGTCCAATCTGGAGCACTGCCTGTTCCACCGCTTTCACAAAGCCTGGAAAAAACAGCGTGTTGGGTGATTTCACCTTTGGCAATCAACACTGTGTGTTTGCTTGTTTCATCATCAACAAATTTGTAACAGATTGGCCTTGAAGAGCATCAGCTGAGAAGTTAAAAAGTCACTTTCAGTCTGTTCTTGTCTACTTAACATTTCAGAGCTGAAACAGACGGTTTCACAGTCAAAAATAAATGTTGGGACTTCCTGTGGGAAAAGCGCTCAACAACGGGGCCGTTGTTCTGAAAAGTAACATCAGTCACCTGAACTGCAGGCTGAGGAGGAAGTTTGTATTGTTGCCATGGCTACCAAAATAATAACTGGAACCATGAGCATCTTCACATCCTGTAATTACTCAGTCTGAACACTGGGCTAAATGGAAGTCTGTCACAAGTGCAATCTGAGATTTGATAAATCGTTCCCGCCAAACATCAAATCAGAAGCGACCGGATTATGTTTTTTGTTTCAGTAAAATCTATTCGTCTATTAAAATTTTAACTTGTTCTGTGAATATGTCCAGATTTGTTTGATGGATGGCCAGAAATTGATGCTTTGGGTGAACTTGAACAGCTTTATAAACATTTTATAAATTCCTAAATCAATCACTGGATTGATCACCAAAAAGCTTTGTACAGACATTCATGATGTTCCCTTACAGAGAAAGTTTGTTATTTATGTCGGGCCCTTCCCTTTCCACTGAGCAATAGACGGCTATTAGACGTCTAGATTTTTTTTTTTAAACTAATTTCAACTGTCTGGATTCTGTATATTTTTAGATGGAATTTAGACGTTGCACTTTAACCCATTATCTGATAACTTTTTATTTCAAAAAGCAGCTGTGAGTTGCATAACTGATCTCCAAGTACTTAACCAAAAAAGTTATAATAGCCGTTGAGCAATATACAGTGTAGTATAGATATAGCCCAGATTTAGATTTAGTCTAAACTTGGTCTAAATAACTTTCATTTTTAGACCTGTGGTAGCCTGATTTTAGACCAGGCGTCTAGGCTACATTTAGACGTCTATTAGACCTCTTTTAGACCAAAAAAGGCTCAGTGGGTTTTTTGTGGAATAATCACCAAGTCAACATCTTGTTGGTCCGTTTCTTTACTTTAAGGCTAAATGACCACCAACATGTTGATCCTGTCGTAAGACTCAGTTGTACATTGCTTAGTGGTAATAAACAAACATTAGCATTGTTAACAAAAACAGTTAGCACTGTAAACCTGCTCAGCAACAGATGTTAGCTTTGTTATTGTGGCCATGTTAGCTTTCTTAATTTAGCTTTTAACTTGAAGCACAGCTGTGCCTACATCCTCACAGCTAGCACAGCAGTAACCCCACAGGCTGGAGGCCTTTATTTCACTCTTAGATGCCTTTTTTTTTTTAAATAGATCACATGTTCTGGTTTAGCTTTTATGTTACAGTTAGTTTGCGACAATTTCCCAGTCTTACGGGTAATAAAGTGTAGTCTTTCTTTTATTCTACATCAAAACAACCACAGCACGATGAAACAACACTTCCTCCAAATAATCAACATAGTTCAGGTGAGGTGTAAAACACACAGTCTGGTGGTTTAGACTTTTTTTTTTGATATGTCTCATTCATATCACTAGCGCTCTGCACACTCTGTGATCACAAGACATGGGGGTGAACTCAGGAATTCAACTCACCGCAGCCTCTCAGTTACAGAGTCGTGTTATTAAAGGCTCACAGAGATTTAATCTAATCTACCCGAGGAAAAAAGTCATGTGAGAGAAATTAAATTGTCGGGCTGCCTTGAGGCCAAAATTATATCTGCCATTAATGCCATGCATGATAAAGTGCATTTTTGTCTCAATGGATTTCCTCTGGGTAGAGCTGCTCAAGATGTTGCACCAGCCAGTGAAACCACAGTACATCTCCAGCTGGGTGATGTTTTCCAAGATTCAATTTACAGGATCAAACAGCAGAGACAAAAGGTCAGAACAACAGTGCAATCAAGAATCGTCATCCCTGAAGCTTGTGCAATCAGCAACAGCATCTATTTTAGTTTGAGCCCATGGTAAAAAAAAAAGATTCAGACTACAAAAGCTCCATGTTGTTTTGAAGCTAAGAGCCAGTTCTTCATATCATCTCTGCTCATGAGACGAGCTAATTCCTGCTAAATCCTGTCTGAGCAGCTGACAGCTCAGTGGCCCGCTGCCGCCTGCAGGTCGGCTGTGTGTGAGGGCGGTCGCTGCGCCGCTCACAGCCCACGACACCAGCTTGAACCCACACTTAAGGTTAATATGAGCTCTAGGTGACCTCTGAGTCACTGGGCGGTTTGTAAAGAGGTCCTGACCTTTTATTGACAGGATCATCATTCTCTCCCCCGCAGACCCCTCCCCCTTTTGTTTCTCCCCCCATTGATTTCTCAGACAATGAAGAAGATCCTTTGTCATTGGGGATGATGTCCTGCAGAGAGCAGGCTCTACTTCCATGTGTGCAGCGTGTGTGCGTCTTTGCATTCAACTCCAGCTGTTATGATATGAATCATTAGAATACTGAACAAGGCGATCTAACAAGAATTGACCTGAGTGAAATATAAAACATCTTTTTTTGTTGTTGTTGTTGTTGTTGACCACTTTTCAAGCCCAAAGAGTTTTATCCAGCTCATACAGCCATGCACAGATTAGCAGTGCCTGAGACTGCCAGAAGTTTCATAGACTAATCCTTAAAGAAGTGCTGCAGAATAATAAGAAATTTCCCTAATAACCTATTTCTGGGTTCTATTTTTTTTAAAGGGATATTCCGGCATAAAACTAAGCTTGGGTCAAACACACCGTAACACCAAGTTAGACACCCCGTCGAGAGATTAATGTTGCCGACCACTTGCTTCTCTAGTTGTACCAAACTTTAGTAACAACCGCAGACTGCTCTATAGCCACAAATAATGCTCAGAACAGCACCTAACTTCATCAACAGTACATATAGGGTCCCAGCCATAGTACTCGACACCAAACATCCTTTTTAGCTTTGCCTGATTTCTTTAGCAAAGAGACAAAACACAACTCACCAGAGTTGTCAAACACACAGACGCTTGTTTATACTGAGACCTCTGGGTGAGTCCACGACTGCAGCGGGGTGACGCAGCTCAAGGAAGAACATTTATGATCATTTCTTTATCATTTCCTTGTAGTAATAATCACCATATAAATCATTTTTCACTGCAGACGTGGTAGTTCTTCTGCCTTAGTGTCTCGGTCTGATTGTATTTCCATGGACAAATTATCATAAATGTTCTTCCTTGAGCTGCGTCACCCCACTGCAGTCAGTGGACTCGCCCGGAGGTCTCCGTATAAACAAGCGGCTGCTGGAAGAGAGTAGTTGAGTTGTGTTTAGTCTCTTTGCTAAAGAAATCAGGCAAAGTTAAAAAGATGTTTGGTGTCTAGTGCTGTGGCTAGGACCCTATATGTACTGTAGATGAAGTTAGGTGCTGTTCTGAGCATTATTTGTGGCTATAAAGTGGCGTTTTGGTTGCGTGCGTGGCTCTCTGTATTGCTATCTGCGGTCGTTACTAAAGTTGTTATAACTAGAGAAGCAAGCGATCGGCAACATTCATTTCTGGCTGGGTGTCTAACTCGGTGTTACGGTGTGTTTGACCCTAACTTAATTCTACGCCGGAATATCCCTTTAATGTCAGGTGACAAAAATACTACAGCATCTTTAAATTATCTACAAATCAATAATGCTTTTTGTTCTTATCGCTGTTTCATGATCTTATTGCTGACAAACCTTTAGGGAAATCTCAGATCACTGCTCTCTGTAATTAATTAGATATCTTTCTTATTTCTATCTGGCTATTTTTGCTTGTTCTGCCTCTCTGTGATATATGTGTGAGAACATTAATTCATCATGCACACTGGTGAAAGCACAAAACAAAGACTGGGTCCTTAGCCGGCTGGAGAGAAAAGAAAGTTTAAGATGCCTGAGTGTAAACAAAGTCTCTGTGTTTATAGGGCCTGGAATTAACAAAGCTTTATGAATTCATACCCTCTCTTACTCGATAAATGATCTCCATTTTCATGAGTTTCTCTCTCATCGTCCCCACAGCCAATCCTAAACCAGGCTGGTCTACCACAGGGGCCTTCAGACCAGAAGGTTGTCGTAGTGACAGTGGACAACTGTGACACCTCTGTGGCCCTCAGGTTTGGTCACATGATCGGAAACTACACATGTGCTGCTCAGGGCAGCCAATCAGGATCAAAGAAGTAAGTCTTCATGAGCAGAATTACAGATACTTTCATGAAAATATAGAGAATAAATGTCTCTAGGAGCAGAGTTTTTATAAATAAATGTTTGCACCCATAGCTTCTTACATCCTCCCTCCTACAGCTGCAGTTACTTCATTAACGTAATTGATGAGATCCTTTGTAGTTTCCTCATTAAAAGAGAGTAAACTTGTTTAGAGATGAAGATCCACATCTCTAGGGTGTTGGCTAAGCTGGGCTTTTTCCCCCTTTATAGTGATGTTTATCCTCTTTCCTGTTTTTATCTCCATGGAGTAGAAATACAAGAAATACAACTGCAAAACTCTCTGTGATAAATATTTTATGGCTCCCCCCTACCCACCCCCACCATGATGTAAAGGCAGGGCAGGACTGTGGGTGCGTAAATGTTCATGGGTCTCTGTCTTTTTAGATCTTTAGACCTGACGGGCCCGCTCCTCCTAGGAGGAGTCCCCAAACTCCCAGAAGACTTTCCTGTCCACAACCGGCAATTTGTGGGCTGCATGAAGAATCTGAGGATTGACAACCAGCACGTAGACATGGCCAGCTTTATCGCTAACAACGGCACTCTGCCAGGTATGTAGCTACCATTTGACCTGCAGGTCGTTCCAACCTGGGGCTGTTTTGTAGTCAAACAGTAGCCATGTTTACATGTGCAAAATTTCTTGATCTGATTAAAAATTTGAGGGATCGGATAATCTGAATTCACAGTTTATATGGGTGCAAAATCAAATACTACGATCATAACATTCATATACATGCACCAAGCTTTATTCAGATCAGAAGCATTTGGACATGCGTAGAGAACACAGAAGAAGAGTTGTATTTACGCCTTTGCTGTCAACAAACCAACAAACGCGGTAATAGCTCACTTCATCCAATTCAGGATTTTTTCCCTTGTTAAACGGTGTCACTAGATGGCGCCCTTGCATGTAGATGTGACATCATTAGGCTGTATGTACGCCTTGTTATGTTGTACTGGAGGAGCAGCCACTGCAACCGCGGTTGTGTTTTATGCCAGAGTGTTAATAATGAAACCTCCTGTACTGACCTCAATAAATAAAACAAAGGCTAAAGAGTGAAGATCGAGTCAGGTTAGAGAGTCACGATCAGAATAAGTGTTTACAGGGACGCATTTCGGAATAACGATCCGCAAAAAACACCCCTCTAGATCGGAATACAATTTCTTTCCGATTGAACCAAATTGGATCAGAATCTTCCGATCGACATGTTTACATGACACATTTTTACTCAGATCAGTGGATTTTTTTGTGCCCATGTAAACACAAGTACTGTTTCTTTGTTGAATGAGCAAGTGAGGAAGACATGCAGAAGGAAGAAAATAACAAAGCCTTTAATGAATACAGTGGGGGGAAGTCTATCCAGTGAAAATGATCATTCTACCTGCTATGAATAGTTCATCTGCCTCTAACTCTTTCAAACTCAGGCATAATGAGGTAGAGCAGATCAAACAAATGGATGAACCTCTGATTTCCTCTACTCTCAGGTTGCTCCGCCAAAAGACATTTCTGCAACAACAACCCCTGTCTGAACGGGGGAACCTGTGTGAACCTGTGGGGCTCCTTTAGCTGTGACTGCCCTCTTGGATTTGGAGGGAGAAACTGTGAAAGAGGTGAGTGTGTTTGGCTAAATAAGCTAGATGAGACAGATGACACCTGACATGCAGTTGTCTACAGTTTTGGAGGGTGGGGGTTGTGCCTTTTTTAAGAGGGTAGGACCGTGTATAGAGCAGGAAATGTTGAGAGAGAGCGGACACTGACGTGAGAAAGTAGCCTCAGGCATGGGTCATTCACCTGTGTAAATGGGACATGGGATTAGACTGCTAGGCAGCAGCACCCGCCTGCAGTTTTGATCTGAGACTCTCATCTACACGTGAGAGCTGAGAATGAACTTGTCATTGGATATAAAAGTGTCAAAATAAACAGAGTAGAAACAGAAATAGACTCCTACTGCTGCAGGTCTACCTTGTGTAGATTTTTGTCTTCTTTTTTTGGCCTGATTAATGATAGAAATGTGATAAACTGTGAGCTGTTTCCCGTTGAATTTTCTCATGTTTGAACAACGTCAAAACGCTGAAGAGTAATTGCTTTTTGACATTCGAACACATACAGTAAACTTCTTATGTTTCTGTCCCTGTGTTCTCCAGTGTCGGTTTTTGTTCCACCCGATCCACCGCAGCTGTTGGCTCCTCTGATTTATGGTTTGCAGCAATTTGAGAAGAAATAGAGGAAAAGAAACGAGCCGTGTCAACATCTCTAGCAAAACAAACACAAACTCTTTTTCTCAGCTTGAATCAGGGTGTATAAGATTTATAAAAGTAAGCACTTCTTTATGTAGATTAGTACTAAAAAAAAGAGAGAGAAGAGAAGTTGTTCTGCAGGTAGAGACAGATTGATATTCAAAGAGGAACAGATGTGTTCATTAAAGTTTATGAGCAATATAGAAAGTGGGCCATAAGGCTGTTTGATCAGGCGTTACTGATCTTCAGAAGTGCTGTAATCAGTTCTGATAACTTGAATACATTATAATGAACATCATCAGATGTGCAGTTGTCGATGTATGGAGTGATTTTAGATAATTGGCTGAAAACTAATAATGATTGACGAGTGGATCATCAGAAAATTACAGAAAAGTATTTTCGAAATCAGTACTGGTGTCTTCTTGCTACATGTGTGTCAAACAGGAAGCAGATTTCTTTCTTTCTTTTTATGGTTGATGTGTTTTATTATGTGTAGATTTGGGGCCTATTGACTGAAGTTTCTCTCTTTGGATCTCACTCCCCTCAACCACAGCACATCAGGTTTATTTGGCATCACAAATTGACCACTTCGATCAGGGGCCTTTCTTCACTTTGTACCAACGCGCCTTAATGAGGCGAACCTGCTTCACATCACGCAGCGTCCTTTTCTGTTACTTTGTTGTTGTGAGAAGAGGCAGAAAAGCTTTGTTAGGACCCCAAAGTCAGTGCATGAGGGCACAAACAACTCACGAAATAAACTTCCCTCTGATTCATGAACTACAAAATGAAACTTAATGTAGCTGCTGCACTAAATACACAGTCAGAGGGGGTCTTAGGGATCCCCTCTGGACACATTTTAAGGCGTATTTTGTTACTTTGCTTTGAATAATAATTTATGACTAAAACTTTTTTATTTTTTTACTTTTAATTCCCTTGTTAATAAAAAAAAATCCTCTGCTTCACTGAAAAAAAAAGAATCCATGAATATGGATATCTTTTTTGGTTTCAAAAGTTCAGCCTCTGAACATTAGACGTCTCCTTCTTCAATGAAAAATCTTTTGTGACTTGAATGTGCGCTGGAGGTTTCAAGTTTTCACATCACTGCAGTGTGATATCATGTATTGGACTGTGTTTGGCCCCAACATCAGTTGTGATGTTGTTTATCCTGCTGGTAAAGAAATGCGCATCCAAAACTCCGCCTGTGTATGAGCACTGAGAATCCTCTGTGAATAGAGGTAAAGACGGCTTTCTAGCATCAAATTTTGCACAAACATGACTCTGTGCAGCAAAGCCAAAACATCAGGGCCAAAAGAAAAGAGCATGTCCAGACTTTTTGGACCCAACTGTGGCGTAGGAGGGTGTTCACGCACAAATCATATCTACTTCAACTTCTCACACTTAAAGGTCCTGTGATGAACTTTGTATGACGCCTACTCCCACCCACAGCCACGGTCATTTTGTTACTCTTCTTGGGTTTTTTAAGATCCTAAAGAGACTTCAATATTATTTCAGCCAGTTATACATTGAGCTGGGTGATATGGCCTGGGCAAAATCAATATCATGACATACTGAACAGCTCAAACTTTTGCACCTGCTGTTTCTGGCTTAGAGTGTTTGTACTTTCAAGTAAGCGCTCTGGTATGAGTTCTTTGTCCGTGTTAATAGAATATCAATCTGTGGCATTGATTGTCAGACTGTGTGATATGGGGCTGGGTGAGATGGCCTCAAATCAATATCACATAGATATATATGTATATAGAGCAGTTCACTTCGATAACGATAAATGGACGATAACGACTCCACAAGCTGCTCACCCCGTCTCAAGTTAACTTTTTACAACTTTTGAACCGTCCTCCATCTCCTCAACTGTCTTTCCCTCTTTGTTATGGACTGGATGGGGTGGAGTCACGTGTCTGATGTAGGACAGCATCTTAAAGGAACACGAGACCACATCCAAAACCAACTTTTATTTATTTTTTGACTCTGATTATATCGATAGGGGCAAAATGATGTTGGTTACTGTCTTAAATATCGGTATCGGTAAATTTTTGGTTTATCGCCCAGCCCTATTTTTGGTACAATAAAGTTTAGCCATTTCGATCATGATACTGACAGTGATAATGACAGTGTCAAATGTGCTACACTAAAATGTAAAGTGGCTACTGATAGTCCGTCATCACACAGCCCATGCAGTTGATTGAGCAGTAACCCCTTCCCCTGACATCCCAACTAGACAACCATAGGTCAGGGGTGGCAAAAAAGAAAAAAAAAATCTGTATTTCACTGACAGGAAACACTAACCCAGAATCTGTGTTTTAATGTTTACCTCAGTGTCCTTGGATCTTATCACGCATACTCTGATTATTTTTAGAAGGCCTCTGTGTTTCTTTGAATCATCAGAGGAGTGAGCTTTCAGGGAGCGTCTGTTTTAGCCTCAGACAGTCCTAAAAAAGCTGCAGATTAGCGAAGCATCAGTCTGTCTGATTAACTGAGAGTTTTGAAGCTGTGATAACTTGGACGTGATCAGGGAACATATTGGACTGGCTGGGTGACAGACATGACTCACTCTCCATAAAACTTTCTATCGCTCTCTCTTCATTTAGCTCCATCCCCCTCCTCCTCTTCCCTCCTCGAACTCTCTCCTTACATTTTATCTGATTATTGTCATCTTTCCGCCGTAGTGATGGCCAGCCCGCAGCGTTTCCTGGGTAACAGTCTGCTGCAGTGGAACAACCTGGCGGCAGCCTCCGTCCCCTGGCACGTCGAGCTCATGTTCCGCACACGTCAGGCGAACGCAACACTGCTGCACATCTCCTCCGGACAACAGCACAACCTCACACTGCAGGTGGGAGCAAGGTCACACGTCTCATACTGACACACATATTCTTAAGCTATGATTAGGTCCACTGTATGTCTGAGGCCAAGTTGCATCACTGTTGCATCCAAATGCTGCAATGAACAGCAATTCACCCTCAAAGGGAAAGTCTAATTTGGAAAAAATAAAAGAGAAATTTTGAGTAAAATATTATGTCTTCATGAGAGTGACTTCTAACTGTGTACACCTGAAGTTTTGAGGAAGATCGTAGGATTAAGGCTCCACCTGTTGGCCATTCGAGCTACAGCATCTCAATTAAGGCCGAGTGAAAACATCGAAGGCTTTATGTGTGATCAGCTACTTATATTGAGCTTGTCTGGACTGACACCTCGTTGAAATGACATAACTGTCTGATGAGATATTTCCAGCTCTGCTCACCTGTGATGTTCTGTATCTCAAAGTTTGACCTATGACTGTGTGACAGAGACAGTCAGGAGAACTCTGTGTTTGTTTGTCATTTGTTTCACTGCCCATCCTCTATTGTTCCTTCACTGTTATTGGACTCTGTTTCAATCTCCCTCCTGCTGTCTCATCCCTCTTCACGGTTTTCTCCCCCTGTCTTTGTAGCTTCGCGACGGGAGTGTGCTGATGGGGCTCCACAAAGGAGAAAACTCCACTCTCTCCCGTGTAGAGGAGGTTACAGTGAACGATGGAGAGTGGCACCACTTGCAGCTGGATATTAGCAGTCTGGGGGGAGTAGCGAGTCACCACAAAGCAGTTTTGTCTTTAGATCAGGGACTCTACCTGGTGAGTTTTAGACTCTTTCCCTCAAGACTCAACCTGAATTAGAATCTCTTGGTTTTGCATATTAAAACTATGACATGCTGCTTTATTAGGCAAGCATGGAGGTGGATGGGAAGTTGCGAGACTCCAAACTAAAGACTGTGAGCATTGGTGGTTTGGCAAAACTTGACGGCAAAATTCAGCATGGCTTTCGTGGCTGTATACAGGTTGGTACCTTCTGTAGCTGTGGATTCAAAACAAGAGTTTCAGCTGCATCTGAAAAAGACAGTGTGCAAAGTAGTTCTGCTAGCACTTTCACAAGTTTACATAGAAATATGAATGTTAGTGATTGTATCTCATGGTAATGTGAACTATGTGTTGAACTATGGAAATGTATTTGTTATTGTTAATAACAGTCTCTTTTGCATAATGATATGATAGCTGCTGTAAACAGAGATGTAAATGCTTGTTTGTTTGTGTGTATGTTTACAGGGTCTGCGTGTGGGCGGGGCTCTTAGTTTATCTCATGCAAGAAAGGTGAATGTGGAGGCGGGATGCAGCGTTCCTGACCCCTGCAGCTCCAACCCCTGTCCTGCCAACAGCTACTGCAGCGATGACTGGGACAGCCACTCATGCACCTGCCTCGCTGGTTAGTCTGCTGTCAAGTCCAACAAATATGGAAATAAAGCATATATGTAGGGCTTTTAAGGACACTTAGACATATCTATAGCCTAAATTTACAATTGATGCCTCCTCCCATGCCACCCTAAAACAAATAAAAGCATCATACAGAAATTAATCACACTGTGGGTGGGATGTACCTCTAAGAAAGAAGTGTTACTAAATGTATGCTGCTCCTTAGTTTTTTTAAAAACCCACACAGTCTCTTTATTGCACTTGTTGAGAGTATTTTTTAGCTGATGGTAGGGTTGATTTTAGTTCAGTCTAGTTTATTGTTTTGTTTATTAGGGATCATTCACATATTTTGTTGTATCCCTGCGCTGTCAGGGCTCGACAGTGCGACCATTTCACTCGCATTTGCAACTAGAAATAGATGTGTGGGAATTGTAAAATGTATTTAGGGGGCACATGTGCGCATAAAAAAATTAGCCGGGGCAACAGATGTTTCATCGGGTGTTGAATAAGGGACCATCAATAAATTACCGGTTGATGTTCTCGGAGAAGGCTGTTTTCCCTCAATAGCTTCCATGTCATGTGACCAATTGACCTAAAATTAATTTCAAATAATAGTACTTATGTCGACCAATAATACAAACATTATTTGATCAATTTTCATTGTGCCCTTAAAGTTCTTCGTGTGTTCCTTACCTTTTCAACTCTGACTGTTGTTGGTTGGGAGAACAGCATCTTATCTTTGATTCTCTTTTTTCCAATACAAGTGGAAAATGACAAATAGAGAGATTTTGAGATGTTTTCAAACTCATTAAAATTATTTTTTGTATTTTTCATGATCGTATGATGGAGCTTTTAACTTAAACTGTTTAAATGAAGTTAAGTATTTATTAATTTTCCCATTTCTTTTTGTTCAGGTTACTATGGCACAAACTGCACTGACGTCTGCTCATTGAACCCCTGTGAGCACGAGTCTGTGTGCACCAGAAAGCTGAACTCCCATCGTGGTTATACCTGCGACTGCCCCAGCAGCTACTTTGGCCACTACTGCGAGAAAAAGTATGCCTTCTATAGTCATATCTGTATTTTAATTATGATTCTCAGGTTGTATGAGGTGTCCCTCTGCAGGTAAATTAACAGTGTTTTTCTGCAGGACTGATCTGCCGTGCCCCAGAGGCTGGTGGGGTCACAAAACCTGCGGCCCCTGTAACTGTCAGACACACAAAGGCTTTGACTCTGACTGCAACAAGACGAGTGGAGAGTGCCGCTGCAAGGTAAGTGTGTATGCTGACCTACAACACAAACTCAGGACTCTCTAAAACACAAGCAATAGCGTGATAAATATTAAGAATCAGCTCTACAACCAATTATCTATCCTTCTCTTTGTTTTTATGTAAAACTCATTCAGATTTTCGCACTGCTTCAGACTTGTAAAAGTTATGTTTGAACAGGATTGAGAAAACCACCCCATGTGACCCCTTGTGGTGAAATGTTTGAAAGGGGTATAAAAACATGTCCCTATAAGAGACACTGATAAAGCCCTGGGTTGTGAAACTGTTATTCAGCATTTCCTCTCTCCAATCTCGTTTCCAGGACAACCATTATCGCCCTGAAAACAGCGACACCTGTCTGCTGTGCGACTGCTACCCTGTCGGCTCTTTCTCCAGAGCATGTGACCGAGAGAGTGGACAGTGTCAGTGCAAACCTGGCGTTATCGGGCGCCAGTGTGACCGCTGTGACAACCCCTTTGCTGAGGTTTCTCCTAATGGTTGTGAAGGTCAGGATGGATGACGTTACTTGACCAAGAGACCATAATTCCATGTTTATAATCCACATATAATAATTTTTCATCATAATCCTCATTTTCTCTCTCTGCTTTTCCTTCTCAGTAATCTATGACAGCTGCCCTCAGGCCATTGAGGCCGGGATCTGGTGGCCCAGGACTAAGTTTGGTCTCCCTGCAGCGGTCCCCTGTCCCAAGGGAACGCTCGGTAGGATGTCTTTTCAGGCAGCTCATTAAATTTCCATAAAATAATGGAAATATAGGAATCTCGCCTCCAGCTCTATTTCAGCTGCAGACTCTCCCTCACTTCTCATCACTTCTCTCTCTCTAATGCTCTCTCTCTCTCTCTCTCTCTCTCTCTCTCTCTCTCTCTCTCTCAGGCACAGCAATTCGACACTGCGATGAGCACAAGGGCTGGCTTCCTCCCAATCTCTTCAACTGTACCTCTGTCGCCTTCAGCAAGTTGAAAGCTTTGGTGCGTAACTTCTCTCTCAATCAGTTTAAAGTTGAAATAAACTTCGTAATTCACTCAAAGCGTCTTATTGTGGAAAGATATGGAGAAAATAAATAATCTAAATAGGTTAGGTTTTGATTTTCTTGATGCTTTTAATGTTTGATTGATGTGTGTTTTCATTCTGTATTAATTGTTTTTTATGCTTTAATTCACACTGTAACTGTGTGATATGGATAACAGGTTTATTGATATTGCTATAAATAGGCCAGATGTACCAATCCACTGAGTCTAAAAAAGGTCTAATAGTTGTCTAAATGTAGGCTAGATGAATGGTCTAAAATCAGGCCACCGTGACAGATGTCTAAAAATCAGTTTTTTTTAGACATCTAAATTTAGAACAAGTTTAGATTAGCCGCGCTTACAGAGGTCTAACTGTATATTGCTCAACTGCTATCATAATTAATTTGGTTAAGTACTTGGAGATCAGTTATGCAACTCACAATTGCTTTTTGAGATAAACAGTTATCGTATAATGGGTTAAAGTGCAACGTCTAAATTACGTCTAAAAATATACAGAATCTAGATGGCTGAAATTAGGTCTAAAAAAAAAAACTAGACCTCTAATACCCGTCTACTGATTTTTCTGGCATTTAATTGTATATTCAGTGAAAAGCCTCATAGTGGTACCAGAGTAATAGTTTGGAAATCACCACAGTCTTCTAGATTTATCCTCAGAGTTCAATGACAGTGCATACAGATCAAGACAGAGTGATAATGTGGACATTTTTGCACAGATATTTCATGGTGGACTGATAAAAGATGTTAATGAACTGAATTTGTTTTTTTGTTGTTGTTTTTTTTCCTTCTTTCAGTCTGAAAAGTTTTCCCGTAACGTAACACTCTTGGACTCCGGACACGTTCAGCAGACGGCGTCCATGTTAGCAAATGCCACCCTGCACACAGAGAAGTACTTCGGCAGTGACGTTAAAGTAGCGTACCGGCTCATGCAGAGTCTCCTGCAGCATGAGAGCAGCCAGCAGGGCTTCAACCTCACAGCTACACAGGACGTCCACTTCACTGAGGTGAGAAACTCCACACTGTCGATGTGTTTCTTCACATAATGAATAATACTGAAACAACATGAGAACAACACAACCCTGCAGATCTTACAGTAAACACGTTCAGTTTAAAAAGTGAAAGCCAGTCGTGTTTGGTGGGACTTTAATCTGCAGGGTAGAAAAATCACACTTTATCTCACTTTAGCTTCCTGTCACACTGAACTCTCGCTGTTCTCTCGCAGAATCTGGTCCGTGTGGGCAGCTCCATCCTGTCTCCAGACACAAGGCCGCACTGGGAGCTGATCCAGCACTCAGAGGGCGGCACGGCGGCGCTGCTGCGCCATTATGAGGAATACGCCAACACACTGGCACAGAACATGAGGAAGACCTACCTCAGCCCCTTCACCATCGTCACACCGCATATAGGTGGGCAGTTTATCTGAAGAGGGACATGTGTGACTTTCTGTGGACATTTGGATGCAGAAAGATGTTAATGTAGTGACTATGCTGACCTGAATTTTAGCGAGAGTGAGATGTTTTTGACGCACCTCTAGTACAATCCAATGTCCAATTCAAGGTCGTTGTTGAGTTATATTTTCGCAATTTATTGATTTGATAAAAAAGACACAAAAAAGATAGATAAGTCCAACTTACTACGATGGTAATGTTCGTGATGAAGATGAAAGTGGTGTCAGATTAGCGGTAAAACTATGCTCCTCCCGTTCTCCAGATCACTGCTTCACCTGTGTCCCTTTGTAGCATTTACCTGCCCATTCACCTGAAGTGCCCCTTGTGGTGATTGCGCAAATAACAAAACAAAACCCAAAAAATAATACAGATAAAATGGCTCATACAATTAAAAATGTTGATAATTATATCTTTGACAGCACTTAACTGAGAGCTGAAAGTAAGAGTTATTTTTTTACATCCCTACAATAGTCTTTCTTGTCGAATCTTGACTAATCATTTAAAGTGTTACCTCAAAATATATTTATGTATCCAGCCAAAAACCTCACATCAAGGGTAACAAAGCAATAAATATGTTCAACAAATTCATACAAAGACAAACAATAACTCAGCACAGTTTGGCCTTGTAGTACATGTAAAATCTGATGTAAAGATTGATGAAGGGGTGTGTCTATACACTGTCAGTAAAAATATCAGAAATTCCCCCTAAACCGTGAAAAAAAACACATTTCCTAATGATGCACAGAGTATGCATATCTGGGATTTTGGACTTTTTGGACTAAATTTTAATAAACTAAGAGATAAAGAGATCTAGCCCACTGAGCAATAGACGGCTATTAGACATCTAGTTTTTTTTTTTTTAGACCTAATTTCAACCATCTAGATTCTGTATATTTTTAGACGGGATTTAGACGTTGCACTTGAACCCATTTTTCGATAACTATTTATATCAAAAAGCAACTGTGAGTTGTATAACTGATCTCCAAATACTTAACCAAAATAATTATGTTCTGTTGAGCAATATACAGTGTAGTTAAAATATAGCCCAGATTTAGATTTAGTCTAAACTTGGTCTGAATTTAGACGTCTAAAAAACTTTCATTTTTAGACCTGTGGTAGCCTGATTTTAGACCAATCATTTAGGCTACATTTAGACGTCTATTAGACCAAAAAATGCTCAGTGGGAGCATTGTGAGCTAGAGGTACTATATCCAGCAGTAAAGCTTGGAAATAGCGTTTAGACCCCTAGCAGAGAGATACGATTGTCTAAAGTCGTGTGAAACTTTCTGAGTCACAAAACGTTTTCTGTCTTTAGTTTCAGACCGGCAGGAGTTTGCCCTCTTCTTCCGCAGGTCAATAACACAGACAGGTAATAATAAGGCAGGTGTCCCTCAGAGCTCTCTGACTCAGACTGTACGTGTTTTTTTCAGTCATCTCTGTGGATCGTCTAAAAAAGATGAACTTTGCCGGGGCCAAACTCCCCCGGTACCAGTCCCTGAGGGGTCCTCGCCCTGCAGACCTGGAGACGGCGGTCACCCTGCCTGATTCGGTCTTCCAACCACCTGTGGACACAAAGGGCCACAGGCACCTGGACGTTTTCCCTGAGTCATCGCTGAGGAACCGTTCGGCCAACAGGAAGAGACGCCATCCTGAGGACAACCAGCAGGATGCCATCGCCAGCGTGATCATCTTTCACAGCCTGGCCTCACTGCTGCCAGAGAGCTACGATCCTGACAAGAGGAGTCTGCGGTAAGATGGATAAACCAACCTTTAATTCTGCATTTCAGTTAAAAAAATAAGGCCCAAATTGTTACTCGTATAGTTATTTTTTGCAGTCTATAGTTACAGAAGTTAATCTTTTTATTCTTGCTTTTTTGGTCTCATAACCTTCAGGGTGCCAAAGCGTCCTGTCATCAACACACCTGTGGTCAGCATCACAGTCCACGACAATGACGAGCTGCTGCAGCACACGCTGGACAAACCCATCACTGTGCAGTTCCGCCTTGTCACCACAGAGGAGCGCTCCAAACCCATCTGTGTCTTCTGGAACCACACCATACTGTGAGTACAGCAACACACACGCAGGCATACAGAGGAGGATTAAATAAAGCATATCTTTATCCCACTTTGTCTAAGTTTGTACATATTTTGTCATTTTTGTGATACTTCATGTTTAATGTTTAATGTTTGTACAGAGAGAGCAAAGCTTTACCGCACACATATGTGGCAAATAAAGCTGATTCTGATTCTGGTCTTTGTGTTGTGTGTCAGCGGTGGGAATGGCGGCTGGTCTGCTAAAGGCTGTGAGGTGGTTTTCAGAAACAGCACCCACATCAGCTGTCAGTGTTATCACATGACCAGCTTTGCTGTACTCATGGATGTCTCCAGGAGAGAGGTGAGACTATCTAAAACTTTTATTTTTACCCAAACACAGATGTCATCTCTCTCTGTTTTTTCACTCAAACTTTTTCTCTCCTGATTGTTTTTGTCAGAATGGAGAAATTCTGCCCATCAAAATCATAACATGGAGCGCAGTGGGAGTAACACTCAGTTTCCTCTTCCTCACCACCATCTTCCTCCTCTGTCTGAGAGCCATCCAGAGCAACAAGACGAGTATTATCAACAATGGAGCCACCGCTCTCTTTCTCTCTGAGCTCATCTTTATCTTGGGCATCAATCAAGCTGACAACCCGGTACTTTATCAGTCTCCGAAGTAATTTCTTCTCTTTGTATTTTTTTTCTCTTTTTCGGTCTTTGACTGATTCTCCTTCTTTTTGCAGTTTCTGTGCACCATCATCGCCATCCTGCTGCACTTTTTCTACCTTTGCACTTTCTCCTGGCTCTTCCTGGAGAGTCTGCACATCTACCGCATGATCAGCGAAGTGAGAGACATCAACTATGGACCCATGAGATTCTACTACCTGATTGGTTGGGGAGTTCCTGCCTTCATTACAGGTTTGAACCTCCATCAAATCACATACATGTACATGCTGCAGTTTTGGCATCAAAGTTTGTCCTGGAGATGTTCATCCCTGACAACAAATTGATTTTCAACCTTGGCATATTTGTTATAGAAAAACTACTTCACAGTGTTTTAAAGCACATTTTTTTCATTCCCTTACACTTACTCAGCAGTTTCTCAAATATAGATATAGAGTTAAAGCAAATACAAATAAAGTAAATTTTTAAAAAACAGAGAAATAGAGCTGCATTTTCATACCTGCATGACAAATTCTGTTGGTTTATTGGACCCAGGGATTACTTCTACTGAAATGTTATTAGGGCCCGAGCCAAAGCTGCAGGCAGCGGGCGAGAGCCCTGTTGAAATTGCGGGAATTATTTATTATTATAAACTTTAAACTTCTTTCTCCTTTTCAACCCTCTAGACAGGCTCAAAAACTCCTGAAATTTGGCAGACAGGTCGGGCCTGGCTCAAATTCATATTTTGCAGTGCCCCTATATATATGAAGAAGAAAAAAAGGCTCTCTAGCGCACCCTACAGTTTTCATGCTAGGGGAGTTTCCTGTACAACTTCCCGTACACTGGTTCCACCTCCACAAGATTTCAGTCATTTGAAAAGGGTCCAGCACTGAACAGTTTAACACCAAACTTACATCCATATGTTGTGGTGTAACCTGGTGGGGAATGCGTGTAACTCCTTCTTTATTGATGGGATGCAGCTGAGATTTGTTCAGGACACACCTGATGGGGTACCAGGTAGGCTAGAAAAACTAGCACCATGTTTCGTTAAACTGTGCTTAGGTGGTGCTATGAAATGTCTCCAAAAATATAGCAATCTGTGATATTGCTATAGATATGCACAGCCACATGAAATCTGGTACCCAGATCACAGATCCTCTTGAGCATGGGTGGGCAATCATTTGCCATGGAGGGCCAAGAGGCTGCAGGTTTTCTTTCCAACCCAAAACTCCACCAGGTGATTTCACTGATTACCTTACCTCCAAGCAGAGAGCAGGGACTAACTACCTGGTGGAGTTTTGGGTTGGGAAGAAAACCTGCAGCCTCTTGGCCTTCCATGGCACATGATTCCCCACCCCTGCTCTTGAGGGTTCCAATGTCAAAATGGAGATCCAACAAAAAATGGATCCATAGCGCCCCCTACAAAATTTCAAACCTATGTAATCAAGGACACTGTTGTTGGACCCCAATACGAGCAAAAAGGGGACTACATAGGTGGCGATGGTACACAGCTCATGCCCGTTGGTGGCCTGCAGGGCACTAGTTATTTTGTTTTTATGTATTATTTACATGGTTTCTGTTGATTGATTAATGTGGTTCAATTTAGTCAAGCAATAACCAAATCCACTTTGTGATGATTTTATCTTAATAGACATGCTCATGCCTCTGTCTGTCTGTCTGTCTGTCTGTCTGTCTGTCTGTCTGTGCACAGGTCTTGCTGTGGGACTGGACCCTGAAGGCTACGGGAACCCTGACTTCTGCTGGCTGTCCATGTACGACACTCTGATCTGGAGCTTTGCTGGACCCATCGCCATGGTGGCCTCTGTGAGTCCCTGCTGTTATTAACCCTCACCTTGAAGGAACTTTGGTTCATTGGAGTTTGTTTACTGAATGGAGATTATTCATCATCATTCCAACATGTGTCACTCTTGTTAAACACCTACATTTCCAAAGACTCACGTGCACATGAACACATCACAGCTCAACATGCTGACTCATGGTGGTGATCTCATTAGAGCTGTGGTTGTTTTTAGAGCTCGCACACCCTTCATTGTCCTGCTGAGTCACTGTCAGAGAGCTTTTATGTTTACTCACCCTGAGAAATAACAGGAAGATTCATTTGTTGTTTACTTTTACACACCTTGGCCTTGTTCTGTGCAGTGATTGATGTTGTTTCCACAGATGAACATCTTCTTGTACATCCTTTCGTCCAAAGCGTCGTGCTCGCTCAGACACCACAGCATGGAGAAGAAGCAGCCTCGAGTGTGAGTGTCACTACGGTATTATCATTTATGAACACCAGCATTGTTTATTTACTGTCTGATTGAAAAAGAATGAAGAAAACATTTAAGTCTGGGTTTTCCAAATTTCCTGTTCAAACCGGTTAACCTGGTCCAACAGCAGGTTCAGGGTTTCAGTGATTAAAGCCCCATCAGAGCTGAATAACAATGCATTCCTCATTTTCTGGCCATGGTGAGTTATTACAATAAGGAAATGAATGCAGAGGGATGTGTTTAATCGTGTGTGTCAAATGTTTTATTTTAATTATCCTTTTTTGTGACACATAAGTTGTTTTTTGTTATTTACCTTGGTGCATTATCGTTTGGAGTTTTGCTTTAAGCATAAAGGAATGCTACTTTTTCCTATTTCCCTGTGTCCAAAAGCTCCAATATTGAATCATGAGCAGTAACATTTTGATTCTGTACAGCACTCATGTATTACTTTTCTTTGTCAGATAAAATGGATAAAATTTAGATGTTAAACTTTGGAGACACTTTCAAACATATGGCCTCTCCTGGGATATCTGTACTTTCATGGTGGCGACATCCAATCCAATCCCAATCCAAGTTTATTAATGAAGCACTTTTAAAAACAACAAAATGCTGACCAAAGTGCTGTACAGTGAAAATAAAAAATAAAAAAACAATAAAAACAGACAATTAACATGAACAATAAAACAAAGACACGGGACCACATTACAGACAGGGGGACATAGATGGTTCAATAAAAACATGATTAAAAAGCCAAATTCTCAAGATTTGAAAGCAAAGGAGTAAAAGAATTAAAGCTTTTCTTTGCCACACTTGCTTTCAAAAGACAAACTTACATGTAACCCAATCTACAGTTTAGGCACCACTGGTCTTATGGTCGAAGTGCATGCTTCATATACGTGGAGGTTGTGCCCCAATAAGTCTGACTTTGATTCCAGCCTGTGGGTGATTTTTCACATCTCACTCCCCACTCATTTCCCCCCAATACTTTTCTTTCCTCTGTTGAAATTAAGAAAGTCATGGTTAACAGATCAGATAAATTAATCCAGTTGCTTGGTACTGCATAGATGTCCTCATCTTTTAGAGAGCACATGTCATCCTTTATGCTTCTAACTATCATCTCTGCCTCCTCTCTCTCCCTCTCTGGTTTGTCGTCACCCTGCAGCTCGGGCCTCAAGACTGCTGGTGGCGTTCTCTTCCTTGTTTCTGTCACCTGTTTCCTGGCGCTCCTCTCCGTCAACAGTGACATGATCATCTTTCACTATCTGTTTGCTGGGTTCAACTGTGTGCAGGTGAGTGCTTCAACTCCCTCTGGAACTCTTCGATGTGTTAATATAAGTTTGTTTTTTTTTACTCATCCTCCTCCCTTTTCGATCATCCTACCCCAGGGTCCCTTTGTTTTCTTCTTCCGCATCGTCTTCAATAAGGAAGCCAGAAATGCCATGAAATACTGCTGCAGCCGCAAGCGTCCTGATCATATGATGAAGTCAAAAGCAGCTGTGAGTTCCTCTGAGACCAAACTTCACTTTGTCACACACCTTGAGTTTGTACACTGCAAAAAGGGGGGTCTAAAAACAAGATAAAAACACTAAATCTGGAGGAAAAGGTTATAAAAACAAGTGAAATTATCTGTCCATGCAGGAAGATTACTTTACTTGACAAGAGTTCTTAAATTAAGATTTTTAAATCTAAAAATAAACATGTCTACAAATATATTTGGAAGGCTTAAAGTAAGCCAAAAATGCAGTTTTTAAGATCAGATTACTTAAAATTTGACTTTTACAGTCCCAAAAATAAGTTAAATTTACTAAATATAAGCATAAAATAAGTATAAAATGCAGTTTTAAGATCAGATTACTTGAAATTTAACTTTTACAGTCAAGTTTTTTTGTCTTAGTAAGAACCAAATAATTTGCAGTGTAGAGCTGAGGTTCACACTGGCGCTGATTTTATCTTAGTGGATTATAACACTATCACAATTCTCTTGACCTTTTTAAACTTTAGCTGATGTCAGATTTACTGAGACTAGGATTATAATTTTAACTCAAATGCTAAAACTGGGGACACACTATTTTCTGTAGTATATAACTGAGAATCAAACATTTTATAAATCAGTACAGTCTCTGTGCAAGGGCTGTTTTTGATTCTGAATTGTCTTTGTGTTTCCAGGGTTACAAATGTAATACAAACTACATGGATGGCAGGCTGTACCATCTTCCCTTTGGTGACTCCAGCGTGTCACTAAACGGGACAGTGCAGAGTGGAAAAAGCCAGCAGAGCTACGTGCCATTTGTCCTCAGGTAAACCAACAACAAAATAATTCATACATTCATACAGTCACAGACTAAAAAAACTGGATTACCTTCCTGAGTTACAACATCAGCCATGAAAAAAACCCTCTTGTCTTTTCAGGGATGATGGATTGAGCAACAGTCAGGCTCACATCGCTCTGAACGACCACGTTTCACTCTTCCACGAGACTAAAGAGCACCCGGACGGTACGTTTCTCGTCGCTCCCTTCGAGTTTGTTCAATTCAGTGATTGTTTTGACTACATGAATATGTCGTCTGTGTGCAGATCATGACAGCGACTCAGACAGCGACTTGTCTCTGGAGGACGATCAGAGCGGTTCGTACGCCTCCACACACTCCTCGGACAGTGAGGACGAGGAGGGTCCACTTCCCCCTGAGGAATGCTGGGAAAACTTGGCGTCGAATGGGGTCAAGAGACCACAACCACACGGTACAGAAGCTCACCTAATGTATTGTGACATTTAGATTTCAGTGTTAAGCATCTCTCTAGTTTTCAGAATATATGGCACTAACACCCTGTAAGATAGATGTTTAAAGTCCTACTCCAATTATTTTTTTTACTACTTAAAGTGTTCTCAGTGGTCTTCAAACTGTGATTATTAAGTTTTTAGCCAAAATCGTGTTACCTTTGTCGTTTTCAAGGGCTTTTCTTCTGCAGCGCTCGAGTAGATCATTAGCAATTTCGCCCCTGAGTCGTGGGAGGAGACAGCGCTGCTCTGCACACTTCTCCTCGAGTTAGCTTGCAGCCTAACATTGGTGTAGTAAAAGAAACAGGTAACATAGGAGCTATTCAGCTCTCAGACACAAATGTCTTTAGGGACGCAATAAAAGCTAATATCATAATTAGCTTTCTTATGAGCATTTAAATCCACTAACGCAGAAACTTGTTCCGCAATAGTCTTCTCTATTTCTCCAAGCCTGGCCTGCATAGCGGGGCTCCGGGGGCGGAGCTTGGATTTGTTACATAGGAAATCTCACTGTATCTGATCCTGCTGTCTTGGTCTGCCAGAGATTCACAGCGATTTGAATGCAGAAATACTCAGAAATGTAATTTCACACTTTTTTTTCTCATGATATGTCCTCTAGTATCAGAAAAATGCCATATGAACATGTAGACAACAAGACAAACATGATTTTCATTGGAGTGGGTCTTTAAATAGAATCTTTACATCAGACTTAAAGATAAGAAGAGCTACAGAGACATCTGTGCTGAGTTTGATTTCATCCATTCTTTGTGTTTTTCAGATAACAGTTTGAGTAAGATGTACTGGCCTGCAGATTACACAGCAGCAGGAAGTGACGGCGAGCTCTCGGGTGCTGACAGACAGAAGCCGGACGCTCTAAACAATCAAGATCAGGCCCTCGGCCGAGATCCCCGAATGTTATCAGAAGGCCGGACGCAAGAAAGCATGATGATGCTTCTGCCCAGTCTGCCAAACCTCCACGCCCACCCTCACAAAGGTACAGGACTGAAGAGATCACATGGTTTAGAATTTTTTTATTTGTATTTTTTTGAGGTTGATAAATACATGTCTCCTTATGGACACCACGTCTTTGTTTCCAGGGATCCTAAAGAAGAAGCAGCTTTCTCCAATTGTAGAGAGAAACGGTCCAAACCGCATCAACAATGAACTCTGTGAAAACCCTCCAGACTCAGCGTCTCTTCAGGGGTCATCCTCGAGTGATGGACGAGCAGGCCCGGCTAAACACAGCCTGCCTGATCAGCTGAACGGGGTCGCCATGAGCATCAAAGCGGGGACTGTAGACGGTGACTCATCAGGATCAGAGTAAGTGTCCATATCATTTACAGACTCATTCACTTGTAACATCCAAAAATCAGATCCTTTCATGATAAATGTGTTTTTCCTCTAAGTGTGTTCACGTAGCATCACAAAGTCCTTCAGTGTTTCCTTCAAACGTCTGTGTCAAACTTTGATCCGTGCTGTTTTCATTGTTTGTGGTCTGTCTCATTTCCATAACGACAAAGTAGACTTTAACCAAATGAAGACAGAACCCATCCTGCTTTCTCCCAAACGGTCAATGTGGAGGGACCCTAAATGTTTGAATTAGATTTAATTGGACTTAAAGCAGTGACTCTTAATGTAGAGATGAAGACTTAACATGTAGGATATTTTAACCCCAACAGCTGCCTGTAGATCACTTTAAAGATAAAGTGAAGTTTCTGCTTTTTTTCTCCATTTTCAATGCTGTTCAAAAAAATACCCACTGTGGCAAAAACACGATAGTTTTTATTAAACCAAAGACAAGTGAAGCAAAGTTGAGCTGAGAGGTCGGTGCTTTAGTAAACGGGAATATATTTGCTTTAATAATAAACCATATTTTTAAGCAAAGATGTGGTTTGTACGACAGAGTATTAGGGCCACATTTAGAAAAAATTTTTTAGACTTCAAGATTAAAAATGTTAATTTACGAGAACAGAGTCATTACTAACAAAATAAAGTCGGAATAAAACCATTATGATACATATGATAATGTGGTGCTGATGTGCCAAAAGATTAAGTATCTCCTTGTTTGAGAAACATATACTAAAGGACATTTTCATGAAATGCTCCATGGCAGTTAGAATATAAGGACTTTATTCTGACTTCACTCTCATTAGTAATAACTTTATTATGACTTTAGTCTCGTAAGTAATGACTTTATTCTCATAAATTAATGACCCTAATCTCAAAGTCTTGCTTTTTTTTCTTATTTTGTGGACCTTATACTCCCTCGTAGGTTTGGGCTTTTTTTTTTTAATATTAATTTATATGTTTTAAGATATCAAATACTTCAGAGTGTACTTTTCAAGACAAGCAGAAAAAGAAATACTACTACTACGTCTGAGTCTTAAAGCTCAATTTCTAAATCATTTTTGCAAACATGCTTTTTTCACACCAAAAGTAAAACACAAGAGATCAGAAGTTTGTCACCCTTAAAAAGCTGTAATCCCTTATTTTGTCAATGCCTAAAAAGGGATGGAAAGTTTTTTCTCTCATTTGCTGCAGTAATCTGTAGACGATAAAGTACAGATGCACTTCTATAGGAGGAAATGATGGCTCACATTTACACTTGTGTTTAGCATCCGTCTGTGATGCTGCAAATGAGTGTTGAGATTAAAACAGGAGCTTATGCCTGGAGTTAAAGAGGATGCACTGATCTCCTGGTCAAGATGTTGACTTGTACATTTATGATCATAAATGCTCGTTTTCTTGGATTCTATTTGGTCTTCTTTGCAGTGAAAAATAATCCTCTTAAATTGAATAACTAACCCTCTTTGCTCCCTCTCTCTTTCCTAAAACCATAGATTTTTATTCTTTAATTTTATCCCATGAAGCTCTGATCCTCATTAAACACAATCAGGATCACTGTCTTCAGATTGGTGCATCATATCAGCATCTGTCACCTCTCCTCACAGCCTGTGTGTGTGTGTGTGTGTGTGTGTGTGTGTGTGTGTGTGTGTGTGTGTGTGTGTGCGTGCGTGCGTGCATGCGTGTGTGTGTGTACAAATGTAACATCGCCTCATGTGTTTATTTTCTTTTATTTCTTTTCTTTTTCATGTTGTGCTGCACTCCACATCTTCATCTTCCTCCTCCTTCATTCACCATCCTGTTTTCCCAGCAGCCACTGCAACACCACCATGTGACCGCGCTGACGGAGAGGTGTGTCTTTGCAGGTCATAGAACCTCCTTCCTCAACAACAGCTGAAAAAGGGAGCAGCGGACTTACTCTAGAGAGACAAATGTGGAAAAAAGAAGGAATTCCCTATTGTCATCACGTGTGAGTGTGTGTGTGAGAGAGATAGTGTTTGTGTTTGTGTGTGTGTGTGTGTGTGTGTGTGTGTGTGTGTGAGTTCAAACATGTGTGCCAAACCTCAGGAGTCCCAGCACTGGTCCAGGCTCATGCACACTGAAGAAATGAGTGTCACTCTCCCTTTAAACAAATCATCTTGTTTACATACTTGAAGCAATGCACTTTTTTAATTCACAGCGCAGTTTGATTCATTTGTTTGATTTTTTTTTTTTTTTTGTAAGTGTATAAGGACATGAATTTTGTTTTTGAAGACTGTGGAACACTAAAGTGGTCATGTTTTGTTTGATTTTCGGGAGGGTCATTCAGTCGTAGATCTGCATTCAGGGAAATTCCATTTTGATGCTGAAGTTCGTTGTCATGTCTTCCTGGTTTGCCTGTTCGTGTTTCAGTGCCAGTCTGAAAAGCTCAGACTCTCATAGAGTTATTTTGAACGCCTCATACGTCCAAGAGGCACAAAGTGATTAAGTGCAGCTCATTCACAGATTCACAGAGACGTTTTCAGATTTCAGAAACTTGAAAAGAAGGACTAGTGGAGTCTGGGTCTCTGAATAAGCTATTTCACACTGTTGGAGGAGGTTTGGAGCTGATGGGCTGCACCGCTCAGCCTGTCAGGAGGGAAAACTGCATGTGCAGATCTACAAAGGACTCAAAGGACTTTTGATACATGTTTTGTACATCATTGAGAGTGCATTTTTATGGACATTTAAAGTGCTCCCATTCATTTGAGCTCAGTGACTTAACAGCTGTATTTTATAGATTAGCTGCGCAGCTTTTTTGTCATTTGTAAAGCAAAGAAACATGCAGAATTGTGCTGTAATACTATTTGACTGTAATCCATTTTTACTGTACAGAGTGGCCTGTAAATGAAACATGGACATATCATGTAATGTAAGTAAATATGTAAACTGTTTTTATCCAATACCTTCTATTGGACTTAATACTCTCCGTCACATTGCTGTGATCTCTGTGGATTCCATTTTTTTCAGCTTGACGACTTTGTTGTACATATTTCATGCCATATGAGTCAAAGCTACCAGATCAATCATATCAATCTGGTAACCCAACAGAGAATAGTCTGGTTTACTCTGCCGCTCCTGTTTTTACCAATTAAACTGTTTTCTACCATTCCAATCTGATCTGACTTTTTGTTTGATGCCAAGTCACTTTTTTTATACTGTATACATCCTGCTACTGTTCAAGCTCTTTGTTTGCTAAAAAGAGGAATAAGGAAAAAAATACACTGTCTGAAACTCATGTGAACTTCTGCAGTTGATGGAAACTGAAAAAGTGAAGTATTTGTGGTAATTAAAGCAATACAGAAAGCTACAACTAGCAGCTTATTCACTTAGAAACAGGACTCAGAAGTTATCAAAGCCTGTGTACCAGCAGCTCCAATGACCCTGTTTAACTGTGATTTCTCATTAAGTAAAAAAAAAAGAAAAAAAACCTGCTCATATGACATTTTTCTGATGCTACAGGACGTATCCTGAGAAATTTAAGAGCGAAATTGCATTTTTAAGTATTTCTGCATTCAAATCGCTGTGAATCTCTTGCAGACTGAAACGGCAGTGAGATTTTCTACGTCACAAATCCAAGCTCCGCCCCCGGAGCCCCGCTATACAGGCCAGTCTTGGAGAAATACAGAGGATGATTGCAGAACAAACGTGTGCATTAGTGGGTTGCAATTTTCATGAGAAAATTAATTATGATACTAACTTTCATCATGCCACTTAAGACATTAGTGTCTGAGAGCTGAATACCTGCTACTTCTACTACACCTGCAATGTTAGGCTACAAGCTAACGCGAAGACAAGTGTGCAGGACATCGCTGTCTCTGCCCACGACTCAGAGGCGAATTGCTAATGATCTACTGGAGCTCCACAGAAAAAAAGCCCTTGAAAATGACACAGGTAACATGATTTTGGCTAAAAACTTCATAACCACAATTAAAAAACCACTGATAACACTACAAATGTTAAAAAAAATGATCAGAGTGGGACTTTAAAGCATCATTTCAACATTTTAAGGGTCTGTCTTGTGTTTTTCTTTGTGTAAAACCTTTAAAAAGTTTTAATTGAAAAGTTCACATTTAATTGCGGCATCAGGGTGTTTGTATTCACAGAGATGAGGTTTGTGAAGGGGTCTTAAATAAGCAACAATGATAGTAAAGATAAATGGATCCATTTTTACCATAGCCTGGCTCTCATTTGAAATGATCTAAAACAAGTATAATCAGCATTTTAAAATCTTGACAATATCAAGGAAGTTAAATTAACTCATTAAGTAGTTTTTGCGAAGATGAAGTGATGTTTCCAGTGATGTGCTGTGATTGAATCAGGATGCTTCTAATTCACAGCAATCAAAAAACATCATAAAAAGTAACTTCAAAATAACTTAATTTTAGTGGATAGGAAAAGCATCTCTCCACAATTTACTTTGATGAGGCTCTTTTTTTTTTATTTCCAGGACATCACACACTATGAAGAACTTTTGTGAAGCACTAAATTCGGGAAAAATGTGACTAATGAATAAGTAGTGTTACATGTCACTGCAGCTGTGATTTCATTCAGTTCTATGAGACATTGTAGTTAAGGAGCAGAAATTATTAACCACTAGATGGTGCAAATGCTCCTGTGTTGCTTTCTCAGGAATTTCACATTCGATATTAACACACTTTTGTAGCTGATTCATCACCTGACTGGGCTCTTACTGCATCTGAAATGCAGAGGTAAATCAAGATTATGACTGAAAATGTGTAAGAAATAAGGTCAAGTGTGTACAGAGATGACTTTTAAACTCAACAAACATATTTTTCTTTGTGTCAAAAGACAGAATTTTTTCATTTATCATGTAACATAAGAACAAATTCACAGGCATAAACTAAAGATTCTGAAATATTCGTTCAGTTATAATGTTTCAGATTTCACTCCTTCAGCTTCTGCTGTTGAAGACAAAAATAATGTAAAGTCTTTAGAGAATTATAGAACTTTAAAGCTCCTCTCTTCATCTGTGAGGATTGACCATCAAACTCATCCACTTCTTTGTTTCATCTTTTAACTTGCAGAAAAAACACTAAATCATTTGTTGTAACAGATCATTTTATTAAAAAAGTTTCTCGTATAGATGCAGACATGTTCAGTTTAAATACAATCTAAAATTAATCTTTTATATATTTATATGTTTCATAATACTGGGAGTGGAACTACTTTTAAAACAATTTGCATCTAGCAACAATTCTAACGACAAAGAAGCAATTAGCACGGCAGCTACGGCAAAAGCTTATTGTAGAGTTTGTATACAAATACACAACACACGAACAATAAAACATCCATATTTGCAAACATCCGGTCTGTGTCATCTCCTCATAAATAATGTGCATCCAACAACTGAGAACAAGAAGGAAAGCTCTGCCATCCATCATCCAGCTCTTCTCCACCAGTTCTCCGTTCACCTCTGTTCCTTATAAATACATGAAAATATTTTCCTGATCAGAATCCCTATCACACACGTGTTAGTTTTTTCTCTGGAGTGTTTTTTGTTCTCTTCAGTTTGAGTCCTCAAGGCTGCTGCTTTTCTGCTCTGAGCCGCAGTTACAGAGCCGGATCATGATGCTTTGCAGGCCAGGCTCGACAATCCCGAGCAGGGGCCTCTGGGAAGGATCTCCGTTCCAGCAGGCCTCCATCAGCTGCCAGCACTCCTCATCAAAGGCGGGCAACCGCTCGGGTCTGGCTCCTGTAGACAACAGGGACAAAAGTGAGACATACAGAAACTCAAAACTACGACGACAGGAGAGTGTATTTGTTTAGCCTTACTTCCCTGGAATACGATCGATGGACAACTTCTTGTGCAGTTATAATGAAGAAACCACTATTTACCGAAATAATTAAACTCAAAATATAAGGAGATACTGTATTATGGTTGAGACATATTTTCCCAACATGTGATCAAATGTAGTCCAGAACATTAACATCACTTTTGTCATTGTGGATTGAGATTAGAAGTAGGGGTGTCCTGATAAAACTTCTTTACCTCCGATATGATACCCATATTGTAGCCTTCAATACTGGCCGATACCAATATTGAACTTGTGCATGACAAGTGTTGCACTCAGCTACAACGTCTTTTTTGGACTTTAATGAAAAATACTGCCCCAGGGCCGACATCACTCCTACTCCTTGGTACTTTGTTAGTACCTTAGTACATACTGGTGTTGTCAGTACGTGGGCTCTACATGCTGAATCTGGGTGCTGCTAGATAGAGGTGCCGGAGCAGGGTCTGGAATGGACTGCTTGTATCGGAGTTCTGATATCGGAGATTTTAGATGTTTTGCTGATGTTGGACCGATATCCAATATCAATATCGTATTGGGACACCCCTAATTAAAAGCAACACTAATGCTGATGGTGTGGACGGACATCTAAACTATCCAATAAGTGATCTACTTCATAGTCTAATACCTACTGACTTTTTGTTCACGCACACAAACCAACCCAGAGCTCGGAGCCAACAAGGTACGTCGTCCGTTGGTTTACCTTTTTTGACGTTGTTCCAGAGCTGGTCTTTACTGGAGCATTTCTCAAAGGCTTCTGGGAGTTTCACCGAACCAGTGCAGAGGTACCAGAAAAGGATCCCAAAGGCGTAAACATCCACAGAGTTATCATACTTTCCTGTGAGGAGAAGGTTGATAACACAAATCTGATGTCAGGAAAACAAAACAGTGATGTAATGCTAAAATAAAACACTTTGAGGAATACCTCAGCTCGTAACATTATTTACAGGATTCCTACACAGTTAGAATTTCAATACTTTTCCAAACCCTACTTTCTAGAATTATTTTTGGAAATACCTACTTTTCAATTTTAGAAAACAGTGTTTTAGAACTGTGGTAATAGTTCAGAAACATAAATACTTTTTCCATACTTTATTTTTCATTTTCCATACTTTTTAATACCTAGAAATTGATCAAATTAATTTCCATGCTTTACCATATATGTGTAGGAACCCTGTAATTAGCAATAAGTTTGTGAAATCAGAAGTTACAATGGTAAGAGGTTCACCTCTCAAGAAGAGACTGGGTGAACAGATAGATCAGCAGTTCCAGACTAATGTCCCTGAGATTAAAAATCCAAATAATTTGAGGATTTCATCGCCTACAGATTAAAAGACCTTCAAAAAGATTCAGAAAATCTGGAAAAATCTCTGTAGGAAAGGGAAAAGGCTTATAACTGATCCTGCCCTCAAGTAGTACTGTATTAAAAAAAAATCAAGAAACTGGACTCTCTTAACATAATTGTAAACATTGTCACTGTCCCAACAGATTTCAAATTTGTTGCTGGCATCAACTTTAAAATGAGCAAATATGTCTCGAGAAACAAAAACATTTTTCAGTTTTAATGTTTTGATGTGTTGTTTTCGCACAATTTTTAATCAAATCAAGGCTTTAAATGATTTGTTTACCATCAAATTATATTTTTATCAACATATTAAACTGACCTGTACAGAACTGAGGTGTAAATTAAATATATATTCAAGTTCTTCTAATGTCACATAAACTCATTTTAACTAAAAGAAACTTCCTGCTCTGTGTGACCATTTAAAAGGTCATGGTTGGGGGTAGGAGTTTTGCTCGGTAGTCAAATGTACTGAAGGTGTAATCCTTTAAGAAAGATTCGATTCCTACTTGGTCCTTTTGGCTCGAAATCCCATCATTCCTCACTCTCTTGTTGCCTTCTCTCCTACTCTATCTACTGTAATGACTCTAAACCAAGGTGTAAAAGTCCAAAAAAATAGAGTTTAAAGAGGTGCCTCAGGATCTTCCATTTAGTAAAAACTATTGACCGTGCAACTGGTCTGTGAAAGTACCTGTAAACAGTTCTGGAGCCATGTGGATCGGTGTTCCAACGATGCTGCCAGACATCATGGCCTCAGGTTTACAGAAGCCCAGGTCTGTGATCTTGGCGCGGTTTTGTTTGTCCAACTGAAACAGGAAAAAAGGGCGAGCAGATGTTAAAAAAAAGGGAGGAGCACTTGCAGTTTATTCTTTAAAACAATCATATTAGAGGTAAAATGAAACCTATCAAATGTTTGATATAAACACACAGAGAAATAAAACTCTCTCACACTTTTTTAACTCCAGCTTCAGATTATCATTGATATTTTTCATTTTGAACTTTGTTTGGTATTAATATCGAGTCTTTCTATATAAACCTTGAGTCTGAAACAAATGAGTGATCCAGCAGTACATACTTACAGTTTTATTCGGCTGATTGATTGGCCCTAAATTTACTCTCATTAAGAATATGAAACTAGTCCAACAACAATACTGATCTCCTTTAAAGCAGTAAAAAATTTCCAAGACAGAACAGCAGCGTAAAAAGAAAAAAATCCCCCCCAAAAGTCTGTCCAACTTACCAGCACATTTTTTAGCTTTATGTCTCTGTGCAAGAGACCCTGACTGTGTAGGAAGCGGATCCCCTCCACCACATCCAGAGCAATCTGAAGTCTCTCTTTCAGTGATAAACCAGCCTGGTGGAGACAGAGGAAGAAATGAGAACGATTCAGACTGACACTTCTAATGTGTGAACTTTCAAATCAACAACATTGTCTCGTGATCAAGGTACCTTTAAGCCCGTGTAGAGGTCTCTGTGCAGCCGCTCCATGATGAGCAGCACAGCAATGCTGGAGCCACTCCCGTAGGTGTGATCGATGACAGAGCCATGCAAGTCGACCAGCCGCTCATGTTTGGGCAAAGTCCTGTAGCATCACAACACCAGAGAGGAAAATAAAATACTCAGTCACGTGACCTTAAAGTGTATATTTTAGATATCTGAGAGTGTATACATTCATGTCTAGCTGGTCAACATTAAAATAATAGTTTAGTTCACTCTTATAGTTTTGCTGCATACCTCACTGTAACTGCAGTTAATGCTTATGATCATCAAATGCCGCTCATGCGTGCACAGGTAAGCCTCAGGGCTTCAACTGACAAACATTAGACAGGTATGCTGGGTGGAGTTGATAACAAGGAAACTGTCATATCCATGAAGCTACTCTGAGAGTGCTGGAGCTGGGTATTTGGACCAGAATTGCCACTGAGTTCCTGCCAGGGCTTCTGTCTGCACTTGTCTGTGTTTTATGTGTGTGTGTGATTTGTTCACAAGTGTCCTAACATACCTTGTGTAGTGAAACTCCAGAGCCAGGTCATTCCAGTGTTTATCATCAGGCGGCACGACAGACTTGAGTGCACATGGGTAGTGACCACCCCAGCTGTCACACAGGTACACGACTCCATACTGACCCCGACCCAATTCTCGCCCCAGCTTGGGTTTACCTGTCAAAAAATAGTGCAGCTGTTTTAACCTCAGAAAAGAAAAAAGTCAAAGGTTTCAAAGTAATAGAAGTGTCCTTATATTGGTTTTACATCAAGTTTGACTGTTCCCCCCCAAAAACATATTCTTCATTTTCACTGGTGTGAGTTATAATCCACTGATGTCTGAGCTTCTGAATCATTTATGTGCAAGGTTTGATCGTGGAAGCATGATTTTAGTTGAAAAGTAAGTACCAAGTGGACAATGTCTTCACTAAAAAAATGTTTGGTGGAGATAATTCAAAACTCTGAAGAGGGCAAATCTGCAGCAGTGTGAGGGTAAACTGCAAGCTCAATTGATAAACACTGGAAGGATTTGGCAACGACTCACCATGCAACAGAACATCCCGGAGGGAGCGGCTCTCCAGGGACAGGCGGGCCAATCGAGGGGCGTGGTCCTTCCTCACACGCAGCCACAGGTCCTCAGTGCGCTCCAGTCGCCCTGTGTGCCCTTCCTCCAGCTACAGACACCAACACATGACAGGACATCTCATGGTCAGAATTAAGAACAGCTGCTAAATCACTGAGTATAATTGTTTACCACTCCTATAGTTTTTACAAGAATAATATTCTCTTCTTACTATTACAGCAGCCCTCAGTCTAATGATGGTGGAGAAAGTTTCTTTGCCAGAGTAAAAATAATCTTGGTCAAAGATAAAGCTTTTCTAGAGGTCATCAACAATCTCCTACAAGGTTTTTACAGTTAAAGTATTATGAAGTAAGTTAACAAGGATGGGGATGAAAATAAAAACAAACAAACAAATGCTCTGAGTCATAGTCTTGTGTTTGTAATTGACTAAATAATTTGAACTTCTTTGCCAAACATTTAATCCTACAATACTTGGAAAGTTCAGATTTTATCATGTGTTTGTTACAAAAGACAACTTTTTTTTGAAGTGTTGGGCTTCAGAATGTGAAAGTATCTATCAGAAAGATGTAGATACTGTATATTCAATCCAAGTACAAGTATCTCCAGAGGAGATAAGGCGTGCAGAGACAGTTGCTTCTTAAGTCAAATTTAAAGCTCACTTTTACAGACTTTCTCTTTTCTCTGTTTTCTTTTCTCTTTTATTTCTTTTACCTCTATCTTATTTCGACTTACTATCAGCCTATCAGCCCTATTTTCAGCCTTTGTTATACTTATAACCTTTTCTTATTTAACCCATTAGACCTTTTTATTGTTTTTTCTTGCTCGTTTTTGTTGTTCTGTTTTATCATTACTATTATTACTATTATTATTTTGTTATTATTTTATTATCATTATTAATATCGTCTTTTTATATTTACTATCCTGTTTTCTGCTTCAACTCCCCTTTTTTATTACAATTTTTTTTCTTACCTAGTTCATGTTTTTATTTTGGTCCTCATGGTCTCATTTTATGTCGTAGGGTTCTTGTATTGTCTGGGTTCCTTATGACAATGAAATTCGCCTTCAGTGCAGAGGCCTTGTTTTAACTGAGCTTTTGTTTTTATTTCCATGTGCTGATGTTAGGTGCTGTATGACTATTTGTCAAAGCACTTTGTAAACTTCTGTTTTTAAAAGTGCTATACAAATAAATTTATTATTGCTGTTGTTGTTAATGTCTGTGATTTATCCTTATTAAACCTGTCCTCTGTTTTTCAGCTGCATCATACAGACATCAGGAGGACAGCAGAGGAGGACCGCCCTCCAGTTCCCAGTACCTACAGGTCAGCTGTCATGACCTGTCATTTCTCAGTGTAACTACAGAGTTCACGCTCAAACGCAAATCTACTCCAACATGCATCTTATTTTCTAAAACCAGAGCATGATAGTAAATAACCGTCATCCAGGATCAGTGGTTCTCAAACTCTGGGGTTTGACTTAGATTTTTTTTCAGCCTCCTGGGGGGGTTGGGGTGGCAAAGTTTAAGAACCAATGGTTCGTGTGAATGTTTTCATAAACTCCACTCCACAGGGTCGCTGCTGTGTTTACTTTGTTTGAGTAAACATAAAACCAACATAATTTAAGTTTGCTCTCTCTTCCTTTATATTTACAGTATTTTGAGTGAAACTTTGATTGTTTAAGGTAAATGTGCTGCTCTGGTCGTGCTAATTTAATCAGATCTGCAAATTAATGACAGCATCAAATTTGTAAAAAAAAAATGTATCCTCAACTCTTTTACTATTACAGTTATGGACGAAACAAATGGCCCCTTTGACTCTGTTATTTGCTTTTGGCAAGACCTCAAGTTTGGAAACAGTACACCCCGAGCAGATGCCACCTAAAAAAATAAACCCATTGTGCATCATGAAAAAGCTGAACTACGAGGGACAGACTGATCTGCATTCCTCCCTTATTTACTCATATTTAGTTGGTCTATGAAAGGTTCAAAGGTCTTCGCTCACATTTGTCCAACACTGATTGTGTGGATCTAATGCTTCAGGCAGAAGACGAACAGCAGAAACTAAAAGATAAGACAGTTTTCATGCGGCACACAAAGGACACAAACCGGAATAACTTATAAGCAGCAGGAAGACTGGTTTAAATCAAGACCTGAACATTTGGTCCAGACAAGGTGTGATCACGTACATGGTCCACTTTCTCACTACTATGCAACTATCATCAAATTGCTACAAATTATTCAAAGTCCTGAGTATCTCGGGTAGCACTGATATCAGAGGAGAAAAGTTCCTGTGTGACAAGGTTAGCTGTGCGCTGATAACACCCCCTGCTTTACCGTTCCTATCAGCTCCTCTATATCAAAGCGCATACCAACGTACAGCAGGACTGAGCTCTTATCTCCACTTTGGCTCGGACCCTCTTTCTGTGATGGTGGTATTTCCATCACTAGTGTGACAGAGGTATTCAGCAGCTGTTTTGGGTCAGCTTGTTTCTCCTATTTCTCTCCATCCAAGCCTAAAACATCCAAGACATCACCGGACATCACCTCCTTTCTGAGGCTGAGACATTGGATCAGTGCGTTTGTGTGAGCATGAAAATGAAGTCAGTGATGTGTCCCACACTGTCTGTCATGTGATGATAATCATCAGAGCAATTTGACTCGAAATGATTTGTCACAGCTATTTGCATATCAGGGCTTAAAAGGCAAAACAATTCAAGTGAAGAGGAATGAAAATGCTGAACTGTACAGAGACTAGGGCTGGGTGATATGGTCTCAAATCAATATCGCGATGTATTGAACAGATCACCCTAATAACCGTAAATGGACGATAACTACTCCACAAGCTGCTCACCCCCTCCCACATTAACTTCATCTACTTCAGCCGCTACAACTTTTAAACCGTCCTCCATCTCCTCACCTGTCTTTCCCTCTTTGTTACAGACTGGATGGGGTGCAGTCACGCATTTGATGTAGGACAGAGTCTTAAAGGGACATGAGAACATAGCCGACCTACACCCATCCAAAACCAACTTATTTATTTTTTTGACACCGAATATACTGATATGGGACAAAATGACGTTGGTTATTGTAGTAAATTTCGGTATTGGTATATTTTTGGTTTATCGCCCAGCCCTAACAGAGACTGAGGGCCAATGAAAGCTGTCCACAGAGAGGTTTCAGGATAGAGCTGTCACACTAGGGCTGGGTGATTAACCAAAAATTTACAGATACCGAAATTTACGATAATAACCAACGTCATTTTGTCCACATCGGTATAATAAAGTTGGTTTTGGATGTGTGTAGGTAGGCTATGGTCTCATGTTCCTTTAAGATGCTGTCCTACATCAGAGACATGACTCCACCCCATCCAGTCCTTGACAAAGAGGGAAAGACAGTTGAGGAGATGGAGGACCGTCCAAAAGTTGTAGCGGCTGAAGTACATGAAGATAATGTGGGTGGGGGCGAGCAGCTTGCGGAGTAGATATCGACCATTTAGCGTTATCAAGGTGAACTGCTAAATATATTGTAATTTTGATTTGAGGCCACATCGCCCAGCTCTATCTCACACAGTCTAACAATCAATGCCACTTATTGATATAGTATTAACGCAGAGAAAGAAATTCATACCAGAGCGCTTACTTGAAAGTACAAACACTCTGAGCCAGAAACAGCAGGTGCAAAAGTTTTCATCTATTCAGGTAAAATGTGAATTTGTAGAAACCATTTAAAGTGGTCAGATGATCTATTACATCAGTTACACAGTTAAACAGATGAAATGAATGAAAAAACTATTTGGCTAAAACCAACAACTAACCCTCACACATCAACTGCTAAGCTACACTCTAAGATCCTCTTGAGATCCTGAGTGGACAGTTTTTCAGGCATGACAGTGAGTGAGAAAGAAATAAGGAATAAGCAAAAGGAAGCAGAGAGAAGAGTTCACCTGGCGGAGAGATGCTGCAAAGGCCTCGTGGGAGCTGTTGAGGCGGGTCCTAAACTGGGAGCAGATGCTTCTCGCTAGTTTGGCTGCACTGAGACTTTCTATGGCGTCCTGGGCCACTTTACGCTTCCACTCTGGCGTGATGGACGGAGGGTTCACAAACGTTATCCTGTGGATTATCTAGAAGAGAAAGACACAAAGTCTGAACACCCGTTTTGGCACTGATGTGAAGTTTTAAACTCTCTAGTTTGAACTCCTTTCGTACTTACCTGCTTGATTTGCTCCCAGAAAAGTCTAGTGACAGAGGATCCTGAGTGGAAGGTGACCTCCACGTGATAGGCAGCATTTAATAACTGGGACACATGAGAAGAGGAAGCGCATAAGCGGTAAAACAGAAAAATCTCGATCACCCGATCCTAGGCCAAGTGAGATCAGCAGATGCTAACTAGGATCACGTATTGTTACTTTAATGTCACTGTATTCTCCAAAAACTCTCTGATTTTGTAAGACCTAACTCTTAACTCTTTGTTTTGCTATTCTTACACCAAGTAGGTTTTCTGTTCTTTGCTCACCTGTTTGAGGTGGTTTGAGGTGATATTGTGGACAGAAGAGTCGATGTGGGACTTCTCCAGACTGTTGAGACATCTTTCCAGAGTCCCTACAAAGCTCTCCCTTAGATAGTCCACGGAGCTGATCAGCTTGTTCGCCACGGCCTGATTCAAACGGACCACTATCAGCTCCTGGATCTGGTGGATGCAGGATTTGATTTCCTTTGATGTAACAGGCTCCCCGTTTGTTGTTACGATGATGTCTGCGGAGGAAAGCCAAAAGTTTGACGAGTTAGTATTAGATGCGATCAACCAGAGTGGAGAGACACTGATTGACCAATGTTGTCGAATTGTAGTGTGAAACAGGATGCACTGCTAGATGAGTAAAAAAAAACTGGTGCAAAACACAGATGTCATCTCGCGGTTACACAAAAAGTCTCTGGAGGTTTGTGGTTGAAATCTGACAGTTTCAGCGACAAGTACGACTCGAGCACCAAATCAAAACGTTTGTGAAAGATAAGACACCCAACAGCCAAAACAGAAAACAGCTCATCTGATCTGACACCTCCTCACATATCAATTATTACGTCAAGAACAACAAAGAATTTAAAAGACGGCATAAAAACATGTTCACATTTTAAGCAGTTTTCTTTGAGCTCCTTCATTTCATTTGTGTTTGAATCTAATAGTATTACACATTTTCTGCCACAGGTAAGTCATTCCTCAGAGTTACCTCCACAGCATTAGATCCCTTAGATAAATGGACACCAATTTAATACTTGGATGATGAGTAAAAACTATCAAAGGGACCAAAATTACGTTAAGAGAAAACTGTCTGACTTTTTTTTTCTTCTCTACATGTAAATGAGGGTGAAGGGGGAGGTAGAGCATACAGTCTAACCCAGTAGGGGTGAGCCTCTTTCCTCTTCATTTTCCTCTTTTTTTCACCCTTTTGCATGTAGATTATGATAGGCAGTGAGAGATTGCGTTAAGAGGGACGGTTCCCAGACACCAGATCTACTGTAAAGCCTCCCTAAGGTGTCCTGAGCCTAACTTGACGTAAAACTGCAGAAGGGAGGTGCCCTCTTGATATCTCTGATGATGTGTTGGCTCTCACTGTCCAGCTCGTCCCACACTCTAAGGATGGGGGCAACTAAGGGCAAAGTGATATGGTGGGTAGTATCAGCACCAGCACTACCTGGGAGCTTGAAAAAACAGAGCCTGGATTTTTGAAGGTGGCGTACTATTTGGTTCGCTGTGGCGACTTCTGAACAGTTGGTCGGCCAAGTAACTGAGAGAGTAGGCAAAAGCAAAAGGCCAGAGGGCAAAATAGGAAAGGTGGTAGTGAGGGAACTAGGTATGGGAGAAAAGATCGATACAGCATAGTATCGCAATATTTTTTCTGGTGATATATCATCTCATTTATCATTTTTTTCAAATTAGTTGTTAATATGAAGTCAAATCTGTGATAATGGAAAAAATAAAATCAACTGTTTGTCCAGTGAGGTTAACAGAGGTGACATCATAGAGCAGGAGAAAGTTAGAGCAACAAATATTTATATAAGGTTTGCAAGATGTGCGACATGAAAATAAAATACAGTGTAAATAAAACAAACATTAAGGAAAGACAAATGCAAAATTAGCTTAACAGTTGAAAAAATTGTATAAATAGCAATATATTTTATCGCAATACTCACTGTATTGCAAATGTTAAAAATCCCAATAATACTGTATCGTTGCCCAAGTATCATGATAATATTGTATCGTGGAGCCACTAATGATTCCCACCCCTAGAGGGGACCTCATCTTGTTTTTTCAGGGCAGTATCTTGTGTTTATTTTAAACACTCGCAGGTTACATCAACACTAAATTACCATACCTTCAAGACCACACAACAACTGCCATGAGTGCTGCTCATGTATTTGGCAAAATGCTAAAACCCTTTCCAGTTATCAATAATAATTACTTTATTTATATAGCACTTTTCAAAACAGTTACAAAGTGCTTCACAACAGAAACACAGAATAGAAATAGAGGTAGAACAGACAGCAACAGACATCCATATAATTTCTGTAACAGTCAGTCAGTAGGAATGATTTAGAATTTAATAAAAGATGAAAATCAATCCGTGTTCAAAGTTCATGAATCAGGTCGTGAAGAGCAGAAATGTCCGCAGACTAAAGCTAGAGCAGACAAATCATTTTTATGTCCATTTGCACAAGTTCTGTGTAGATTCCCAGCATCACTTAATCAATTGCGTGGACAAAAAAGGGAAATAATCCAATATGTGAGACTGTCACAGAAATAGTTTTAAAATTGGATCCCAGCAGCAGTCAGGACACATCGTACTTTCATGTCTTTTGAAAAAGAGGCCTTGGCTCCTTTGTTGTTGTTGCATATTTCTAAATCAAGCTTGTTTTGTCGCTTTCTCCAGATCCCAGTTTAAACATTCATATCAACTATGAGGGTTTACATTTTTTCAATAATCATTCTTGAAAGTGTTTCATTTTGAATGGAAAGCATTTGATGATTCGAACAAAACTGAAGACACTTTTGGAGTAACACTGAATGTAAACAGGAACATTGTTTTCTTATGAGAAAATCCTCTTGGCACCTTTAATCTGTTAGTCACAATGAGGTTCACATTGCCAGAATGATCCCAACAATGTGTTTGCACAACGCAAGAGCAGTCTATTTAAACCCTCAGTTAGCATTGGGCTAGTTTCCTGAATGATGTTCAGAAAAAGAGAAATCGAGTAAACATGCATCTTAAAGAAAGCCCACGAAGAGAAAGAGGGAGGGAGGGAGGGAGGGAGGGAGGAAGGAAGCAGATCGCAATAACCAGTGAAAGGCTTTTTTCAGCTGCACGCAACTGTTGAGTCAGACAGTACAAAAACTTTGTGGGCAGATTGTGAAACGCAGCTGGCACAGCTGTGTCTTTGACCGGAGTTTGGCGACAGTGAATAATCTGGCTTTTAGTATCTCAGGATGCAGACCAGAAAAAAAATTCTGAACTGTCAGTAAAAACAAGTGAGTCATCTGTTAAGGTTCCACTCGTGAAAAATCAACAAAGACGAGATCAAATGAAAATATCTGAATAGTTTGCAGAGTGGGGACCACGAGTCAGTCATCTTCTTCAATAAAAAATAATAGAGAGGGAATCCTTTCTCATTTGGCTGAAAATGTCGTAAAGTAAACAAAGTGCATGTTAAGTTACTACTGAGGAATTGAATACAAGTTTCCTGCTTTTCTTGGAATCTCAAATAACACGCATAACTGAAGGATTCACCCTCTACTGAACGTACATTGCATTAAAGATAAATCCGTAGGTTATAATGAAGTAATATCACATAAGTGCAGACACCCCACCCCGACATTAGGAACATTGAATTATTGTCTATTTTCAAATTCTGTCTCATTATTTTATGCAGGTCTACTCACACTGACTGTTGTTATTCTGCTGCAGAGTCAAGATGTAAAACTTTGTAAGTATATGTCTATGTTCAAAATGGAAAATGAAAAAGATAAGGACCCCAGAAAGAATAGTAACCGCATATCTTGTTGTAACTAATGGTGGATCCATAATAAATTAACTCAAATCAGATCAAATCTAAAACTTTTTAAGTGCTGATGATGTGTATTTTACTTGCCCTTTTAACTGTTCTGTAAGGTGACCTTGAGTTTCCTATTATTACTATTATCATTATTATTGTTATTATTGTTCAATAAGATTCTTCAGTTCAGTCAAAACTATAACAAGCTGAAATGAACTTTGACGGTGTCTTCTGTTGAAGAGAAACTTCTTGACTGTGAATCCAAACGCGCTGTCACAAACGATTTCATGATGATAAAGACTGTGGCCTTCTAACGACAAGCAAACAAATCAAAACACTTCAATCAGAGCCTGTCTGTGTCCTTTGAAGCTTTAACGTAAAGCATGTGACATGACAAAGCATAACTTAATACAGTGTATGAAAGGAGCATTGTTGTCCTTCTCCACAGCAGCAGAGACAACTGCAGGAAGATGCACGATCTCTACTGACCACATACCACACATGACAATAAACTATTTATGATGTCAAACGTGTCCTCTTTGACTCTCACGTATATGACTCCAGAAGGATCTTTTATAGCTGTCCTACACAAATAAAATCTGAGGTCAGTTCACTGAAACTACAGGGATACAAAGGTTGGGCTTTATTGTCTTAATTTTATGACATGGCTGTGTTAGGTACTCGATTCTGATTGGTCATCACATGGAAACATTTCACAGCAATGGTCTCTTATTTCTCAATACTAGACCAAAGAACAGAGGGGTGCTGCAAATATGAGTCTAGAGGACTAATGCTGCATCCCAGTTGTACTCGGAGGTTGGGATTTCTGAGCTCCGAGTTGGAAATTCATCTGGAACGCCCCCCTGAAGTCGGATTTCCAACTCGGAAATGTCAGACGATCCTCACAAACCCTAACTTGACGACAACGTCATAATTCAAGTAACAGTGAAAGCACTAGTGATGCACTTCTGTTTTGCTTTTGTGTAATTAAATAAGTGGTATATGTTGTACTGCCCAACGTCTAACTGTGAACACGGTGCTATGGTGTTTGTAAGAGTAAAATACTGTGTTATGCGTCGTTTACAACTGATATAGGCATTTAACAAAGACTAACAACAACTAACAACCACTGACAACAATTGTAAACAACAGCTAACCACGGGTAACTGTAGGCGTCCATCTTTGTTTTTCCAGACTTGTTAACTGGAACGGGTATAACGTCATTCCCAGCTCCAAAATCTAACTTCCGAGGTAACTGGAACACAGCATATCTGTGATCACACCATTCTGTGCACCCCAACATGGCCAGGTTTGACAACGTCTTTGTAAGAAAGCAATCCGCTGAGTCACTGACCTGTAAACTCCAGGTTGGCGGCATCTTCCAGCAGCTGCTCCTTCATGCTGCTGAGTGTCTCCACAATCATCTCCTTCATCTCTTCCTGTTTACGGTTTGCGATGGCCATGAGGGAGGTGAAAAGTTCCCCCTCTTTTTCACGGGTGTACTCCAGCCTGCGAGGAGTTATCTGCAGGTCCCTCTGCATGTCAAAGGCCTGCAGGAAAGACAAAGGGGAAAGATCTGATGGGAGATTTGTCGAGAGTATACTGGGTCAAAATTGACAGAGGCCAAACATTTAAAGGACTGTGAAAGAAGTGAGATGCAGTAAAACTATGACAGAAGTATAGATAAATATTGTCAGAGTCATCAGCCACTCACCTGGTTGATGAAAAGATCGAGACACCGACAGTGAAGCCCATTCAGCAGGTTGGCAGCCTCCACCTGCTGGTTTTGAAGAACTTGGCGAGCAAAAGGCACCAATAACCGGTGCAGTCTCTCAAAAGCTTCACCCAGCATACTCTGGGGCTTGGCACCTGGAGCAGACATCTGTGAGGGGGCGCCGCAGGAGCAATTTCCTGCAGGGCTAGAGAGGAAGCCAAGGGAGAGGAGCTGCTTATGGAGCGGGCTCTTCTCCCTCTCCCTCTCCCTCTCCCTCTCCCGCTCCCTTTCCTTCTCTGCACGGCGGTCTGGAGCTGGAGAGGCTCCTGGAATGTTGTCAGGAATACGTACAAAACAGATTGGGAAGCATAGCATCTCTTTGACCTTCCAAAGCTCGGCCACCTGCTCCGTTGTTAGGGAGTCCTGGTTAATGGCATAGAGTAGGATGGGAATCACATTGCGGGTGCAGTCTTCAAGAGCTTCTTCTATGGGCTGGACACTCGGACAAGGCACCACCATGACCTTTGCTTCCTACAGACAAAACACAAAGAATCCACCAAAGTGCTGACTTCACTTCATGCAAACTCAATTATATGCAGGTTACTAATAGAAAACTGGTTCTATTTAAAAGATTGATGCACCCCAAACTCCTATTCAAAGCAATCCATGCAGACATAATCATTGGAGTGAGATGTCAAATTTTTGAGCATTATCTGTTTCTTAACAAAACAAGTAAATAGAATTCAAAGTCGCAATCACTATTTTCTAACTTCGGACTGAATAAATAGTTCTTGTGGAGACACGCTGACGATGATCATTAGAGTTGTCACACCCTCCACTTTTATACCTGGGAGGTTTGATGGAGTTTTTGGCCAGTGTTTTGCTTTCGCTTTAGTTTAGCTCTCTCCAAGTATCTCAAATGCTCTGAGACAACACTTTTGCACAACCAAACTTGACAACAAACATCAAACAGACAAATTAGTAAATAGCTGCTGGACTCAGACGGAGACTTAAGTTGGACACAGCCGGATATTTTCCTCAAGACTTGGTGGGGTCCCCAAAGGCCTATAAGTAGAGTGGATAGTTGGACTACTTCATTTTACAGCACTGTGCTATTGACAAGCTTATTCCAGGAAATGGCAAGCCACCATCATAACTCACCACATTCTTTTTCTCATGGGACTATGCCTCAATGATTATACACCAGGTAGTGGTGATATGACTTACATTGTGATTTGTCTTATCAGCTGCCCCTATCTTCTGCTGTAAATTTCTGTTACTTTTAAAACTTCACTGCTGAAGAGGAAATAGTGGCCACTGCTCCAGTCTCTAAATCCCAACTCAACATTTATACATTTTGGCTTTTGTGTAATTTGTATTTAAAGCTTCCAAATAAAAGTCTGGAATCTGTACGTGTGGGACCATATTTTGGTGTGGGAAGTGTCCTGGTCTCAGTTTGAAGAAAACTAGTAGTCCTAGTATTATTAACCACGGTTGACTGTGAAACAGGGTTCTCTGAAAACACCCCCATTAGCACTTGGTACGTTCCTCCTGATGAAATTAATCATAGACTGTAAATTGACACAGAAAAAAATCGAGTCAACCAATCTGAATTTTGGTCGACTCAGCACATATCCACCAATAAGTCGACCAGTTGACTAACGCCTGGTTCACACAGGAAGCGCCACGCGTGGAAGCACCGCGCACCGAGTTTCGGATCGGTGACTGTTCACACAGCGCACAGAACGACTCTTCCGCTTCTCTCTATTTTTTGCGCGAGCCGCGCGCGCCAATTGTAAAGCTGGACAGAGCAGATCGGACCAGACAGGAAGTCAGGAACAGGAGACGCGAGAGAATCCGGTCAATTTTCAAAATAAAATAAATTTCAATAAATTAGAAAAAATTATTTACGGTGTTGCTTGTCGGTCTATTTATTTCCCGATACACACACACACACACACACACACACACACACACACACACACACACACACACACACACACACGGAGGGAGAGCGGCAGAGATCCAGTGATGTTAGTGAGACAAAGGAGGGGGACTTTATTACGATAGAGTCAATAGCCTCGAGCTAACAAAGCTTCACATACAATGGAGTCAACAGACTCCCCAATTCATTTGTTGTTATACCCCTGTATAATAATTTAAAACAATACTTGAAGATGCTGCCAATATTTAATTTATGTATGACGTAATAAAAACATAAATATCGATTTACTCATGTTTAAAGCGCTCGTAAGTGTGGAAAATTGAGGGCAGACGGAAACAGCCGAGCACTTCCGGGCTCAGTCGACGTCTGACCGGCGCGTCAGAGCGCAGCAGAAAACGCTTTATGTGTGAACAGCCAAGCGTGTGCGCGCCGGCACAGCATCAGCATCCTGTGTGAACCAGGCGTAAGACTTTACAGTCCTAGTACAATGAATAAAAAAGGGACAGTGTCTATTTTGCTGTAAAGAGCACTTTTAAACTGAACACATGGCCACGCCTTGAGTTGCTTCTTAAACTCTTAACATTACAAAGCATGATGAAGCACATTTTGGCCAAAGGTTGTTCATCACTACCCGCTGGTTACGATAGAAATACACCATGAATCACAGCAGGGAAATAAACCTCCTTTTATCAATACTCTATGTTAATTTTGGATGGTAGCTTTTGTACATGGTCCCTTCAGGCTCGCTATTTTAGCTAATAATGTGAAAATATGTTATAGTCGTGCTCATAGCTTGTTTTAAATGACTTCAAGTGGCCAAACCACTGATTTTCATAAATTCAACGAGAAAAAATTAAACATGGAAGACAAATTCTTTAGAATAAAACTATGAGCCCTAGTATACAACATTACTAATGTTGCTGCTAAAGGATATCTAAAATAATTAAGCTTCAAAAGGAGCAAAAACACATCTGCGCCGATCACACACTGCTTCTATTTCTGAACAAAGTAGCAAACAAATATTTGTGATGGTCTTGGGAACGCCTGTGACACAGGGCAGAGAAGTGAAAGGTTTTCTTAACCCCTGATAAATGAGGACGGTAACAGAAATAGTCCCACAGAGAGCTCGAGAGCGAGATCATGACTGGAGGGAAGACAGACACTGAAATAGAGGCAAAAACCTCTCACAGAGACACAAAGGAGACAGTCAGTCCTGTCTCCAAGAAACAAGAGCCAAACCCATCTGAGCAGCCTCTTCGGAACAAAGATCGCCTGCAAACATTTGTTCACAGCCAATCGAAATCACTGCAAGCTTTGAATTCTCTACGAGCAATTTTTCTACTTAGCAACAACCCCTCCAGAGGATCTCTATTGGCTATTTGAAGTCATTTTGTTTTTGAATGCCTTGTTATGCCTTGTTGTTAAGAAATCAAGAACTGCCCTTTTATTGATATATCTTGGAGTGACAGAAATTATCATAGACCTTTGCTAACAAGTAGAGAATCTCATTAAAATCCCCAAAGCCCTGTCAATAAATGTTAAAGCTCCACAGAATTTCAGAAACATGGTGGCGATTCAGCACCCTTCATGTCCTCTGAGCCGGGGAAAGCTTGGGTGAGGAGAAGGTTAATTAGCAAGTGGTTCTCATCTGCTGGCTACCACAACAAGTGCCTGTGATTATGGCAGGAGCGTGTGAATACCACAGCGAGCAGAGAGATTCTGAGCCTAACTGTATCCTGACCAAAACATGCTAATCTCTTATTCATTCACCGTAAAAAAAAAAAAAAAAAAAAGAGGATTCACCACAATTCAGGAACTGGGAAACAAACATGTTTGTGGTGATTGTGTGCTTTTAAGAGAGAAAATGAACTACAAAATACAAACTACTCTTTGACAAAGTTTTTAAAATAAGAAAGGATATTTATCCCCTAGGGAAAATTACATTAAAATTAAAATTAAATTAAAATTAAAATATACTTTTACAAAATCAAACTGGGCTTTTAAACCCTCTGAGCTTGGTACAAGTGAAATAGAGTTTTGACCCAAATAAGGGATTGCTGAACGAGCCCAGAGCTCTCAGTCACACGTGACATTAAAAAGGAGTGTAAAATGCTTCACTTCCAGCTCTGATCATTTACCTCCAGCTTTTCATACATTACACTTCTCTCCTTTTTTGATGAGACTTCAAAGGTCCCTAAACATAACCACAGGAGTCATGCCAGTTCCAACATATTTATGGTTTGAGCCAACAGTGTAAAAATTCAGTAATTAATTCAGATGAATGTAAAACAGGAACTCTAATCAAATTATCACAAAATTCACCTTCACATCAGTAAAAGCACTTGACACTTGTGCTGGTGTCTAAAACACGTCTGTGTCTGTGTCATCATGAAGACAACATGTTGGAGAAAAGTTACGACCGGCTCGTTCCCACACAGCTCAGACAAATACAGGTTCAGGCTCTGAAAAAGTGAAAGCAATGTTTTCTTCCATGAGATGAATGACCAGTGTCCCAGAATTTAGCTGTAACCATGGAAACTTCATCACAGCAAAGGGTTTGGGATTTTTTAACATGACCTAGTCATGTGAATCGCACCAGACCAGCAGCATTACGTAAGGGGGCAGGGCGGGTGGGCTGTCCTGAGGCAAAGCTAGGCCTAGTTTCTGAGGCTGTGTGATGCTCTCTGAGGGGCCTTGGTCTAAAGGATTAGGGACTAATTTCCACGTGTCACACATAATAAGGAATGAGTACAGTCTTTACACCACACTTAATCAATTCAAGAGATTGAGATTTTCAGGGTTCACTGGCTGAAGACCAGCATGACAGCAGAACCGTGTCCAACAATCTTTTCTTCTCCTCACAACCTCACCAGAACCAGCAAATCGATATTTAAACACAGGAGAAACGTGACTGGGAAAGAATGTATTTCTGAACTGTGGCATAAATCAGTGTACAGCACAGGAAATAATCAGCTCTGTTCGGTAATCTGTTTGTGAGAAAAGCCTCCTGTGTACGTGTGAACACAAAGGCTATAGAGGGAAATATCTCCACAGAGAAAGTAAACACAGTAAGGGCCGGGTGAGCTGACAGGAACCAATTACATAATTGAAAGGCAAGATTTATTTAATTGTTATTCTGATGTCCAGATTGACATAAAAAAAAGTTTCCTTAAGTCGACTGAAAAAACTAAAGCCTCCAAATTCTGCCCACCAGTCTGCATTAATGTTCCCCACACAAAGAAGTCTGTGTGTACGCATACAGTCAGTCTTTATCCATTTGTCAACAACACAGTAACTGAATAATAGGCTAGATGAAATGACTAAATATATTATTCATATATCCTTTCCCACAATGATCAATATTGATATTGATCTATGTAACTAAGAGATGCTACCATTTTATGGGGTAGCCTGATAAAGACAGAGCCCTGAAAAAATTGTTATTCATAATTCATTCATCCCTTTAATTAGAACATTGTTAATATTTTCCACTTGAAATATACAGCAGTAAAAACCAGAAAAAAAAACTGTTAAAAATGGTTTCGAATGTGCCCTCAGAGGATCTTCAACAGACTGAGTACAGGAGCTACGAGTCAAACTGCCATCAAGATTAAGTCTCACTTGTTTGAAAGAGCTCCACAGAGTTCACCTACCACAAGGTTTTTAATGGGAGCCTAATCAGATATCGGATATCGGCTCCGATATTGACAAATTAACTGGATCGGATATCAGATGAATGACGCCAATCCAGCGTTCTGATCCAGCCTTTTTTTTCTTTTGATTTATTTTTCTTTTAATACATGGAAGTCTTACTTCTTTTTGCTGTGTGCTAATGTGCAATTTGTTATTTGTTCTTAAATAATATCAAGTAAATTTATATCTGTGTTAATTTGTTACCTTTTTTCTTAACAAGGCTAATATCAAGCCTGATACCTTCACTCACAGGGCAAGGTATACAGTTCATTCATTTAATTGTAGTGTTAGAGTGGTATCGGATATCGGCCGATACGCTCAATCCAGATATCGGTATCCGACTGGATCAGAAAAAAATGGATCAGTGCATTTCTAATCCTAATACTTTAAAATTTCTGACTCCATAAACACAACCAGTAAAACAATAAAAACAGAGGAGTTCAGGTTCAACCTCACTGTCTCCCTGACACTCCTGAGCTGATTCAGGATATTTAGTGGACACTGCTGAGCCAGCACGGATGCCCACATACTGTTTTAGCATCATGTTACCATACTTTTGTCTTCGTCTTGGGAGAACTTCTTTTCTCATCTGCATCTGATAGGCTGCACATTTTCCCAGATTCATTTAAGAACTTATCAAACTTTGATTAAACAGCCAATCAAGATTAATCTGTCCGTCTGCTCTAGCTGATAAACTAACACAGCGATGTACTGGTGCCATCAGTTTACTTTTCTTCATAAGTTCTGGCAAAAAATTCTCCAGGACTCATCGAAATGCCTTCAACTCACAAATATAGCATCACTAACTTTTCATCAAAACACACACCTCAGCCTCATCTCCCCTTTATGCAACAACTTCTCAAAAATCAAGTTTAAATTGACGTAAGTACGTAGACTCTGATTCACTGGTTGCTGCTGTTTTAGAGTGACCACAAAGACTATTTTCACCAGAATTATCACACAATGATGGTCAAGACACCAGTGCATTACAAGGAAGAGGCTTCTTGAAGAAAACCAAATTTCAACAAACAAATGAAACAGTTTCAGGTGAAAAAAAGAGTTTCTCGAATACTCTTCAGTGCATGTATGACTTCTGGAGGAAGTCGAGCAAGCTGACCTGCGACCTAAAGCCTGTTCTTAGGTGAGAAAGACTGAGCCAGGCCAACAACACATAAAGCACATCTACAAGGAAAGTCAACCAAAGCATCCAAAACACTATCTGAGTTTATTGCACTTGTAAAGAAGGCTGTCAAAAAACGCTAACAAGTTCTTACAAGTGTGGGTTCCTGAGAGGATAATAATGAGACTTGGAAGATCTGTACCTGTAGCAGTTGGTGATGAAGGGTGATCTCCAGCTCTGCTAGCCTGTGGGCTGGGTCCTCACATTCTTCGTGAATTTCCAGGTCTTCCCGGGGCACTGTATCCCACCGGCCACAGTTAGCTGCCAGCTGGTGCACCAGCTCATACTGGCCAGGCAATGCCAAGCTTAACCTTGTCTGTCTTCCATGAGTGAAACACAGCTTCCTCCTCTTGCAGACAGTGCCCTGAACTCCTTCACATGCCTCTCCAGCCTCCGGGCCTAGTGGCAGTAATCTCTCCCCAAGGAGGCAGTTGAGCAGCTGGTAGCGGGCAGCACAGTCCTGACCCAGCACTAGGATGTAAGGGGCAGCACCTACAGTGCTGCGGAGGAACTCTTCTTCATGACTTGGGAAAGAGATGCAGCTGAGCTGGCCTGTGCATTGGGAGATAAACAAAGGAGGTACATGACTAGATCTCTAACCCAAACCAACCACATACAGTCCTGGAGTTATGGAGATTTCTGGAGAGTTCTTATATTGTAGAGGTGAGGTACTCAGTAGCTCGCCAGCCTTAAAATCTGAGTTTCATTTCTGGAACACAGTACATATTTGTTTCGCTGTAGAGATGTTAAAACATTTCAAATCTGAATTTGCACCTTTTGCTATGACATCCTGATCAGCGCACACACAGAGGGACCAATTCAGCCTTGTTATTATTGGGGGTAAAGACATAATCCTCTGTGATGCTGAGTCACAGTCTCAGATACTTACATAACTAAGACAGCAGCTACAGTCGAGTGGACATGCAGCTAAACCCGTTTAGTTTCATTATTAAGTGCTCTTTACTAGTGAACCAAACCTAATGCATTAAAGTCAAGCATTTCAGACAGACCTGTGACAAACTGCATGATCTGTGCTGTAGTAGACAGACCATACAAACTTTAATGTAAGTGCAGAAATAGGTCTGACTGCTACATGAATAATAGATTAAAAACTATTCTAGGCTCTGTCTGTGTCATGTGATGCACATTTTCTTCCAGGGAGGAAAGAGTAACCAATGAATTTGCAGGATCAATCTTGTTTGCAGGTGAAGGCATGCCTTTACCCATGAAAGGCTGCATTATTGTCCAGTAGTTCAGTTGATTATGGCTAATCTTAGGATTAGCATTGTTCATTCAATACTGAGGAAAATTATTTGACCTTCTGTGTTTACAGGACACCAGCTCTGAGGGAGAAGCCACTCCTGTGGATGTGACGCACTTCATTCTATCTGCATGCCATCACTATCACTGTTCCATATAGGCACTGCATTATTATACAGAGTCCTGTATTGCACAGGACCTTTTACACTTGATTCTTAAGATAGGATTTGCTCTGAAAAAAAAAATACATACATTAAGGTGTGTAATAAAAATATTAAGCTGTGGACTAAAGACAGGAACTTAAGTTAGTGACAGACACCCAGACATATACATAAGGCAATGATGCAAAATGGGAAAGTGGGTCTAATACCCTCCAGTTCTCTGCCAGCTAGTGAGTGCAGAAATCTCAGCATATTTGGTGCACTTAGTCTGCTCATGCTTCTCAGAGGGGGCTTAATCTCTTTAGTTTTCTCTAACCCTATTTAATGCATTTTTCAGTCTAAGTTTGGTGGAGAAATCACTTAGCAGCGGGTATTTGATATTCAATTCTTTTGTTTCTCTGTGGGATTGAGATGTTAACAGTTATGCTGTATTAAATATGTGTTTGAAAACCATTTTAAGGTTATTTAAACATGGTTTTAAAACTGCTCCACATAGATGGGGGCGGTCAAACCTACCTGCCTCCAGAGAAAAGGTGTCCGAGTTCACGGTTGATGCACAAGCATTGCTGTAGTTTTGCCTTATTTCCCGAAAGAAAGCATTAGTCTCCTTTAGGTTCTTCTTCAGCTGGACTGTGTGTTTATTGTAGCTGTTAAATATCCTTGTCAGTTCCCGTGCCAAAGGAGTGGTTTTTTGTTGTACATTTCCCTCCATGGCCATTTGTTTGAGATACCCGTATAACTTCTCCTTGTAGCACCGAAAGTGGACGCTTTAGTTAAGTTTTCAGTCCTCGTTTTAACACCCTTGCCTTTGCCTGCCAGTTAGTAAGTTTTCATCTTTGCCCACCCACCATCCAATTCCAAAATAAACACCTTTACTCACTTTTAACATTCAATAACATTAGTCAATTGGTGCAGCACCGACATCGATCCCCGTAGTGTTATGTGTCAGTAAATAAGGGATGGGCATTTGGCTTTTGTTGTGATTTTATAGAGGCAGACAAGCTAGCTTAACGCCTTGCCTCGAGCTCGAAATACCCACCAACTCGATGTGAAATACGTGACAATTTGCCAACCAAACCAATTAAGCCCTTTCTTGTGTTAGCTGCCCTCCTTTTCTGAAGTTTATCCCAACCGTGTTAGCCACTGCATACTGAGAAAAAAGCACTAAAAACAAAAAAAATCAGCGTTAACGGTTGATGCGCTAACAAGTGTGTTTCACTAACAAGTGATTCAGTCCAGTTTATGTTAGTTAGCGCGGTTAGCCAGAAGGCATCTCCTGACCGTCGTCCTCGCGTTGGCCTGGCACAACAGTAGACATAGCAGTAGACTTCACGACAAACAGTCCCGGGAACAGTTTCACACCGACGGGGCCCGGCTGTCAAAGCTGCGTCAAAATGTCAGCGGCCTAACGCGCGACAAAATCGTTAGGGTTTTTTTTTCCTGTGAAGACTCCGTAGGGAAAAGAGATCTTCCTAAACTGGCTCCGGCCCGCAGAAACTAGCGGACATCTCTCACTGTGTTTAAAGCAACGCCATCAAAGCTTGGTGAAGAAGCAGTCTGCTCATTCAGGTGGGGGTGCAGGTGGAGAGGTGAGTCGGTGGAGGCTGTGCAGCAGGGTAAGGTGTGCCCGCACCGAGTCACAAAAGTGGGACCAGGCAATCAAATCACTGCAAAACAGAAAGTCGACATGATTCGAAGTTAGGGAGAGGAAAGGGCGGGGTTCGGGATAACGCAGTGCACTCTGGGTAATGTAGTATTAACATCGATTCGGTACCCAAAAAGAAGTCCACATTTTAGAAAAGAAAATTCTTTTACCTCTGTTTTATACCTTGATTTGGCATCATATATTGATGGTATATATCTCCATCATATCTCTTTAGCACATTCTAAACTACGGTGGCCAGGAACCACCACTGCTATAAATAAAAAAGAATGCAAAAAAAAAAGAAGTCAGAACAGAAGTTACCCGTGCAACAAAAAAAGAAGTGTTCCTATTTCCCCCCTCCTGTCGGCCTACACCATATTTATAAAGATAAAGAAGAATAATCACCTGTTCGATCACGTCATCAACATTGAGGTTTAAGAACCTTCCTGAAAGTCGTCATTTGATTGCATTAAATTGTCTATTTTTTTAATGTTATGGCAGGATGATGTTCTCACATTCATTTACATTTTTTGTCTCTCCTGGTTTTACATAACAATAAATAGCCTACTGTGACCACACTATCAACCCATTTTTTTTCTAACTCTTGGTTGTATTTGATAGAAAACACAAGCCCAAGTATCCTGTTGGCATATTTCCTCTTCTTTTTTCACAATTTACAAGAATAATTTAAGTTGAAATTATTTATTATTATTTACTTTCGGGCATAATAAGTGATTACAATGATAGTGCTGAAAGTCACTCCCATAGTAGACAAACTCATAATACAGTACTTAAGCAACACATAGGATAAACTGGATGTGAAAAGCCTGTAAAAACATATTTGCTTTGATTTTATACAAGTAAAAAATTGAAAAACTAAGTTGAAAATGTGTCAGCCAGTGATAGTTCTCAACAGGTACTTGCATTATTAGCTCCTTCTAACTATCCTTATTCTATATGTTGTGACTGTTCCTTACAGTGAAGGGTTAATTTCCACGGGCTGCCAGATTGTGATGGCCATTGGTGACTTGAGCATCAAAAGCTTCTCATTGTTTGGTTTATGCACCATGTTCCTCTGCATGCATGAGTGAAGACTTTCTGGCATGTTACCCAGATGACTGAATGGTAAACACAAAGGCTGGTTCTGATGGGTTAGGAGGTCAAATTAGACATACCCTCTGATGAGCAGCCAGGCGGCTCAGTGTATTAATTTGACACTTAGTTACTTACTACAGTGTAGTCATTTACTACACATATAGGCTTGAACTAATTAATATTATGGATAAACAAAAAATTAAATAAAATATAGGTCAATGTTGCTGTTAATAAATTTATTTATTTATTTGTGTAATACAACTTCTTTTCGTAGGTTTCTGTTTACAAAGTGAATCAGAAAGGTTCTTAACAGTCAACCCTGTTCTTACAACTGGTGGCTGCATGCTGTCCTCTGGTGGCCGTCAAGTGTACCGACGCTATTTGGAAAGAGCATTGACTCTCAAGAGCATTCTGGTAGTTCAAAGTCATGAGTTACATCTTGCCAACTATCATACAGAAGTGCCACTTTGTAAGGCTGACTTGTTTAGTTTGATTTGTTTCCTATTACATTGTTGTGATTTCAAAGCATTGGGAAGACGGCAGTGGTAGGAAGCCAAGACATTCCAGCTACACAATGAAGATCCCTCAATCAGGATCGAAACCCAGAACCTGCTGGATATGAAGCAGCAGTATTCACTGCCACACTAGAGCCACCCTGCAGTGCTCACTTACTCTTCTTTTCATAACACTGTGTTGATGCAAAAAGCACAGTGCAGATCCAAGTGGTAGGATTCAGGCTATACCCTCTCATAAGTGAGCCACCGTGATTGAACTTGTTACCTACTTGCATTTTGGTAATTTAAAAGCACAGTCTAGGTCAAGAGCATTACAACACCACAAATGAAGGGGTCTCTGCTGGGGTTAGTGTGATACTTTATTCAAAAATCTAATATTTTGGTTTTTAGGAGTTATTTTAATGTTAATACTGTAAAAACATGATGTATACTAGTATAACCCACTTGTAATACTGTATATTTTCTCACAACCACTCTTCATCATTGCACTACTGTCTTATATAAGTTAAATGTTTAGCCCCAGTTTGTACATATTTTGTAATTTTTGTTTTTATTTAATTTTATTTTTTTGTAGCTTTTCATGTTTAATGGTTAAACATAGAGGGCAAGTTTATCGTCGTCAGATTCCTTGTATGTGTACGCATACTTGGCCAATAAAGCTGATTCTGATGAATATGTGGACATCAGTCAGTTCCCTTAATATATTAAAGTGAAGTACAAATAACAATCTCTTTTTGAAATTTGTTGGGGTGGTAAGGCAGCATTACTTGAGAAAGGCCCTGAAGAGTAAATTTCTGTGTGGTACTTTATTCAAAAGTCTAATATTTTGGTTTTTAGAAGTTTAATATTTGTTTTAATGTTAATACTGTAAAACATTATGTCTACTATTATAATCTACTTGTAATACTGTATAATGATGTGTGTATTTTTCTCATAACCACTCTTCATCAGTGCACTATTGAACTACTGTCTTAGTGCACTGTGCAATGCAGTTTCCTTAATATATTAAAGTACAAATGAAAATCTCTTTTTGAAATTTATTCGGGTGGCAAAGTGAGAAAGGCCCTGAAGAGTAAATTTCAGGCGCCTCATAAATCTACTCAAGTACAGTCGGTAACATAATTAGGCCTGAACGATGTCTCTATCCACACATATGCCGTCTCTTTGCAGTGCGCTTGAGGTAAACTTTGGTGCACACCGATGGCAAGGGCGGTTCAACCAATGCTTGCTCTGCGTGTTTTCCTGGCTTTAGCGCTACATAAAACTATTAAATTTAAATAAAATGTACGATCACAAAAGTCAGAAGAATATTGCCAAAGCATAAGCAATGTTGCATACTGATTAATAAAATTTTCAGCTGTCTAATGAGTACAACTCGGAATAACTCTAAATTTAGTGTAATGCGAATTTATGTTGAAAAAGGTTGCATTCTACATCATAGTATTCCATAACATCATCATTATAAAGCTCAAAATTCACAGTTCTAAATCAGTTGGACAGATAAACTCGAAACCACAGGTGTATCGACTCAAACACCTTCACACACAAAACACTTGAAATGTACCCCTAATTGCAGTATGACTCTTAGGTATTTTTCAGATAGCTATGTCAAATATTTGCTGCTTTGAGCATCTTTGGATGTACATGCAATTGAAGACGTTTTTGGCTAGAGTTCGCAACAAAAAGGGGGGAAAAGAAAAAAACATTGTTACATTTAATAAACTAAGAGAAGAATAAAATATATCGGTATCTGCTGCCCTTCTCATATATACTTACAGCGAGTAATTTCATAAAACAAGTCTCTAACTGCAGTGTGCTAAAATACAGTTACAGTCAACAGGTGTTGTGCCGTAGAGTGCACCCCTGCGTCCCATCCACTCATTAGCTTTTTAAAGTGGAAGAAAACGATCTCATATTTAAAAAAAAAAAAACACGAGTATTGGATCATGACAACATGTCAAATGGAGCCGCAAACTTTCGTTCTGTTTTTATGTGTCTCAAAAATGCACACATAGAAGTGTACTTGGGTACATAAACTGTATGGTAAGCTGTCAAGGTAAAGAACATTATATTTTCGGGACAGCAAATATTCCAGAAGGCTATCGTTTTCGGTTTATCTGAATATTCTGAATGAAATCATTTAAGGCTCACGCTTTTGAATCCACCCAACGACTGGGTTTTGAATCAAACGCTCCTCTGTGAACCAGTAACGCCCCCTAGTTGTTCGACGTGTCTGCTGTCTGGGCTGTACTAGGGTAGATCCATGCAGCTCTCGACCTGTTGGCAGTAGGACCGGGGTCGCTGAGAGAGCAGACAGGGTACGTTACACACTTAAAGTTAGTTATCGCGGTTCACATAGACTACTCTTTATCTCTAGGTGTAAAAGCAGGTTTATTTGTTTTCGCATTGCTGTCTGAACCGAACCTGGACAGAAACTACAGGGAACTTTGGGAAGGGATGCAGTTTAGTAACGACACCTGCGTCGGTAAAACGGAAGAGAAAGAGCACACCGTCGTCGCTTCAGCATGGATGGTTTGAGTGTTGCCCGATTCTCGGCGAACCGCAGGCCGTCCGCGGGAACAGTCCCACCGACTGAAAATGTAGGTAGTAAATCTTCAATCCAAGTTCCCGTGAAAAGGCAAGCCGTGAAGAGACACCACCATAAACACAACCTGAAGCACAGGTACGAGTTCCTGGAGACCCTGGGTAAAGGAACCTATGGCAAGGTGAAGAAGGCCAAGGAAAGATCCGGTAGACTGGTAAGGACATATAACCTTTTTCCCTTAATTATTTTAACCAAATGTAATTCCCTCGTTGAGGACAACATCTGCGGTCACTGTCTGTCTGCTGTCCTGTCGGCCACCTGTTGTTCAGACACCGAGAGCTATTTCCAGACGACCTGCTGCACACAGGTAGCCTACATTTGGGTATCAGTGGAGGTAAATGTTTTAGACAGCTTTCAATTCCCCGCCATATTTTTGAGTTATAAACTAATAAAAGAGGTGAGTCTAAAAGTGTATCTGCTGCAGGCGTATGTGTCAGCTGCCAAACCAGCTTGTGTTGCTCTAGGGGTTCGTCTTGTTTGTTTTGGATGGTTTGTTTTTACTTTATAGAGTTTAATAAGCTCCTTGAATAGCCTCTTAATTGCAGACCACTTTTAATTATCCAATTATGTCATTTTTATTCTCACCACATCAGAGTATCACACTTTATTTGGACAGTGCTCTATTTGTTAAAAGGGTTGAAAAGTACACTATGAGCCTTTGGCAAACCAAGTATCTAGGTTGATATTGTAAAAGGCCATGACATTAATACTTCTTTTTGTGAGCTCAATCCTTAAAGAAGAAAGGATTCATTTAATGTGTCTCTATGCATAGTTTACCCCAGCCACTCGCTCTGAGAAGCATGAGGGAAAGGCGTTCTGCTAGAAAAACTGAGAGTCATTGTATCAAAGGGGAGTTCTTTGGATGGGGAAGTTAGGTAACTTTTCTTTCTTTGCTCCTGATGAAGGGAGAGGGGGGAAATTACCGCTAGTCTTTTAGGTGGAATCCAGTTCCCCATGACCTAAGGGGAAATGGGAGGTCTTCAAAACAGACTGGACTGAGATAAGCCTTTAAAGGGTACACAGAGGAGATAACAAACTAATGACAAAATCTTTAGTTGGGGAAATAAATACTTGTCTCACTTGTCCTAATTTACACTGTTGTCATTGTTGTTTTCATTTCATATTTAAGGACTATAAATGTGTTATGTAGCTCACCTTTGGGTATGAATGAAGTTATACATATACAAAATATATAATAAAAAACAACAGTAATGTATTTCAACAGCCCCCACCCCCCTTTGACCTACAACCTTGTCGAAAACTCAAAGAGGTAAAGCAGCACCCGCCTAAAGCAGTATCAACAAAAATGAAAGTGTACTTATGTTAGATAAGACAAGTTTTATTGCAGGGCTCTTTTATTAGACTTGCATAACACAACAGGATTACTTCATAAACTGGTATTTGAATACATATCCACATTTATGCAGCACACTGTGTTCTACTCTGAACAATTTACATTCTGTTTGACTTTTTTTGTTTTCTTTTACTGAGATATATTAAATTACCCTTTTAAATATAGACCAGAACCCCAGGAGCAGAAAGGAAACCCTGAATATTAAAGTGTATTTTATTTCTGCAGATAGAAAGCTTCAGATATGGAAGAAGAATGTAAGTTGTCCTAAAAGTGACCTCCATCCTCAGCTTATAAGTCACGTTTAATGAAAAGACTTCTTGATTATAGGTCACGTTTGTTTTGAGTGAAAGCCTGGAGAAGTCAAGGAAGTAAGTGTCAGGAATTCCCCCCCACCTCCACCTGAACATGCAGTAAACAGGTCGTGTTCAATCCTGTCGACACGCCCTGCTCTATTCTTACCCTGTCTGACATGGCTTGGTGCTGCTAGTAGACTTTGCTTTTGTAGGATGAGTTGTTGTCTGAGATTGTTCTGTGCATAAGGCCTCATAACCCCAACCCTTAGGCTCGAGGATATCTTTATTATCTCTAAGGGGCAATTTGCTTTACAGCTAGCAGTAGCATACAAGTAATTCCACTCACAGAGGGAATAAGATAAAAGTTCAGACACATAGAAAACATCCAACGACATAGGAAACAATGGCAACAACATCAGAATGAATAAATCATGGCAAATTTTTACCTTGAGCTATTCAAAAGGCTAATGGCAGTCGGGATAAAATATTTTTTTAGTCTGTCTGTCTTACATGATGGATGGACATACCTGCGTCCAGAAGAGAACAGCATCAACTCCTTGAAGAGTCGATGGTCTGGTTCATCAAGGATAGACTGGGTTTTTTTAAGAGTTGTGAGTTTGAATAAGACCGTCAGATCACTCAGAATAGTGCCTGTAATTTTGCAGCAGGTTTTAACTAAGCCTGACAGTCGGTTTTTGTTTTTCAGACGAAGTGAACCATAAAAAGAGAGAAAAGAGAATGTAAGAACAGATTCAATAAAACAAGAATAAAAATTTTTCAAAAAGACACGTTCAAATTCCTGAGCTTGCGATAAAAATACAATCTTCTAGTATCTAAATGCCCTAAAAATGAAAATTCCCATTAGTCCAAATGCATTATGCATTATGTCAATATATTACACTCACACCATGTAATTTGACACAGGGAGTAACACAACATAAAGGATAGCTTCAGCTTGCGTGCGTCGCACTACAGCTGTGGCCATTGTCTCAAAGCAACAGTTTGATTATGTAACCCATTGAGGTGGAGGGTTTCAGGATACACCCATGAAGGATTGACTTCGCTCTCAATGCACGACATGTGTGCCGTGTGTGTGTGCCCTTGAGGCAACTCTAATTAGGGTGGTTGACAAGCTAATTATAAATCATTACTTGTTGAAGGTTTTCCTGGCAACTTTGTAGTGATTAATTCACATAATTGTTTGGATCATAGAGACTTCTGACAGTCCATGAGAAATTAGAGATGCACCAATCCATTTTCTTTTCCGATCCAATCCGATACCGATGCCTGGGCTGAGCGTATCAGCCGATATTCGATACTGATCCAATACTGCTGTTGAACGAATGAACTGTATACCTTGCCTTGTGAGTGAAAGCATCAGGTTTGACATTAGCCTTGTAAAAAAGAAAAGATAACAAATAAACACAGATATAAATTTACTTAATATTATTTATGAACAAATAACAAATTGCACATTAGCACACAGCAAAAAGAAATAAGACTTCCACGTATTGAAAGAAAAAAAAGACTGGATCGGCATCATTCATCCGATATCCAACCCAGTTAATTTGTCAATATCAGAGCCAATATCCGATCAAAATATTGGAATGGTGCATCCCTATGAGAAATGTTTATTAGATGCACAGAAGCCTCAGTTAAGAGCTCTTGCTTTGTAATGCTATCGATGAAGTAAAAGGTGGAGAACAGTTCTCTATTACCTTGTGTAGAAATCAGACTGGACAAAGGGACCAAGAGAGGTTGATGTGTTTTGTTAAAAGATAATGAGAATTTTTTCTGTTTGTAACTAATCATTATCTCTGCCTCTCACTCACATGTGAATGCTTTAAAGAAAACAACTTTACCGGAGTAGGAAAAGCAGCAAATCCTTAAAGGTGTGAGTCAAAGGCAAGTCTATTTGGCACAGTCATTTGAGTAAATAAGAATTAGCTGAAGAATTCTAAACGTAAGTGTAACTTCTCTAAATTACAGTTTTCGATGGGCAAACAAGTGATATCCAGTTCTCAGTCAGTGCAGGCACTTGTGATGCATACTTGAACAAGATGAGTGTTTTTAAAGTTAAATAGTCTTAATTAGGATTGGATAAAAATTAAGCTCACTCTTTGAATCCTTTGAATATCTGTTTGTAGATGTAGTTTTTTAATATTTAACCTATTTTTCCAAGTTGTAAATGAGTGTTTTGGTAGCATTGACATTGTCAATTTGATCTGATCCTTCGTGGCAGTTTCACTAGTTAGTTTCTTGGTGTCATTTTTAAGTAGTAGCTAATATGTGATAATGTTAAAGGGTGTGTGGTGCTACATATTTGCATTAATGAATGTGTAAATGTTTGCTTGGCAAACACTTAGCCTACTCATCACACAGGCAAAGTTTTTTCTTAAGCTTGCGTAACCAGATCAAGGTTTCTATGTGTAGAAGAGAACTTTGTGAATTTAGCTGTAACACAAAACCAGTTCATTTTATTAAGGTAATTTCAATACTTAAATGTTCCCAAATGCTTATTTAACTTCTAGGATTTGCCCCTGAATTTATTTTCTGACGTATTTGTGGTTGCAAACATCGTCTTTGTATGATAACTGAGGAATTCATTGTTAAATATCAAATATTCTAACCTGAGTGCCTATTGCGTGGCTCAGGCTCTCAGTGACAAAGACAGCTAACACAGAGAAAAACGCACATGAGTGTGAACTCATCATGAGTGTGGGTTGAGCCCATCCGACAGCTATACAAACAAATGCAGAAGACCTCAGTTCCCAGAAACAGGAAAAAGGTTTGAATGCCGTGACTACAGCGCTGACCTGGGGGAGCATTCAGCTCAGACAGTGACTCATGACGCCAGACAGCCGTGATGTTGAAACTGATATGACAGGTCTGTGCTCGAGGATTAGCGTAGAGAGAAAAAAAAGGACACCCCGCTATCAGTATCACCTGGCTGTTCATGGCACCCCTCAGTGTTAAGGTCAATTGATGACGCACTAAGAGACTCAGATGCTTGGGATTTCTCCAGACATGAAACTGGGAGGAATGTATGTCGACTTCCCTCGGGCTTGTGACATAGGCAATTTGAATTTCCTTATTCTGATAGTTTCACAAACATCACAGCAGGAACAGAATATGTCTAAAAATGAGTCATTGAAACAAGTCTCACCCGTGTTTTACTTGTTGTGTGTAACAAAGGTAAATTATTTATATTATTTTAGGTTGCCATCAAGTCGATCAGAAAGGAGAAGATTAAGGATGAACAGGACCTGGTCCACATTCGCAGGGAGATTGAGATCATGTCCACTCTCTCTCACCCACACATCATCACCATATTTGAAGGTACAGTACCTCAGTTTTTTTTTTATCTGTGTTTGTATTTTGGAGGAGTGGGGAGGGAGGGGGTGAACCACAGGTGACTTTGATGCCACACACGGTATGAAACGTGATACCTGAAAAGGCGCATCGTTCAATTGGCCCCTGTTTGAGAGTCAGGTTTGGTCACGCAAGTCTTTGGTGGACACTGATGCAAGGTTACATAAGCGATAATACCCCTGTGGTACCCCGTCAGTGCTGCAGGATAATGTGCAGAGCCTCGTGTCTTCCAGTGCCCCTCTCGCCTGATGAGATGGTCATTGCTCAGTCTTTCTCCGGCCCCGTGCATGTTTGTTTGTAATACTGTCATCATGGGGCCCTCTTCATCCTTACCGATGTTAACAAAGGGCTGTCCAGGAAAACACAACTCAAAACGTGACATACTGTGTCTCATCAAAGTAAAATGCCGCCCACTGGATGACTTGCTGATTTTTATTTGGCTGTCAAACTTTGACTTAAAGGGTCTTAAAATCTTTTTTTTTTTTTAAATCTTTCAGTGTTTGAAAACAAGGACAAAATAGTGATAGTGATGGAGTATGCTAGTAGAGGGGACCTTTATGACTACATCTGCGACAAGAGGAACATTTCAGAACGGGAGGCCAGACATTTCTTCAGACAGATTGTATCAGCTGTGCATTACTGCCATCAGGTAAGATATCAGTCAATCCACCACTTTTATACAAAACAATGAGCTTTCTATAGAATAATATCCAGAGGAACCTTTTGATGTGTGTGCCACGCCTTCATAAGTCTTATGTAAACCCAAAGTTGTAGTCACAGCAGAGTATTTTTTGCCCCATCAAAGCAAACAGCACAGAGCTCCTGTCAGACCAGCCACCCTCGTAGTTGTGTTTTTCCAGGGCGCTGGCACCCCCAGAGTTACATAATGGGCATTATGAACTGTGAGCCTGCCTCAGAATGATGCAGTGGGAAGTGAACAGTTGGTCAGTGGAGTGGCAGCATCAGGGCTAAAGGCCAGCCGTCCGACACACACACACACACATGGTCTCACACTCTAATGAGGGTGTGATGGAACAGAAGGGTTCTGCAAACACACACACACACACAATCAGTTGTGCCTGTAGTCCAGAGCTGTGTAATTAGGGACATTTCAAGAGAACATTATACTTTAGTGCCGTCGTTCAGCACTTTGCAGAGTGTCTATCAGAGTTTGTTGGACAATATTTACCAAGTGGATTGCCCCGTAATATTCTGATGACCATCTGTCTTAGATTTCACTTGTGCTGAGCGCTGGTGTCTGGTTGAATATATCCTTTCTGTGTTATCATATGTAATAAAACCCATCTAAACCCCTCTTTAAAAAAGGGTTAGTAATTCCTAAAAACATTTAATACACAATACACAACAGAGAAGTGGTTTTCAGCTACTTGCATTGCTCATGCTATGAAGTAGTTGACCTGCATTTTTCTAAGTAAAACAATTTCAAACTCTGTTAGTCAAAGGTATGCCCCCCTGCAGAGTGGAGGACAATGAGGCATAGCTGACGTACCATAAAACGGTCTTCATTTGGAAAAGAATGTGCTCTGACCTAGTAAAAAAACTAATCCCTTTATGTAATACAGACACCTTCAGTGAACTAACACAACATGCACAGCATTTTTATAGAAACTATAGAAAAAAATACTGTATATTAATATGCATAAAAATATATATCTTTCTTGTTTTATTTTTAGAACGGAATAGTACACCGTGACCTGAAACTGGAGAATATTTTACTCGATGGCAACGGCAATGTGAAGGTAAACACATGGAAGATTAGTGTGAGCATTTATACCATTCACTGACAGGATTGGTAGTCATTAAAAATGTACTTTTTGTACCTTTTTTTTATTTTATACACTGTATTGTAAGCATGCATGTATGGTAGGTATTTTAGATGGCCATATATGGATTTTTACATGGTAATGTAAAGAAATGTCATTACTTCCTATACTAGCTCTTTTGCAAGTGACTCACTGTCTTACACATCTGAAATCAGCAATATCTGTCATGAGTAATTTGGTGGAGTAGGGTGATGCACTTGGAAAATTTGGGGGAGGCAACTATAATCTACAAAAATAACCTGTCTACCATTCATCAGCTTGACATCCTTTTTTCTTGCAGATTGCTGACTTTGGCTTGTCAAACCTCTACCATGGTGATGAGTTCCTCCAAACGTTTTGCGGTAGCCCCCTCTATGCGTCTCCAGAGATTGTCAATGGACGTCCTTACCATGGGCCAGAGGTGGACACCTGGTCTCTTGGCGTGCTGTTATATACGATGGTTCATGGGACGATGCCGTTTGATGGACACAACCACAAAACATTGGTACAACAGATCAGCACTGGAAATTACCGCAAACCCAACGACCCTTCTGGTGAATATTTCAGCTCAACTTCTCTTTGGGGGGTTTCAATGTACAGTGATGTTACCAGTCCAAAAAGTCTCATTTGTAGTACATTAAATACTTTTTATAGCTAGACCAGGGTCTTTCTTTTTTATCTGGACATGTTTCAACTCTAAACTTCCCGCTGTCTTCCTGTGATGTTGTTGTGTCACTGCCAGCTGATTTATTGGACGTTAGTTGTCCTACCTGAAGCAGCAGAATGACCATGCCCTTTGTTATCTGACAATTTTAGGAGAGCATCCCAGTGATATTTCTAGTTTTCTTAACAAAACAAAAACTTCTTTTTCCTCTTTCTTCCTCAGATGCATGTGGGCTTATCCGTTGGATGTTGATGGTAAATCCTGAGCGCAGAGCCACAATAGAGGAGATTGCAGGACACTGGTGGCTCAACTGGGGCTACCAGCAGCCATTACTGTCTGAGATTAAGAGCAGTCCAGCAGACCAGGCCCCTTCACCAGCCTCTCCATCATCACAACATCCCGCAGGGCTGGCAAGTGTTGCCAGTTGGCTACGTCGTACCTCAAGGCCTTTACTGGAGAACGGCTCCAAGATACGCTGTCTGCTCCGCTCACAGGGTGGAGGAGGGGATGTAGTCCGACAGCGCTCTCTGCGAAGGTCGCGTAAGGAACACAATGTCTCTCACACTGTCCATGATTCAAGCACAGACAGTCGCCCCTCGAAGGGTATTTTGAAGAAACGCAACAGTATGAAGCAGAAGGCACTGAGTGAAACACTGTCTGTGAGTTCAGTGGAGCAAGAAAACATTTTGGCCTCATCTGTACCAGCCACTGCCCCATCAACTGCACAGCAGCCTCGCAAAGGTATCCTGAAGAAGTCCACGGAGCAGGAGTCGGGGTACTATTCATCCTCTCCTGAGAATAGTGACTCAGGCTGGGAACCATGTCCTAAAGAGTGCCCTTCAGCACCACCGTACAGGAAAGGCATTTTAAAGCGCAACGGGAAGTTCTCCACGGGTTGCCTGCAGGATTTTGGATCTCTGGACCAGCTGGCAGTGTCGTTACCCCGCGGAGGAACCAAGTCCAGACCAAGCGGGGCCATCAGCGAGGACAGCATTCTGTCTTCTGAGAGTTTTGATCAACTTGATCTTCCTGACCGTGTCAGACCTCAGAAACAAATGGATCCACCAGCCAAGGCTAGCATGAGAGCATGCGTGTCTGCTGACAACCTGCTGGACATCTGTGACAATGTCATTCTTCGAGAGGGGCCGCTAAGTCCTTGGAACTGCTACGAGTCTGGCGTGGCTGACAGCGCCTTTTCCATCACAGACTGTGATAATGTAACAGAGGCCTACAAACAGGCCATGGTCATACGAGGCTCTGCGGCAAGCTAAAAATCTGCCTTGAGTTCAGGACTACAACTTAAGACTTGTTTTTTATTACAGACTTTTAAATGACTGTTAACTGGCGATGAAGTGGTTGCCAAAGTGCATTCAGTGAAATTTCCTGCAGACAATAATTTCAGCTGACTTCAGGAATGTGTGGAACCAAAAGGGGAAGAGGCTTCTTGTGAAACCTCCGATTGTGGCTTAGATGATTGACAACTGTAATTGCTAAAATTAGATTGGAATTTGACTTCTAGGAAAACAACAGGACTACACTTTTTATGTTATGAAAACAATGACCAACGGTGCGTTTCAAAGATTCTCAGGAGAGTTAAGCTGCTTTTGGTCAGGCGCTCGAACACAGTAAACATGTCCGCTCAATTTTAAAATGTTAATGAAAAAGTCATCCTAAAACCAAAACGCACCGGTCTTTAAAATCAGAAGTAATTGTGTCAACAACTTTACTCATAAACATACACTAAGAAACTGTTATCAATCACAAAAGGAGAATTGTTTCAATATTGCAGAAGCAATAACATCAGGGTTTTTCACTGCTGAGAGAGTTTGAGATAGTGTTTATGACTAAACAGCTCTTGGATTCTTTCTTTGTTAGCTGATCATTTATGTACCATAAATACTTATCGGATTAGAGCAATGACGCGGCGTAGATTTACACTTTTAAATTGCAGATGTGAAAAAATGACATCTCATGGATACCAAAGTTTTACCCCGTTAGACTTGTGTCTTTTAATTGTGTGCAAAAAGTGCCAAGGTGAATTTTGTTTGAAACAGGAACTTCTGCTCTGATTTTTTTCAATTGTTGTTGTTTTTTTCTTGTGAAGACTTGTTCTAATTTTGGATAATGACTTGAATTATAATTTTAACACACGACTCACATCAAGGAAAACCAGTAGAGCCTGCTTTTGTTTCCGAGCAAACGCTGATGCAGGCGCCCAGGTGGCCATTCTCCCTGTGCGCAGGTGGCAGTTTCACAGTAAAGGAGGAGCTTGTCCACCTCAAAGCTTTGTGAAGGTCACATGTTGAAAAATGGAATCCTGCTTAATGAAATACCCCCTGCTGGCCAGAGAAAGGTACACCTACATGTTGTGTGATTATCATGCTGCACAAAGGAGTTACTAAATTGGATTGGCATGCTAGTCATTAAATTACAACATCGAGCTGGCGCCTGAAATAGCACTTTATTGAAACCTGATAACCAGAAAATCTCTTTATCAGCCATAATTAACAATGAGTTTGGTAACATGAGTTTCACCTGACAAGACATAGCCAAACAATACTGTTTGTAACTGGAATGTACTTTTTTGGCACTCTGACTGTATTAGGAGTTCAGGATCTGTTTGTGTATCGTGTTTTGCTGATTTCAAACAGAAGCTCTTGTCACTTTCAATCTTTCATGAACTACTGATAATACTTGTCACACAGAGGGAAAAAATGCAGTTATCCTTCAGGATTATGAGTCTGAGATTATATTAATTTCATGTTTTTGTACATGTTTGGCATTTCATTGCTGTTTTCCCCTAAATTTGGTCCAGTGAGTTGCAGGTGTGCAGGCTCTATCAGTATATTTTCCTGGACAGCGCCTAAACCATGGTTGCCAAAGTTACTGGCTTAGTATTTGTACAACTGTGGGTTTTTTCTTGTGCTGGTGTATGACTGGGACAAATAAATCAATTTTAAAAAACACCAAAAACTGGAGGCCTTGCTGACATTATTGACCTGAACATTTTATTTTGTGGTTTGAAAGTGGTGATTTTTACTCACAAAGGGATAGAGTTCTGTGTCAAAATCAGACCGAATCACCTATGCAACCTGTTGAAAACCGCACAGAAACCCTACCCAGCTAAAATAGCATTGTGAACAAGTCCAGATACAGTCAAAATTGTGAATCGAATGAGCAAATTTGCCAACATTGCTAATAGTAGTGGTTAATAGCTAATAGTGTTGGTAGCATATTTAGTGCATTTTAACTGCTACTGTCACACAAAATCATGTCTCAGAAATTCTTTTTACCAAAGTTGATCCAACTTTTCATTAAACTGAAGCTGTTTTTCCTGCTGTGATATAATCGACAGATATGATGCTGCTTCTGTGCTTTAATCTCTGGACTCCGTCATCACTCTAAATGGAAATCCCTGTTTTTGTTGATCAGTCTTTTCTGACACAAAGGCATGATAAGCTCATGTCTTTTTATCTATAGATCCCTCACTGGATGTTCATACTATATGACCGAAATAGGTTTTCCCTAATCATAGAAATTCTGCCTTTACATTTTGTGCAATAAATGTTGAAACATGTACAGCAGACTCTTAAAACGGGCGCTGGCATATATCCAGGACAAGTCCCTCATCTTAGATCACTTCATCTCAGTGTCCAATTGTTTCACTGAGCATTGCTAGATTTTTAGCCATACCTTGTAGTTATTGAGTGAAACCCTAATGGGTTTTGAGGCTTGAATAAAAGTTGATGGAAAAATAATCAGGGAAACACTCACAATTCCACATTTCTCACTGTTTAGCAGACATTTTTAATGTAAATGCAGCAACGGGATTGATATCTAAAGCAATTTCTCAAACTTCACACTTACTCTACAACTCTTGTCAAAGTGGAATCTTGAAAAGAATCCAAATTTTTAAAACTATTACGATACAGTAAGACAGAAATTTATGTGTTTTGTTACATTGGACGGAGTTAAGTTGATCATATATTCAAGCACTTCTCAACAGGGAGAAGGGTTTTGGACTGATTTCAGTACAACATCCTGAATGTCAGCAGGGGTATTGCTGACCTCTGAGCTATGTTCTCCTGATCTGCAAACACTGTGCTGAAAAGAAGTTGGCAGGCTGAGCTCCAACACACCCCATAGCTGATCGTGGCAGAGGAGGACAGAGTTCTGTTCAGGGTCATATTCAAAGAAAAACATCCAGAGGTTCATGAGCATATTTTAAGAGGATCATCAACTACATACTGTACATGTATTATTGCTTTTCTGAACACCAGTTGACAATTTGTACTTTTTCTCGTACTGTTTGACCAGGAGACTCTTCAGGCAGTGTTGACAATAGGGCAAAGTCAAAATAGATGTCAGTTAAACATTACCCTTACCAAATCAATGGCCAGAAGGTTGGCCAAAAACGTCATAAATGAATCAGGAGTGAAGGCAGAGTCCACTAACATTAGCCTTTGCATGGCAATGCTCACACAGGCACAAGCAACACTGGAGGGCAAGAACTCTGAAAACCTACAGTCTGTGAAAAAAAGAGAGAGATTATAAGTTTTGTTTTCTTTCAATGATGACCCCTTTAAACTCACTTGACATGGCAGAAGACAATGGAAAAGGGTCAGTAGAGGTTATATGTAGACATGAAGATGGATGCCATCCTGGCAGACCCACCCTGATAGATGATAGGGATAGCAGACATTTCCTAAAACCTAATAATCTGACACAACATCCAAAATGCTTGAGGCAAGAAAAATGCTGAGACAAAAGTCAACCATGCACACTAAGACACCCTTTTGACTGGAATACAATGTCAGGAGCCAGGAAGTATTTTGATTTTATGGGCTGTAATGTCATAGTTTGTCTCAAAATTAACGAACTGACTAACTGTGACACTGCTGCCTCAGGCAGCATCACAGAGATTCGTGGGAAACAGCCAGCTGAATGGTCGGACACAGGTCTTTCAAAGCAGACAATACAGGATTACACAAACTCAGCTCTCTGACTCCAAAATGAACTGCTGACGCATAGTGATCAGAGTCATGGCTGCTATGTGTCTATTGTTGGCTGCCAGAAAGTAAATTGTCAATGCTCAAAAAATATCTTGAATAAAAGTTCATACAATCTGAAAAATCCTGCTTCTGTTACAGTGGAGTCAATACAAGAGTACATATTACTGAGCACAAAACTAATTCATCACATAAGAATGACTGAGGAAATTAGTCTTGGAAAAGATATTTCCCTCAGTCTTGATAGGCATCAACTTCGCGTACATTTATTGTTTGCAAAGAAAACACCTCATGTGTTGGTAACTTGGTTATGTAACTTACCAGTGGCTGCCAGGGCAATGTAGGAGTGAACATGCCTACGTATGTTCGGAAGATGTTGGGGCCAAACAACAGGGAGAGCGAGAAGAATGGGCTCCAAGAAGTCAGAGGGAACCACAGAGGCCAAACACCAGTCTAACTTGGACACCACTGCCACCTCCCATTGCTGCAACACACACACACACACACACACACTTCTCTAAGCCAGTCCTCCATTAAAATGCAAATTCATAAAAACTTGTCATTCTGTTACCACCTTTTAATTATTTTCATTTGGATACTTTTGATTAGTCTTACAAGGTTAAACTGTCCTACAATTCAGTTTTTCTAACTGCTGAAGTATCATTGGACTTTTTCTGGGAAAGCACCCTGCTAAGGATCTTGATCCCCTCTTTGGAAACATTGCATTAAGGATACTTTAGACATTTATTTCCCAAAAAAAAAAAAAAAAACATTTGCCACTCTTGAAGTGAATTTAGTCTGTCCTAAGTTTTATTAGAATTGTGTTCAAACAGAAAAGGATCATTTTAAATTTGTTTTACACATCAATTGTGGTATCTATGAGCTACAACATGAGGTCAAAAACCTAACATAAAAGTCCACCATGTAAGTTTAATTATGACTAATTAAGTCATAATAGTAGTTCTGTGGTAAGTTGAGCCAGTGGATCAACTGAGAAAGTAAAGGAGTCTGATGAGAGGATCAGAGTTTCAGTTCAGATTGTTGAAATGTGTTACTTTTTCTTTTCAAAACTACAGCTGTGAATGTTCTGAATCACTTCAAGACATTCTCATGTTTTTATTTTTTTTTTTACAAAACAGCTTTTTAGCAGTTATATGCAATAATAATAAAAAGAATTATTGTACCAGTTGAATAGGGTATAATAGATAAAAAATACACATGAATATGTAGAAGTGACTGTTAAAGAGAGAAGGTGAGGGAGGGCTGGGGTGGAGAGTGGGGGGTAGTACGGATACGGTTCAACTTACCCCATACACGGGGTAAGTTGACCATGGGAGACAGTTCTGTTTACACTCATTCTGTTGGTTTGCAGGGATGCACAACATCTTGAAATATATGTAGATACACTAGTTAGAGACAAAACTATGATTGCCTTGATGTAGTGATCTGAAATATGAAATATGGCTCATCTTACCCCACTCTCCCCTATGTAATATTACCTAAAAGCTGACACTTAATGCAGAGGCACCAACTTTTACCCCTGACCCCCCTAATATTAATGGTTCCAATAGATTGCTGGTGCTGTGGCAGTAAGTGAATGTATCTTTGACAAAGTTTTTGTAGTCCATAATGACATAAAGATTTACCAAGATGTCTGAAACTGAAATGGAGTTGTTTGTGTAGATACAAAGCTTGCTGGCAGTCAGGGGGACAGTCTCTCTCATTTTAGATGCCAGGAACATACAGACAGCCCCTAACAGCTGCAGGTTGGCCTTATCAACAGCAAACCGGCTCAGGTAACAGTCCAGGTAACACACCGACAGTGGGAACACTTCCTCCTCACATTTTTGTTCCTCACACACCTAAAGAGAGCCAAATGGTGTATTATTGATCGTCTTTGTTAAATATGCAACATGATTGGCTGCCTATGTCTGGTTCATTGCAGTACCTGAAACATCCACACAGCGAGTATCTTCCGCATGTATGGTTGTATGTCTACTTGGACTTTCTCAAAGTCCGGAGCAGCATGAAAATCCTTCTCCGTGGCTGTCAGGTTACGCAGTGTTCTGGGATCTGCGATCACGGCTAGGTCGCCTCCCGCTCGAATAACCATGTTACATTCATTTTCACCGAGACACTCCACACTGGGTTGTTTTTTAGCTTGTCCGTCCTTAAACAAATCCATTTGATGATTTCCATGGAGAGTCACACAGAAATAACGGGAAATGGCGATGGACCGTTATGCTAGCAGTTGTTACTTCTTTGCTAATTTCGACAAGCTAACGATCCGGTAGTTGATACAAATGAACCAGGTATTAGCTGTTTTGCTACGGTGGCCGAGAACCGCCACTGCTGCAAATGAAAATAAATAAATAAAATAATAATAATGAAGGGGACCAATAATGATGATGGACTGTTATTTTACGATCTTGGCACAGAAGACAATTGCGAAAAGACGAGCAAAGAAGTGGAAAGGTTATTGTTTAATTTCGCTTCGTGTACTTTTCAATGTTGCGCCTGAGTCAATATGAAGTTGATCAGGAGGATGCCGGTGTAGTGTTAGCTTCAGTTCAACTTCATATTGATTTAGGCGCTACATAGCCTAACCAAATGACACATTGAAATTAAACAATAACCTTTCCACTTCTTTGCTCGTCTTTTCGCCGTCGTCTTCTGTGCCTAGATCGTAAAACACTGGTGCATTATCATTATTGGTCCCCAGCAGCTCACTTCCGTTATGGCTTTTTTTTATTTGCATCCTTTAATTATCACAGTAACTAACTTTTCTTTATCCATCACTATTTTTTTTATTTTTTTATGTCAACTTCCATTGTGACTTCTTTTTTTTTTTTGCATTCTTGAAGCTACGACTGGTTCAAATCGGCGTCACATTTTTTTTTTTTAATGTGTAACCATGACTGATAATCTTTATTTTTCTCAGAGGAAAGAAAACAGGTCAAAAAGGTAGCTTTTTAACCACAGTCCTGCTCTCTGGTTTACGTGCAAGTAGTATCACTCATCTGAAAATGTCAACAGGAAACTGAAAATGTATAATCTTAGTTAAAGTTGAATATTATAGTGCTGGTGTAATGAGTTACATTAGATTGCAGGTTTTCATGTTTAATTGATGTATCCTTACAATCAATAGATAAATGACAAGAATCAGCTTGTGTGCTGAACTGATTAAACACCCCGTTAGACACCCCGTCGAGAGATGAATGTTGCCGACCGCTTGCTTCTTTAGTTATACCAACTTTAGAAACAACCGCAGCGGGGGGACGCAGCTCAAGGAAGAACATTTATAACCATTTCTTCATGGAAATGCAATCAGACCGAGATGCTAAGGCAGAAGAACTACCGCGCTTGCAGTGCACAATGATTAATATGATGATTATTACTTCAAGGAAATGATACAGAAATGATCAAAAATGTTCTTCCTTGAGCTGCATCACCCCGCTGCAGTCGATGGACTTGCCCGAAGGTCTCCATATAAACAAGCGGCTGCTGGAAGAGAGTAGGCGAGTTGTGTTTAGTCTCTTTGCTAAAGAAATTAGGCAAAGTTAAAAAGATATTTAGAGGGTAGTGCTGTGGCTGGGACCCTATATGTTCTGTTGATGAAGTTAGGTGCTGTTCTGAGCATTATTTGTGGCTATAGAGTGGCGTTTTGGTTGACTGCGTGGCTCTTGCTATCTGCGGTCATTACTTAAGTTGGTAAAACTAAAACAAGCAGGCAGCAACATTCATCTCTCGAAGGGGGTGTCTAACTCTGTGTTATGGTGTGTTTGACCCCAACATAATTTTACCCTGGAATATCCCTTTAAGACTCGAAGGGAGGTAAAGTAAATGAAAAACCAGGGACCACTATTCCAACCAACAGTCTACACAGCCATCATTTACCATCTATCTTGCGTATGACCTGAATAGCTTTACTTTAGATGACCACAATCCTGAACAATCTTTTAAATGTGTTTAATCTGATTGTTAAGAACATTACTGTTCTTCAGATATTTTATACAAAAACTCCAGTCTCCATATTTTCAAGCAATTACTGCATTGTAACTGTAAGAAACCAGCTAAAATGGAATAATAAAAAGCATTTCTAATGTATATAGTATATCACTGGGCGTAGAAAGTATTATCAAATGTGCAAACTCATCTACGCGAGAGGGAGAATCCTGAGACTAGGAACTCATCTGTGAACAGCTCATCCATAAGAAAAGAGGACTAATGGATCAAATTTGGAAAACTGTTCTTTATGCGGCAAAAAGATGACTTATTAGCATCAGAGGAAGAAGAGGAGAAAGCTACAGACCAGACAGAGAACTCAGTCCATTTCAACTGTGACTGGGAGCCCAATTTCGATATCCCTGGACTCTGAGTTTTGCAGTTCTCTGCGAATCTCTGCAGAAATCTGAGGGTGCATTTGTATTTTGAGTAATTCTAGCAGTGACGTCTTCTGTTCAGAGGCCAGGTCAGCCTTGTAGCGCTGAGCCAGGGTGAGTAAACTCTGATGCCACAGCACAGGAAGAACACGTTTTTCACTGCGGAAGGACAGGAAGTGGGCCACCAAGGCATCTAGGACACGGAAAGGCAGGGCGTATTTCTTGTCGAGTAAGAGACGTAGAAAAATGCTGTTGGCGCCGTTGTACTCCATCTCTGCCAACTTAAGCATTGCAGCACTGAAAGTCAAGTGAGACATTGCATGTTATACAACCATCCATGTTATATAATCTTGACCTTACTTTAACATGCCAACACCAGACAATAAAGGGCTTTTAAGGTCAACCAGCAGAGCCCCACACCCAGTGATGAGATGCTGGCAAGCGTCCATGGGGAGTGGAAACCTCACCTGGAGTGGAGCACAGGGATCGAGCACTTTGTGAGTATGCTTCCAATTATGACGGCTTCCCTGAGAGTACACGTTCCAGATTCACACAGAGGGATCAGGATGCCTGTGAGTGACACAGAGACACAAAATGACAAGAATTCTTCTGCATCTCAATTTCATAAAGTGGAGAATCATCCAAGACAGGAAATGGTTAAAACTGAGGCTGTCACAAAGGCTCTCATCAACTAGCACTTTAGTCACTAGTAAAAAGACAAAACCTGGTTACGTGTGTAGAGACTGACAATTCATAAATGCCCTTTTCTTGTATTTTCTTATTTTGCTATGATTTTAGCAGTCCAACATTTGGACAGTCTATCTGTAGCCTTCAGCTGACAGCAGAGCACAGAATGAGAAGAAAAGGAGACTTGAGAAATTAACAATAAACAAGCACCAAAGAGTTAGCTACTGATGAGCAACTAACAGAAGAGCAGAGGTTGACTCTGAATGTTTCGTAGATATCACGTCTGTTTAGCCTGTTAAGACAAACTTTGACTTATCTAGAGCAACAGTTTTAATGATCATGTCCCATAAAGGAATATAAGTTCTTAAAAAATAATCTTTCATAAACCCTAAAGCTGCTACATTTACACAGCAATCGTTTTCCTGCTTACAATGAACCTTCAAAACTAAAAAAGCAGGGAGAGTGAAAACTGGTACTTCAATATACTGTTTGACTTTTATGATTACCCACATAAAATTTTAATTTAACAGTAGAAGGTTGTGAAAATTATTCTGAAAAAAGTTGCTGCTTGTAGAATTTTTCCATTATATCAATCAGTCTTCCATATTCAGCTAAAATTCTGATGATTATGACCGGATTTTTTGATGTTTATGCTCATGTTTACCTGTATATTAGTTAGTTAATCTTGACGGAAGACTTGTCGACACATAAAATGAGTTCAAGTATTTACTGAATTTGTTAATGAAAACTTAAAATCTAGTCTTTATGACTAGACCCAAATATTGTAATACTAGATGGAAATTATTCTTTGATGTGGACAAATCTTCACATACCTTAAACATAGGAGGCAATAGATAATATTTTGTGCAATACTGCCATCTAGCAGTGTTGTCTCATACTGGTCCTAAAGCATTTTAAAAGACTGTTTTCAAGACAGTTTGAGATTGCATTGGGTGAACAAGCCTAAGGAAAATAAATCGTTGCCAACCATTGAAGTGTTACAATTAACCAAATGTGTTTTAAACAACTGATGAGACATGTCTTTTATGGAACAAAGTCTTCATCAGCACTTTTGTTGTGTGTCTTTAGAAAGTAAACATTAGGGAGGATGTGGACTGCTGGAGCCCAAGGGAATGGCAAAGGAAATCAAAGGGAAAATCTAGAATAAGATCACATATTTTGCCCTAAAAATTACTTCAAATTAATCAATAACATAAACTTATCATCCTTCATTACTGCAAAAACCAAGTGTCATGTGGCTAGCCATAAATTCCACTGAAAATCTTTTAATTTAGAGCTCAAAGTGGAAAGAGTTCCTCAGGGCTTGAAATTTTCAACAACTACTTGAGAGCTTGTTATAAAAAAAAAAGTTAAAATAAAAAATGATTAAGTGTATACTCACTGTATATAATTGTACATAATTTACTTTGGGTAACCCTTAGACAAAAGCTTGGCCTTATCAATGTGCATTCAATGAATCAACCAGTGATGGCTGACATTTAGTGTATGAAAGGGGTGTTTATGACCATTTCGAACTAAAACAAAAAACAGCTTCTACTGTATCACAGCGCTGCGCAGAGCAGAGTGGCACCGAAGGCGACGAAAGGAAAGAGCAAGAAAGCGCGCCGCTTTCATCTCCAACCCTTTCACTTTCTCTAAGAAGCTCCTGGGGGACAAGCGCAGCGGCAGCTTAGTCTGCTCAGTGGAAGAGGTAAACTCCTTCCTGCACAACACCTTGAGCGACCCAGAGAGAGAACTGGAGCTACAGCCTCAGAGAGCCCTCATAAGCCCACAATCACCATCAGTGGATTTTGCTCCGAGGGAGCCAACCTGGAGAGAGGTTCAGGAAGTGGTGAAAGGAGCCAGAACTGCCTCAGCCCCAGGCCCTAGTGGAGTCCCATACACTGTATACAAGCGCTGCCCGCAACTCCTTCGTCATCTGTGGAAGATCCTGAGGATGATCTGGCGCAGGGGAAAAGTTGCTAACCAATGGAGGTGTGCTGAGGGTGTGTGGATCCCTAAGGAAGAGGACTCCAAGGACATCAGTCAGTTCCGGACCATCTCGCTGCTAAGCGTTGAAGGCAAGATCTTCTTCAGTATCGTGTCACAACGACTAATGGAGTTCCTTCTGAAGAACAGCTACATTGACACCTCTGTCCAGAAGGGTGGAATCCCTGGAGTGCCTGGCTGCTTGGAACATACTGGAGTGGTAACACAACTCCTCAGGGAGGCACGTGAGGGGAAAGGGGACCTCACCGTGCTATAGCTCGATCTTGCCAACGCATATGGCTCCATCCCACACAAGCTAGTTGAGCTGGCCCTCCACCGACATCATGTTCCCAGCAAAGTTTCAGACCTTATTCTGGATTACTACAGTAATTTCAGGCTAAGATTCACCACTGGATCAGGCACATCAGATTGGCATCGGCTTGAGAAAGGCATTATAACCGGCTGCACCATCTCAGTCATCCTTTTCGCCCTCGCCATGAACATGATAGTCAAGTCAGCTGAGGTAGAGTGCAGGGGCCCCTTGACAACATCAGGAGTACGCCAGCCCCCAATCAGAGCCTTCATGGACGACCTGACGGTCACCACTACATCCGTACCAAGCAGCAGGTGGATTCTCCAAGGCCTAGAGAAACTCATCACCTGGGCCCGGATGAGTTTTAAACCAACAAAATCAAGGTCTCTAGTGCTCAAGAGAGGGAAAGTAGTGGACAGGTTCCGCTTCTCACTGGCTGGAGCCACCATCCCATCCATCACAGAAAAGCCAGTTAAGAGCCTTGGGAAGTTCTTTGACTGTAGCCTCAAAGACTCTGCCTCCATCCTGAGAACTAACAAAGAACTTGAGGACTGGCTCAGCCGGGTTGACAAGACGGGTCTGCCAGGGAGGTTCAAGGCCTGGATTTACCAGCATTCCATCCTGCCCCGGATCCTGTGGCCTCTGCTAGTGTACACAGTACCATTAACAACAGTTGAGGGCATGGAGAGAAAAATCAGCAGCTCCCTGCGAAGATGGCTTGGTCTACCACGCAGCCTAAGCAGCTCTGCTCGGTATGGCACCAGCAACATACTGCAGTTCCCAATAAGTGGCCTCACTGAAGAGTTCATGGTGTCCAGAACACGGGAAGTACTGCAATACAGAGAATCCAGAGATCCAAAGGTGGCAGCAGCTGGGATCCAGGTGAAAACAGGCAGGAAATGGAATGCAGGAAAAGCAATAGATGTGGCTGAGTCACGGCTGCGGCAGAAGGCACTGGTGGGGTCCATAGCAATTGGGCGTGCAGGCATTGGCTACTTTCCTTCAACCAAAGTTGACAAGGCCCAGGGCAAGGAGCGTCGTCAGCTGATCCAGGAAGAAGTACGGGCAGGTGTGGAGGAAGTACGAGCTAGCAGGATGGTGGGAATGGGGCAGCAAGGAGCATGGACTAAAATGGGAGAATGTTCTGCAACGGAAAATCACCTGGTCCAACATCTGGAAAGCAGACTTTCATCGAATCAGGTTCTTAGTCCAGGCTGTGTATGATGTCCTTCCAAGCCCAGCAAACCTCCATGTCTGGGGTAAAACAGAGACACCATCCTGCCCCCGCTGCTCAGGACGGGGCTCCCTGGAACACATACTAAGCAGCTGCCCAAAAGCTCTTGGAGACGGGCGCTATCGCTGGCGTCACGACCAGGTGCTTAGGGCAGTTGCTGACAGTATCGCCACCGCCATCAACACCAGCAGAGGCCACCACAAGCCAAAGACCATCACATTCCACAGAGCTGGAGAATAGCCCAACATACCACCACGGGCAAAGTCCGGCCTCCTCACCTCCGCCAACGACTGGCAACTGGAAGTGGACCTGGGCAGGCAACTGAAGTTCCCCTCAAGGATTACATCAACCAGGCTCCGCCCAGACATGGTCATTGTCTCAGACTCCACCATGCAGCTGATCATTCTGGAGCTTTCTGTGCCATGGGAAGAACGCATGGATGAGGCTAATGAGAGGAAGCGGGCCAAGTACCAGGAACTGGTGGAAGAGTGTAGGGGGCAAGGCTGGAAAACAACCTGTGAGCCTTTGGAGGTGGGCTGTCAGGGATTCGCCGGACGGTCACTCTGCAGAGTGTTCACCCAGCTAGGACTTGTCGGGGAGGCGAAACGGAGGGCCATCAGATCCGCAACTGAAGCCGCAGAGAAAGCCACGAGATGGCTTTGGATTAAGAGGGCAGAACCGTGGGCAAACGCTGCTGGGACACAGGCTGGGGATTGATCACCCCAGCCGGGTCGCCTGGGCTGAGGGGGTCTGATGTTGAAAGACCCGAAACCCCCGATGATGCCAGGAAACAACATCACTGACGATGTGTCCCAGCGCATCCGCAGGATGTATCTCTCACCGAGGTTTGTTATTTACCATCACAATGGTTGATAAAATGTAATTTTGACACCTCATGGAGAAACACTTAGTTGGGTGAATTATCTGCATTGGCTTCATTTTACCGTAACATGAATGACATTAAAATAAATCATATATATAAAAAATTAATCCCGAAGGCCTGTGCTACCAAAGGGATTAAATACACTCAGGATGTTTTTTGATATGTTTTACTAAGCAAAACTCTTGGATTAAGGGATTGATTGGTCAGTTATAATTGCTACTTGGTTCTGTTTGGTTCATTTTGGTATGATGCGGTCTGCAATGAAAGATAATGGTTGTATATGACTCAGATCTGGTCACTTACTCTGGAAGATGAACTCTACTCATTTCAATCCTTAAAGAGAATATTATATAAGAATAGAACTTATACTAAGACCATTTGAAAGCTTCCTTTTTGCCATCTTCACACAGTCTTACCTTTAAACCATGCTCCTGGTTTGAACAAAGCCTTCTTCAGAGCACTGTAGAGATGAAAGTTCAGTCGCTTGTATTCTGCAATATCATCTCGCACTCTGGGCAGCAGCACCAAGTTGTAAAACCGTTGGGCCATTCGCTCTTTCAGATTGGAGGAGAAGATCCTGATTTAGACATAGAGGAAAATCCCTACTGTCATTATATGTAAACATGATAACATTCCCAGTGTGAAGCCATACAAAACTGCCAGGGGTCTCACCTTGTTGCTTGGTACATAGCAGCTGCAGTCCAAGTTTCCGGCTCAGTTAGATAGAGAACCTGCTCCCAGTTTGAAAGTGCTGGGACTATTTTAAAAGCTTTTGGCAATTTACCGCTGCGATATTTTGAAAGAACCTTAAAAGAATAGAAAGCACAGCTATAATTCAACAACTCTTGACCACCATTACTTTCAGTGACTCACTTGTGAAGAAATACTGACTGTGTTTAGTTATGGGTCCACCCTAAAACAAGGGCTGTTCACACAAAACATAACCCTCTAATAGGTTTTAAGACACACTAACTTGGAAACATAACTCACCTTGCCTACACCCTTATACACTTCTATTATCCTTGGGTCCAGCTGAGGCATAGGACATCCTGACACCTCTGACATCACTGTCCCAACCTCTGTCTGCTTCTCTGTAATCTTCTCCATAATAATGTCAGCCAAGGTCCTCCTGCAAGACAAACAATGAGCATACAAAGCTTAGCATCTAATACAGATGCTAAGGCAAGTTTGATCTCTGCAGCTTTTCTGACTATAGTCAGGAATTTATCTCATTCTTGCCTCACTGGTGGGTTTTTGTTCATGAACACCTCAATCGCCTTTTCATCATCAGGGTCAACAACAACTTCGGTGTCACACTCAACATCCCCGGCACCTGCTGTCCCCAGAGCAGGCCACTCCTCATCTGAGTCCGCATCTTGAGCATCAGACCCTACAGTTTGAATAAAGATTAAATATGATCTGTTAGTCACACTTAACTGTACGGTGGTCGAGAACCGCCACTGCTGCAAATAAAAAAAGAATGCAAAAAAGAAGTCGTCACAACGGAAGTTAATGATGCAGAAAAAAGAAACCGAAGCCCGCTGCAAATATAAAAAGAAACAGTGCAGACAAAAAAGCCACAACAGAAATGAACGACGCAAAAAAAAAGTGGTGATGCAAAAAAAAAAAAAAAAGTACTTACTGCGAAAATAAAAGGATGCAAATAAAAAAGCTGCAATGGAAGTGAGCTGCCAGGGACAAATAATTATGATACACCAGTGTTTTACGATCCAGGCACAGAAGACAACGGCGAAAAGACGAGCAAAGAAGTAACTGGAAAGGTTATTGTTTAATTTCCCTTCGTAAACTTTTAAATGTGTCATTTGGTTAGGCTATGTAGCGCCTGAGTCAGTATGAAGTTGAACTGAAGCAAACAGTACACCGGCATCCTCCAGTTCAACTTCAAATCGACTCAGGCACAACGTGGTCTAACCAAATGACGCATTGAAAAGTTTACAAAGTAAAATTAAACAATAACCTTTCTACTTACTTTGCTCGTCTTTTTGCTGTCGTCTTCTGCACCTAGATCGTAAAACACTGGTGCATTATCATTATTGGTCCCTGGCAGCTCGCTTCCGTTGTGGCTTTTTTTATTTGCATCCTTTTATTTTCACAGTAACTTTTTGTGTCACCACTTTTTTTTGCTTCATTAACTTCCGTTGTGGGTATTTATTTATTTACACATTTATTTTATTTTCCACCGTTTCTTTTTTTTATTTGCAGCGGTTTCTTTCTTTCTTTTTTTTGCATCAGTAACCTCCGTTTTGGTTTCCTTTTTTTTAATTATTATTTGCAGCAGTGGCAGTTCTCGGCCACTGTACAACTGCACTATCTAATCATCAAGTCAACTTTCATGGGTTATTTATTATTTATTTAATTATTGATAGCGAGTGGGTGCAGTGCAGATAAAGATGTCCAGTACCTCCAACATTACCGAGAACAGTGACTGGTGTTTTCTTCTTCTCTGGTGCCAGCCCATATTCAGACTGAAGCTCCTCTTGTTGAATTCGGGCCTGTTGTAAGATCTTCCGTGACAGACGCTCGTCCACGTACTTGTCTTCGTTTTCTGCTCGACTGTCTCTGCTCTTCACCCGGCCCCGGGCTCGCACCGTGTCCGCCTGCAGGATCTGATCAGCCAAAGACACCGCTGCTCCGCTCGTCTCTCCTCCACCTCCACCTTTCGATCTTTTCACTTTCGGCATCGCAGCGATGAAGTTTCAAAATCCGAGGAAGCTGTTATATTGTAGTAACTTATGTCAGGATTTTTAAACAACTATTGTCATCTGTTGTTTCTGGATCATATACCACTAAATCCACCGAGCTGTAAACAGTCACTTTTTCAACACGTGCAGACGTCCATATCGGGGGAAGTGACGCATTTTTACGCAACACGCGTTCTAACGTCTTTATTTTTTATGTCGAAATATTAGAGCTAGTTTTTTTTTTTTTTTTTTAACTTTTGTCTGTACTACAGAGTGCCACCATTTTTCACATTTATAATATTATTTTGGAGAATAAAATCCCCCAGACTGTGATTTTTAATCTATCGGAAGAACACCTTTCACCCGGAAGTACTTAGCCGTTTGGAGTGGCTAGAAGAAAACAATCTTAACAATACACTAATGCAACAAGCCCTGCTCTACTGGAAATTACTTTACTGTCATAATTTTACTCCACACAATACACCAGTCTGGAATAATAGATACATATTGATTCATAGAAATTCAGTTTATAAGGATGAATGGAATTCAAAAGGAGTCTGGACTGTTGCTCACTTGTTAGATGAAAATGGGAACTTGTTGCAAAACTTTTGTACAAAATACCAAATAAAATGTAATGTGAAGGAATAGACAAAAATGACGAATGCAATACCGATCTCTCTGAGGTGTGAGAGAAGATGTTCGATATCCCACAGTCTTCCAAAGATTTAGACAACTCTACATTGGGGGGTTAGACTTTTAGTTAGTACATCCCTTCTAGAGTAACATGTGGAGCTGGTTGCAGTCCAAAAGCAATGACTTTCCTTTGTCAGCAGAAGCTATTTTGTTTTGTGTTTTTGTTTTTGTTTGGGGAAGTTCTTCATTCACAAGTGTCGATATTTTAAAACAAGACCATGCCTACCTCAATGGAAGAATGAGCTGCTACTTTTTTTGTAAATCCTTAAAACTTGTTACAGACAAGAAAGCCCTATGCCTATTTTCTTTACTAGAAATGTTCAAATTAATATAGAATGGCCTCTAACATTGAAATTGTGTTGTTGTTGTTTTTTCTCTTTTGATGTTATTCATGCTTCTTGTATGATAAATAAGTGCTTTGTTTGTTTGTTTATAATACAATAAAAAAATAAAAAATAAAAATTCATCTATTTCACAGAATGCACAAGAGGGGGTTGACAGTTTGCTTCATTTGGGTTCCTGCCCATGTAGGGATAGAAGGGAATGAAGGAGTTGATTTTCTGGCCAAACAAACACTCAAATCACACACTGTAGATACAGAAATTCTGTCATTGTTAGGGGGATTTTCTTTAGCCAGTCATGTCAGCCTTTAAGTTGGTGGAGCTGTGTCACTCAAATACCTCAGATACTTTGGTGCTAGATTTTTGGAGCCATGGGCCTCCGACAACCATCATAAAACAAGGAGCTTGTACCCATATTTTACATCACCCGCGCTCCCAAAATATGTTGTTCTTTGTTATTACCCTACATGGGCTCTCCTTTAGGTCAACAAGATGCAAGCAGAATGCTTGGAAACATGGACGGCTATATATACTTGAACAGTCTCAGACCAGTCTTTGTTACACTTGTGGCATGATGAAGCTGTAACCCAGATCTGCAACCAGTAAAGCTTGTCAAAATGATCACTGGTGTGGACCTTCCATTTTTTAAAGTGTGAACATGGGCTAGGCATCCTTACTGTCATGTAAGTCAGAGGGTAAATCAATAATTAAGAAACATATGGAGAAAGTGTGGCAAGAATACTGGGACATCCTAGACACGGGAAGACACCTTTACAATATACAGGAAAATGTTGGGGAAGAAGGAGGGGAAGGAGCCATAGGGAAGAAGCAGTCATCACACGACTTAGGATAGGGCACACAGGACTGAACAATACACTATATAAGATAGGAAAACACCCTGATGGCAGATGTGATCAATGTAGGCAGGCTGAAACTGTCCAGCATGTGTTGTTGGATTGTGGAGGATATGAGGAGGAAAGACGGACACTGGCAGCAGTAGAGGAAGCCAGGATGGCACTTAATAAGGGGAACCTGCCAGGAGCATAGTCAGAAGTTATGTTCAAGCATTTAATGGCATATTTGAAAGATACAGGGTTAATGGAGAGGATCTAATTTCCTTATTTAGGTTTTTTTTTATTTTATTATATTTATTTACTGTCCCACACTCCAGTCCAGTAGATGGCGGTAATGCTCCTTCAAGTTGTTTTGCAAACCGCCAATAAACTCCATTAAAGAAAAAGTACTTGGCCACAGGCTCAGGATATTGTTTGAATTGCTTGATGAAAATTGTCAAATGGGTGTCACTTGGTGAGTTGATCAACTTGTGTTTTCAGATTTATTCAAAATGTCACAGTATTGTTGTAATTGTTTCTTCAAGTCAACGTAATTTACAGTTTCAACCAAACTCATGTTCGCCGTAAAACACCAATGTTATTGTCTCCATGTAGCGATGCGGCGCTTAGTGCGCCTCTAAACAACCAGAGATCAGTTTTATGACATACTATCACTATTAACAAGCAGATTTGTCCTGTTTCCTTCACATCGCTTCATTGGCCGGTGCTGCCCCACAGTGTGTGCCAGGTCCCTGTTGCAGAAGGGAAGAGTGTGCAGCAGACTGTAGACATCCTCCACAAGAAGCTGGAGCAGCTCGGGGCCGTGAAGCAGGGCAGCTTCTGCGTAGACTGTGAGACCTACCATGCAACAGGAAATGTCAGCGGTAATTCTGTTATTTTTATATTATTTTGAACGTCAGAGATCCTATAACGAAAGGTGACATTCTCTGTGGTTGAGACTGAGAATTAACTCCACAGAGAATTGGGAAATGGAAGATGGATATTTCAAATAACTGGTAAAAGTTAAAGCAACAACCGATCAAATGTTGTATTTATGTAGCGCCAATTCACAACAGTCGTCACGCTTTTCAAAGGGGGAGACCACACTCATCGATGAATTATCAAGAACCAACCATAAGATGGGGCAGATTTGACCCATCTCATCTAATATGAGTGACAGTGGCAAGGAAAAACTTCCCTTTAACAGGCAGAAACCTTGGGAAGGACCAGACTCATGCTAGACAGCCACCAAGCCGCTGCTGGGTTGAGGAGAAATACGGAGAGATAGGGAGAGAGGGCAGGGGGGAGAAAGAGAAGGAGGGAGAGAGAGAAAGCGGAAGGGTGAGAGAGGGAGACAGAGGACGGCAGCAACATTAGAACAACAACAATAGATTAAAACAACAGGCAATAGAGGCTAATGCTGACCATAGACTGGGTTATACCATTCACCCTACAAACTGTTGCATAATGAACGTTCACATCTCTCAAAGTCTTTCTCCACAGGTTTTCAATATGGAATTTCTTTTTCAAAATGTAATGCTTGGAAATAGCTGTGATTTCTTACCAGGAAGCACATCACATGGCCACAAATGCTGTAATAGGAATGATCAAAGTGCTTGTCTTGATGTCCTGCATACATAAGCCTTTGTTTGAGCCAGCCTCATTTAAGAGGAAGGCCAGTTCAATAAGTGAGGTAAAAATTAAAAAAAAAATCTCTTTTTTGTTTTAGATCTTATTTTTTTCAGTTCTCCTTTGCACTGTTAAAGGTTGCACATTACACTCTCATTGCAAACGGAAAACTTCTTACCTTTCATGTTAAAATCTCTCTGGCATTGCAATGGCCACCATCCCTTTGATGTTTCACATTGAGTTTATTTCGTGATTTATGCAGTAACTTTTGCAGAAAATTCACTGAGTTGTATGGTTGTGGAAGCACTTGAAATTTAGTTACTTCCACCCTTTGACACTTGAACGCTCCACAAAATACAGTTTGGTAGGTAAATGATATGGTTGAATTGTTAAAGGTAGACCAAAGAAATTGAAGTTTTTGTTATGCTTAGTTTGCCTGTGCCTAAAATAGAAAACACAGGTAAGAAATGATTGGTATGACAGCCAAATAACATTAACAATTTGCAATGCTACTGAAGTAAATAATTTTGCACTGGACCAACACTTAAAATGAGCGAAAAGAGTTCTCTGATCATAAGTCATGTGTGTCTGTTCCAGGTCAGCCCTCCAAGTTCTTATATGTGATGCACAACTCTGAAACTCCCCTAAGCTGCCTGGCACTTTTCGAAGGTGGACCCTGCTTGATAGCTGATGCCAATTTTGATGTTCTCATGGTGAAGCTAAAAAGTCACTTCCAGAATGCCAAGGGGCACAAGGTGGAGTGCCGGGGTTCTAGATACCGTTACTGTGACTTTTTGATAAAAGTTGGCACTGTTACAATGAGCTCCAGTGCCAGAGGGATATCAGTGGAGGTAAGAGGTAAAATTAATATTCTTAAGAGTGGATGATCTTCATTCTCTGTGTGAGTGCACTAATTCTCTGTGTGTTCCCTCAGGTGGAGTACTGTCCTTGTGTGGTTCCAGGGGACTGCTGGAATCTCATGAGAGAGTTCATGACTTCCTTTCTTGGCTCCAGTGCCCCTGAACTCCCATCTGTGTTTGCTGCCAAACCTGAAGGGCTCTTTGCACCGGCAGACTGTGTTGACACCATGACACAGTATCTGGAGCTGTTTAACAAACTACGTAAACTGCAAATCCCAGGGAGCAACGTACGATGAATTATCAGTAGCATGTAAGAAAGCTGTTTTTAATGTTTGTGTTGATCTTTTCAGAATTCTGGTCCCATGTCTTTAGCATGGTTCCCAGACACTATTGAATGTTTGAGGGTTTTTTTATTATAATTGTGCAAAAAAAATTGTATTGAAAATATTAACTGGAGAACAGAAGCTGAAATAGTTGTTTCCCTTTTTACATGTAAATTTTGCTTTTCATCTTGGTGGGGATTTAAAGTCAACACACACATTCAGAACAGGAGGTCATTTACACTAATTGACAGATTTCTGGTGGTTTATCCCATTGTAATCTCTATAATGGGTGGTGGCCAATGGTCAATTAGTTTATTAAGTTTGGATCACAATACACCCTACTGTAAAACCCACAATGATATGTCTATTTACCTGTACAGAGACCCGGAGATCTCAACTCTCTAGATCAGAGGTGGACTTAAGATTTTGACTTTTTGCAGCAAAATATAGGTAACATTAACATGGTCCTTATTCTCATTTAGATTTCCATTAAAGTATTGCTCTGCATGCAATCTGTGTGTTTGTCAGTTTAAGAATTTTTCAAGTGACACTAAACCTGGATGTTTTGATCCAGACCTCCAAGTAAACCAGCGAGATGGAAATGATGGAAAGCCACAATTAACCTTGATGAAAAGTATTCAATGCAAAAGTATTGGTGGGAATTTAAAAAAAAAAAGCTGGTCTGCACTTAACCTCCTACAAAAGAAAAAGTTAAATAGCCTGAATTTTGCAAGGTATGACCAATGTAGAGAATGGATGGGCACAAGGAAGCTATAATACTACGTTGTGGATAGTTGGGCAAAAACATCATAATGTGTTCCCTTTTGGATGACTTGCTTTAAATTACAAAATAAACAATAGGGAACAATGGTTTGAAATCCTCCCATACCCAGTGTAAACAGTCAGCAGCCTTTTGCTGGATCAGCACTTGGCACCAGTTTTACATCATGTTGTATCCTGGCCTCATTAGAATCACAATCATTATAGGGGAGAGTGAGATAAGTTGAGCCAAAGGGTAAGTTGAGCCACCCCCTGCTGCTTGGAAATGGTAAAAGAAATTGATCATGTGACCAAATATTTAGGAGATGGGCTTCAATTCATAGAGTCTGTGAAGGTTACAGCACATGGGTGAAGGGTTTAGACATTTATTTCTCAAAAAACATTTTTCACTCTTATAATTGAATTTAGTCTGTCATAAGTTTTATCAGAATTGTGTTCACGGAATACAAATATCAGAAGAGACCTGGATAGAAATATGTGAGACACAAGCGACCACTGCAAATTCACGATCTTTAAGACAGTTCGGCTGGAAGAATGTGGTGAGATTTTTCATAACCCTAAATTAACAGCAGTGCAAACAGGCACACAGAACCAAGGCTACTGCTGGAGACAATGTGGAACCCCTATGGCCAACCACTCATATTTTTTGGGCCTGTCCAAAAATCCAGTCATTTTGGAGGAAGGTGTCAACTGAGATAATAAAAAATTATAGGGGTGGATTTACATTTTTCTTTAGTCGTTTTATATCTCGGTAAAATCCCGGAAACAGTCCTACATAAGGACGGGTACCTGTTGAAGATTCTTTTGGCAAGTGGTAGGAAAGCCATAACAAGAAGGTGGTTGCAACCAGATTCTCCAACATTGAACCAGTAGCACAGGATTGTCCAAGAAATTCACTGTATGGAGAGACTTACTTTTGTTTTAAGACTCCAGTTGGAGAAATGTTTGGAACGCTGGGAAAAATGGACCGGGTATGCACCTTGAATAGTGTGACATTTGGCTATAATTTATGTGTGTGTATATATGTATTTATGTGTAAAATAATATTTCCATTTCAACTCTATCACCCATGATGACCTCATGTTCTGTAAACAAGTAAAAAGAAAAAAAAAAGAAATGTGTTCAGACCAAAAAAGATCATTTTAAATTTGTTTTATACATCAATTGCGGTATCTATGAGCTACAACATGAGGTCAAAAACCTATAAAAGTCCACCATTTTAGCTTAGAGGACTAATAAAGTCATAATAGTAGTTCTGGGGTAAGTTGAGCCAGTGGATCAACTGAGAAAGTAAAGGAGTCTGATGAGAGGATCAGAGTTTCAGTTCAGATTGTTGAAATGTGTTACTTTTTCTTTTCAAAAATACAGCTGTGAATGTTCTGAATCATTTAATTACATTCTCATGTTAAAATGACTTTTTACAAAACAGCTTTTTAGCAGTTATATGCAACATTAGTAGGAAAAAGAATTATTGCACCAGTTGAATAGAGTATAATAGATAAAAATACACATGAATCTGAAGAAGTGACTGTTATTTAGAGAGAGAGAAGGTGAGGTAGGGCTGGGGTGGAGAGTGGTTGGGGTAGTAGGGATACCCATACACGGGGTAAGTTGACCATTGGAGACCATTTTTTTTGGCATGCTATATTATCAAGACAGTTGTGTTTACACTCATTCTGTTGGTTTGCAGGGATGCACAACATCTTGAAATAAATGCAGATACATTAGTTAGAGACAAAACTATGACTGCCTTGATGTAGTGATCTGAAATATGAAAAATGGCTCATCTTACCCCACTCTCCCCTATGCCTAAAGACTTAATTTTTAAGTCTGTTACACATGGCATCTTCCACGCCGGATTCAGCTTAAACTGTGTTTAAAAGCTTCATCCCCCAAATGCATTTCATGAGATTACCACAAACCAGCTGACGCAGGGCGGGCACAGGGCTTTCGGGGACACCGGGGTCAGGCGCTCGGTAGCAGCCGCCCTCTCCGCCCGGCTTGCAGTCTAGCCTCAGTTGGTTATTGTTCCATGTGGCCTCGGTGGGTGGACGGACGGACGGTCCACCGTGCTGCCTGTTGTTCAGCCAATCCGCCAATGAGAGCTTGGCTGCCAGTCAGCCCCAGTCCAATGAGAGCGGCAGGGTCTGGACTCGGATGGAGAGTTGGGTTGTTCAATCTGTGAGGAGGACAACAACCAGCAGCTCTGGGAGAGTATCAATCGGATGGATGGATGTTTGCGATGGTAACGTTACCCTGTTCTTTCATTATCAGATGTTGCGAGCGCGGTAATGAAAACAGACAAGGCCCGGGGTTGGTGTGCCCTCTATTACCCGGCTTTCAGTGATGAAAGTCACCGGGGAGTTTTTTAACGGTTAACGGCGCAGTTCGCCAGCGAGCTAAATCCGCCGCCGCACAGTGTTAACAGTTAGTGAACGTTAGCGACCAACAGCAGCAGCAGCCGTTAGGTTAACTTCGATTGTCCTCAGCAAACGCGTTAGCCTCGTAGCTACAGCTAGCTGGTATGGCAATCTTATAACAAGGGTTAGTTAATTCATGCCAAAAAACCATCCATGCTGAACAGACTATATCGTTAGAGACGAAGCCAAAAGGCGGAGGGGGGGACGCTAATCCGGAGTAGAGCTGCTGTAGCTAGCGGTTAGCGGCGTTAGCTAACTTAGTGGTCGCTGAGCTGCTTCACACCAACAAAGTTGTTAGATGTTCCCGGAGAGTGCCTCTACGCCTGCTCTTTGTTCTGGCTCAACATGGTGATGGTGGGCTAACTTCGCATGGCGTTAAAGCTCCAGTCAGTTTGTTTGAGACAGCAGGATTTGAAACATTGATGGACACAAAGAGGATATTATAACATTAGATTAAAAAAAAAAAGCATCGCCACCTGTATCAAAAGTCCAACAGCGTCCGCAGCGTAGTACAACTGTAAGGTTTGCCATTGCAATTTACAACAAACCGGTCACACAGACATGCAGATTGTCTTTTTAAATGAGCATTTTTAGTTTATAAAGTAGTCGGTTCTTATCACAAAGACAAAGACGCAGAAATGTGCGCAGCAGCAGTACTGTTAATGTCGACAATCACATGGATTAGCACTTCATTTAAATGAAGAGGCAGCCATTCTTCATCCCAGTATTTCTACCTGTGCTTGAGTTCAACTGATTTAAATATTGTTACAGATGAGTCGCTGTATTGTGTTTGATTCACAGGAGCGCATTTGTCCATTAAGGTCTGATGAACATTGCTTTTAAACAAAAAATAATCGTAGGGGAGAGTGGGGTAAGATGAGCCATTTTTAATGTTTCGGATCACTGCATCAAGGCAATCATAGTTTAGTCTCTAACTAGTGTATCTGCATATATTTCGAAATGTTGGGCATCACTGCAAACCAACAGAATGAGTGTAAACAGAACCAAAAAATGCCTATGGTCAACATACCCCGTGTATGGGGTAAGTTGACCCCCCCCCCACTCTCCATGATCTTTTTCGGTTTGAACACAATTGTAGTATAAATTTTGACAGACTAAATTCACTTTCATGTGTGAAAAAATTTTGTTTGTAAATAAATGTCTAACCCCTTCACCCATGTGCTTCTAACCTTCACAAACTCCATGAATTGATGCCCATCTCCTAAATATTTGGTCACATGATCTATTTCTTTTACCATTTCCGAGCAACAGGAGGTGGCCCAACTTACCCTTTGGCTCAACTTACCCCACTCTCCCCTACATGTCTAACGTCAAGCCAAGTCCTTTTGTACAGCCCCGTTTAACGTTCCGTGCCTCAGTTGGTATTTCATGAAAACATTTGCTTTGAGATGGCTGTTGATCAGGTTGCTCCAATACACTAGATACACTGTGCATACAGTGTATATTTTTTCAGTCGAAGAATAAATCTCAGTCACCTCTTTCCTGACTTTATTAATTTGGTTTCTTCCCCTTTCCCTTAGAGTGTTGCTGGTGGTGCTGATGGTGACATTAGAAATGGATGATCAAGCTGGATGTTGCTTTTAAATCGGCTGCATCTGTAGTTGTGATGTATCATACCAGACTGGATCAAGCAAACTACTTTTGCAGTAAGTATACCTTTTTAAATACTGAGACTTTGTGCATACTACATAGTGTGTATGTGTGTTAAAATTGCATGCAAACAGGGAATTTGTTTCTCATTTCATTCTTCCTCATAAATCTCTCTAGAATGAGTTCCTGCTTAGTTACAGGACGTGTGTCCTATCACTGAGGCCACATGTGTATCTGGAGAGATGGATCGTTGTAAGCACGTGGGTCGCCTTCGTCTGGGCCAGGACCATTCTATACTGAATCCACAAAAATGGCACTGTGTCGACTGCAGCACCACAGATTCCGTGTGGGCCTGCCTCAAGTGCTCCCACGTGGCCTGTGGACGTTTCATGGAGGAGCACTCACTCAAACACTTTCAGGAGTCACAACACCCTCTAGCAATGGAAGTGCGTGAGCTGGATGTCTTCTGTTTTGCCTGTGGAGACTATGTACTTAATGATAATGCAGAGGGTGACCTCAAACTCCTCAGAGGGGCACTCTCTACTGTTCGCACCCCAGGTAGACGCTCACTACGCTCCTCCACCGGGGGTGAATGCATCCCCTGGGTAGGAGAAGGTGGGCCGCAGCCTGCCATGCAGCTAGCTCTGCGTCACAGGAGGAAAGCACTTCTTGGGAAGATGCTTAAAGTGTGGATAAGCAAACATCAAGAGTTAGAGGATCAGCGCAAAGAAAAACTTGAGGAAGCTAAAAGACAGAAAAAAGAGGTGAAAAAAAGACTTATGGAAGAGCTTGGCAGTGTCCCCCCCAGAAAGAGTGCCAGGCTTCTTACTCAGGCGCCACGTTCAACCATCACACTCATTCCTCGCAAATTTCGCGACCCTCCAGAACGCCTACCTCCTCCTCCCAAGAAGCCTTCCCTCTTAACCTTGTCCCGTAAGGCTCCTCAGAATGGCAGAGCTGCTAGACTGAGGAGATACTACTCCACACACACAGTAACTCGCCGGAGAATCGCTCCGGGTGTCACTGGTCTGCGCAACTTGGGAAACACATGCTACATGAACTCAATATTGCAAGTGCTGAGCCACCTGCAGAAATTCAGGGAGTGTTTTCTCACTTTGGACCTGTGTGAAACTGAGGAGCTGCTGGTCAAGACCAACCACTCCCAGGGGTTAAAGGGTGTAACGGGAGGTGTAGTCAGCAGTAATGCCTCACTGACAGGATGTCCTCTTGGTCGTATGGGGAAGACAGGCAGTTGGAACTTACCCTTGGGAAAAAAAGAAAGTGTCCCGCCTCCCCCACAGGCTGCAGAGCTGGTCCAGCCCAAGGAGCCTCGCTGTTCCACCCGCCAGCAGATGTCTCTGTGCCATGAATTACATACACTTTTCAGGGTCATGTGGTCAGGCCGTTGGTCTTTAGTGTCCCCTTTTGCCATGCTGCACTCTGTGTGGAACCTCATCCCAGCATTCCGAGGCTATGACCAGCAGGACGCCCAGGAGTTTTTGTGTGAACTGCTGGACAAGGTGCAGCAGGAGCTGGACACAGAGGGGTCCAAACGCCGGATAGTTATCCCCATCACAAAGAGGAAGCTATCCAAGCAAGTGCTTAAGGTTCTGAACACCATCTTTCACGGGCAGCTACTCAGCCAGGTAAGACTGTTCACGCAGCATTATAGTATGTAATGACAATAATAACTCCATTACTCCAAGGGTTCATTTAAAGGGATAAAGGCGTAAGTTTAGGGTCAAACACACCGAAACACAGAGTCAGACACCCCCTCGAGAGATGAATGTATCAGAGTTTAACAGAAAAAGAGCCCGGACAACAACTTAACTTGGATATTGCAAACTGCACCACACAATCAGCACATTTTCCTGTTAGAGCTCAATATGTAACAGCGATCTGAAATATAACCACGACCCGAAATGAAATAATAATTTTAAAAAAGTAAATAAGTAATAAAACCCAAAATGTAAAAACTTGTTACGTTTTGGATCAGTTATTACATTTCAGGTTGTTGTTAAATATCAGGCTCTAACACATTTACCTGCTTTGTTCAGTGTTTCATTTTATTTGTTTTGGGGAAGAGAAAATCTTTTTCAGATAATTCAGCCCCTGGTACTTACACTGAAGGATTACACACCTAAATACTGAGCTAATGTCATTAGCAACAGCTCGGCACACAGCCCTGTCCTGGCATACTGTGCGCACTAGTACATCCAAGAAAAGCAGATTAAAATTGTGAAACTGTTGTATTCAGATTTATAATGGTTATATTTATTTGGCAAACATTTATATACATTGAACCTGGTCATTTATTTTTGATTTTGAGTGGCAATCTCCTGCTGCCCCTAGATACAGTGTAAAAATGTGAATATTGAGAAATATCTTTGGTTAGGGGTGTAAATCTTTCCCTAACAAGACAATTCAATTTGATTTGACCCTTGATGGCTCTTCTTAAGTTTATAATTTTTAAGATAGAAAAAAGGAGGAGACTGACAGCACAATCCGAAATGATAAAAAAATGAAAATCATGCTCAGGTGTCTTGCTACAGTAGGCAGTTTGGTGATAAGTATTGGAATTTGTTACAAACAACACAGATATCTTTGCTTCTCTGCATGTCTACCTGCACAGTTTCTGCCAAATCCTACTAACACCCAAAAAAAAAAATCTAGCAAAAATTAAGGACACTTAAACATTAGAAGTCAATCTAAAAAACAACACTTTTTGACAGCACCTGTTGTGTCATGTAGATAGGAAAGCAACACTGTTGTTAATACTGTAGTGATCAAAATGATGTGACATATTTTTCCTTCTCATAAATTCTCTGCTCTTGTGTCACATGGTTTGTACATGACCTCTGTTGTTGCTGTCACTTTATTTCCATTAAGAAGTTATTTTATTCATTTGAGTGAATTTTTGTCACACTGAGTGTAATGCTGTCTATTCAGTACTTTTTAACATGGATTCAATGTATAAACCACAAAGTTAGGACTCCAGACAACACAGTCAGGTGGCAATAAAGCAAACTATACATTATGTCTGAAAAAAATGCTTATTACTGGGGGCTGCTTGTGCTGCTGCTGGTTGTAGTTAGCATCAGTCAGCACAGGTGAAGTCAACGGGGTCTTACCAGGTGAAATCAGTCTTGCATCATCTTTATACCCCCACTAATGGTCAGATTCTAGACTGAAATACTCTCTTGCTTACGCCTCTCGTCAGTGAACTGTGGGTGGCCTTTGAGGACATGAAGCATGACTAGCGGGATCCCTGTTTTCAAGGCTTTTCCTTTAAAAACAACCATCTACCCAATGTCCTTTTAATTTCTTTTGCACTCAACAACTTCCCCCTTTTACTTTTCCCCTTTTTTGTTTTTAAGTTCAGGTGATTATATATTGAAGTATTCTTACGCTTGTTATATTCATTCGAAAGTCTGTTCACCTTCAAAACTGAGCTACATAATTGTGGTTGTTTGGTTCACAGTCCTTCTTCATAATGAATACTCTTAAGGTCCTTACAAACCAGAGCTGACACGAATATAAAACGCGAAATTACGAACTATTCAGAGGCGAATTTTGAAGCACCTGACCATACACATCAAGCCCGATGCGATTTTGTGACTTCCCGGGGAAGACTTTTCCCCATGAAAGTCCTGCCTCCTTCGCCTCTGATTGGCTAGAAAAGCTGGAAACGTCACCACACGGTCAGCACTTATGACCAATCAGAGGTGATAATATAAGCACATGAAACTATGGTAACAGTGTTGTTTTTGTTGACGATGACGTTGACGAAAATATTTCGTCAACATCATTGTCAACGAAAACAACATTGCAGAATATATTTTTGTGTTTGACTGACGAAATGCTTATGGATTTTGCAACTCTGTTCGTCGTCCACCACTAACGTTTTCGTCTAGTCTCGTCTCGTCACATTTTAGTCATCTAAGACTTATGTTAAGCTCGTCAACATCACGTCTTCGTTGTGGAAAAAAAGGGGCGTCAACCAAAACAACACAACAACAAACAAAGACGTTTAGCAAACTGTTAAAGCACACAAACCATCGTCATATGAGAAATCTGACGCTATGTTGTTCTTCAGGTCGTTATCTTTGTAATATTTGTGTTTTTTATCAAAAAGCACTCTGTTCTCTGACACGTAAACAAACAGCCGGTCGGCCATGTTGGATAAACCGGTGAATCAAATCGCAACAACACGAAATCTGATTGGTCAGAAGTGGACACACAGTATACGAAACTTTGACCGTGATCCCAAAAAAATAAATGCCGCAATATCACAGGACGGGAAAACATTGCTGATGTGAACGCTTGTAATGACAGGATACGGGTTCGAAAAAAATATTGACATCCGAAATTATCGCACGAAAAAAAATCGGTCCCAGTGTGAAAGGACCTTTAGACTAAGCATCATTTAAGCATATGTTTTGATCTAAACTTACATTGATAAACACAGAAATAATATCTTACCACTCAGATTTACTAATTCACCTCCTGCTTTTGTCCCAACCTATGTCTCCTCTCTGTTCAATGTGTTTTAGGTTACGTGTCTGTCCTGTAAGCACAAGTCTAACACAGTCGAGCCATTCTGGGATTTGTCTTTGGAGTTTCCAGAGCGCTACCACAGTGTAGACAAAGGCTCAGGCTCCACAGCTTACCAACGCAGCTGCACCCTCACTGAGATGCTGGCCAAGTTTACAGAGATGGAGGCTCTTGAAGGCAGCATCTATGCGTGCAACCACTGCAACAGTCAGTACAGTTCTTATTCATCATTTTCAGAAAAGACCCTTTCATTTTTTTATATGTTTGTTTTCCTACACTTTAACATCATTCAGATAAATTCATTTTAAATTTGATGGTAAAACTTTGGTACAAATCCAGTCTAACTGATGGCTTTCTTCGTAATACTGTGCTCCGCATGTTTGTATTCAAGGTTCAACAGGAGGGAAATTCAGAGATTTAGAGCAGAAAATGTTATTGCCTTAAGAAATAATGTTTGAATGGCATTAATATGTGTCAACAAAAAGGGCTTTAAGGCGCAATTTGAAACTAAATGGGAATTATATGAAATGTTCTTGTTGATAATATTTCAAACTCTATTTCAAATTAAAAGAAGAAAGAAAATTAATCTGCTTTTTCTGTGAGGCAGCCCTGCCAGCTTTGGGCCAACATTTAAGGAAGACTCAGTTTGAGGAGTTTGTATTTTAACCAACTATTGTAAGCCCCAAAGAAGCAGGGACATGATACATTTCTTGGTTTTAATGGTTTTTTTTTTTCTGTTCGAAATGCTTAATACATGACACGTTACCTCTACGTGTAAACAAAGCCTTACAACAGTAATATGCAGTTGTATTGTCATCATTTTACATGTTGTTGTGCCCTTGTTTGATAGAAAGAAGACGAAAATCATCCCACAAACCCTTAGTTCTGTCAGAGGCACGTAAGCAGCTTCTGATCTACCGTTTACCTCAGGTTCTACGGCTGCACCTCAAACGCTTCAGGCAAGTTTTTTTTTTTTTCCCAAATAATTTTAACTTCTCATCAAGTAACTGCAGTATTAATAACCCATTCTTGCCATTTTAAAGTTGTTACTCATCTCCAATCGTGATTTTAAGTACAGGAGCATTTGTTTTTATGTGAGTGCTTGTGATGCTAACAAGTCTCTACTGTACGGCAGATGGTCAGGGCGGAACCATAGGGAAAAGATCGGCGTCCATGTGGCCTTTGACCAAGTTCTGAACATCAAACCATACTGCTGCACAGGCTCAGGTCACTCTGTCCACAGAGGAGGCTACACCTATGATCTATCTGCTGTAGTTATGCATCATGGTAAAGGCTTCGGCTCAGGGCACTACACCGCATACTGCTTCAACACAGAAGGAGGTGAGGAAGAGACACAGCTCGATCCAGATCATCATCTCAAATCTGATCATTCTGCAGCATATTAAACTTCTGTTTCGCCCTTTCAGGTTTCTGGGTCCACTGTAATGACTCTGAGATGAAGGTTTGCAGTGTGGAGGAAGTCTGCAACACTCAGGCCTATATTCTCTTCTATACTCAGAGGTCTGCATAGGTACCTTTGCTGTGATGTCGACCTGTACGCAGCAGCAGCTAATTTGCTGATTTTAAGAAAATGTTCTCTGATGTTTTCCCAGATGTCATTGAAACAATCACTTTAAAATGATTTCCTAAAAAAAGATGGAAAAGAGGGCAGTAGGACAGCCTGGATTATGAGGCAAGGTGAAGATTTTCACTGAATAATTCAGATGAGGATGATAGCGTATTAACTGTATTCTTGCCAAGGAAACATTACTGGGTATTTAAAGGTCCCATATAATGGCATATTAAGCTCTTTACACACATGCTAGTTTTATTCAATGTAAGGTTTTGAATTCACTTGCAAAAAAGTCACAAATCCACCCTCTGCTTCTCAGTTTCTAACCTTTTTATTCATGCACTGATCTGAGTGGGCAGGATTGACTTGATATATTAGGCATGGTGCTGATTGGCTGAGAAAGTATCTATAAAACTCCACCTACCAACCAATTGGTCCAACAGACACTAAATTTGGCTAACTCTAGAGCCTTTTAGTTGCTGCTCTTTTCAGATGTGAAAATTACATGCTAATCGCTTTGACTGGTTTTTGTTGACCCCATTCTGCCCCATTTGATGATGTAGAGACTGAAATATTATAAGTCCATGTCTGTCATACAAACGACAGGAATAAAGAAATGGGTTAATTTAATTAAATCTAGTGTGCGGTAATGACAGGGAAATGAAAGTATAACCCGTAGAACCCACAGGAAGCATGTGGGTCATGTTCAGGTTTTGCCCCCAACACCTCCTGGCTCAATGTGTTTTAAGCAAAGTGGAGTTTAGCCTGGAACAGCTGGACTTCATAACAGAATATAGACATCTGTGTTTGCAGCCAACAACACTGCAGCTTGCTTCCACCTTTCACATCTAGACTCTGCAACACCAAAGCAAAACCACAACAGTGTATGAGACGGTGGAATACTTGAGGAGTGGGAGTGGGAGTGGGAGTGGGAAGGAGTGGTTTTGCATGCCTGACATCTATGCAAATCACTCCTGTTGTTACGTCACCACAGGAGCAAAAAGAAATCCTCTCTGCATTATTAGAGAAAGTGGTTTACACCAACAATGCAGAGGCCTTTTTGCTGCCACATTCTCGGGTTGCTGAGCTGGTGCATTACTAAAAGAATATATTAACAGACAAGGAAAAATTGTCTTTATTATATGGAACCTTCAAATACTCTGATCAATGGACATGTGTTGAATTATTCATAATATACTTTTCATAAATGAGGTCACAGGTTTGTCACTATTGGAGCAGGTCTTTCTGTATCCTGCTGATCACAGAGTTTTCTGTCCATGTCTTTTTGAAAAAACACAATCAGCCTCAAGTCTGCTGAGCCTCTAACCAATGAGGCACTGCGAGACAATGTTTTACATTTAAAGGCAACACAGATTCTTGATTTATTATTATTATTTTTTCTTACATAGTTCTGGACATTTGATGCCAACACACTACATATACACACTACACTGTAAGATAGTATTGTAGGGTTATACTTGAATCCCCCATATTTACACGGTTACCATTTTCCTCTGACAACACACTCAGGGTTTGGATGTTCAAATGCTTTTAAGTGCTTGTGGGTCTCATAAGCAGGAGTAACTTAGATAATTATTATGGTTCGACCTGCAACCTCTAGAGAAACATCAGCCCATATTTTAGTGGAAAAACTCCATTTGATAACCCAGTAACAGCTAATGTTAGCTTTAAACCACATATTTTTTTTAAAAGGTGCTATATAAATGTATATTTTTAAAATTATAACTAGCTAATTTTACCATTAGCTAGAACGTGGCTTATTGCTAACATTACATTCTTTTAATGGTGTGTTGGAGTTGGCAAGAAATGTATTTAAAGCTAACATTAGCAGTTTTCATCTTAGTAATGGGTTATTATATAAATTTGCTTCACAAAGATCAGTCTAGTTTGACTTTTCTACTGTGCCATTTTGTAACTCTAAAGTCAAGTTCAAATGGTCATATCAGCTACATATTTGCCGTGTGCTAACGGGGTCATAAACCATGATTCCTCTGGGTTTCCTCTAAATGTGGCCTGACAAACTTTGTGATTGAAAAAAGAAATTAAGCATGTTTCAAAGATCCATTACACCGATTACAGTTAGTCATGCACTCCACATTCAGACTACTTATGCTGCGTTCGAGTGACCTCGGAAGTCAGAAGTCGAGCTGAAAATGACGTCACTCCCGAGCTAAATCAGAGACGGAAACAAGGTGGCTGATATACGAAAGTTATTTTAGCGCTTGCCTTGTTCAAATATAAGGCAATTACTAAAGTAACTTTGTAGATGTGGCCATCTTGTTTCAGGCCTCCGATTTTGCTCTTTTCCGACTTGGTAACTGAAACGCTGGGAACTCGGGTGTGACATCATTTTCGGTTCAAGGTAACTCAACACGGCATTAGTGTTCAACATGATAACAGGTATTTGAGCTTCCCACGTTGGGTCTGATGTCAGAGGGGAGTATCTAAAATGTAAAGATGATCAGTGAGAGAAATCTGGACTCTGTGTTGCCTCCTGTTCACCTTTTTTTTTTTTTTTTAATTATGATGAAACGTCACTTTGGGAATCTTGTCATCCTGTTACATCTGTATGTCCTCTCCTCAATTGTACTGCTAGACTGGATACTGTGCCCCGCACTCCGTGGACAATGTTGTTTTTTTGTTTTGTTTTTTCTGACTTAGTTTTGTAGTTGCTGTATATTTCACCTCCATGAAAAGAAGGAACAAAAACTTTGCTGGAAAGCTGCACTTTTGAGGAGGGGCTGATATCATTGGTCCTATCTTTGTGATTTGCTCTTCTTTTAGCTCCTGTCTCTTCTTAAACTGGCAGCTCCCTTTGCGGTTTGACAGTGTACCCAGTCTGAGGAGGTTGGAGACACTGCTGCACATATGTTTTAACTGCAGGAGATGAAAAATGAGTGAACAGGCTGATGGCCATACTGAAGAATGTGTTTTTGGTAGGCTGGGGGTACCCATTTGAGTTGAGCACCTGAAAGCAATATATTGTACATCTTGCATCTCGACAGGAAATTAAGGCAAAATCAGGAATTCTTCTGCTTGTTATACAATGTTTTTTTCTACTCTGCTGTTTCTATTAGAATTTGTTAGGTAATCAAGAAAAAACTGTTGTGTTTGATATGAGTCAAATGCAAAATAAACATTTGTGAGCTCTATGTAAAAGTTGGAACAATCTAATGACGATGAATGTCTTACTTTTTAGTGGTCAGGTGTGGTCATGCCACTGGCTCTGATCCCCTTGAGTTCTGTCTTGTACTGTAAGAATACCTGTCATAAATGTAATGGTCATATGGGTTTTGCCTGACAGTAATTATTAAAAGACGAAGCAAATTTGAAACTTTGTTTTGGATACTCATTTCAGGGCGATTGTTCCAGAAATTGGGAATGGGGTCAGGGAAACACTCATATTTCTGTCCATTTTCTTCCACTTCGACTGTGCAGAATTGGCTCATGGCCTCTACTCAGCAACATTTTCCAGCTGATCCTGTGGGTATGCAAGCTGTAATCAGGCAAGAAAGGGTTCATCATCTCTCCAATAGGCTCTTGGCTTACCCCAAGGTCCTACCAGCTGTGCCAATGGAAAACTAAGGTACCCTATTCAGACACCTATTCCACTTTAACAGACTTCCTTCAATGCAGATGAGCTTACATTGTTTTCAAGGCTGGGCCTACAAAGCTAATTTTGGCCCCCTTGTATTCCCAATCCCTTTCTGATGCTGCGTCCGAATTGCCAAGTAGTATGTAAGCATGTCCGAATTGGCCACCGGAGAGAGTAGCATGCTACTTCAGATACTACTTCAGATACTAGACATGCCCACATTGTAGTATGGTCGCGGTGCAACCTACGGACATGCTACCGACCCAAAATGCACCGCGGGCTTCTTCTTCGTCCTCTTAAAAGTTGTAGAAGCGCATGTGATGCATAGACTGTATATAAAATGGACAACCTGGTTCTGCCTTCCGCCTGTATACGGATTTGAAGCCAAAAAGCTCTCGGTAATCCCAGGTTTTTCTCCACTTCCTTGAAACCAGAGCTGTGCAGTAACGTTGTGCGCATTCGGCCGCGCAGTCGCCTAGAGTCCCTGTGATGACGCTCGGCTCAAACAGCGTATCCCCCCGGGAGAGCTACGCAATCCCTGAACACCCATAGGCTGTATCAGGTGTCAATCATAGAAAACATGAACCCCCTAATAACTTTTAAAAACGGAACTGTACAGAAAAAAAAGGACTTGGGCACAAACCAGTCTTACTGTAACTACATGTCAACATCACAACCAGGGGGGAGAAAAATTTATGTTCTGTGTAATAAATTTCTAAAGTTCGTCCACAGTCCCATAAGCTTTGCTGGAGGAGGCAGGATTTATGACCTATACTGCAGCCCATCAACAGAGGGTGCTGTTCTCGGAGTGGCTTCACCCAGCGAGGAGGCAGACTCTGTCCATTCTATATACAGTCTATGATGTGACGCTAGCGCCACCAGCTGCTGCCTATTTAGATGCGTCGCGAACGCCGGCTGGCCACAGCAGCGCGCACCATGTCGGAGTAGCAGCAGCAGCAGGAGGCAGGACCGCAGCAGTACAGATGTAAGTTTCATGTAACTTCACACACTGTCCTAAAAAATGTGCAGTTGTATCTCTTTGTCATGTCATGGTGTCATTTTTGCCCAAGTAATCATTTTATGAGCAAATATGTGGCGACATCATGGAGGAAAAGCTCATTTATTCCATCATTAAACTGCACAGCTGCAGTAATCAGGCAGATCTCATTGAACAAACGATCACCACGTGAGTGAATGAAGGCTTAAATTAATGGAAAAGCTACTTTGTGAATTTTTAAAGCAGTGCAGGAATATAATACAGCAGCATCCATCACTTGCACAATTACCATTCAAAGAGTCTAACACTGTTTGCACGGGCACAGTACCTACTCTCTGCCTGCGGGGGTCGTCTTTCCCCACCGCTCGTCTAGCGTGTCTGAATTGGGCCAACGTGTTTAGTATGTAGGAGTAGGATCTAGCAGTAGTATGTAGTATGCGAGCGGGCAATTCGGACGCAGCATCAGAGTCATTACCCAAACCAAGAAATACCGAAACTCATTCCCTTTGGACAGTAACACTCTCTCTAGACAATTCTCCACCCCCAAAAAATCACAACCAGAATTAATGACCAGGAACAACCCTGGTAGGAGCCAACACTGGCTGTGAGAGCTCCAGACTGATGCTAAAGATGCATGTCAGCCAAAACAGCCAAACCATATTCAGAGTCTTTAGCACCACAGAATGATCTCATCTCATGTCCCAGTGTCTTATCTCAAAGGTCTCTCAACCATCTTGGCAACCTCCACCAATGATGTCCAGGTCTTAAACAAACTGTCCAGCAGCCACCCTTGATCGGCTCACTGATCGAACTCAACCCTAGTCAGGGATTAGTTGACAGCTCTGGACCTTTCTTTATCAGGTGTCTTAAGACATACAGTCACAGAACTGTTGATGCTTAGGCAAAGTCAGTCACCAGTCTTTGGCCTCTGGTGTACTGGTACTGTCATAACCAAACCTTGACTTGCAAAGAATTCAATTAAATATCAACACTTACGAAATTTCTTGGTTACCATGCCCCGATGGGTGATTTTGGCTATGTTCACACTGCAAGTCAATTCCGATTTTTTAACCATATGTGACACATATCTGATTTCTTCATGTGTGAACAGTGCAATTCTGATTTTTTTCAAATCCGACCTAGGCCTTTTTTTTGTATGTGGATTAAATCGGATATGTATCCTTTGTGACTGCTGTGTGGACTCTCAGGTCGCGTTCATCCGACCTATATGTCATCAATATGTGACAAACGTCACCATTGTTCGACAACACAAACAGGTGCGGAAAGCAATTTGTGCGCATGCGGGTCACTTCACGGACGCATTCCATTCACATAAGATGCCGCATTCGTTGTTGTAATGTGAACGACCGCACAAAAAGATCGGATTTAACAAAAAATCTGAATCGTGCATCATAACCTGCAGTGTGAACGTAGCCTTAGTCTTGTTTTTGTGTAAGTTGTCTTTTCTGACAAAGTGTCGTCATGCTTTCTTTTATCAGTTGAAGGTAGCACTCTGTGAATATTTGCAGTTTAAAATGTAGAGGTGTTTTTTTCAGTGCACTACTCTGACATGGAGCCTCCCCCAGTGGTCACAGGTATTAAGAATAAAAATTAGTATATGGAAATTAACAGTCTTATTACTTATGGTCTTGTTTGCTTTTATCAGCCATAAAGAGGCATCACTGATTATATCAATCCATTTCCCAACCGGTTTAAAACTCCTTACTGGAGCTTTAATAATTAACAGTATTTACTGGCTTAATAGGTAACTTATAAGAAACAGAAAAAGTTTTTACGCTGGGTTACACTGCATTTATTTTTCTGTTTAAATGATATAGTTATAGATTTTGGTAATCCTTCAAAAAATGCTTTATACATTTTTTATTGAATAAATTTTGAATCAGATGTAATACAGCTGATAGCTTATAGCGCTTAACCTCATGCAAAAGGTGCTTCACTGTACCATTAAATCTCAATCGCGGCATAAAGATGATGGGATCAGCCTAAGTAATGAAATTATTTATTTCTTAAATTGTTTAATAAAACAGCAATATTTATTTTTTGCAAACTGGATATAAACGATACAGCTTGACATGCCTGTTTATTTGACACTGTGGATAGTTGTAGTTCTACAATAGTGGCTTTTAAATAGTTTCTATGGAGAAAACAGATTGAATGTGGTTGAATCATAACGGTGAAATATTCCAGATATCAGCTTTCTGTTTAAAACAGTAAATTGAACTCTAAGAACAAAGACAGAAAAAAGAAAGAAATGCGTCTAAAGCACCAGAACAGGATGTAAAACAAACCGATAATGACACAGAGTTGAGAAACAACATATCTGCACTATATTTCTGACAAAAAATGGCAGTTATAGAACATCTGTTTTGTCATTAATGAAATGTCAACTCATGCCTGCTAGATGCATCTTAGTGCACTTATGAAGACATGCATGAGCACATAACATTCATGAAAAAATTCCTCTTAATTATAATTAAGCTTCAACATGAAGGTTACAGCGAACGGGATCAGCGTTTCAAAGTTCCTGGAAGTTCATCCAATTCTTTTTCTTCATGTATCATAAATTATTAGAAAAAACAGTCCAAAGATTTCTCAAAAGAAACTCAGTTTTGGTGACAGCGATGCAACTGACGATTTGTCATCATCATCATTGGTGAGGTGGGATGATGTCTTTTGTTTCTTGGCAAGCAGAGAGTTATTGTAAACACCACTGAGCTCTACCTCTATCTCTCTGTGCCAAATCTTGTCCACTCCTCAACTAAAAGTGCCATGTTTTGTCCTCAGATGCCCTCATTCTATTTCCGTCTCTCTATCCTGAAATGGTGACTGAGTTGAAAGCAGCTTCTCTGCTCTGGAGTCTCTCTCAGGGAGCTCAGCTGGGCAGCAGCCATGGCTCCAAAAAGTCCCACTGCTTCCACAGGATGAACAGGAATAAAGTCAGGAGGACGGTGGCGCCCACCCTGGCTCGTGTCTTCATCAGAGGGGTGATGAAGTTAGCCAAGGTAGAGACGAACACAAGAAGCACCGCCATGAGCCCCAGGATGACGTTGATGAGTTTGCCCAGCAGAGCTCGTGCATTAGCGTTCTCTACTCCCTCCAACTGGACCACCTGCTGCTGCTGCTGCTGCAGCTCCAGCTTAGTGATCCGAGTCAGACATGACTCAACAGCTTCCTGAATGAAAAGAAGCAAAACAGAGAAATCATGGTGGGATTTTTTTTAAATATATTTGAACAACTCATACTAAAAGAGCTGAAAAACATTGTAAAATTATGTTAATTTATTAGTGATTTCTGCCAAAGTTAAAACTGTTTTACATTTTTTATTTTAAATTTAGGTTAGGTTAGATGTATTTTAGGTTATTTGCTGTGCACCAACGATACCACCAGTATGGTACATTTTTGATCATCATTTGTCTCTTAACATTGTCTACCCAACACAAAGCAAGACTATTGGGTCCCCCAGATGGGATGGGGTTTGGAGTTTTAATCAAAATCTACTAACATTGGTCATTAGTTTGATAGCTTTTAGATGAAACTGATCAAACCAATGTTTATTCAATAACTCATGGTTCATAAAGGAACAAATCTAAAAAACAAATCTTAAGCACAGTAGTTAAAGACAGGTTTTTCTTGTCTTGAAAGTTTACAGAATCGCAGCAGATTTTTACCTGAATGTCTCTTGCACGCTCATACGACTGGTACGCAACTTTTTCCTCCATACTGGCGAGTTCTTGTTTAAGGTTAGTCATTTCATTCTGATGTAGCTCTGTTAAATCATTCAGCTGTTCTTCAAGTCGCTCATACCTGAACACGTAAAAAAACAAACACACAAAAGAATCAAAAAGTTAACCCATTGTTTGTGTTAAAAACAACCACAATGTCAGTGTGGAAGGTGGACCTTTCTGTTATCAGACCCTTCACACCCTGTGTTCAGGAGGATACAATTTCTCTTACTTTGAGAGTAGGTTCAAAAGTTTTGTTTTTGATAAAGGGTAAAGTTGGGGCTGGCTTGACCACAACTTGGACCATCCTCAGTTGTACCAGCACAGGGTCAGATCAGACTTGAGACTCCATCGCCTAGCCTTAGTATCCTCTCTCTTTTGTCATACTTTGACAACAAATGTTAATTAAAACGTTGGACGTCAATACTATATATGAGCAAAGTTTCAGACTGCAAGGTTAATGTGTGTTAAAGTGATTCCCAGATGGGACAGCAGGGTGCTCTAAATACCTTGTTCAGACAGTCACATGAAAATTCAACGGGATCACTATGAGATTTGCTCAAATAGTGACGTAACCAGACAGTGAATCTCCTCCAAAAGGCAAATTTATCATTTTACAAAAGAAACAAAACTTTTTTTGCATACAACAGTGCAGGAAGTTTGCAGAATGCTGAGTTATGGAGTTCTAGGGGGATTATTCCGGCATAAAATTAAGTTAGGGTCAAACACACAGTAACACCGAGTTAGACACCCCGTCGAGCAATGAATGTTGCCGACCGCTTGCTTCTCTAGTTATACCAACTCTCGACAGGGGGTCTAACTCGGTGTTATGGTGTGTTTGACCCTAACTTAACTTTACGCTGGAGTATCCCCATAAAGGGACAGTGGCTTAAATTAAGCATCTCAGACAGAGGCTGAAATATGTTCAGTTTGTAGGTTCCTGCCTGCTGCTGTGCACCAACTTTACTCCAACTAATATTAATATCATCAGTCATACTTGTATTATTATTCAAAAATATTAGCTACAGTTATTGTTAGCACTGATACTATCTTATTTTCAGTTTTGTACTCTTTTCACCTTTTAGGCCTGTCTTGTGCTGCGTTCGAGTTACCTCGAAAATCAGATGTTCAAGGTGGGAATGATGAGTTACCAACGTTTCAGTTAGCAAGTGGAAAAAAAGCAAAATCGGAGGCGGAAACAAGATGGCTTCATGTACGATAGTTATTCAAGCGCTTGTTATTCTTCGTTATTTTAAGTTATTTTAGCATTCTCTTAGGTAGATGTAGCCATCTTGTTTCTGCCTCCGATTTTGCTTTTTCCAACTTCGTAACTGAAATGCTGGTAACTGGGGTTTGACATCATTCCCAGCTCAGACATCTGACTTCCGAGGTAACTCAAATGCAGCATTAATGCAGCTGATGGCAGCTGACCGCTTGAAGTTTCTACCTCTTCTATTTTTGTTTTTCTTGCCTCTGATGCAGAGTGCAGCCTCCGAGGTGTATTAATATTGGGACTATTTTAGTGATAATACAAAGAGAGCAGTCTTCACCTGCTCCTTGTATAAACTGTTGGGTTTTTTTGGGGGATGTGTACCTGTATCTCTCCTCTTGCAGGCACTGTGTCATATAAGAGTAATCACTCTGCAGCTGGCCCTTCATGTCCTCGATAGCGTCCTCCATGTGTGCCTGGCTGGCTTTGATCTCCTGTAAGCTTTCAAGCAGAGAGTCCCATGAGCTGTGCATGTGGTGGTGGTGATGGTGGTGCCCGTCCAGTCTGGGGCTCCCCATGGTTGGTCCTAACAACCCTCCTCCTCCTGCTCCACCAGAATTGCTGCCTGCTCCTGAACCAGACGTGGCGCTGGAGCACTCGTCGTCACTGCCGTACTTTGGGCTGGAAACAAGAGTGGCACTTCCACTCAGGGCACGAGGGGTGGGGTTGTCCTCAGGGTGTCCCCCGACTCCGTCCTCGAGTGAATCCTTTAGGTGAGCAATGTTATCTGCACTGCCAAACTTGTTTCTGATGAGACTGGCAAACTCTCTTGGCTTGGAGACCACAGCTGTGTGAGTCAAGGCAGACACTCCACCTTTGACCCCTTCGACTACTCCACCTCCAAAACCACTTATTCCAGCACGGACGTTTGCTCCCACGTCCTTCAATCCTTGCTGCATGTCCCGCAGGACATCTTTAGGCTGGCGGGCTGGTCCGTTCTGTGGAGAGGAAGAGAAATGAGAAAGCAAAGGAGTGTGAAGGATCTCAGAGGTAGAAGAGAAATGATTTGGCATGAGGAAGAGAACTTCGGGATGATAGATGAGGAAACAGGCTGCAGAAAATTTACTGAAAACAGAATGATGAAACAAGTGCTAAGAGATGGAGATTTATTTTTGGACCCAAATGTCCAAGCAAGGATAATCCAACACTTTTTGGAGATTGTCACAGTTTCACATAAAAACACCACATGTTCTCAAATGTGTGCTTTCCCACCCACCTGTTCAATCTCCTTTAGTTTCTTGTGGTAGTGCTCTAGTTTCTTGTGCAAGTGTGCGATGGACTGTGCCGACTTCTGGTTTTTCTTCTCAAACACCTGCTTGATCCGGGATGCCTGCTGTTTGTCTGCGTTGTGGGCCAACTTCAGGTACTCTGCGACATTGTCATCACGAGCCTCCTGCTCCACACGAATCTGCTCGGTGACCTTCAGGATCTTCTGCTGCAGGTGCTCCAGAGCAGCACGGGTTCTCTGCGGTTCGCCGGCCCCCAAACACTCGGCACCTCCCACTGTGACCCCTGCTGCTGATGATGACGATGCGCCTGCTCCATCTGCACTGATGTTACTGTCAGAGCCTCCATGGCTGGTGTTAGGGGGTAGGCCTAGAGTTGCCACCTCGCTCTTGTCCAGCTGGGGGGAACAAGAGGGCAGGGAAGGTTATCAAGAAAGAAGTGCTACAACTACCACAGATGTTACACAATCAATGAGACTTAACATCATGAGAAATAACATGAGTTTCTTGCACTTTTTGAAGCCACTTGCCCCGTGTTTTTGGAAAAAGAAGATATTTGATATTGAGGTTTAGTGAAATGTCCATTGAATTATACCCCAGCACCATCCCCATCTGACACCCATGCTGCAATTTAAAATCACAGTAATATTCAGATTATGTCATTATATTGATGCACACTTGTTGTTTATACTTATAATTTTGCAGTCTTATCGTCCTGCACTTTTGAATATACTTTATTTGGACTTTGGTTTATATAGTTACACACCTTTTTATTAGTTGTATATTTTTCTGCTCATGGTTGTTCTAAAAAAAAAAAAAGCTTTTCACTTGTTTATCTATGCATATTTCTGTTTTTACTTTTACTTATGACATTTCTGTTTTCTGTGTTTATTATTTTAGCACCAGAACACCAAGACATATTACCTGGCTGTGTAAATCTACTTAGCAGTAACCCCAATTCTGAGATAGAGGAGAGTGGGGTAAGTTGAGCCACCCCCTGTTGCTTGGAAATGGTAAAAGAAATTGATCATGTGACCAAATATTTAGGAGATGGACATCAATTCATGGAGTCTGTGAAGGTTAGAAGCACATGGTTGAAGGGGTTAGACATTTATTTCCAACAAAAAGAGAAAAAACATTTTTCACTCTTGAAAGTGAATTTAGTCTGTCATAAGTTTTATTAGAGTTGTTTTCAGACCAAAAAAGATCATTTTAAATTTGTTTTATACATCAATTGTGGTATCTATGAGCAACAAAAACCTATAAAAGTCCACCATTTTAGCTTAGAGGACTAATAAAGTCATCATAGTAGTTCTGGGGTAACTGAGCAAGTAAAGGAGTCTGATAAGAGGATCAGAGTTTAAGTTCAGATTGTTGAAATGTGTTACTTTTTCTTTTCAAAAATACAGCTGTGAATGTTCTGAATCACTTAAAGGCATTCTCATGTTATAACGGCTTTGAACATGTGCAATAATGCAATAATAAAAATATATATATACTGTAACAGTTAAATAGCGTATACTAGATAATTATACACATGAATGTGAGGGAGTGACTGTTATTTAGGGAGAGAGAAGGTGAGGGAGGGCTGGGGTGGAGAGTGGGGGATCGTAGGGATACGGCTCAACTTACCCCGCTCCTATGATCAACTTACCCCATACACGGGGTAAGTTGGCCATAGGAGACCACTTTTTTTGGCATGCTATATTATCAAAACAGTTATGTTTACACTCATTCTGTTGGTTTGCAGGGATGCACAACAGCCTGAAATATATGCAGATACACCTGTTAGAGACAAAACTATGATTGCCTTGATGTAGTGATCTGAAATATGAAAAGTGGCTCATTTTACCCCACTCTCCCCTACACCTCACCTCATACTCCTTGCTTTTCTTTTACAGCTGCATGTGACATTAAACATAAATGTGATAGATAACTTATTGAAATACTCTGTTTACATCTTACATTGTAAAAGCAGCACCAGGCCCCAGGATAACAACAACAACAACAACAACAACCAACTGTTCTTATTCAGGAGGGGATCCCCTGGTCAGAATATTATCTTTGGCCTATCTTTAGCATGACAGATGGTGGGATTGTTAATGACCCCCCATCTTGACGTCAAAAGAGAGTAATCACGACCTGCAAACATGAACTCAGACACACATTTGACACCGAAACATTTCCTAACCCTTTCCCAATTTCACAGATGTACTAAACCACGCGAATATAGGTTTATATTTGCGTGCTTGTAGGACTCAACCGCAGCAATGTAGGTTACAATCAAATCGTAGTGGGGACGAAACAGATGAAGATTATAGCTCTGATCTTGCCGGGGAAAAGTGGGATGCTCATGCAGGAGCAACATAAAGCGATTTAGTGGCTCAAACGACAAGGCGATGCGGTCTCCATCGTTACATATGTGTGTGAGAACAGACAAAAACAACAAGGAGCGATCAATGCGCACAGCTAACCGTGCGCGCCTGGAGAGGGTCCGCAAATGGACCCCAAAAAGGCTCATGGATGAGAAATGTAAAAGACTGTGATGCGGATGAAGATAACAGATGTCTATGGCAGATACAAACAAGAGAACATGGGGGGTACGAGGAGGTGGAGGAGGGGAAAAGGGAGACCTGTGCCTTTCTCACTCGGTGGGAGACACGGTGACATGATGATGGTTGGGTGGGTGGGTGGCCGGATGGATGGATGTCAACAAGCTTGGATGTGAACACATGATGGTGAGACACAAGCTGCACAGCGATAAATTGAAATCAGAAACGTTACCATACTGCTTTAATCCAATTTTTGCAGTGCCATCGCAAGTCTGTGTTCGAGGCCCATCCTCCTCCTCCTCCTCCTCCTCCTCCCCTTGTGCTCTCTGAGGAGGAGCCCCCTCCTCAAATATCTTTACTCTCTGCCGTTGTAAGGCTGACTATCACCTCACTGGATCCTAATGCTCCATTGTCAATGCCATCGATATCTGCAGCCTCTCTCTCTCTCTCTCTCTCTCTCTCTCTCCCTCTCCCTTTGTGTCATACGCTCCCCCCGCCTCCCCTCTTTTCTCCTACCTCTCTCTCCCGCTCTCTCTCTCTCTTTCTGTCTAAATGCAATGCAAGCTGTCCTGCCCTATAATGGACGTGGGAGCTGAGGGACAGATGATGGAGTGAAATAGATGGGAAGGGGGAGGGGGGCTTGGCGCAGGCGTGCAGGTGCCTCTGTGCTGCTGAGGCCACAGGAGGGAGGGAGGGAGAAAAGGAAGGAGGGAGGGAGGGCAGAGGAAACACAGCAAGGCCTGTGGCAGGGCCTGCTCCGGGCTTTTCATCCCCCCTCCTATACAAACACACAGCCAGTGGCGCTGGTGTGAAGCTGCAGTGATGTGGTGCCAAAGTACACAGTGTCTGTTTGAGGTGTGACTCACTCTCTTCATTTTCTTTTCTAGAAGAGTGGGAAAAGAGTGGTGTGGGGCAGGCTTCTTTGAGTTGTATCCACCACACTTGAAATACCTTACTATGCTTCCATATACTTATCTGTGAACACTCCAAGCTTTGGCTAAAACTTGGCAGTTTAAAAGCCACGATAGTATTACCAGAAAATTATCATTTGACCTCAAGTACTTAATTGTAGGAGCTGCCTTTTTTTAAGACATGTCACACCCTTATTATGTGTGAATGCTGGAATAGCTCACTACAGGGATACATTTGGGGTGAGTTTGGTAGGATGATGGTTGGTCCACCAGTGGTACTGTTAAACCTGTAGTTAAAGGGATATTCTGGCGTAAAATCAATTTAGGGTCAAACATACCATAACACTGAGTTAGACACCCCCTTGAGAGATGAATGTTGCTGACCGCTTACTTCTCTAGTTATACCAACTTTAGTAACGACTGCACGATGGCAATACACAGTGGTCTGAGGAGCCACACACAAGGACCCTATATGTACTGTTGATGAAGTTAGGTGCTGTTCTGAGCATTATTTGTGGCTTTTTGGTTGAGGTTTGTTTATGGCTCCTCAGACCTCTGTGTATTGCCATCGTGCGGTCGTTACTAAAGTTGGTAAAACTAGAGAAGCAAGTGGTCGGCAACATTTATCTCTCAAGGGGGTGTCTAACTCTGTGTTACAGTGTGTTTGACCCTAAATTAATTTTACGCCGGAATATCCCTTTAAAGCAAACTAAAGGCTGTCTTCAAGGTGTTTACCACTCATGAGTTTCTTGTGCATGCAAAAGGAAATTTGGGGTGTGGCATACCACTGAGTCCTTCTCAAAACCTCCATTGTGGAGTCAGCAGGGAGATATTATGGCCAGAGGGTCATTGATGCACATCATGGTGTCCAGCCGAGATCCTACTGGTTGACACTTTCAGTTAAGGAAGCTGTCAGGCTTTATCTAGAAAAAGGCTTTTCAGTCCTTGTTAGCCCAGGGGTCTCCTTTTGCAGCAGTCATGTGGGCTTTAGTTATAAGCAAAAGTAGGGATGTGTGAGGAGTTTCTTTGGCCCTTTTGAGTAGGATTTTCTGCTGGCCTCAAGAGATCTTTGACTAATCATTCGATGACTCAAGAGGCGGGATTTTGTCCCGACTGTTTCCAGATGAGAAAGAACAACTGTTTCCCTGACTAGGTACAGTATATGTAGTGGGGAGAATGTTATCACAAACTCATGAACCCAACAGACACAATCTTTTTAAGGAGGCAGAGTCTGAAGCCTGAGGAAAGCTGTACACATATCTTGGGTACGTTCACATGTACAGTTCAGTCAAACTACAGTTATGGCTTGTTTGGAAATTTCTGTTGAGGTAGTCAAAATGCTTCTTAGAGGCAAGACAATAGGTACTAATGAGATTCAGTCTGAGGTGCTGAAGGCTCCAGTTTACACACCTTTCTAGACTTTCCTGGAGATCACCAGCACTTCTAAGGACATGAAATATCATGGTGTTGTTCCCAGATGGTGAAATATGGTGGATTTGCTCATCCTTCCTTGAAAAGTTTAATGAACAGTTCTCGAAAAAAAGGCACTGATTGATTGGCCGTGTTCCTGGACAGGATTTCAAAGTGTTTTGCACAAGTTAGGATAAAACAGAGCACAAAATTACAGGTTATGGCACTCCTCAGGGAATAATTTTTGGCCACATCTTTTTTCTTATTTACTTGATCCTCACAGCATGCAAAATACTAACTTTAAAGAACTCTATCACTATATGACCACCATGCCATGGGTTCCAATCTGAACTCAGCATTTTTTAATGTCACGCCCAACTCTGTCTTCCTAATGATCCCTGTCTATGATAAGCTGACCCGCTGAATAAAGGCAAAATGTGTCAAAAAAAAAAAGAATAGAAAAGCCTACAAACCTTAAATTGCATATCTGAGAACTTTTTAGAGCTGAATAACATCAAATCTGAGGTGATCCTCTCCCCCATTTTTAATTCTGGCTGTAATTGTCTTGATCCATTAGCCCCCACTTATGCCACCTGCAGAAACCTTGGTCTGGTATACTCAGTTTTCTTGTTAGGGATTTTTTTTTTATTGTTGTCAACTGAGTGCTGAATTGAAAAGGAATTCCAAACAATCAACAAATACTGAACACTTTTGTTTTTCTACCATCTGGCTGATTTCTTGGAAATGGATAATTTTATGCCATAGACCTGCCCATAGATCAGGACCTTCCTCATCATTAAAACAACTCTCTAGCCTTATCTACAAGCACAGTAGAGGGCAGCATTAACCCACTGTTTACATTCATTTTCTTTCTACTTGAAAGTGCAAGTGATAAATGTTTATCTATTTATTCTGAGTAAGAAATGAATGCAAGTGGCTAGCTTCTTGACATTCATAAAGACATTAAAAGTACCTTCATTCTTGTACTGAAATACTTACCTGTCAAGGCTTTTTGACACAGATTCTATGCAAATAACAATTTAACAAAAAACAAGGACTACGGCCTAATTCTGTATATATTGTTCACTAATTCACAGTTTACAAAGAATAGGGAAGTGAGGCTCTTGTAAGTATAAGTAAGTAAGCAAAATATATTTTGATGTTAATGTGCCTTTGACGTGACAAACTTTTCTTCCTTGACACTGTTGAGTTGCTGCTTACATACCCATATTGTTTAGGAAATCTAAGTATAACATTGAAATATAAATGTTGTAGCGACTGCTTTCCTTCAACAAAAAGGCCACTGGGGTTTAGATTTGCTTGCATCCAGGACTCGTTCAATTATAAGTCCAGTTTGAGTGTTAAAAAAGTGGTTTATTGTTCAAAAAAGGAAAGAAAACATGTTGATCCAGTCCAAAAACTTCTGCCTTTGAATGAAAAAGTGATACAATGAAATGAGGTTAAAATAGGATGAGTGAAACGGTGAAAAACAGTCAACAGAAAATTATCACAGCTTACCAAAACCCTTGTCTGACTACACCGGTGAGATTTAAATAACCCACCAAACATCATCCCAAACCCACTCCCCTCAGTGACGTACCTAAAAATCATATTCTTAACAAATATATTTTGGCTCTTACAAATGTAGATATTGAAATTTTTGATTTATCATGATGTAACATTAGTTTCTTTGAGAAAGTTGTTTGATCAGTTTATTTTGGAGTAACACAAAAGACTCCATGCTATTTTTTATTCACATAGGCCATCTTTGTCAGGCACTAGCACACTCAATGACATGCAAACAGAAAAGACCACACAGAGTAAAGACCACGGTGAAATAAAGCTATCATGTTAGCATTTTATTGGTACTGGAAATCCTCATAATTAGACAAACAGAAAAAAAAAAAAACTTAATCAACAGAAGACAGTATCTGACAATAAATAAGGATAGATCTTTTCATTTGTAGCTTTGAACATAAAACACTATAAAGGACCTGTGCACAAGCATCTATAAACAGAAGTGCATTCATCTTTTGGGGTAATGCTGTTATTTGCTGAGCTTCGCATCAGCTGCAGAAACATTTCTTAACTGTCAGTTTGTGGAGGTTCGCACAACAGTGACTTTATTGGACATTAATCCAGGTCACCCATAGCAGCAGGGTTCACGAACACAAACTATAAGAAGTTTTCTTTTGAGGCAGATAATAACACATCTGATATAATTGCACTTTGCATCCGGTAAGAAAAGAAAAAAGCGCTTAGAATTAGCTTAATCGAAATTAACCTTTAGTTACGAGAACACTTTCATCGGATTGTCTTACGTTGAGCTTCAGTTGCCTTGTAGGCACTTAAACTGGGTGTTTGTTTACACCACTTATTAAATGTTTCTGCATACTGCAGTAATATTCTTTATATGATATAGCTACTTTACAGTGTTGTATTTACACTCTATAGATTAATCTCTGGCATCCATAAAAATATCTAAACAAACTACTTATTAGTTTTCTTAACACGTGATGTGACACTCCTAACTTTACCGCATCCTGGTGCTGTGCACATGTCAGTGTCTGGTGGGCTGGGCTTTTTTTGGAGATCTGATATGAAAATGATTTAACATGCAGTAGATGGAAGAACTGAGGACATGATAGCACTTCTGTCATGAAAGATCTAAGCAAAGCATTAGCTTGTACATGATAACACAAAACTTCAAGCATTTTCCTATGAGTACATGATGGTAAAGAAAACATGACAGTACATCTGAATATATAAAGTAGAACACAATACACTTGGCACTGTAAGTGCTTGTAAAAAAAATGACTCCTAGCCCTCCTACACGTGGTAAAAATGTAGAAAAAACAATAGTGGATTTGAACAAATCAGCAAAAAAGGCTTCATCCATTTTCTTTCAATTCTCAATCATTCTGTAGTTTCAACCCAGCCACTCTTAAATCACAATTAAGACAGAACGATTTCAAGTGAGCCCAGCAGTGTGTGTATATTAATCTCTTTACTGCAGGAGTTTTCTACAGAGTAGAGATTTTCAGCACTAAGGAATGCACAGTAGGAAATATCTGTCAACACTTTGGCATCCCGATGATCCACATAAGTATAAATCCCCTGATCTGAGAGATTACCCTTAATCTTCTCAGCTCCAGTATCCCCTTCTTCTTAACCCTGGGAACCCTCCCTCCAAGTTTAATACAGTACCCTAATTAACCGTAATGATGATGTAAATCTGAAGTCCCTTATGTTATCAGATGATTGGCTGGGTTCAGGACCCCCCTGATGAGTGGCTGCAGATCCTTGCAGAGTGAGGTTTTCCTGAGTGAGTGTGGTTCTTTTGGAATATTAGCACCTTGGCAGGAAACTGCAGAGAATCACTCGCCGGATTTGAGTGGCATCCCAACCACTCTTCTTTTCGCCTGATAGAAATCTGTCAGGATAAAGAAAATGAGGTTTAGCTTTAACAGATTTGTGTTCAATTAGAGTTTTGTTTTTTGACACTTTGGATGTCTCTGTGTACCTGTAATGTTTGTCTGCTTCCTCTTCAGCCCTGTGTTCCTTCGTCTCTCGGGCGTTTTCTCAAGTTTCTCCAGGTTGTAAGAAGTACATCTCTCCGGTGTTCTGGGGATGTTCTCTTTTCTACTCTGCCGTGATCCCATCTTTCCCTCTTTGGGTGAAACGGCTGCCCTCGCTGCCTTCTGACCTCCTGCCTGTCCTATATCGGGACAGGACCTGTATAGTAGTGGCACTTTGGTTCCTGGGACTCCCTCCCACTGGAAATCACTGCTTTCCAAAGGCTTATCTGAGAAAAAGTCAAAGCCCCATCGCTGCGAGGCCTCCTCCAGGTCTTTCTGGAGGGCAGCCTGGTATTCTACCTTCAGCTGCTCTCGATCTACTGGGCCAAACAGCACCCGGCGTGCAGGGCCATTCCCCAGGGAGCTCAAGATCCGCTTGCTCAAAGCCATGACTCGACACTGCAGGAAACAGAGAAAAGACACAAATTAGTTCCATGAGCTGCTGCAGCGCCATATGACCATTGATCAATTGAGAAGAGTGTGTTTGCTGGCTCCACTTAGCCCATCAATGCAAGTGACAGCTTTTAAACTCATTTCAATTAATTTGACAATTTGCAAAAACTATTAATTATCTAAATAGCAGCAGATGAGTTTCAGTTTGTTTACATTTAACAACATTTTCACCACAAAAAGCTGCATTGATTTTTTCCAAAGTAACTTAAAACTCAAATTCTTTAAATTAGTTGAATTTCCTTTACCAGCTTTTCAAGTTTAATCCTAAAGCACAATGTCTTGCAACTTTTTTGATTTCAAGTTGCAGCCAAACATGTTTCAAACCAAATAAAAAGCGATAGCCACAGACATAACTGTATAAACCTAAAACAAGAGGAAAAGAGCTAATAACAATCTTAACCCTTCCCAAATTTTAAGTCGTTTTCCTCAATTTTAAAAGCAGAATCGAACCTTACCATGACTCCAATCACTGCTCAACACCCCAGTCTCAGTTACAGAGCATCTCAGGCTGCTGATACTGGAGAGCTCTTTATATGAGAGCAGAGAGCCAGTGACTCACCCAACCCTCCTAGCTGAATCACTGGTACATGCCTGGACATAATCTTGCACAGACATGTGAGGGCAAATCCACAGAAGGGGCTGCAGCCACCCGAAGCTACCACTAGGTGGCGAAAACAGACTCTGTAAGGGCAGCCCTTTCACTCAACTACTGACAGAGCCCATTGTCATGATCAGCTGACAGGGGCTGTATCATTTATGGTGCTCAGAGAGTGAGATGTAAATATATTCTGCAGTTATGTTTTGCACAACAAACAAATGTAAGGATTATATCTATTTGTACCTTAGGAGATTATTTATGCCATTTACATATTCCTATGGGAAATTAAGTAAAACTAGACTGGGTAGAGGAAACAAATCTGTCTCCTAAGATCACATACATGTGTGAACCTCCAGTTGAACAGGCTAACCACTGTGTGACAGAAATTCAAAGCCTATCTGACATTTTAACCAAGCTTTGTCACCAACAGTCAGCCCAAATAAACTGTTCAAAATGTTTATCTATATGCAAATATATTCAAATTCTATATTAAAGTATGGTTATCAGTCTGGCTCTACAAGTATCGTTGCCTCATCTGGCTGGGCTGTGGCTCAGCAGAGGAAAAAACTGCCTCAACAGAGGAATGCGGCTTTCTTTCTGGGAACTCCAGGAAGCTCTTTGACTTCCAGCTGAATAACACAAGGAAACAGAACAAGTAAAAGGAGAGGAACTGCTTTGTAATTAACTCAAGTATTCACCAATTTTCCCTCAGCCTGTCAGGAATTGATACTTTGAGTACTTACAAATAAAATAAAGATATTATTCTAATTGAGAGAGCTCACCCCTTGAAGGCTCAATATTAGTATTTAGTAAAACTATTATAAGGTTTTAAATAATACACTGCTGACATCGTTATAGGTTAAAGGAAATCGAGTAGAAAAAGCATAATTATGAATAACCAGTTTGAATCATGTGTTAACTCTGACCTTTCCCCTCCCACTGTTATATAACTAAGGGGACCAAGTGAGGTGAATTTGGCCAGAAATTTAGTCAAACTGACCATAATTTTTTTTTTAAATCCATCATGTGTAAATTAAACTTTGGTACATATTTGTTTGATAAATAGTAAGACTAAATTTGGGGTCCCATAAAAGCTGTTCTTTCCCCCCACTGACTATCCCTATACTGTACTATAAATGATCCAGCCTCTACCCCTATTCCCTCTCAAAGGATTTTTTTTTGTAGGACGGTAGGGGAAGGTCCCGCCTCCTTCGCCTCTGATTGGCTAGAAAAGCTGGAAACGTCATCGCACGCTCAAGCCAAGCGCGGGCTGTCGGCTCTGTACTTCCAACAGAACATTACAGAACATAATCGCACTTCTGAATCGTCTAATTCTAACCCTCACTCTAACCCTGACCCGACAGACGACGACGTTTCACAGCTATAAGCAATAGCCAATCGAAGCTCAGCACTTCTAGCCAATCAGAGGCGAAGAAGGGTGGGACCTTCCCCTACCATCCTACAAAAAAATATCGCTTCCACCAGGATATGACGTCGCAGGGATATCGGGGCGGGGCGGGGATCGGAGGGAAGATTGATTCAAGCCTATGGCGGGAGAGCGACTCATGCATGTGCGGCGGAGGCACCGGCTCGAACCCGGCGGAGGAGGGCACAGAGACCCTGCCCAGTTTACTCCAGAGCTCCACGTGAGGCTGGAGCTCGTGTCCACTGGTGACAGTGGGCTGTCACTGGAGCTTCACCGGCCTCCCTCACCATCCCGATACACAATAACACACGAATGACTCAAAATTAATCGCTTGTCTGTGACTTTGAGACTGTCAGTCGAAGTTAAGGAAGAAAGTGACACCTTAATAAGGCGAGATCGATACTGAGACACCTTACAAGACTTTTGTTCGCCGAATCAAAAAAAGGTATGAAATAAAAAAAAGGTATAAAATTAACTCATTGTATATATAAACCAGTCATTGGAGTAAACATCTAAAATAGTTTTGATAAGCTATGTAAAGCACACCTCTATCGCAGAGGTTGTTTGTTAACTAATGCCCCACAAAATGAACCATATGAATAACTTTCCGTACTTGTATAAAGTTGTTTTACTTACATTTCAAGTCGTCTGCAGTTCAGTCCAGTTAAGTTCCTGTGTCAAACTTGTTGAATTAGACAGCTCCACTTATCTGCTGTTTCGAGACTTTTCCAGTTGACTTTTCTTTAACCAGAAGCCAATGATATTGAGACTAACCTCTTAGCGACTAATTCAGAAGTCGAACACGAAGGCTTTTTAGCCCTATACGTTGACGTATAATTTCTCTCCCAAGTATTCTCACTTAAGGACAGCGGCGAAACCTTTATAAACCCCTGGTGGGAGGGTTCCCTCCTCACCCGTGCAGGGGCGGGATCTGTCGGCTCACACACGTGGATTTAGCCCGATAAACACACGAGCACACGTGAAAAGTTGGCTCTGTTTTCGGGAGGAAATTCCAACACAGCAGCAGCAGCTAACTCTCAGCCCCTCAGTGCGCATGTCAGAGCGATGAATGAGCGCTCAGGATCCAGGACATTTTTTTTAATTTCTCTTTAACAAAAAGGACGGTGCCGATTATGGAGGACGAAAAGAGACAGAATGAAATGTATAAATACATATTTAAATAAATACTTATTAAAATACCATTTCATTCAATGTAAAAAAAAAAAAAACATATATAAGTATTTAAGTTTAAGTAAAAGTATTTTACAATTTACTTAATCATTTCATGGATCTGTGTTGCAGTGCTTCATGAATTCATTTTATCTGTCAAACTCACCCGTCAAGGTGGGTAGGCGGGACTAATAAAGGTCCTTACACACTGGGAGCATGTTTTTTTTTTGTGCGATTATTTCGGACGTTAATATTTTTTTCAAGCCCGTATCCTGTCAACACAAGTGTTCACATCTGTGACGTTTTCCCGTTCTGCGATATTGAGGCATTTATTTTTTCATATCACGGTCGAATTTTCTTAAGTTTCGCATACTGTGTGTCCACTTCTGACCAATTATATTTTGTGTTGTTGGAGAACAGAATGCTTTTTGATTAAAAAACACAAATATTACAAAGATAACGACCTGAAGGACAACTTGTGGAGAGTCACAGCGTTGGATTCCTCAAACGACAACGCATCAACAGTTTGCTAAACGTCTTTGTATTAACTTTCATCTGTGCTTAGTAACTTGAGCTCATAAGCTAACCTGTTCAGATACAACATACCATATGTATTTTCACTGTCTCAAACTCAATCACAGCGTTGTTGTCACAGCACTATTAGGTCTCCATTGTTACCTTACGTTTATGGATTGTAGTTTAATGTGCTTATCTGGTACTGGCCCCGACTCAGTACATGCTATCATGACAGACAGCCATCTCAACACTAGTGTCTAATCAGAACTGAAAACAGTCAGTCTGCTGTTGTGTCAGTCTTCTCACTTCCACCGGGACGCGTCTTTTTTCCCCCCCGGAAAGTCGCAAAATTGCATCGCGCTTGATGTGTGTAGTCATTTCGCGTCGTATATTTGCGTTATTCCTGGTGTGTAAGGACCCTAACACTGATCTAGCCTGATCATAGACTGCAAATAGAATGGACACTGTCTGCCTCCTCACTGGGTAAAGCCACCGCAAGAACAGCACCCTCTGGTGACAAGCTGCAAATTTAGAAATTTATTACACAGAATATAAATGGTTCTCCCCCCTGGTTGCGATGTTGACATGTAGTTATTGTAAGACTGGTTTGTGCTCAAGTCCTCTTTTTTCTGTGCAGCTCCGTTTTTAAAAGTTATTAGGGGGTTCATGTTTTCTATGATTGACACTTGATACAGCCTATGGGTGACAAAGATTGCGTAGCTCACCCGGGGGATATGCTGCTCGAGCAGAGCATGATCAGAATGACACTCAACGACTCTCCTGCCAAATGCGTACGACGCTACTGCGCAATGTTGGTTTCCGGAAGTGGAGAAAAAAAATGCGGAATTGCCGAGAGCTTTTCGGCTTCAAATCCGTATACTGGCGGAAGGCGGAACCAAGTTGTCCGTAGTATATACAGTCTATGAGCGTGATCCATTTGTCCATTAGTCTGAAGCCTGAAGTCTTTCAAAATCTAGCATCTACAGAGGAAATGCTCCAACTTTCTGAGGAATTGGTTATTTGTGTTTTAGACCTTTCAGAGTGTTCATAAAGTAATGTGTTGAATTTAGAGCTAGATTTTTTGTAATTAACTTTGATTTATTTTTTCCACGGCCAACAAGGATTGATGTCTGTGAGATCTGGTACTTTTCACGCAACATTTGGGAATATATCCAGGACATTGAGACCTTGTTCTGTGTGCTAGTAACATGCCTGCTATGAGTCTCGTAGTTGTCACACTCAAAAGTCTGCCCAGTCTACTCATGATGCTGTTGTTGTTGTACCCTTTTCTCATCATGTAAACAAAGGACCGAACTGTAGACTGCAGTGTATATAGGCCCAAATGATCTGACACATACTGAGTCCTTTGTTCAGCAGGAAGCTATCAAGGCAAATGAGAAACACACTCTGCTTTGAACAGTTCAGAGGTGTTCATCTATATTCAGTTATGGTATGAACAGAGGATAATAAAGTTCAAACAAAGAGGAAGGATATGGAAAGAGTTTGTTACTCAGCCGCAGCTGTGTGAGCACACAAAACGGCTGTTAGATTTTTCAGTCGAGTGGTCTCTTCATGATCTTTGATTCTGAGGGCATTTACAGGTTTTAGAGGATCTGCAAGCCATCTGTCCATCCATCCTTGACTTCTTTAATACCTCATTCATGTGTGCTTCAGCAATTTTAGACATGTTCTCTACATCTAATGGTAAAATTTTTATCTTACAACCAATTAAATGTATACATTAACATGGCACTTTAGTTTACTTGATTTTAAGTAACACAGAGTCTTCAAGGGAGTTCTTCTCTATGCCACTTTATCAGGTAACACTATGGTTACATAACACATACATGTAAAGATAACACTCAACTTTTTACACTTAGAGGTCAGGAGGGGTTACCTGACTTAATAAACCAAGAACAGGTCATTCTGATATGACATAAGCAGCCCCACATGAATGTGTTCAAAAGTACTGTAAATATTTGAAAATTGATTTAATTTTGATGATCCTAGAAGGTAGACGAGGTAAGAGATATTAGCAGGCATCACAGGGTTGCAGCAAACATGATTTCTGTTCAAAGAGGAGTTCAAAATAAATTTTTAGCTCTCTCCGAAGTCCCAAAAGCTAAGCTATCCTGTTTGCTGATCCCTTCAACTACAGTATATCAGAGTACATAATGTGAGTAGCATTATGTATCGAATCCCCTATAGATGTGCAACCATACAGTTTATTCACAGATTTATACATGTAATTTGTTTGTTTTCTGTGATGTATTTTGTTATAAAGATACCAACATTAGTTTTTCTGAGGGTAATAAAGCTGGTTGTCCTACAACAATGGATTATGGCATCCAATTATTTAAATCTGAATCTGAATTTCCCTCTAGGATTAATAAAGTATTTATCTATCTATCTATCTATCTATCTATCTATCTATCTATCTATCTATCTAATAAAACAAAGCTTTTTTCACTAATAAGGGAGACTATTTTTCTGCAATATAGAAACCATGTCTATTAAATGTCAACTGAATTCATGTCTGCTCAGGGGATCAACAGAAACCGTTCATCTCCATCTACTGGCCCAATATCAATTATTATTGATTTATTTTTTTCAAGTAATACATGGCGAGGGGCATAAGGATACTAGAAAAATATGAAATGTGCAAAAGCTCACTGTGGGGTCCTGATAATTTTACAGAACCCAAAGATACTCACAGTTCAATATTTTACATGCGAGTCAAAGAAGCAGTTTTAAAAGTTGCTGGCTAGTTTATTTCTACTCGAACTGACTCAGATCTTTAACTATCACAGAGTCGACCATGGCTATATTTAGCGCCAACAGGCCCCCGTGATTCTCAGGCTAATCGTTTATCTTTTGCTCCGTGGGCGAAAGTCACAGGCTGAACTGCGTGTTACACAACAGTGGGTGGAATCCACTTAGAAAACCGAGTGGATTCGCGCGAGTTCATTTCGTGTGAGACTCGTCTCCGTGGATACCATGAGTCATCGCCTCTGTGACGTCATACGCGCTCGAGTAACACGTGGAAAAGCGCGCGCAGATTTGAGTAACTCTGCCTATATTATGCCGGTTCACGTGGACTGTCTGCGTGAACTGAGAGCCGTGGGCTTGGCAGGGGTGTGACCAAGAAACACAATTGGATCGTGGGATTCAGTGACAAATTCACAAACCATAAATACTCGAGTAAAGGTTATGGTCCTTTAGCCCTTAATTGGCCTTTCACTACGTACAGATGGCCATTTGATCTGCTGCACAATAACACCGTTATTTTACTGTCTTTACCCTTACTTGCACCAGTGAAATGTTTAACCGTAAGTCCACCACATTGCATAACAAGTTCACACAGAAATGGAGGGAAATTTGTGGGGCAAACCGGGCCTTGAACTTGCCAGGTGACATTTTATGGGACCTTTTAACTTTAAGATGTCTCTGTTACATGTAGGTAGGGTAGTGAGGGAAAGTTAAATGAATTGCTTCACTGTGCGTTGGTTTAACATTCAGATCATACAAACATACAACTATCCGCACCCTTAAATGTATATACAGTGTGGATACAATAATGTTAAGACAGTTCAAAAGTAAAAGACCTGCCTTCACAAAAGGTATTAACACCAACATACATTTGGTGTTAGACAGCTTGAGTGCAGTTGTGCTTCTATAACCACAAATTGATGTCTTCATTGTGGACAGACAGCTGAAGAAAGTTTTTCCATCTCTGACTCCTTAAGAGGAGCCGTCAAAGCTCAAGAGTGCTCTCTTGTGGAAATATGTACATCAGAAACACATTCCTTTTTCAACCAGTATTTTTAATCAAGACCATTTCACAGAGTATCAAACAAAAGAAAGAAAAAAAATAAATGAGAGAAAAACTTCAAAGACAAAGTTTAGATCTGGGTTTACTACACCTTCTTTTAACACAATGCTTAAGTTCTGCATCTTGAACTACAGTGTGTATAAATCACGACCAAACAATTACACACTGACAGAAACCTTCATTATGAAGTAAGAAAGTTGCACGTTGAAAAGATGTTGGATTTACAGATAATCAGTGGGTGGGACATTAAGTACAAATCATCCCAATCCTTCCTTAAAAAAAAACCAAACAAAAACCTGGCGTTTACACAATGGAAAAAAGGAGGATCTACTCACACTAAGTCGAACTACACATTACATTCATTGACAAAAAAAAAAAAACTCTTAAGAGATTAACTGGTGAACTGGAATGCTGGGTGGCACAAATGTTTCAGGACTGACGAGATGGACGTGACTACACACCTGTACACACCCACTCAATGTATCTGAAAGTTCCTGTCACAAAAGAGGGGGAGGGACACTAAAATGTTTGAGTGATTAAAAAAATGAACACAAATTGACCGCGTTGGCCACGGTTAAATTTATCACATGAATCGGTCACTCTTGAAGAACCGCTCATCTTCAGCTCCCTTTATGCCTTGTGGACATTCTATTTTCTGTCAGCTGACCTGGAGCGGCTGGGAAGAAGAACAACAAGAGTTGTGGCTGTAAGAAACAAGTCAACTCTCAACTGATACTTAAGTTCAACAACAAACATATAAACCTGTATCTACATTTCTTTATCAGAGCATTAACATCTCATAGAACAGCCTTCTGACAATGATCCACTACAAAATATCACAGTGGGCAATCATGTGCCAGGGAGGGCTGAGAGGCTTCAGGTTTTCTTTCCAACCCAAAACTCCACCAGGTGATTTCACTGATTAGTCCCTGCTCTCTGCTTGGAGGTAAGGTAACCAGTGAAATCACCTGGAGGAGTTTTGGGTTGGAAAGAAAACCCGCAGCCTCTCGGCCCTCCATGGCACATGATTGCCCACCCCTGAAATATCAGTTACAATGCACAACCGAAATGAGCTCAAGATAGATGAAAGACAGAATACCTCCTTGACCGTGAGAAAGACCTTGATGGTTTATGGTTCCTGTCCCGAGACAGGGACCTCTCCCTCCTTCTGTCTCTGGAAAAAGACCTGCAAAGACCAACCATCCCTTTAAATCAACATTTTTAATTTCTCCACACAGCTTTACCATCTTTGCTTGTTTTGGACTATCATTGATAAACTGTTTTCTCTGTTCTCAAGCTTAATCCCTCCTCCTTTGCTTTGTAATAATGATCTGAACAGTGATTTATGTAGGTATGTATGATGCGTCGTTAATGTATGTCATGTTCTGCAGAGTTGAGCTTCTGTTGTACATACCTGCTTCGGCTGCGGCTGAAGCTCCTCCTGCGTGGAGATCTGCACAGGGAAAATACAAAAGAGTTAAGACCAGAAAACTGACACTCCGAACAGCTCCACTGTTCTTATTTTGTTCTTATATGGGCCTCAGTCAACTCATCCCCTTTTCTATCTCTGCAAATTCAAATTTTTTTTTTTCCAGGAACACAATCATCCCAATCAAAGAAACCTCACTCTTAGTGGAAGGGGAGCATAAAGATGGAAGGTGTTCGCACCTGTCCCATGGTGTTATGAGCCTCTCTAGATAATTTATCACTGTGAGAAATGTTGTCTATGACTCAAGAATTTTCAAGGTGTGTGTGTGTGTGCAGCTCAAGACTGAAAAAATTACGGAAAAATGCTCATGAGCAAACTTTGCCTCCTATAACAAGAATAAATGTTGCACCTTTAACTGGCCAATGTGATGAAAAGAAGAGACACAGGGGCCACCATCTGTATGACACGTGTCTACTACACATAAAGTGGACACATGATAAGAAATACGAAACTGGAACAATGTACTGATCATTGGGAATAAATCTTAAAATCAACCAAACTTATATCTGCTGTAACCAACCATACAGCAGAAAAATAATAACATTGTGAAAAATAAAAATTTTGATACTCAGTGGGGAGTTGAGGAGATATATTTGTGTGACTTATTTTGCTCTGAGCCCCAAAAAAAAGCATGTTTGTTTATAATTGATATCTTTGGAAGTGTGACGTTTCAGAAAAAGAAATAGAAAAAGAATAACCTTTTGAAACCAGCTGACTCTTCACTTTCACAACTGTAATCAGCAGTGTACTGAATGAAGCAGGAAAACTTACTAGTATTTTTGGTTTTCAACAAGCTAGATATGACGAAAGGGAGGCAGACTGTCGGCCGGGTAGGAAGATTTGGCTGAATAGGACTGGCCAGATGCTGCAAGGTGATTAGGTGGCAGGCAGATGGGGGCTGGCTGTGGCTTTTTTTCCTGCTTTAATTGGTAAGCCGAAGGCTGCTGTTGGTAGGTTGTAGACATTTGAGTACGTAATACGCTGATTGGTCGGGAATGAGAGGTGGGCCGCTGCCGTTTGGGTTTAGGCTGAAGGAGGAGGAGGTTGAGTAGGGCATGCTGAGGAACCAATGGGTTGGTGCAACCTGACGACTGGCCATGCCTGGGTCATGTGACAGCACCAGCCAAGCTGATTGGGGCACGATGGTCAGCAGTCACATGATGCTGAAAGAGGACTAGTTGATTGACTCAGAGGGTGGTGAGAAGAGGCATGGTGGTGGCTCTGCAACGGGTTTCATTCTTATTAATATAGATGAAAAATAAAAAGCATCCTCAAACAAAAAGAAAAATGCATTACATTGGCACTTGTTTCCCCCCAAAAGCGAGAACAGTTCTATTTTCCGACACAGGAGTTGCCCTGTATCATAGACTTACTTTTTTGTTTTCAAGCAGTTAGAAATTTGAAACTTTCAACGTGCAAAAATTGTTCCCCTCAGATGAATTATTAAAGCCTTGGAAAAAGTTTGAGTCCTGCAGGCCAGATCTCAATAAGTAAATTTAAGTGCTAAAGCTACACTAAAAAGAATATAGAAGTTAAACATTTAGATTTTGGGGTGTGAATCTATTAAGCTACATGTATCAAGTAAGTTTTTTTAAAATGAAGATGAATTGGAAGCCTTAGACATAGCAACAACCACAGATGTATAATCAGCAGAAAAGACTACAACAACTATACCAAGACAGGAAAAATACAGGCAATTCTCAGGAAATAAGTCTGTGGGTTGGAGCAAGAGTATTGATGCACGAGATAAATATATTTTCGTTTATGCTGGCCACTGCCAAACAACATTGGTCACCTTCTTCTGGGTGGTGGGCTGCGACGCCTGTAGTCATCTCGGTCTCGTGGACGCCTGCTCCATGAAGGGGGAGCACCACGGGCTCGGCTGCGCTTCTCGCCATTTGACAGCTCTACTCTAACCCGGCAACCACACAAATTCCTGCGAAATGAAAAAGGAAAAACCAACATTATTACTGTAACACGTCAACAAAAACTAAAAACATGAAGCTCTGTAAAGCTAGAATTTAATGTATTACACTGGTTAAGTGTGCTTAATATTGTGACAAGTAAATGTAGGTTGTAGCTTACCTTCCATCCAGCTCACGCACTGCATCAGTCGCATCTCTGGGATCCTCAAACTCCACAAAGGCGAAGCCTGGAGGGTTTCTGGCCACCCAAACACTACGCAGAGGACCATAGTAACCGAAAGACCTCTCTAATTCTGTCTTGTTGCCATTGTTTCCCAAATTTCCAACATAGACTTTACAGTCAAGGGGACAGTCCCGATGCATGACTGAATCTGAAAATAAAGAAAGAGGATTAATCGTTACTGCCGATTTGAATGGGCAGGGTAACATTATCATTACCCTCATAACGGTTAGTTTTTCTACATCATGTTTCAGATAATGTTAAAACTGGGTGCTCTATTTAATATTACAATTACAAAAATATCACTTGCTAACCTTATCTTCGACACTATTGTAAAATGTCCCTGTGAACGGGAAACAGCGTGGCCTAAATGACTTGCAGCCGGACGTTTTGCTAGCTTTACCTTACTATGATGTTATCGGAGGCTTTTTAACACCTCAATGTGGCATGGTCACTCAAATTACACATAAGCGTCCGTCTAACATAATACTTTTGGCAATTCTTCATGTAAAATTCGTCTGCCACAACACAATAACTCGACGCCTTGTTGCTACTTCACGGTAGCTAAAATGGCTGACGCCCGTCGAGGCCTAGTGAACTGCAGCAGCGTTTTAGTAGTAGTTGGAGCGAAAGTCAAACAAAGCACAAAATTTATGCAGCGATAAGATCATTTTATACAACAGTGGCAAAAAAACAGTTTAACCCGACAACATATTAACACCATGTTTCTAACTCTACCTTTTTGAATGAAATTCACAGCTCGGGCTAACCGCGCGCTCCTCTTGCTCGATTCTTCTTCTCGGTCGGTCGTCGATGGAAAATGGCGTGACGACAGAACAGACTGAGCTCGTCAGCACGGTAACCAGGTTGTTGCTCCCGGGAGGGCGGGGTTACTCACTTTGTGAACATACCAACCCCATCTCACGCTATAGTCATCTATTTATACTTCCTTAGCGCATCACCGCCATTGCAAAGGCATCGTATTATCTTGTTGATTAAAATAATTTCTGAATAACTCTACTGTATTTTTGACACCTCATATGGAAGTCTACCTGGCTCAGCTGGTAATACTCAGCGAACTCACACTTACAGCTGCGTTCTTCTGCAGTGCCATATTTGGCCATAGTAAAACCATCCGTTTATTTTGGCGCTGTTTCCCAAAATTTGTCTTGAGTTTGCAAGGGTAGGAATTAAAATATGCACAACCGCAAACTGTCTGCGGTTGTGCATATTGTACTCTAATGCCTAGATTGTACTCTAATGCCTATTGGCATTTCAGGGCATTTCATCGGATTGTTGACCTTGGTTAACATGCACATGACAAATAAACAAATCTTGAATATTAATTTATGATAACTCTGTATTTTTGCTTAAGACATCTAAAAGCACAAACGAATTGTTTACAAATTTGGTTAAGCTGTTTTATAGTGTTTAGAGTATAAATCTATGGGGTCAGACTCTAAACCAAACTTAATTTGAATGGGCTTAGATTTACTTTACTTTAAGATAGCTTCAACCCTGTGAATGCATTAAAGATATAGGCCTAATGCATGCACAAGGTTATCTGTCATAATAATTGACATCTTTATTTAAACTAGAGCTAAGATTAAACATCTTATGTACCCATGCTGTCTTTTTTAATGACCACACATAGCAGTAAATACAACACCAACTTGTCTTTAGTCATGCTTTGAATGGTGGCAACTTGCAATGTGGGAGGTTATAGGCAATGGCACAGCAGATTTAAGGGGGTGCTACTTGAGGACACTTAACTAAGGATGATCTGTTTGTCTTCTACTCATCCTATCAGAGTCTTAATGTCACTTGCCTGCTTGCAAGGGTCACTGTGATTGTTGTTTCTTTTGAGCTCCAGGGAATTTCACTGTGTTTGTCTGGTTGCTGCCTGCACCATTTGTACAAAGTACACTTTACAAACTCAAATGCACCCTGGTAATTTACAATACTTATGACATATCAGACTAGGCAGTAAGGTGTAAATGTAAATAAGCGATATCATTTGCGCAGGAGTTACAGCTTCTAACAAATCTAACAATGAATTGCTGCTGTTGAATCTACTGCGGCTACTTATAGATGTCAGACACACTTGTGTCTTGTGGTGTATTTTTTGGAAAACAGCAAAAAATTGATCCTTTTCCTTGTCACATTGTATCATAACGGGTAATGTAAGAGAAAACAGTTATAATGTTTACTTTACTACCTCAACTCAGAACGAGAGAGCATACGTGCCATTGAAGGATTCCAACAAGATCAGTGTTCCGTTTATAAAAGCTGGGAACTACTAATGTCCTTAGGTCCCATAAACTGTTTTTGGTGCAAGGGTTCCATTTAATAAGTCATCGAATTCATGTAACGAAATGTATGGGTCAATGGACTGGTCTCCAAGGATGGAAGAAAGCAGGTATCATAAGACAGCTGCAAGATGTTTTCAAAAATAAAAATAATTGTAGACACACACGCATTCAGGTGCATACACTTCCTAAAACATCCCAAAACATCATACTTTGCAAAGTATTAGTGACTTTACTGTGGTGGCAGAGAACCGCCACTGCTGCAAATAAAAAAAAAGCAAAAAAAAAAAAAAAGTCACAACAGAAGTTACCGATGCAAAAAAAGCTGGCCATGGACAAAAAAAAAAGGTTACTTACTGCAAACATAAAAGGATGAAAATAAAAAGAGCCACAATGGAATTGAGCTGCCTGGGACCAATAATGATAATGCACCAGTGTTTTGGCCTGAGTCGATATGAAAATGAAATGGAGGATGCCGGTGTAGTGTCAGCTTCGGTTTACCTTCATATCAACTCAGGCGCTACATGGCCTAACCAAATGACACATTGAAAAGCACATGAAGCGGAATTAAACAATAACCTTTCAACCTACTTCTTTGCTCATCTTCTGTGCCTGGATCATAAAACACTGGTGCATTATCATTATTGGTCCCCAGAAGTTTACTTCAGCTGTGGCTTTTTTTTTTAATTTGCATCCTTTAATTTTCACAGTAGTTACTTTTTTTTTCTTGCATCGCCACTTTCTTTTTTTTAGCATTGTTAACTGCCTTTAAAAAAAAAAAAAAATCTGCACCTTTTCATTTTTTTATTTGCAGTGGGCTTCGGTTTCTTTTTTTTCCTTGGTAACTCTTTTTTTTTTGCATTCTTTTTTTATTTGCAGCAGTGGCGGTTCTCGGCCACCGTACTTTACAGACGTAGTCCTCTTGGAGTAAGAACGGAAAAAATATCCTGACTTGTTTGTCTCATTTCAAAGCAGACTGATATAGTAATTGTGCTACTATGAGACAAACGTTCAAAGTCGACGAGAACAAGACACGTATACCATTACTGATGAGTACTACAAATGTGTTGTCCCATTTACCCTGAACGCAGCATTTCATAGTGACCCCCCCCCCCCCCCCAAGCCTGTCAGTTACCGCCCACCAAGTAACTCAGCCAGGTGACAGCTGAGTTAGCAGATACTACCCAGCTGAACTCTGCGCACCAGAACAGACAAGAGAACGTCATTTGACAGCCCAAAATACAGTGGAGCACGGTCAGAGAGTTATGAAGTTTCCGCACTAACTGTGTATTTGTGTGTACGCAGCTTAAACGCCTCTCTTCCGCTCGTTCCGTCCAGCTAGCAGCGCGAGGATATCATTAACGTTAAGTGTGACGTTACTACAACCGAGGATCCAACGGCTGCCGCATTTCTTACCTGGTCACGTTAAGTATACACCGTCGACATGTCCGAGCCGACCGGAGAGGCGAAGCTGGAGATGAAACAAGCGAGCAAAGAGGTGAAAGAGAGCGAAAACGTCGCGGAAAAATACTCTGCCATGACCGTGAGCAAGAATAGCGAAATGGGCATGGGAGAGCTGTCCTCTGCGTTCAGTGCCGTGCCCACACACAAGCCAGTGAAGAAGGTAAGAAGGCTGAGCACACTCTGGAACAGCGTGGATGTGTGTATTTAGGGTTCAAAATGCTATAAAAGGTTGTTTGTGTCTCACCAACTTGTACTTTGCTTTGTTATGTGCTTACAGCTACAGGTCGACACTTCCGTTGTTTTGATGGGTGGTTTAATTTCTTAAGTGCTGAAATTCTTAAGAACTGTAACGTAGTTTGCTTTTGGATCGATGAGATTTCACATTTTAATGCTTGTAATAAGGTAAAGTCATAAGAAGCAACTTACACATGATTGACTTTATTAGGTAATTGCAATATTTCGCTCCTTTATCATTTTAAGTGTATATTTAAAGTTAGTTTTGATATAATAAAGTGGTAGTAGATCCTCAACAAAAAGCCACATGTGTCATATTACCATTCAACCAATCAATCAGTCAATCAGTCTTTATTTAAATAGCACTTTTCATACACAACATTTAGCACAAAGTGCTTTACACAGAAAAAGGAATACAAGAAACAAAGAATACCCAAATCTACCCCAACCCAAGATTAAAAGAATACCCAAATCTACTCCAGCCCACCCCCTCATTCCCACCCCACGATCTAAATGCATCAGAAACAGTATTAAAATGCATAAACTTGAAAAGGACTTGATTTCGTGGAAACAGGAATGTGCGCACTGAGGAAATGTCTTTTTAAAACTCAAGATAAGGAAACACTGGAGGTTTAGGTTGAAATCTAAAAACAAAGAAACATAGAATGAAATTTAAGAAATAATAAATAAAAACCACAGTAAAAGATACTAAAATAAGAGCACCAAAATAGCTGAATAAAAGATGACCCTGTCATTAAAACTAGAATAGATAAATGCTAAAACACTTAAACAAAGTTGATTATATGAAATTTAGTTAAAAACAAGAGGAAAAAGGTATGTTTTTAGTTTGCTTTTTAAATCATAAAGATAAGGTGCACTCCTCAGGTCTTCAGGTAAGCTGTTCCATTGTCTACTTCAGTCTTAAACCTCACAGTTGAGTCCCTTTAATCAGAAAAACCTGAACTTTTCTTTTTCATATTCTCTAATGGACTTGTGTTTCACTTGAAGTGCTTGATTTCTCAACCACATCCAGCTCAAGGAAATAGAAATAGTTCCTCCATGCCACTCAAACAAAAGAAGAGGTTCACTGTCACCTTCAAGGAACAAGGAAGAGTTTCACTCCGAGTCTTTGGGGCTTTAGAAAAATATGTTCACTGCTCATTTTATCTAGACAAGTGACTTTAGACAGAATGCAAAGCTTCAACAAGTTATGAGTCCATAAATTATCTGAGTAAAAGCACTTTTTTGTATCGTGTTATACCTTTCTATATGTAATTGCAAGATGAAATAAAGAGCTGGGTGTATGGATTTACTTGCACACTGTCTCTGTGAAATGTAAAATTGAACCCGTCATCTTAACTCTTAACTAGTCAGCCATTTTTCCTCATTGTTGGCTGTTTATGTCACATCCTCATTATTTATGGGGGAACTTAATACTATATCAACAAACAGAGTTTAAGATGTTCTTGTTTTGTGGAAGAGTTTGAATTTCTTTTTTTTTTTTTACTATATCAGCTTTATTTCATTTATCCATTTTGTGTGCTAATTACATGTCAGTGGTCATTGGAGGCGGAGCCAAACTCAGCTGCCACTGGGCAAAAGGCAGGGTCTGCTGGACAGGTTGCCATCATATGACAGGATAACTTACAGACAGACAACCAGACATACTCACAGTTGAGGGCAATTAAGGGTTACCAATTAAACCAGACAAGCATATTTTTAGACCAAGGGAGGAAGCGGGAATTCATGCGTGCATGAAGAGAACATGCAACCCCACACAGAAAGGCCCCAGCTGGGATTCCAACCAGGAACCCTCTTGCTGTGAGGCAACAGTGCTAACAAAAGCACGACTGTACTTTACTGATTTGTGAAGTTTTTGCTATCGAGCTTTTTTATTACAGTGCTAAAACAACAGCAGTTACCATATGGTGCATTACAATATAACTGGAATTTGATCCTGTTGAAATAGTAAGCATAATTCACACATCATTTTAATGTGAATTAGCTGAATTTATATTTAAACTTTAGGACTTCTAGCTTTCCAAACCTGGAGTCCAGAAATTAAAGCCTGATCATGAGCACAGACTGATGTTGTAACTGCTGAGCTCTTCCATGGTGAAGTAGAGTCAGCTAGAATAAATGTGAAATAATTTATGGTGTTTTGTCCCAGGGAAGAGGAGCTACTGAGAACAAGAGCTGACAGATACTTTAATTTTCATGAGGGTTCAAAATAAGCCTTGGTCTCCTTAAGGAGGAGAAGAAGACTTGCTGTGGCCATGCATGAGGTTTAAAGACCTCAGTGATGCAGGATCAAAATTAAGTATGTGACATATGTTAGCTTTTCTTTTAGTGTTATGTTAATTAACCATTATGTCCCATTGTTAATATTATATGGATTATTCAGTGACGTTACAAGCTTACAAATGATTATTCACGAAAATGAGCCCAGGAATCATGCTTGAGTGATGATTTATTGTCGACTTTTGTGTATATTTGTCGTTGACTCCTATAAAATTCAGCAGAGTACACACAATTGGCCAGGACACTTACATCATAAAAAGAGGGGGGGGGGGGCAAAACTTAAAAAAATAAAAATAAAGAAAAAGCCGCAAATAGTTTATGTCTAAGTAGTCATAATACCCAACACAAGACTTCAAAACAAGACCACTATTATTCTATGGGTGACATCACTGTACTCATGATTACTCTGTATACAATACATAGGTCATGGACAGTATCTGTCCATCTTGAGCCCCATCCCACTTGTTGTGTCCAGGAGAAAAATATGTGGCCTTGTCACCTTAATCACAGGAGCACAGCTTCACATTGTTCTTTGTTGCCAAGTTCTTTTCAGTGGTATGTGGAGGATTTTCAGTACCAGGACTAAACCCAGAAACCCGAGACCTACCACCAGAGTGATGAGTGTGTCTCTCATTCAGAGAGAAAGAAAGTGAAGCTGTCATGACAAAGAACTCATTTAACTGTGGACTGCGGGCTGTAACTACATCAAAACAAATCTTTTTGTACTTTAATTTTTATTCAGAATATTTGAATAATTTAGTTCCCCTAAAGCGGAAATATCCAACAAATCTATTAAAGGAAATGTCAAGGAAAACACCTGAGTTGCAGTGGTCTGTTTGTCCAGTTTTCCATTCCTGGTTCCGCTACACAGCATGTGAAAAGATAAAGTTGCAGCACACTTCAGATTTTCCTTGCTATCTGGTTTTGCTTGATGCATAAAGGTTCCTTGTAAACAACAAAATCAGATGAGAGCTGCAAGGGAGATAAGCTAAGCAGGCATACAGCTAGCTGCAGACTCATTAAACAAATTCAATACATGATGTACACAATTGACCTGAATGTGGACGAACTTATAATGGGCAGGCGGACAGTAAAAATAAGCAGAAATCAAGCTGAATGACAGCTTGTTGTGACAGAAAACAATGACAGAAAAAACTAGCATCATTGTTGTCATAGCATGTAAGCAGTTAGGCAGTAATCCATACTAATAGCAGTGAAGATTGATTAATTGTTCAGACGGGCTGTTAATTGTAAAACCACAGCATCCGTATGACATTGCAGCACAGTTTGCAGTGATATTTTTTACCCAAGGAGAATTAGATCAACAGGAAACAGAGGAAATGAAGGGGGTAAGTTTTTTAGTTTTTAGTTGTCGTAAGCTGAGGGGGCTTTCACAATTATTACAGATGCATTAGTAAGACAGGACAATCCCGGAAATGGAAAATGGCTTTGGTGGCTTATTTTTTGAACATCTGTCTCTCTAGGTGCCCATATGTCTGTTTCTCTGTGGCTGGATATCTATTTTGTAAATACAGAAATAAAGGTTTCCATCATTCGGGCAGAATCTTTTCCTCTTGAGGGAACAACTTTCACTTTCTTCATCCATACTCAGTCCAAACTGAAGTCATAGAATTAACATGTCAAACAGGATTGAGATAAAAACAGACTTCCTCCTGTTATTCCGAGTGCACAGTACCTAGCTGGACAGTAGCGTGAGCTTTTAATTTAAGCACAGCTTTGCTTTATGGCTGGGTGTTGTATCCAGTTGAAAAGACTTCAGTTCAGACCGTTTACAAAACTGCTAAATGACAGGGTGTGACATGAGCTTTTTCCTTTTTTTTTAAACAGCAAATCCAGTTTGTAGAGGACAAGCAGGAGTTCAGCAGGTTCCCCACCAAAGCAGGCCGCCGCTCGCTGTCTCGCTCCATCTCTCAGTCATCTACAGACAGCTACAGCTCTGGTAAGAAAGAACGACAGCAAGACATGGATGCGCCAGAGTTAATTTTAACTGCAGCAAGTGTGTGCGTACTGTATAAGTGCAGTAATCAGTATAACATTCGAGGATAAGACAGATGGTGAGTATGGAGCTCTTAGTTCCTTGGATCGTTTATTAATTTTTTGTCGACTCCACGTGCAAACAATTTTATTTCTTTGGCTTTGTTTGCTTTTAGATACCATTTGACCCCGGTTTGATACCTTGCTGCCTTTAGTGGCCTGCGCTTTTTGACTTTGTGTCTTTAACAGCTGCATCCTACACAGACAGCTCTGACGATGAGACCTCCCCCCGGGACAAAACTCAGGTTAACTCCAAAGGCAGCAGTGACTTCTGCGTGAAGAACATCAAACAGGCTGAGTTTGGCAGACGTGAGATTGAGATTGCAGAACAAGGTGGGCTACAGCACAGTAAAAGTCACTTCTCCATTTCACTGAAATGTTGATTTAATAAACCACACGTTATCTCCTGTCAAAAATAAATTTTTTGGGGATTTGACATGTCTTAAAAATATACCACCTTTTGAAAAGTTACCTCTTTTTAAATATCCCTGTGTCATAACACCTGGTGGCCAGATGGACCACTTATCTAGAAAAATAAACAATCTAAAAACACAGTAATCAAGACAAGAAATGTATTGAACAAGTTTTTTTGGAAAATGTATCAATTTAGCTATTTTACTATTCAGTTGCTGCCAAATGGGGCAAAAGTCAAGCTTTGTTAGTCCCCTTGTATCACACTTGCACTGCCTTTCTCACTCATCCTTTTTCGTGTTTTCTTGATTTCAGATATGTCGGCTCTGATCTCACTCAGGAAGAGAGCTCAAAGTGAGAAACCACTGGCGGGGGCCAAGATTGTGGGCTGCACTCACATCACTGCCCAGACTGCAGTAAGTTCTCCAGATGAATGTGTCGTCATCGCCCAAGCAAAAGTTGCAGTGTGGCCTTGCTTTTTAGTCAGGATAAGATTCTTGGTTTGATTCATTCTCATTTTCGCTCCATGTGCTGTGTTCCAAACAGGATCTCTTTATGTCACTTGCTGACTTTTCGGTCACTCAAATCTAAAAAAGCTTCAGAGCTGTCTCTTAAAACACATGGCTTTGTTTTTGTGTGCAACTCATCATAAATCCACAAACAGCCAACATGACTGAGTCCAGTTTATAACAGAGGATAAAACAGTGCTGCAGACAGATCTGGTCGTGTGTAATCTTCAGTCATTAACGAGCAGTCTGTTTGTGACCAGCTTCATTTTATTTGCTCATTTTTACATCAATTTCCTGCTTCCTTCCGTGTGTGTTCAGGTGCTGATTGAGACTCTGGTGGCTCTTGGGGCTCAGTGTCGCTGGACTGCATGTAACATTTACTCCACACAGAATGAAGTGGCTGCTGCTCTATCAGAGACTGGTGAGAAGGAAGAGACCCTTAAATCCAAGTTTATGCACTGCTTATAAAAGATATTTAGTAGATAAGTAAAGTAAATTTAATAATAACAGTTGACCAAATTGCTGTTCAGTCGAGAATCACTAACACCAGATAAGACAATAAAACACAGGCACATCATTCTGAAGTGTAAGGGTTGGCTTTGGTCTTAGCCTTTACTTTGAGACTCCCATGACTGGTCCGTGGGCCTGGAGGATCTTGGTGAAACATGTGCTTATAAAAAGTCAGAGAGATAGGTCGGCGAAAGCCCACTGAAAGACAGAAGTCCTCCTCTTACAGGAAAGTTCTGTTTTTTTTTTTTTAATTAGGTTGTTTGAGATACTCACTAATAGCCACTGTACTATATACAGCAAATAACAGTTGGAGTCATAGCTGGAGTCATGGTTGCAGTCTAAGCTAAGCTAAGCTATGCACTAATGCAGTAGGGCCACTTTAGTTAGCCACTGTTTGATATTCTCAAACAAATATTAAAGTTTTAGTGACTGCTGTGTGGATTTGTCCTTCTGTATTGTATTTTCAGACAGTGTCTAAAGAACCACATCTTTCTCTTATGTTATGTACAGCTTTATTTGCTGCCTACAGTACCACATAACTTGGTTCCCACCATAGACTGTACATAAAATGGACAGAGTCTGCCTCCTCGCTGGTTGAAGCCACTCTGAGAACAGCACCCTCTGTTGACAGGCTGCAGTATAGGTCATAAATCCCCTCTCCGCCAGCAAACCTTATGGGGCTGTAGACAAATTTTAGAAATTTGTTACACAGAACATACATTTTTCTCCCCCCGCTGCTTGTGATGTTGACATGTAGTTATAGTAAGACTGGTTTGTGCTCAAGTCATCTTTTTTTCTGTGAAGCTCAGTTTTTAAAAGTTATTAGGGGGTTCAAGTTTTCTATGATTGACATCTGATACAGCCTATGGGCGTACAGAGATTGCGTCGCTCACCCAGGGGATATGCTGTTTGAGCCGAGCGTCATCACAGCGACTCTCAGCGACTCTCCCGCCGAGTGCGTACAGTGCTACTGCACAATGTTGGTTTCAGGAAGTGGAGAAATAACACGGAATTACTGAGAGCTTTTTGGCTTCAAATCCATATACTGGTGGGAGGCAGAACCAAGTTGTCCATAGTATATACAGTCTATGGTTCCCACCAGAGGTCACCTAATAACCTTGTTACTGAAATCCACATCGATGTATAGACAGGGACTGCTGGTGCAGCTAATAATCTGCGTCTTGATGTTGTTTTCGAATCCACCTCTGTTTCTGTTCCTTAAGTTGGTAGCCTGGCTGTGAACAATAACAACTTAAGGATAAGACATTATGACCAGAAATCTTTTTATCGCCAACTGCTGGCTGCAGTCCCGAAAAGTTTCTCATCACTCCTTGAGGCATGCATAGTTGCCAGATGATAGCTAAAGGGTGATGAGATTGCTATGCTATATAAAGGACTTAATCTAAGATAAGAACTGGGCTGAAAACGGTGGATTGATCACTGAATTTATCCTTCTGTGTAATTTTAAATCACTGGCCATTTCAGTTACAGTGAACTCAAATTCTTTGACTTTTTCACCTTAAATCCCACAACTGCTGGTATAAACTACACTCCAGTTTTGGTGGGTAAAATCCCGCATTAAAATCAGTTTCTATAGTTACGCACAAACTCATTAGTGTGATTTAACAGTATGCTCAATGTTCTCTTTTTTTAAAAGGTGTTCTTTGCCATGTAAGCATATTGTGTGTTTCAAAACAGAGGATTTGTCTGAAATTGTTTAATAAACTCTTTAAAAAATCCACCATACAGAGACAATGGAAAGACATTACATTTGGCATTTAGTGCAGAGACAGTGCTACTTGAGCCTTTATATCTGTGGTTGCTATGAAACTGCTTCAAGTATGTACTAAATTACCACAGTAGGTCTTTCATGATGTGACAAGCTGTGGGGAGTTGTGGGAGATTTAGGAGTTGCTTAGAAGAGATCAGGCATTTTTTCTTTGGGTTGAGTTTGCGTCTTCTGTTTACTGAGATACCTCTGGGCGTGTTTGTTTTATCTGGGAATAAGACATACCGTACATTTTTAATTGTAGTGCTGTCTAGTGTGGGAAAAGTTATACCAATTTGTTTAAACTCCCAGTAATGATATCCATTTCTAAGAAGGCTGCCAAGTTTGGCCTTTCAGTTTTGTGTCCAAAATAATGGCGTTCCATTAAAGTAAAATAGTGTAAAATGATAGCATTCTTCCATGTTTTTCAGGAGTGGCCGTGTTTGCTTGGAAGGGGGAGTCTGAGGATGATTTCTGGTGGTGCATTGACCGTTGCGTCAACACTGAGGGTTGGCAGCCTAACATGGTAAGTGCAAATGAGACTATTCATGACTTCATGAGACTGTTAGACTAATTTTGTGAACAATATAGACACTACAATGGGCAATACAATGTGTCAGTTTACTAACACTGAGACACAAAAGAAGAAGTTTTAATTTGTTCTCCTGTGTTTAAGATTCTTGACGATGGAGGGGACTTGACACACTGGATGTACAAGAAGTACCCTAATGTGTTCAAGAAGATCCGGGGTATTGTGGAGGAGAGCGTCACTGGAGTACACAGGTGATTTATGCTGCATAGATTTACACCTCCAGTTCTCCTGTGGCACCACCCACTCATGAAATGAAAAGCTTGTACATCATTTTCACTCTCTCCTCCCTACAGATTATATCAGTTGTCCAAAGCTGGCAAACTGTGTGTACCTGCCATGAACGTGAACGACTCTGTGACAAAGCAGAAGTTTGACAACCTGTACTGCTGCAGAGAGTCCATCCTGGATGGGTGAGTGAGGATAGGCTTGGTGAAATGGTCTAAAATTTTTCTTATGAAATTGTTTCTATACTCTTTACAGATAATGACTTCCTTTTGTATCATTCTTTATCCATAAAAATAAAGTGTTTTGTTCCAGGTAAGACAGGTAGAAAAATTGACATCCACAGAAAAACAAATAATTATTTAGCAAATGTTGAATTTTTGTTACGTGGGGAAAATTTGCTTCTTTAATTTCACTGTACATATGTCAACCTAAAATTGCTGGATTCTGTATCATTCAGACAGTCTGTGTATGAATGACCATTAATACGCAGACTGGAATTTTTTCACCTTAACGAGTTTTACCAATTTAATGTCTCAAACTCCCTCAGCTTGAAGAGAACTACAGATGTCATGTTTGGAGGCAAACAGGTTGTCGTATGTGGGTATGGCGAGGTGAGAACCTGTTTTTCAAATTAACTTTTTGCGGCTATGTTAACCTAGTAGCTTTGAAAACATTCATAGGGAGTCATTGCATTCACACACAATACATAGACGATGTGCAAGAACATCAGTAGCTGCCATAACAAAATTAGCAGAATTGATTTTAAATAATCAAAGTTTGTACTATGCACTCGGATTGGAAGACTAATTTTCAAAAGCCAAAGATTTCCTGTTGAGATGTTTTATCTGAATGAAAACTGGCATATGTAACTTTGCTGCTCATACAATGATAAAATAAATTCTCATCTTTGCAGGTTGGGAAAGGGTGTTGTGCAGCTCTGAAAGCTCTGGGAGCCATTGTCTATGTTACAGAAATTGATCCCATCTGTGCCCTGCAGGCCTGGTGAGAAAAACCCACACCAGGGAATAACTCCACTCTGAATGTATTGAATGTGAAAGCATGTGAACTGGAAAGACAGCAGTGTGGCTAACATCGCACTAAGAGCTGTCTTAATTATTAACTTTGAGATGACTTATTTTTAGCTTCAACTCAAATGCACTGCATGGACTTAGCAGGGAGTCCAGCCCTGTAACCCCAGTTGTTTGTCAAAATCAGAGATTTTCTGGTTTGTTACTGTCCTTATGGCTGAATGCTGGACCTCTGTTTCCTCCTTTGTTCTGACAGCATGGATGGATTCAGGGTGGTAAAGCTGAACGAGGTCATTCGTCAGGTTGATGTCATCATCACATGCACAGGTAACTCCATGTAAAACCATTATGATGTCCCTGCTCATTAAAGTGTAATTGCAGTCTTTATATAACTGTTCATGTATGGTATAATGAATATCTTAAAGGTGGGGTAGGCAAGGATCCGTTAAAGAAGCATCTTTTTTGTGGTTTATAGACAAAAAAGCTTTAAATATCAGTCAATAGCTATTAGTTATTGATGACGTTTGGTAATATAACGATATTGCTGTGTTTAGTTATGTCTGTGTAGTCAACATTTAAAATTTTTTGAGCACTCCGCTCTTTCTTAATGTAAACAAAGCTGTTCTCCGCCTTCCCCAACCTGATTGGTTGTGAGGCAGACGCTGCTCCCCCGTGTCGTTCAGGAGCCCAAACAAAGTTAGCGTGCTACAATATCGGACAGTAGAGACCAACCAGGAAGTACAGAAAATTGTCTGAATCCTCCTTTGGCCACGACCGCCAACACAAGCAAGAAAACGAAGTAAATACCGGAGACTGTGGCGGAATAACAGGCGCTTAAAACGGAGGTAGACCACTCGGACAAGAGCTAAAAAAGCCGGGTTAACAATGATGGGGGACGCTTTGGGATCTTACAGACCCTGTAACCTTTATGCTGGACAGGTGAACTGCTTTAACAAAGTAAGCCAAGTGTCTGTAACAGAAGTGTTTCTTGTCAAACGGGACCTGCTGTATGTTGTAGCGCCGCTAAACTGTTTACCTCGTCCTGGACTACGTCACTTTATCTTAGTTGTAGAAGTCCTGCAAACATTGTGTTTGCTGGTAGTCTGTTGGCATCTACAGTAGCACCAATGCTTTTTACTTTCACGTTGATTGGGCCCCATTTGTAATTCTCTGGAGTATTTTTCTGCAGTATATCTGAATTAAATTGGAGCGATACGAGCGAGCGGGAACGTCTGTTTGTGGGCGGGGCTTGCTGGAGCAGAGAGGGAGGGGAGAGGAGGAGCTGAGGGGAAAACTGGTTGGGAGGGGTAGAGTTTACATTCAAGATTTCTCCCAAAAACTGGCACTTCCTCAGATCCTGCCCACCCCACCTTTAAGTTTAGGTTCTTTAGACGTCTCTGCTAGTTATGACTTGTGTGATAGATGATGTCCAGTATACTGACTGCTCCGAAACAACTGTGTTTTTTAGGGAACAAAAATGTGGTGACTAGAGACCAGTTGGACAGAATGAAAAATGGCTCCATTGTGTGCAACATGGGACACTCCAATACTGAAATTGATGTGGTATACCAGCATATTTAAGATTCCTTTATTTATACCATACATTCAAACAGCGACCAAAGGTCAGTCATGTATTTTTAAGTATTATAAATAGCCATAACTTGAGAGATTTCCTCATCTCTAACAGGCAAGTCTTCGGACCCCAGAGTTGACCTGGGAGAGAGTGCGCTCTCAGGTGGACCATGTCATTTGGCCTGATGGCAAGAGGGTCATCCTTCTGGCTGAGGTAGCTGGCCATATTTGTTTGACTCACAACCATTTGTGTTGAAGATAAAAAATAATAAAAAATTCCTTTACTTTATGATATATAATTGTCAAGATTTATTTTCAAAGTAAGAAGTAACTTTATCACTTAACTGCTTGTAGCAACATTGCCATATGCAAGATGCCATTTTGTTGTAACAGAGATACTCATACCCCATTGCGTCTTTAAGCTTTTTCTCATTCTTACAAGATGTTTTCCTCCACAGGGACGTCTCCTTAACCTCAGCTGCTCCACTGTCCCCACATTTGTCTTGTCCATCACAGCCACAACTCAGGTAACATGTACATACCACCAGCCTACAGTGATTAACACAGATGTATACAGGTCACGTGCCACACTCTTTAGTTAGACCACAGTGTGTTACTGTTTTAATCACTATCCTTAACCCATGTTTTTCAGGCTCTGGCACTCATAGAGTTGTACAACGCTCCCGAGGGACGTTACAAGCAGGATGTTTACTTGCTCCCCAAAAAGATGGGTAAGTTGTTCATGCCAGGGCTTTGGAGCTGGTGTAAACACATTTCTTGTTGAAATCAAAAATCACAAACCCTGACTGGTTTCTACTTCAGTCTTAGATCTCTCTGCACAGTTGTATCCAGCTGACATATTTTTGATTTTCTGTGTTGACTCTTGTGTAAGTATTCCTTTCTAACCAAATCATGCCTGTGTATTTCAGATGAGTATGTCGCCAGTCTACATCTTGCCACTTTTGACGCCCACCTGACGGAGCTCTCTGATGAGCAGGCAAAATACCTGGGCCTGAATAAGAACGGTCCTTTTAAACCCAACTATTACAGGTACAACCATAAAAGTGTTTACTACAGAATACAAAAGGATAGCTGTGCAACTTTAAATTATAATCTGTATTTTCCTGTATTTTACAATCAAATGTTCAGACTATAAATGATGTGTAAAAGTGCCAGTTTACAGTCCAGTGTCCAAAATATTCAGTTTGCATGCATTTTCAATGAAAATTACAGCTAAAGTGTAACATATGACTCATTGCTTTCACTAGGCGTTTGATATTTTGTACTCTTTACCTGATTTCTTTAAGATGGATCACAGGCACAGAAATATGCACACAGGGGCTTTACATAAAGTTGTTAAAATTTTACCTTAAGAGATGTCCTAGTTTAACCTTTTTGTTTGTGTTTGCAGGTATTAGTCTGCAGGTGATTCATATCTCAGATGTGAACAGTACCCAACACGATCTTTATCTCCCAGACAAATGAAGAATTTATGTATATTGTATTTTATATTTTTCATGGGGTTCACAGCTTCTTTTAATTGTATTTTACTGGCCTCAGTAAGTTTCGCTGCACTTCCTACTTCCTGTGGGACAGCACAGGACACCTCACTGAAAACTCTGTGTATCCACAGCACTTAAATCTGCTTTAAAATTTGAGTTTATATTTCTTTTTCCATGAAATTTTGGCTCCTTTTAACAGTTCTTTATAATACTGAGTAATATATAAATGTTTGGTGCCAAATGACTGTGACTAGTAAGGGTTTAAGCTTTTGTGAAATGTTCATCTTGAAATTATGAGACTCTAAATCATGTAATCCCTCTCCCAATGTAATGCGATGTAAAGGGTCCCTTGAGGTTTTTGTCCACACTAAACTCCCTTGGGTCCCTCACCAACTTCTCTTTTAAAAACATTGGGAACAGTCTCCACAAAAAACTTGGACATGTCTGACATGCCAATTTATAAACAAGAATCAAAATCCAATATGAACTATTTGATTTATGTCCAAATGTTTTTAAGGAGTTGGTGGACCAAATTTTGTCATATTTGGATATAAAAAGTTGGTAATTTTGGATGTTAATTGATCAGATGACCAGAAATTTTACTCCAATTGGATGTGACTTTGTGTATGCTGGATGTTTAAGTAAGCAACTGTTTGCTTACAAATGAGCCATAAAAATGTGATACTCTGGGTTAATCCAGACTGTGTTTCTGAGAGCTTTGTTTGATTTAATCCTGCCCAGTAATGGTCAGGATCACTTAATGCAGCTTCAGTGTTTTCTGCTCGCTTTGGTCTGGAAGCGCTCCTTTACTTCACACATTCCATCCACGGTATACAGAAAAAGTGTTTTCTGTAGTCACATCCAAATCACTGCGAGCAAATCTGGACGAAAGGTTTAAGTACTATTTAAGCGAGGCAAGTTTAAGAAGGGAGCTCTCCATCTGTTTCTTTAAAAGTTGAGTCCGTTAATGAGGTTTTTGGTGTCTTGTAAGACTGATATCTGCACCTCAGGGCATTCAAATATCTAAAATTGTTTGTAAATATATTTTTAACAGTTTCGTACTCTATCAGTACTCAGTCTCAGCATCACTGTCATGATTTCGCTACCACAGAACTATAAAAACTAGAGATTTTTATACTCAGTGATCCAAATAATCTGTACATGAACTGAAGCTATGTATAATCTGTGCAAAGACATGATCAGTTACACATTACCTGTGAAACAGTGTTACATACAGTACAGTCATGCTGTATGTTTCTCTAAGAAGCTGATGTCATATCATGTGAGGATGGCTGTTTCCTACAGGAGAATTTTAGGCCTAAAGATGACTTATTCTTTATTCCTGCCAGCACATTTACCATAGAAGATGTTGTTGATTTATCATCTGTGTCATAATACAGAATTTTAATAGCTTTGTTTTTCATTTCCTGGTGTTTTTTATTGTTCAAAAGGCTTAAGAACTGTTTTGTTAGGCTTGCTATATGCACAAGCTTATTATGCCACTTTTACTTCTCTAAGATTAGCTGTAAAATATTTTTAGAGCCATAAAATCTGCAGGTAGTAGCTGTGGTCTGAGGATCTGATTCACATCAAACAACTCAGAGTATTACTCTCCCTCCAAACTATTGGCATGTTATTCCCTTGTATAGTATTGCTTCACATGTATTCAATGTTGTGTCACTTAAGTAACAACTTAAATTTCATCTGCAGAATAACAACCAATCCATTGAATTATTTTCCCATTCATACACACTTGCTGTTTAACTGTATAGCAGCCTTAAGTGCTATCATGAAAGGTTTTTATCTGTACACTAGCAGATTTGGGAGCCTTACAGCCAAGGACATTATGTGAGAACATCATTCTCAGCTAAATAAGCACCGTAACCATGGTAACTGGTCAGTTGACAGTGCCTTGTGACTCACCTAGTGTTTTACGTGTATTCACATGTGCAACTGTGCTTTTCACCAACTATCTTAATGCCAATAGTGGATGTTATTCTGCATTTTACCATTAATGTTACAGCTATGCAGCAAAGTACACTCAGTTTTCTTGTCAACAGTGTTTCACAAATGCGATTTGGAAAGTTGTGAAATCAGTTTTTCACAGCATTTGAAAATAGATGCACTGATATAAAATGACTAACAGTTTAAGACACACGTTGGCAATGTGAAACATCACAGGTATAGATGATTTATTTCACTCGTGTCTGTAGATGTTTTTCTCCTTAGACAATCTAACGCCTAAGTTACTTACTAAGTCTTTTGTAATGGCACTTGCCTTGCTTTTTATGATGAGTCCCTCTAATTTTAAACAATAATAGTCCCCCAACCCTGGTTTTATCTTTATGAGACAAATGAATGTGTAATTATTGAAGCAGATGGCTTTTATCTGGTGTAATTAGAATAAATATACCACTGTGACATTACTGCTGTTCACTGTTGCTAGTTTGAAATTTTTGATGTGGAGGTCATTTCTGTAAATGATGTATCGGTTATAAAGTTGGCTTATATTTTCAACACTGTATCTGTACTTTAGTTGGAAGATCACAAATTCAGCAGTATACTCCCTGTTTAAAAACCTGTGCACACATCCCTTTAATAAATTGCTGTTGAAAACTGAACATGGCTCTGATGTATCTTTCAAATGTCCTTTTTGGTGTACACTGAATATTTGTTTGACAGTGTGAGAATATGCAAAATCATACTTTTTTTCAGCATAAATGCAGTGGTTAATACTAGTCTTACATTTTTGAAAACAGGTTGTCTTTTTTTTTAGCTGAACATGGATAAAATGCACATTTTAAAGGGATTTTAACCATTGACTGGATTTAGAATATAGAAAAGTTCATAGTATATCAATATATTACGGTGGCTGAGAACCGCCACTGCTGCAAATAAAAAAGAATGCAAAAAAAAAAAAAAAAGCCACAACAGAAGGTACCGATGCAAAAAAAAAGGAGAGAAGCCTGCTGCAAATAAAAAAACTAATGGTGCAGTTAAGGAAAAAAAACAACTGAATTTGACGACAATAAAAAGTAGCGATGCAAAAAAAAAAAAAAAAAAAGTTACTTACAGCGAAAATAAAAGGATGCAAATAAAAAGGCCACAATGGAATTGAGCTGCCGGGGACCAATAATGATGATGCATCGGTGTTTTACGATCGAGGCACAGAAGATGACGGCGAGGAGACGACCAAAGAAGTGGGAAGGTTATTGTTTAATTTCGCTTTGTGTCATTTTCAATGTGTCATTTGGTTAGCCATGTGCTTGACTCGATATAATTTGAACTGGAACATGCCGGTGTGGTGTTAACTTTGGCCAACACGGGAAACCCACTACGCCCCAAAAAACAGCGAGAGGAGAATGGAGTTCGGTAGCTTTACGGTTTGGTTGCTTTACCCATAGAAATAAGTATGCAGACCCCTCGCTTTTTTTCATTATTGGTCCCTGGCTGCTCATTTCCATTGTGAATTTTTTATTTGTGTCCTTTTATTTTCGTAGTAAGAAACCTTTTTTTTTTTTTTTGCATCACCCCCTTTTTCTTGTTTTTTTTTGTGCGTCATTAACTTCTGTTGTGGCTTTTGAAAAAATATTCTGCCCCGTTTCTTTTTTTATTTGCAGCAGGCTTCATCTTCTCTTTTTTCATTGGTAACTTCTGATGTGGCTTCTTTTTTTCCCCAATTCATTTATTTATTTATTTTTACGTCATTAACCGCCGTTGGGGCCTTTTTTTTCAATCTGCAGCAGGCTGCGGTTTCTTTTTCTCATCTGTAACTTCCGTTGTGGCTTCTTTCTTTTAATTCATTTATTTTTTTCATCATTAACTTCTGTTGTGGCTTTTTTAAAATGTATTTATTTAATTATTTTTTGCATCATTTACTTCTGTTGTGGCTTTTTTCTTTCAATTCTGCACAGTTTCTCTTTTTTATTTGCAGCGGACTTTGGTTTCTTTTTTCATCTGTAACTGCCATTGTGGCTTCTCCTTTTTTTAATTTTTTTTATTTGCACCAGTGGCGGTTCTCGGCCACCGTAATATACATTCTCTGATCTTAACGCAAAATATTAAGCCCCCTCTGTACTGAACATGAGTCAAGTCCGTCATACTCTCACACATCAACTCTCATCTCGCGAGAGTCCGCTGCGCCCAGAAATTATGGACGTCGGTGGGAACGGTGGTGGGCTTCCTGTAAACAATAAACAGAGAGCAATGATACCTAACAAAAGCAGGGGTGAATTCACCCGCAACCCAAGGAAAGATTCAGAGGTATGTGAATAGATGTTTAGAATTAAATTTCGCACGAATTTTCATGAGCAGATGAGGCCTTTTCTACTGCTACTGTCTCAGAGCTAACGTTAGCCAACCTTCTCAGCTGTCGTCCTGGAGCTTAACTTTTATTTCTTACACATATTAGAGGTTTAAATGTCAGCGACTTGGACTTATCGGGGTAAGAGCGTGTGTGTAGTCTTGATTTTCTATCATGTTGTCCCTTCGATAGGATTTACCGGCTGTGTAGGTTAGCAGCAGCTAGCCAGTTGATGTTAGCGAATAACAGGCCAGAGGATCCAGAAGGAACCTGTTGAAAATGTGGAGACCTCCAGATTTTACCTCGATACAGACCTCCCTCTTTATAGTGTAATAAGCTCTTTTGTTAATAGTGTGTTCCTCAACTACATAATACAGTAAGAAGTGAGTCAATATTTTCAAGGACCACAGTGGGGATCTATGATAAACTCATTTCTTCAGTCTCATTTCCAGAATTAAATTTTGTTTAATCACAGCAGGTGTAGTTATGACCTAATTTTATCTTTGAATGAACATTTGAATGCATGCTAAACCATAGCAGTGCTAAATCTGATTTTCAGAGAATTTCTTTATAACCATATAATTAACATCATTATTATTTATTATCAATCAATCAATCAATCAAAGTTTATTTATATAGCACTGTTCTACAAATGAAATTGCAGCTCAAAGTGCTTTACATCAGGACAAGAAAAATAGAAGTTATTAAAATAAACTAAAACAGACAATAAAATATGAACTTGAATTTATTAATAAAATAAGTTAAGTAAAAAGTTAGACAAAAAAAATAAATAAATTATAACAGTAATTAAAATATATAAAAGCCAGGCTAAATAGATGAGGTTTTAGGTTACGTTTAAAAATTTCAATATTTGCAGCTTGTCTCAGATCCTCTAGAAGTTTGTTCCACAGTTTGGAGCGTAGCAGCTAAAAGAAGCATCACCAAATTTTTTTGTTCTGCTCTGTGGAACGACTAAAAGTGAAGATTGAGAGGATCTAAGAGGCTGCCCTGGTGCCAGGCCATGTAGAGCTGTATAAACTAGTAAAAGAATTTTAAAATCAATGCGAAAACTAACAGGCAGCCAGTGCAAAGACTTTAAAATGGGTGTGATATGAACTCTTCCCCTGGTCCTTGTCAAAACACTACACTTACCTATTCTGGTGTACTTCAAGTTGGTACCCCAAAGTCAATGTAAGGACACATTTTACTGATTTGTGTACTATTAATAGACTGTACTATGCCTGCTCTACAACCAAAATACCGTTTGGGTTGTTTGTACAGCTGCACTCTTAAGCTTCTGCAGCTGTCTCAGATATCAGAGGTGATGGTGTGTTTTTGCCAAACTGACTCATAAAAAAAAAACACCAGAAAATCATTTTCCTGAATTCTGTCTTGATTGTTGAAAAAAATGTGTGGTGCCGACTGTTGAGTTGAACCAGTACGTAAATGTTTTGTGCTTATGTGTTTGTTTTTTGAGGGTTTTATGGAGCAACCCCACAGGCTTGGCAAGATGTATTTCAGTATTGACTTTCAGTTTAACTCTTGATTTTGCATATTGGATATTACATTTTTGTTTTAATCCAAAAATTGTGTTGTCTCCTGTGCACAGGGACTCTCTGAATCTCCAGACCTTGAATTTGAATATGCTGATGCGGACAAGTGGGCTGCAGAGTTGTCAGGTGTGTGTTTTCATTGTGTAAACAAAAAAATTCTGACATTTTTAATTCTTCAGAACCAAACTCTTTACATTTGATGTGTTAAGATGAATTACTGTTTTCCTGTGTGTGTTTCAGAGCTGTATAGTTACACCGAAGGACCAGAGTTTGCTCTAAACAGGAAATGTTTTGAGGTGGAATTCAGGACACATGGTTTGTAGATAAGACTTGGATTGAAACCTTATTATGAATGTAAGATTTATTTATATCAACTTGATTGTCTGTGCTTTTCTTGCTGTCGTAGTTACAGAGAAGAAGTGGACAGAGCTTGATGCAGCCGAGCACAGAGCTCATGCCATGCGCCTGTTGGACGGTCTGGAGGTTATTGCACGGGAAAAAAGGCTAAAAGTCGCCAGAGCTATTCTGTACATGGCTCAGGGTCAGTCCACATTGACAAAAACTGATGTACCATTGAAAAGAGAGTGAAATCCTGTAATGAGGTACATTAATAAGAGAGGTCAAACGTGGCTTTCTTCATTTTTTTGTGTTTTTTGTGTTTTTCTCTCTGTAGGAACATTTGCAGATTGCAGCTCTGAGGCTGAAGTGCAGCATTGGATGAGATACAACATTTTTCTGCTGCTGGATGTGGGCACCTTCTCTGCTCTGGTGGAACTGCTCAACATGGAGATCGAGTATGTCTCCAGTCAGATTTCTAGCATTCAGAAACCTCTTCAATCAGTCAGTGTGTTTACATGTACAACTTAATCGGACTAAGCTCATAATTAGTTTTTTTCGACGAATCGGACTTCTCTCCTTGTCCGTGTGTACATGCAGCTGAGAAAATCAGATTATTGACATGAACATGCCCGCCTCCCCAAAACTAGGGGGTGACACGGGTCTTTTAAGCTAAACTGTTTCCAACCCCATACAAACATCAACAACAACAGCAGGTCCGTGTCAGACGTCAGAAGTGTCTACAAATGCTGTTGGGCATTTTTGAGCAAGAAGATAGAGCATCATACGCCGTTGTTTTTGTCGTACATGATGTACGGGCTACTTTTCTGCAGATGAGGTGCTACTCCTCATCTCTGGTGTTTTTGTTCCAGAGTTACTGTGGCATGGCGCACACGCACTGTCTGATCATACTCCGACTACGCTGGTTACATGGTAGAGAAAATCGAATTACATGTACTTGTATCTCAGAGAGATACGAGTTCTCAAACTCTGATAATAGTCGAACTAAGGTCTTTACACTTCCACCAGCTCCTCCGGGGAGATTCCCAGGCGCTCCCAGGCCAGGCAGGAGACATAATCCCTCCACCTGGTCCTGGGCCGTCCACGAGGTCTCCTCCTGGTGGGACATGTCTGGAACACCTCTAACGGCAGGCGTCCAGAAGGCATCCTAACCAGATGCCTGAGCCACCTCAGCCGACTCCTCTTGACGTGGAGGAGCAGCGGTTCTACTCTGAGCGCCTCCCGAGTGTCTGAGCTCCTTACCCTATCTCTAAGGCTGAGCCCGGCCACCCTGCGAAGGAAACCCATTTTGGCCGCTTTTATCTGTGATCTTGTTCTTTCGGTCATTACCCACAGTTCATGGCAATAGGTGAGGGTCGGCACGTAGATCGACCGGTACATCGAGAGTTTCGCCTTACGGCTCAGGTCTGCACTTCAGTTGTCCAGTCTTAATCGGAATAAGGCAATAATTTGGTTTTCTCAAGTGTCATGTAAATGTACTGACTCATACTAATTATTATAATTTTTTTAATCAAGATGGTTGTCAAGATGTTATTTATGTGTGTGGAGAACCGTGAGTAACATGCGTAATCTCTTGCAGTAACAGCGCTGCCTGTAGCAGTGCCGTCAGAAAACCTGCTATCTCCCTCGCTGACAGCACCGATCTCAGAGTGCTGCTGAATATAATGTACCTGATGGTGGAAACAATACAGCAAGACGACCCAGCTGACAAACCTGAGTGGAAAATAATCAGGGAGACTTTCAGAGCAGAGCTGGGTAAGACTTTTTACTGTCAAAACCTGCAGTTATATCCCTGATTTGACCAAAATACTTGAAATGATTCCTATCCCCACTCTATCTTTGTGTTTCAGGCTCTCCCCTGTTCAACAACGAGCCCATTTCTGTCATGCTTTTCGGTATGGTCACCAAGTTCTGCAGTGGTCACGCTCCTCACTTCCCAATGAAGAAGGTGTTGCTGCTTCTGTGGAAGAGTATACTGGTAAAAAAAGTTTTTACCACCTACAATTTTTGATTAAAAGTTGGTCTTAAGAGGCACGAATCAACATTCATTCTTCTGTTTTCAGTTTACACTTGGAGGGTTTGAGCAGCTCCAAAGCATCAAGGTTTGCAAGCGGGAAGAGTTGGGTCTCCCCCCTCTCCCAGAGGACAGCATCCGGGTCATACGCAGCATGAGGGCTGCTTCTCCTCCTGCATCTGCGTCTGATCTCATAGAGCAGCAGCAGAAACGAGCTCGCCGTGAACATAAGGTAGACCTGACTCTGATCTCAAACAGAGGACACTGTTGGTCCAGGCTAATCATGGATAAATCATGCATTGTTGCCTTGACTACAGCTGGAGTGCTGCTAGTCCTGTACAATAATGACTTTTAATTAAGTGTAGTAAAGCTGAGATAAAGCTGATTAAATTGACTCTAGATCCAAATATTAGTACAGTCAAGACATGGTCACAGTATTGAAGAGCATAATAGTCATTTATACCAAATGAACGATGTGGTCATAAAGCTGCTGTATGATCATAATGTTTTACAGCTTTAGTTTCTGAGGTTGATATTAAGCAGCCTTATGGACCAGAATTACTGCATCATGAGCTGCACTCATTATAAACTGAGTTTTTTCGGGAGCTGTTTGCGCTCTTGTGTTGAATCTTAATTATACTCAACTCAACTTTATTTGTAAAGCACTTTAAAAACAACCACAGCTGAACAAAGTGCTGTACATGAATAGACAAAACAACGCAGACGTAAAAAACAATAAAAAAAACAATGAAAACAATGGATAAAATAAAAGTGGATATCAAAAAGTAAAATATAGTTTCAGTGTTTTTAAAAACTAATTTAAAAACATAGAAACAAATAACTAAAAATAAACCATAAAACACTAAAACAGGAGCTGAGTCTCATGCAGGGTTAAAAGCCAATGAATAAAAATGGGTTTTAAGACGAGTTTTAAAAATAGACAGTGTGGGGGCTTGACTGATTTGGAGGGGTAGCTTGTTCCATAATTTTGGGGCCACAACAGAAAAAGATCTATTCCCTCTGAGCTTTAGTTTGGACCTCGGGACCTCCAGGAGCAGCTGATCACCTGACCTATACGGATAGTAACGTGGCCCTCTCCACTCCGCTGACCATGTCTGCACCACATCCTGTTTTCCCTCTTAGGCTTTGATTAAGCAGGACAACCTTGACGCGTTCAATGAGAAGGATCCCTACAAGGCAGATGATTCCCGTGAGGATGAGGATGACAACGACGACAATGACAACTCAATAGAGGCCGAGACTTTCCCCCTGGAGAGGGACGAAGTGATGCCTCCACCTATTCCTCACCCTCCGTCAGAGAGGGTGTCCTTTCCTAAAGGCTTGCCGTGGGCTCCTAAAGTCAGGTAATGTTCAGGCTGAGATAAACATAATACTGCACATGTGTTGACTTCGAATAGGAAATGAATATGATCTATTGTTAATTATGTTTTTCCTCAAATAGGGAAAAGGATATAGAAAATTTCCTAGAGTCAAGCAGGAGTAAATTTATCGGTTACACGCTTGGAAAGTAAGTTCTTTTTGTAGTTTTATTTAAAACAAAAGATAACTTCAGTTTTACACTTGTACTTTATTACAAACCAGTGCATTAAAATAGAGTTGTTGTGTTTATGTTGCAGTGATACAGATACAGTTGTCGGCTTGCCCAGACCGATTCATGAGAGCATCAAGACTTTAAAGCAGGTATTAAAAGCCTTGAAAAACAACTCACTACTTTCAATGCAAATGTAGCACTAACTCTAAAACAACAATTCTCACATGGAAGTTTTTAATCCTTTTCAGCACAAGTATGTCTCCATAGCTGAGACACAGATCGCAAAGGAGGAGGAGTTTCAGAAAACGCCTCTTTCTGGGGTAAGTGGAAGAGGAGCCATTAGTCGTTCACTTCATGTGTACTCAAATCTGCTCGATGAGTGGATTTGGATGCAGCTTTATCAGTTTAATCCTCAAGTTACACACAAAGAAAAGTGCTATAATTTTATTTTTCTTTCTTTAGTGTTGAGGGAAAAAATGCATACAACTGTTGCTCTCTATCATATTAACATGAATGTTTTTAATACCCCTCCACATGTGTTGTAAGCCATTTGCCATCTGTGTTTCTTGTTAAGGTAATAGAGTTAAAGTCTGAACTGTCTCTTTGTTTTTTGGAACAGAGTCCAATTCTAGTTTTCTAACATTTTCTTGCTTTGTGTCTCTTCTTTTTTGACATTTCGACATCAGGGTGAAGAGGAGGTGGATATGTCCGCAATTGAGCTGCTTTATCAAGGGATTCTGCCCAGTTTGCCTCAATTTATGGTTCGTCTTCCTTTAGGCTGGGAAAGCAGAAACTTTAGGTCAGATTGTTTCGGCATTAACTGAGTTGTTTCTCTTTGGATGTCAGATCGCTCTGCTGAAGATCCTTCTCGCAGCTGCTCCAACTTCCAAAGCAAAGACCGACTCCATTAACATCTTGGCTGATGTGCTGCCGGAGGAGATGCCGTAAGTGATGATGAAGTGCCTCTGAAAGAGTCCAACACATCCAGCAGATCCTTCCTTGTGCAACTTAATATTCTGTAGAAGAAAATATCCTGACTTCAGTAACATGTGATGATAAGTATTGAGAACTGGTATATCAAGGCTTGACACTAACATTTTTCACAAGGAGCACATGTGCTCCTAAGTTGAAAAAGTAAGGAACATACAAAGAACTTTAGGGGCACAATGAAAATTGATCAAGTAATGTTTGTCTTATTGGTCAACATAAGTACTATTATTTGAAATTAATTTTAGGTCAATTGGTCACATGACATGAAAGCTATTGAAGGAAAACAGCCTAACCGGTAATTAATTGATGGTCCCTTATTAAACACCCAGTGTTGACAGTGAGGGTGCGGAGTAGATTTAACCGCGCTGCTGTTGCTATTCCTGGTTATGGAGAGTGAGAAGACATCAGTAGATCCTCAGTGAATGTCTGTCGGATATCCAACCTAAAACTAACTGACTGCGGTATTTACGTGAAAAAACATTTGTTGCCTCGGCTGATTTTTTTAATGCACCCATGTGCCCCTAAATACATTGTCCATTTCGCACACATCTAATTTTAGTTGCAAATGCGAGTGAAATGGTCGTGCTGTCAGGCCCTGGGTATCTGCTTGATTTTTGAGTGCAGGTAAAACAGTGTTATATGAGTTTGATTTGTATCTATTTGTTTAAAACTCTTTAGCTCTTCGTATGAGGAATCCTGTTTTGCACTGATTTTGGTGGATCCTGTGTCTTACCATAGAGTATGATCTTCAGTCTTGTAGCTGATGATCCAGTTGCTCCTGAGTGTCATATAGAGGCATCAGTAACCAGCCGAAACTTCCTTAGTAGGTTTAGTCATGTGTTCAATCGATTTGTCTGACTCTGCAGGACCACAGTGCTGCAAAGCATGAAACTCGGTGTCGACGTGAACCGACACAAAGAAATCATTGTGAAGGCGATCTCTGCCATCCTGCTGCTGCTTCTCAAACACTTTAAACTCAACCACATCTACCAGGTACGCACAACACACTTTTCATGGCACAACTGAGATATACAAACAAAGAGTAGAAGTGCTGCTGGGTCCATGTGTTATCACAGACACTGCTGACGATGGCCCTGGCAAAGACCTGAGTAGGTTGTGATGCATCAGCCATTGTTAGGATATTGATCTCGATCTCTCGCTGGTTGTTTCAATTTGATGTATGTCTTTTTAGTTTGAGTTCATGGCACAGCACCTAGTGTTTGCCAACTGCATTCCCCTCATCCTGAAGTTCTTCAACCAGAACATCATGTCATACATCACAGCTAAAAACAGGTACTTTTTTACCTCTTTGAATTCCAATTACTGTGACTTCTATTTGCACTAAATCTCAGTGACTGAAGTTTTTTTTAATGCTTTCATTTTGTCACTTTAAAGCATTTCAGTGTTGGACTTCCCTTACTGTGTGGTGCACGAGCTCCCAGAGTTAACTGCAGAGAGTTTGGTGAGTTTTCTTTTTTGTCACACTTGCCTGATATAGTGGTTTTGTTGCTTTAATTGCAACTTGAGGGTCATTTTTTAAGTGCATAATTTGTGTCTGTGAATATTTTGTGTTCAGGAAGCTGGAGACAACAACCAATTCTGCTGGAGGAATCTGTTTTCTTGTATTAACTTGCTCAGGATCCTCAACAAGCTGACCAAGTGGAAGCACTCAAGAACAATGGTGAGAAATCATCAAACAACAGTTATACCAACACATTATGTCGTGTTTCCTCCATTCAAAAAATGATGATCTGAGCTCTCTTCTCCCCTTTCTCAGATGTTGGTGGTGTTCAAGTCCGCTCCCATCCTGAAGAGGGCGCTGAAGGTCAAGCAGGCCATGATGCAGCTTTACGTCCTCAAGCTGCTCAAAGTCCAGACCAAATACCTCGGACGCCAGTGGAGGAAGAGCAACATGAAGACCATGTCAGCCATCTATCAGAAAGTCCGCCATCGATTAAATGACGATTGGGCCTACGGGAACGGTGAGTGCAGACACACAAAATCCTTTGATTGAAAAACAAGCCAGTGTGCATCAATTCAACAGTAAAAGCAGCAAGAAAAGAAAGAAGTCATGGGTGTGGATGAAGAATCCTACACAAAGTTCAAGTTCAGATGAAGATTTAACTTAGAAAATTAAAAAACATTGTAGGACCAGTTTTTTTTTTTTTTTTTACAAATCCTTAACCCTCTTTTGTAGGAAAGTGTATCAATTCATGATAAGAGGTGACACAGTTAGATGAGTCCAATGATTTGATTAATATGCCCCTTCGATTAAGTTACAGCAGCTCCTCTCATACAAAAGAACTTAGCAGAGTCGTCCGCCAAAGGTATACCATATGATAAAAAATCGCCAGATGGGTCTGGCATTTTGTTTGCATTTGTTACAAATCCGAGTTTAAAAATAAAAGGAAAATGAACAAAGAAACGGTATGGTTATTTTTAAGCCATTAATTGAATTTACAGGGGGAAAAAACATACTGCAATATAAACCGTTACTGTGATATGAAATTACTCATACCATGATATAAGATTTAGTTCATACCGCTCAACACTACTCAGGGTTGTTTGAATATTTTAGCTTGCGATGAGCACAAATGGTGGTCTTGTACATCATTTTATATCATTGTATCACTCAAATCAGTCAGTCATGCATATCCTATTGTCTTACGCTTCCTAATTCAGGCTTTTGTCCCTCCTGTAACAAATCCTTGACTTTCAGTTCCTTATTCTTGGTCCAGCACCACGTGTTACTTCTTTGAGTCACCATGTGTCTCAGGTTTTATTACTAAGATGCACATAAATAATAACTTATGTCTTCAACTGATCGTTGAGGCTGGGAAATAAATAGTCAACTAGTGAGCCTAAGATAGCCTAGGCCAGCACATCCTGACTATTGTACCCCCTCCTGGAGCAGATCTGGATGCCCGTCCCTGGGACTTCCAGGCTGAGGAATGTGCTCTGCGGGCCAACATCGAACGTTTCAACAGTCGTCGTTATGACAAAAGCCACAGCAACCCAGACTTCCTGCCTGTGGATAATTGTCTGCAAAGTGTTCTGGGACAGAGGGTGGACCTGCCCGAGGACTTCCAAATGAACTATGACCTTTGGCTGGAGCGAGAGGTCTTCTCCAAACCTATTTCCTGGGAAGAGCTGCTACAGTGAGAACCAACGATTAACAGTTTGAATCACAAACAAACAGCCGAACTTGCTCTCACTGATTGATCACAGGTCACAGCATTATGTTTCATGTTTTAGAGGGACCCAAAGACTGCCCAGGTGTACACTTAAAATCATCAGTTTTACACTTCAATTGATACTCAAACCAATAAATCAACATTGAATCCTTTCCCCTTAATAATGTCAACCAGTTTTTACTGGAAATGATTTTAAAGCAAATCTTTTTTTTTTCATCTGTGGACCTGAACTTGACCTAGCACTACTCTTGCTCTATGTGCCTCTTACCTGCTACAGAAGCTAGTAAATTTCATCTTAAAGCACTACATGACAGGATGTTCACTCTTAATTTTAAAGTCATTTATTTGGTGTAAATGGTGTGAATTGATTGCTTAGACAGATGTGTATGTGTGTGCTTTGTTCAGGTCAATCTTGGCACATCGAATATGTTAGCAGGACATTCCTGGTACATCCTCTAGGTCACTTCATGGAGGTGAAAGGAATGGTGTTTTTTTAGACGTAATTTCTGTTTGTGCAAATAAACAATGCATTATTTTGTGAAAGTTATTACCTTCGGGAGTATTACACTCCTGTTTACCTGACTCATCCTCTGTTCATTCACTCATGGCCTGTGTTTTATTTGCATTTTGACTTTTTCTCCTGAGTGCTGCCTACACCCCTTTTATCTGGGACCATGAAGACATCAGGGTGAGTGGACATAGAAGTACAGCCTTGATTCTTCTTCTTTTTTTTAAACAATACAAACCTTAAAGTATCTTAGTTTACTTTGTTGTGGAAAACTGGATGATTATTTTCCCTAATCACATCAAACTGAAAGAGTGCAAAAACGTTTGAATCTCTCGTTTGGGATTCATTGTCTCTGAACTTCACTCACCTCAGACTGAACCAAGGAGAGAACCTGGTTTATTTTCTTGTCTTTTTCTACTTTTCAGCTTTGTGTTTTATGAAAGTTAAAGTAATAAGGAAACATGTAATTTTTAATATTTATCATGCCTTTCTCTTTGTTTTACATTGACTTAAGTACTGTAATAAAAACAAACTGTCAGTGTGGTATACTGTTTTTTTTTATTCTTAAAGCATTTTTGCCTTATGTTGGCAGTATGTAGCTCTGTCAGTGCCATCTAAAACTACATGTTTTCCAAGTACAATGAAGTCAGTCTTCTTCTTACTGAGATTCATGAACTTAATCTCCACCCATACTTTCTTTTTCCACTGCTTTTTCAATAAATGAAACAGAACAGGGCTTAAAAAGATACAGGCCCTGCCTGTACTGAGTGTTGGGTCTAAAACCTGCCCAAATACCTGATAACATGTAAAGAAGAGAAAGACAATGGTATATACTCGAGGAGAATGGACAGAGATAGTATCAGGTACAATCTCGAAACCACTCTAAAGGTATTTCCGCCCAGTCTCTTTATTAAGGGTTGTCCCTGGTTACACAATGTTACTAAAGGATGGGGGAAAAATATGTGCAGCAACGTAAGCACTCTCATAAAGCATAATTATGAACAACAGAAAATATGTGAGAGTCAAGGCAACATTGTTGACATTAAACGAGCTCCTTCTGATAGGAGCGGATCCTCCTCATTACTTCCCACGATTCACAGTGGAGGATACATCACACACACACACACACACCTGCTGATAGGAGAAACGAGGTCACAGAAAAATGAAGAAACACTCATGTGCTGTGTAATAAAGCTATTGGAGAGAGAAGTTAGAAAACACTCTTATATGATGTGTAACAAGAAGTCAAAACAGTTCATACTTGCAGTAAACTCTTACATAAGAATGTGAGTAAAAATGATAACTTCTATATACATTTATACACATTATTCTGACACTGAGCTTGAAATATAATTACCTCCGCCAAGGAGGTTATGTTTTTGGTAGCGTTTGTTTGTTTGTTTGTTTGCAACTTAACGGAGAAAGTTACAGACGCATTGACCTGAAATTTTCACCAGAGGTGCGTCTCAGCCCCAGGAGGATCCCATTACATTTTGGTGGTGATCCGGATTGCCTTCTGGATCTAGGAATTTTTTGAAGGATTCTTTATCATTGTGAGATAAGGCAAATTTTGGAATTTTTGCATTTAACTCTATAAAAATGGCCAGAGTCTTTAGTAAAAAATTACACAAAAGGATCTCAGTGAGTTTTATGAGGTGTCAAAGGTTGATCCTGATCCAGACAAAATTCCGGATACTGTGATCCAGAACACACAAAAATAAGGGTGTCGTTGGAATTTTCAATGCTGAGAGATAACCAATGAAGATACAAACATGCAACTACCACCATATTGTAGCCAAGACTCTACTGAATCGGAAGTATGCAAACGGATTTGACGTATGTTCAATAGGTACATCGCTAGATCCAGAAGAAAACCGCCATTATGGAAATATCTATTTTTGCAAATAACTAATGTGGTAATAGTGATAGAAGCCTAATTCCAAATGCTATGACTATGTTTTCATGGTCAAAGAATACAATAATTTTGAAAAAATGAATGTAGAAGTATTAGTTTCAGGTGAAAGTCAGGAATACACAATACCAGAAGTACACAAAGTGTGAGCACTACAAACAGCAAAATATAGCAGTTAATTTCAGTGGTGCAAGCAACATAATAAAACACTGAAATCATTGCAGCATTATAATAATAATAGTAACAGACATGCAACAGTAAAAGTTTTGGTGTGAATCACAATATAAGGGGGGACATGAGCTGCTTGGGGGAGGTCTGCGCTCTCTGAGTGCTTTTCTAGTTTTTAAATTTTTTCATGTTTCTGTTCGGAAAGCAGCAGTCAGTAGAATATTCAAGGGAATCAGAGTAATGATGACCATGTAATCTATAGACTTGGAATCCTGTACCTTTAAAAAAAAAAAAGAGAAAATGTAATGACTGCTGGGTGATTTTACACAGAAGAGGTGGTTTCAGGCCTGCAGACATAAAGCAGAAAATAAGGCCGTACAAACGAGATCTTGTCATTTGGGTACATGACAAATTTGATGCTGTGAAACCTTTTGAATTGATGTCCATAGGCCTTAAGCACTGACAGTCAATTTGAGTAATGATCTTACATGATCTCATACCACATAAAGAGACCAGTGGTGTACTCTCACATCTGAAAAAATGCTGTAAAGTGCCCTCTTGGATTCCCCTGATGTGAATAAAACATGTACTCTCTTGTGCCCTTTCCATAGTAAATGCATAAAAAATGCTTGAGTTGCTGGTAGCGGCTCTTTATCGGGTGACACATGATAAAGTGCCCTCTAGATGCCCTTCCTGTAGATATTAACTCACATTAATTTATTTTAAGACTTTTTTTTAAATTATTTTTAAAATTTTGAATGTTGAGTGTTACAGAGCTTAATAAATCCAGTATACAGGAGGTGCCTTTTTTTCACCTCTGCCTTAAAGGGTTATTCTGGCGTAAAATTAATTTAGGGTCAAACACACCGTAACACTGACTTAGACACCCCCTTTGAGAGATGAATGTTGCCATCCGCTTGCTTACACCAACTTTAGTAACGACCACAGATAGCAATACACAGCGGTCTGAGGAGCCATATACAAACCTCAACCAAAACGCCACTCTATAGCCACAAATAATGCTCAGAACAGCACCTAACTTCATCAACAGTACATATAGGGTCCCAGCCATAGTACTAGCCATCAAACATCTTTTTAGCTTTGCCTGGTTTCTTTAGCAAAGAGACTAAACACAACTCACCTACTGTCTTCCAGCAGCCGCTTGTTTGTAGAAAGACCTCCAGGCGAGTCCATCGACTGCAGCGGGGTGACACAGCTCAAGGAAGAACATTTATGATCATTTCTTCATGGAAATGCAATCAGACTGAGACGCTAAGGCAGAAGAACTACCGTGTCTGCAGTGCAAAATGATTAATATGGTGATTATTACATCAAGGAAATAATAAAGTAATGATCATAAATGTTCCTTCTTGAGCTGCATCACCCCACAGCAGTCCGTAATGGACTGGCCTGAGGTCTTGCTACAAACAAGCGGCTGCTGGAAGAGAGTAGGTGAGTTGTGTTTAGTTTCTTTGCTCAAGAAACCAGGCAAAGCTAAAAAGATGTTTGATGGCTAGTACTATGGCTGGGACCCTATATGTACTGTTGATGAAGTTAGGTACTGTTCTGAGCATTATTTGTGAGTATAAAGTGGCTTTTTGGTTGAGATTTGTGTGTTGCTCCTCAGACCACTGTGTATTGCTATCCTGCAGTCGTTACTAAAGTTGGTAGAACTAGAAAAGCAAGCGTTCGGCAACATTCATCTCTCAAGGGGGTGTCTGACTCGGTGTTACGGTGTGTTGACCCTCATTTTACGCTGGAATATCCCTTTAAACAGCCAAGGTACACCGCTGACAAATGCCCGACTTTAACCAAAAAATGGGAAAATGGGCAAGCAAACAGTGGTGGTGAGGAAAGACTTTTTAACTGGCAGAAACCTTGGATAGGCCCACCTTTATCAGTGAATAGCCATCTGCTGGACCAGCCAACAGTAGTCATCAACCTGAGATCATCTGAAATGTGGTAAGCTTTAAGGTTTATCAAGTCAGATGTTATTCAGTCAGATGTCAGTTAAGAAAACACCATAACATGACAATAATAATGAGTGGGATTTTGTTTTGACTTTATTAATCCCCGAAGGCAAATTCAGTGACACTCCCATGTAATTAGGTAGGATGATTAATAAACCACACCCATCCTCAACGTTAAAAATAAGAACAAAGAGTCCTGAAAAGGAAAGTGAAACCAAACTTTGAATACTCCGCCTGTCTCACATACATGTATTGCCTTGAAAGTCACCCAGCAGCAATATTCAGTAGGAGGAATCACCATGCACAGCCTAAAAAGACCCCGGAGCCCCTCAGAGCCTGGGCCATCAGGAAGCGATGTGTGTAAGAAGCACAGCAGGCGTCTGGATGTTTACTGCCGCGACGATAAGAAGCTGATATGTGAGGAGTGTGCTTCGGGTGAGCATAATGAACACATCACTGCTCTGGTGAAAGAGGAAAGGAAAAGGAAACAGGTGAGCAAAGCAAATACGAATCAAACACAGAGTTACCAAGTGAGCCGAGCAATCAAACTGTAAACCCTTGAAGTAAAATAAAAAAGTAAACGTGAATTAAAGTTACTCAGATAATCTTATTTTCTCGCGTGTAGAAAGCTTATGTGATTTGATCACGACGTACTGATATGGGTGTGGTCGAAGTGTATTTCCCTCCTTTTTGTGTTAACTTTTTTCACACTTATGAGCTTTTTGCATCGTTGTTCGTGTGATGTACAGTGTGAAAAAGTATTTGCCCCCTACTGGATTTCTTTTATTTTTGCTTTTTTGTCACACTGACATGTTTCAGATCATTCAATAAAATTTAATTTAGGAGGAAGACAGTGAGTGGACATAAAACACAGTTTTTAAATGATCATTTCATTTATTGAAAGTAAAGAATTATTGAAAACCAAAATCACCAATGTGAAAAAGTAATTGCCCCCTTAACTTAATAACTGGTTGTGCCACCCTTTGCTGCAACAACTGCAATCAAGCATTTGCGATAACTAGCAATGAGTCTTTTACATCGCTGGAGAGGAATTTTGGCCCACTCTTCTTTGCAGAACTGTTTTAATTCATCCACATTGGAAGGTTTTCGAGCATGAACAGCCCGCTTAAGATCATGCCACAGCATCTCGATCGGATTCAGGTCCGGACTTTGACTAGGCCACTCCAAAACCTTAATTTGTTTTTTTTTTGAGCCATTCTGAGGTGAACTTGCTGGTGTGCTTCGGATCATTGTCTTGCTGCATAACCCAAGTGCGCTTGAGTTTAAGGTCACGAACTGATGGCCGGACATTCTCCTTCAGGATTCTTTGATAGAGAGCAGAATTCATGGTTCCTTCGATTATTGCAAGTTGTCCAGGCCCCGAAGTAGCAAAGCAGCCCCAGACCATCACACTACCACCACCATGTTTGACTGTTGGTATGATGTTCTTTTTATCAAATGCTTTGTTGGTTTTTTGCCAGATGTAATGAGACACACACCTTCCAAAAAGTTCCCATTTTGTCTCATCAGTCCACAGAATATTTTCCCAGAAGTCTTGGGGATCATCCAGGTGTTTTTTGGAAAATGTGAAACGAGTCTTTATGTTCTTTTTGGACAGCAGTGGTTTTCGCCTTGGAACTCTGCCATGGATGCCACTTATGCCCAGTCTTTTTCTTATGGTCGAATCGTGAACACTGACCTTAACTGAGGCAAGTGAGGCCTGCAGTTCTTTAGATGTTGTTCTAGGATCTTTTGTGACCTCCTCGATGAGTCATCGATGGGCTCTTGAAGTAATTTTGGTTGGCCACCCACTCCTGGGAAGGTTCACCACTGTTCCAAGCTTTCTCTATTTGTGTATAATGGCTCTCACAGTGGTTCGTTGGAGTCCCAGAGCCTTAGAAATGGCTTTGTAACCCTTTCCGGACTGATGGATGTCAATTACTGTTTTTCTCATCTGCTCACTGATTTCCTTAGATCGCTGCATGATGTGTTGCTTTTTGAGATCTTTTAGCCATCTTCGTGTTGTCAGACAGGTTCTATTTAAGTGATTTCTTGATTTTACGAGTCTGGTAGTAATTGGGTGTGGGTGTGGCTAGTGAAATTGAACTCAGCTTTCCAAAAAATATGGTTAATCATAGTTCACTCACAATTTGACAAGAGGGGCAATTACTTTTTCACACAGGGCCAGGTTGATTTGGATGGCATTTTCCCTTCATAAATGAAATAATCATTTAAAAACCGCATTTTGTATTTACTTGGGTTATCTTTGTTTGATTAGAATTTGTTTGATGATCTGGAACTTTTAAGTCTGGAAAATGTGCAAAAAATAGAGGTAATCCGTAAGGGGGCAAATACTTTTTCACAGCACTGTAGGCATAGACTGTGGTTTTAGGCCTAATAGGCAAATGTACCTAAGTGATACGAAAGATTTTCTTTGTTTTCACCCTTTTCACATCAGTGTGCAGCTGTCCGTTTCCTCAAAAAAGTTTGTTGAAGTTGCTTCGGTCCGCATTTTTTTTTTTGTAGGATGGCAGGGGAAGGTCCCGCCCTCCTTCACTTCAGATTGGCTAGAAGTGCTGGGCTCCGATTGGTTATTCCTTATGGCTGTGAAACTTCATCGTCTGTCGAGTTCATAGACTGTATATAGAATGGACAGTGTCTGCCTCTTTGCCGGGTGAAGCCAGCCTGAGAACAGCCCCCTCTGGTGACAGGCTGTAGTATAGGTCATAAATCCTGCTTCCTCCAGCAATCCCTATGGAGCCGTGGACCAACTTTAGAAATTTATTACACAGAATATACATTTTTCTCCCCCTTGGTTGTGATATTGACATGTAGTTACTGTCAGACTGGTTTGTGCCCAAGTCCTCTTTTTTCTGCACAGCTTTATTTTTAAAAGTAATTAGGGGGTTCATTATTGACACTTGATACAGCCTATGGATTTACGAAGATTGCGTAGCTCACCTAGGGGATATGCTGTTTGAGCCGAGCGTCATCACATCGACTCTCAGTGACTCTCCCGTCGAATGCGTACAATGCTACTGTGTGTGCAACGCTACTGCGCAATGTTGGTTTCAGGAAATGAAGAAAAATCGCGGAAATACTGAGAGCCTTCTGATGGAAGGCGGAACCAAGTTGTCCATAGTACATACAGTCTATGGTCGGGTTAGGGTTAGGCAGAGCCGGCCCAAGGGTAAGGAGATTCTGAATTGCGATAATGTTCTGTAATGTTCTGTTGGATGTACAGAGCCTACAGCCCATGCTCGGCTTGAGCATTTGATGACGTTTCCAGCTTTTCTAGCCAACCACAGGCGAAGGAGGCGGGACCATCCAACAAAAAAAAATACCACGGTCTGATGTGGATCGTGCTGCATTCATCTGCTCTTCGGACTTTAATGTATTTCCTATGCAGTGATGAGCTAGCCTAATTTATCAGGTTATTTAACCTGACTAGTTTTAGTGGGTCAGTCTGGTTTGAACCTCGCACAAGTGGCCCCTCTTTTGACACACTGTCTGACCTGTGCTGACAGACTCCAGGGTGATAGTAATCATGGAAAAAGCAGAGCCACATAGCAGCTAGTTTTATGTCTTTTGAGGTTTTGAGGTGTGATGGTGGGGAGGAGTTGCTCGGCCCCCTAAACCAGTATCAAAGACAGTAACAAGGGCAGAACTGCATCTTTGTAGCCCTCACAACAAGAAGGATAAACCAGTGACATGCATGTCTGAGTATATTCATATGTAGAGCTTGCACTGTTTGTTTACATGACCCCACAACACTATAACAATGTGTAAAATCACACACTAGGTCAGTTCTTCACAAACTTAAACAAATGACATGTATGTCCATATAACACAACCTGTAGGAAGAGCTGAAGAGTGTGCAGGCAAAAACCCAGGTGATCCTCGAGAAACAAAGCCAGAAGAGGAGAGACATGTGGAAGGCCTTGGAAACAATTGAGGTAACCAAAAGTGTTTTCAAAGAGTCGCAGAGATTTTAGCAGCAGCCCAAGACTGATTCCGTATGCTTGTGTGTACAACAGGAGGAGTCAAGAGCAACAAAGGACTACTGTGAGTGTGTCTTGGCGGATGTCATTGACTCTCTTCAGAGACATTTTATGTCAGTGAGAGAGGTAATCGACACTCAGGTGGAGGTGGCAGCAGCTGAGGTGAGGACATCTCTCCAAACTCTGGGTGAGAAGATAAAGGAGACGTGTGAGAGGAAGATTGAGTTAGAGTCAGAGTTGGATTGTCTGGCACAGGCTGATGACATCAGTTTCTTACAGGTACTGTGGTTATAACTCATCACTAGATATTCAACCTTAATCTTTCTCTGTTGAGCATTCTTCATTTCTCTGAGCCTCTCACCACAGAAATGGCCCTCCGTCAAACACCTCTGCAATCAAGACGCTTCTCATCCACCAGAGTTTTCAGAAAACTTGCTTCCATTTGAAACGACTAAAAGAGTGGTTGAACAACTTGGGAGGCGACTGAAGGAATTTTGTGACGAGCAATTTGCTGCGATCTCTCAAAATGGTAAATGTCTTTACCATGATTCTGAAAATCCTTCAAAATTCGACATATTTTGGCAAACCATGACTAGATGTCTGTCACTTTAAGCAGCATTTTGCAAGCTGTTCATGTTTGATGTTTGTACAGCTTGGGGCATTTAAGTTATCAGTTGTGTTTTTGCAACATGTTTCTGTCTATGCACTCACGTTTTCTGCTGTTGCACCCTGAAATTTCTCATAGGTCCCCCTGAGGAGGAAAACAGCAGGACAGACCAGGATGTTGAACCTAAAACCAGAGCAGAGTTTCTGCAGTGTGAGTTAACATTTTAGACTTTTAGCACTTTGATGCTTGATACCTGAACCTCAGATGTACACAGTGATGAGGGGTGTGTTACACTTAAGAATAATACATATTTAAGTGTTATACAGCACTTTGTCCTTCATTGCAGTTTTCTTAAAGCTTCACTTTATATTTATAACATTCAAATCAGAGGAGAAGTTTCTATTACTACTAAAGGCTTAAACAGAGGTTCACAAACTTTTTGGCTGGTAACAAAAATAAATGCGAAAAAGTGAAACAGAGCAGAGGCTGTTAGTGTGATTTTTTCATCATCACTCTAACAACTGGGTTTCCAACCGGTATCAAAAAATTCTCTGACTAACCCTTTATTTATCAGCTACAAATCGATACTTCTACAGAAGTAAAAGATATAAACTGCTCTCACTACCAAACTACAAATAAACCACAACTGTATTTTTTAAGTAACTCTGTTTACCACTTCTCTCTACATTATTGCAGATGCATGTGACCTCAAGTTTGACCCCTTCACAGCTCATGAAGACCTGATCATTTCTGAGGCAGGAAAAGTGGTCAAACTGAGTCCTAACAAAACAAAGATTTCAGGTCCTTACCCACAGCAATTTCTCCGCCGCCGACAGGTGCTGTGCAAGGAAGGCCTGCAGGCTGAGCGCTGTTACTATGAGGTGGAGGTAGCAGGAGACAAGGTGGAGATTGCTCTCACTTATAAAGAAATAGCCAGGAAGTCCCTTACGAACCAGTCAGCTTTTGGGGCCAATGCTATGTCCTGGAGTCTTGATTGCTCCACCAACTACTCTGTGAGCCACAAAGGTGACAGCATCCAGCTCCTGACACCACGAGCTGTAAACAAGATCGGAGTCTATTTAAAGTTTAAGGAGGGAACTCTGTCATTCTACGAGGTGTCAGACACAATGAAGCTTCTGCACACTGTGAAAGACACATTTACAAAGCCGCTCTATCCAGGCTTCTGGCTCGGAGAGAAATGCTGGATTAGAATCTGTGGTTTGTGGTGACTATAATCATATGGCCTATTTGATAGTAACCGTATTTTAACCACATTATTCTGACATTCTTCGGGACTAGATGATGAATGCTAGCATTACATATCTTTGCTTATACCTCACACACAGATTTACATTTATTTTCCTCTTTTAGGGTCTGTTTTTTTCAGAAACTTGGTTTTATATACTTATATATATATTTTTTTCCCATACAAAGCAGTCCCACAATAAACTGCAGATATGACCGTATATTCATGTGTTATGCTTATGTAATAAAAATATGCTAAAGAGTAAAATCATATAATTTATGCAAAAGTAACGACAAAGTTTTCTCTGTGATTAGAGCAAATTTTCTTAAACATTTTAAACTATTTTGTTTTTTAAAAACAGGATTTTAAATAACTGTAGAAATGAGTATTTTTGCAATGTTTACCATTTCTAATGTTTCCTGAACCTCAATGAAAGTCTTAATCACATAAGACAGGTGCTGGTGTTTTATATCAAAAAAGAAAAACATTTGTGGTTCTTGTGTTGCCTGAGTCTGTTTAGGTTCATTTAGGTCATTCCACTTTTTTGTTATATGTTCTACTCTTCTAATGCTTTGTTTTTATGAATGCAAATTACCAAAGTACTTTGTAAATTCCTGTTTTATTAAATGCTGTACAAATGAAATTATTTTCATAAAAATTGGAAGTGCTTGAAATTACATTTTAATGTCCTTAGCAGTGGCCAGGATTAATACAACTATGTTAGCATCTGTGTAAAATAAAGAAGAAATCACTGCCCACCATTGTTTTATTTGTCATAAAGTCATTACTGTCAACTATTAACTGAAATATTCAGTCTTTGGTTGTTGACCTCTGAAAAAGCCAGAGGATCAATTAAGTCAAGGAGGTTCATCTTGTTGGCCTTTCAATATTTTAACAAGTTTTATTGCAATATTACAAAAAAATTGTGAAAACAAAATCCAGAAATCAAACAACAGCTTATCCACTCATTATTATTAATTTATTTTGGTGATGTTCACAATTTTTTTTACAACTAGTCGATTTCATACAATAATACTATCACAGAGGAAAGACAGACTGATTGGCTACAAAGGAACGTCTCTAAACGTGTCTCCTGTATAGACAGTGCATGTAATGTGTGCTCAGTAAGGCCCTGCATCCACAGGTAAGAACAAGGAGTATAATACACATGCACTCATCCACCCACACACACACACACAATTCATTTTATTTACATACATACACTGTCTCCAGCACTTGGTTAGATGAGTTGTAATGTCCCTTTGGCTAGGAGGGGCAGTTTCTAATCATTGCTTTGAACTGACGACGTGTCAAGCTTCTGTGGGCCTCAGTTATCTTAAAGTTGAATAAGTTGTATTGCTTTTAAACAGAGCTTGAGTTTAACTTCTATGAGAACAACAAAACAATGCTAACAGTTTTTGCTGTCCTAGTGAAAAGTGCATCAATCACATTCATGATACATACATATGTCACACTTACTGCTAAGTCAGCTTTTTTTTCTTTTCCTTTTTTGACATTGCTATAACTCACAAGGGTAAAATTTCCATCAGAATAGTTTATCTACACAAGATTATGTACAGATTTGGACAACAAAGAGGTCTCTAAACAGTGCACTCTCTGCAGGAAGTGCCTGGCTTACATAGAGTAGACAAAACAGGAAACATTACATGAAACAAGGCTTAGACGTTCATAGCCACACTAGCACCTCAGAAAAAAGAAGACAGTGTCAATGTTTGTAGATTTTTCACTAGTGTGGGAACAATTTCAAAGTTTGCTATGAGATCACTTTGATTGAAAAGGATCTTATCCTCAGTGTAGTATTTTTCTTTCAGGAAAATACAGTAAGTAGAGACTTTTGTCAAGTTTTAAAGCCATGTGATGGCATACAAACACTAATGAAAGACCACAGTGCATACATAAGTTGTGAAATGCCTATATGAAATAGACAACAGGAACTTGATCTTACTTTTTTAGATGAAGTCAACACTTACGATTGCAGAACAACAGCCTCAAAAGTGAAAAATGATCCAGAAGTGCACCTTAGTCAAAATTTGCACGTCTACTCTGAATGCATAAAAGTGTGTTTGGATGATTTCTTTATTTGATGCTTCGTCTTAAATCCTTGAAATGTACTGATGCTAAGCTGAGTTCTTGCTGCATTTATGTCTCATAATTTAAGCCATATGACTCAAACAAGTGGCTGAATCGAAAGAACAATCAGGCCACTCTTAAAGTTGTAATTCTGAGATGATTACTCAGCAAACAGAACAACAGCTGAGTGTGACACTAACACATTAATCAAGGACAATATTCACACCAGTTTAAGTTTTGAAGCTAAGCTAATTTACAGAGAACTGTTTATTTCTTTTAGGTTCTCCTAAAATTGTAGGAAATCTTCGCAGCACACTAGGTACTTATCAGTTGTGTTAACTTGCTGATATCCCATGTATCTTTTGCAGTATCTGTATACGCTTATCTTTGTACTAAACTATAGTGTGCTTTAGTACAATTTAAAGGCTACTGTTCATAAGATTAAGTATGATAGCCTGTTGTCTGAGAAGCCACCAGATGGCTGAGGCTGACTTGAAATGCAGCACAACATTGGATCGATGGTTAATGGTTTATGGTTTCTCAAGTTGTTGCTAGTGTGGCTAAAAACAAGCAGACCAGTAAACCATACGCAGAGACAGGTGAGTCCAACCCCAGGCACAGCCAGAAGAAGTCAGCTGCAGCCCGTACTAGACTTCACATCACACAACAGCTCCCAGCAGCATTTTTACACCCAACAACAAGAATGAGCTACTTAAACTACAAAATATAGGCTATAAGATCCTAAAATATACAATTTAAATAAGTATCACACAAGATGAAAATATACAATATACATATACTGGCCACTTTTGAAAGATAAATCTTTGTTTTTCATCACACCAACAGACACTGCAGATATACAGGAGTATAAATATAGTCCATTTATCCATAACACCATGGCTTTGAATACTGTGATTAAAAAAATAAATAAAGGTATCCTCTTCCATGTAACAGGAACTTGAATGTGCTCAGTCTGAACTCATAGACAATTTTGCATTACTATTTAATATCAGTGTGTGCAAAAAGAAAACAAGCTCAAGGAAGACATTCATCTGAACTCTGCCAGTCCAGACCCACAGCTGGTTCAGATGGTTCAGTCAGATATTTTCAACCTTCATAACAATGAACCCATACAGCGATGTAACGTTGTCTTTCTGCCATGACAACATTTTACGAGGTTTATAATATGTCACAAATACTTTGAGAAAGTGTGCATGTATGGAAAGCCAAGTGAGTATTTATTCGTAGTGCATGTGTCTGAGCTGCTTCTTAATAGGAAGGTTTGAATTTTTGGTGAAGCATTGAAAATGGCATAATTTGGATTTTTAAAAAAATATGAAATAACTTTCACAAATCTTTTGGTCCATTGCTTAGTTCATGCAATTTTTTTTCTAGATCTGAAGAAAACTATTTGTGCAGTCAAGTTTGTGCTCCAAAGTGAAAAAGTATTGCTTGCCTATATTTAAAAGCAGCCTTTATTCTGAATTAAATGTGCTTAAATCTTTAAAATATATGAGTCAGTGGTCGGGGTATTTCCGACTTGTGCACTGTAATTTTCTCACAACCTTGGTATGTGCTTTGGTAGCGAGAAACTGGTATTTATTTTCAGTTTGACATGACCAAGCTGTGCTCTCTGCTCTCAGTCTTGTGTTTACATAGACATGAAGATTTCAAGTGTTTGAATGTGAACCCTTCTCTTCGGTGGTAAAACTGAAATGAGTGACGTCTCCATCATTATGTGCACTATATATCATGACATTATACTGCATCCTGCTGGTAATGAAAGAACAACAATACTGGCTTCACACAGACGGGGAATGGACATTGACTGACGTCTTTAAAGCAGCCTTAAATATGTCTCAGCATAGATAGCCCTGTGAAAAATAAATCTTCCACTCTTTCTGCCATCAGATAAGGGTGAACTCACAGAAATCACTGCATGATATAAGGAAAGTTACTTTATGTTAGACCTCATGGCCTTGACACACACTTCAAACCACTGATTAACCACCACAAATCTTTGTTCAGTATTCTGAGTGAAAACTAATTAAACCAGTACAGCATGACCAGCTGCTCTACATTCATTCGTTCAGATCCCCCGCACCGTGGCAGGGATGTGCAGTTAACAGTGAGTTTTGTTTGCCGAGGATCCTTAAACTAAGGCATAGGAAGCAGAACACTATACTTAATCTTAAGCTCATAAACCCTGTGATGGTAAATACAGTATAGATACAGATGCACAGTGTGTCAATGAGAATCTCACCCTGATTTCAGTGTTTGACTTACCGATAGAAATGAACTCTTTTCTCCTGCTGCAGGTGGTTAATGATATAACTTTGGAAAGCGTGTGATTGGACAGGTGAAAATATAGCTTCAAGATATGGTGGGCAGTGGAGGGAGTAGTCTGCACTGCAGGGACCCCTGGTGAGACATTTTGGCTTAAAGGTAAACTGTGCTACAGAACTGGATGTCAGAAGGGGATTTGGACAGCAGTCAAGAGTCAGACTCAGGTGTAACAGGTGTGGTCGGTGTACTCGGTGTAGTTGGGCTGATGGCCGCGTTCTGGTAGCCTGTACCGTAGCAGCTGATTGGAGACAGGGAGTTTGGGTCCAGTTGGGGTTTGTTCCCTGCTGGGGTCAGATAAGATTTACGTGACGCCCCTGAAGATGGCGCCTCACCGGGCTTCGCACCAAGGATGAACCTGGACTCGTCCTGCTCCTCCAGGTTAGAAATATCCTTCATCATGCTTTTACGGTAGGAAACAGACAGCTTGTTAGAACCATCTGATATCAGGTTAAAGCGACGGGCGATGAAGACGATGGGCAGAGGAAGCATGGCCACTATTATGAGAGCGAAACACATGACCAGTGCCCAAGGAGGGTAGCTCTGGAAGCGTTCCTGAGCCTGCACACACAAAGTAGGGTTCAATTATTATATGTTTCATGAAGAGGTAGCAATCTGACGCCTGTGAAATAAATGTTAGGTTCTTATAATTTATGTAACTGATACTTTTGCCTGAAATGGGTGGATAAAAAGGCATGTTGTCTACTAAGAACTTTTGCTGCGTCCCAGTTGTACTCAGAAGTTGGGATTTCCGAGCTTCGAGCCGGAAGTTCATCTGGAACACCCCCCTGAAGTCAGATTTCCAACTTGGAGGTCAAACGATCCTCATCAACCCCGACTTAACGACAACGCCATATCCCAGTAACAGTGTAAGTAACAGAGTAACAGTGAAAGCTAAGTAGTATATGTTGTGCTGCCTAACGCCTAGCTGTGAACATGGTGCTATGGTGTTTGTAAGAGTAAAATACTGTGTTCTGCGTTGTTTACAACTAGTATAGCTAACAACAATGAACAACCGCTGACAACGGCTAACAACAGCTAACAACCATAAACTGTATATAGAATGGACACCGTCTGCCTCCTTGCTGGGTGAAGCCACTCTGAGAACAGCACCCTCTGTTGACGGACTGCAGTATAGGTCATAAATCCCACCTTTGCCAGCAAAGCTTATAAATTTTGGAAATTTATGACACAGAACATAATTTAGTTGTCTTAGTTAGTTAATTTAGTGTAGTTACAGTAAGACTGATTTGTGCTCAAGTCTTGTCTTTTTCTGTTCAGCTCCGTTTTTAAAAGTTATTAGGGGGTTCATGTTTTCTATGACTGACATTTGATACAGTCTATGGGCGTACGAAGATTGTGTAGCTCACCCGAGGAGCAATTTTTTTTTTTTGAAGAATGGTAGGGGAAAGTCCTGCCTCCGTCGCCTCTGATTGGCTAGAAAAGCTGGAAACGTCATCACACGCGCAAGCCAAACCCGGGCTGTCGGCTCTGTACATCGAACAGAGCATTACAGAACATTATCGCAATTCTAAATCTCCTAACCCTAATCCTAACCAAAACCTTAACCCTAACCTGACAGTCAATGACGTTTCACATCCATAAGTAATAACCAATCGGCACTCTAGCCAATCAGAGGCGAAGGAGGGCGGGACCTTACTCTACCATCCTACAAAAAAAAAAAAATTACACCCAGTAGATACGCTGTTTGAGTCAGCACGGCTGACCTGACTTACGCCGCGCCTGCGGCACGTCTCCGGCGAGGCACGAAAATAGAGCCCAAGGAAATTTTAAAAGAGGATAAAGAAGTTGGGAAGATGTTGAACTTATAACATAAGTAATAAAACAGTACCATTTTCATTGCAAACATTTGAATTAAAACTACATCACATGGACTACAGCCTAAAATACCAACTAAATCACAGACAAACAGACACTGGCCAATTTTGACATAAAATCTTTAAGTCAACTTGAAAGTCTAAAATCTTAAGATCCCAAAGGTAAAATATATGCAAACTTAAACTGACCAGCTCCTCGACCCATGCGTTGTACCCTGGTGGGCTGATGGCCATCTCTATGATGGTGGCTGAGATGAGTACAATGAGACACAGAGGGGAGACGTACTTCCACAGGTAGAAATAAATCTTACATGGTCTGAAACCCAACATGTCCTCTAGATCTTGCATAAACCTGGAGGACACAGAGCAGCAACAAAACAAAATCAGATTATGATGGTATCCCTTTGTAAAGTTTTATTCTCATCTAACTCTCATTCCTCCTCGGGTTCATCAACATTTTAGCTTGATAAACTGAAGCCACACGCACAGACAGTTTTACCTTTTTGTGCCATAAACCCAAGCTACAGACAGGTTCTCCAGAATGACCACAACTGTGAGAGGAAGCCCGGCGGAGTAATCATCAAACATGGTGACAAAGTAATTCCCCGAGCGCTGAACAAACAACAGGCCGCAGAGGAAGGCCACAATGCAGCAACCCACTGCAATAAAACCAGACAAGAATTAGCCGTATGGAAAGATGAGAATTGAGCAAGAGTTTGTTAAGAAGGACAAAATTGACAAATGAAAAGGATTTTTCTGCCAGTAAGCTGATTTGTGTCCTGTAGGTGTTGGGTAATATCACACTCTGATTCGAAGCCTAATGCAGCCTATGCCTAAAAGTGCTTGGATACTTTGCTTAATAATACTAATATCCCGGCTCAGGAAGCAAGGTGTTACCGTTTACCTGTGAAAAGCTCCTTCTGAACTTTGTACGTGTCGAGCACAGGTGTGGTAATGCCCGTCATGGTGCCAATCATGCTGCCCAGACCCAGGTTAATGAGCATGAAGAAGAACATGACAGACCAGAAAGGAGATGCTGGGAAATGAGTCATGGCTTCTGTGAAGGCAATGAAAGCAAGGCCTGTGCCCTGAACCGCCTGCAAAAAGAGACAGACAGACAGAGGAGCAAAATCAGGTGACGGACTCACAGTGCAGCTTTGGTTAATCAAGAAATATAATAGATCCGACTCTAACAAAGTCTCACCTTGTTAAGTTCATCCTCCAGGACACACGGGTCCAGACCCAGCTGGGCAAAGTTGTCCTCCTTTACTGTTTTGATGACACTATACATCTCAGCATAGTCTGATGTGGTCAGATGGGAGAAGTTCACATGTGGAGGGATGAGATCATGACTCAAGACATTAGAGTTGAGGTATCCTAGGATCTTCTCAGCGTTTCTGCAGATACACAAATACAAAAAAACAAAATTTACTCCAGTTCTCATTAGCTGACAATATAGAGAACAGAACAAGCCCACTCAGCATTTTTTGGTCTAATAGACATCTAGATGTAGCCTAGACAACTGGTCTAAAATCAGGCTACCACAGGTCTAAAATTTCATCTAAAAATATACAGAATCGGTTGAAATTAGGTCTAAAAAAACTAGACGTTTAATAGCCGTCTATTGCTCAGCGGGAGAATAAATACATATACAGACAAGTAAGTAATTATTAACTAAAAAGTATTTCCAAAAAGTATTTCAAAAGTAATTTCTCCCACAAGGGTAAGAGTAAGAAGAAAAAATACAAACTTACTCAACAACACACTTTTCATTCATGAGGTTGGCCTTGAAGCCCAGCACAGCAAACACCACCAGTGTGGCCAGAATAGATGTGAGAAAGTTGATAAAGGAGACGAGCACGGCATCAAAGTGACAGTTGTTATCGATCTTGTTGTAACTGGAGAAGGCTATGACCCCTCCAAACCCCAGACCAAGGGCGAAGAACACCTGGGTGGCTGCTTCCCTCCATACCTGTGGCTCCAGCATCTTCTCTAACTGTATAAGACAGAGGGAGATGATTGATTCAAAATTTACTGATGAGCATTTTTTTTCCCAGGAAGGAGTAAGAGAAAGTTGGCCCCACCTTGGGAGTGAACATGTGAGCAATACCATCCACTGATCCCTTCAGCATCAAACCTCGGACCAGGAAACAGAACAGGACAACATAGGGGAAAAGAGAGCTGAAGTACATCACCTGAAGAAGTAAAAACAGAAAACAAACACTTAGCTCAGGGTTCTTTACGCCTTATATTTTCCTATAATTTCGTCACTCGTCTCTGTACCTTCCCAGAGGAGGCGATTCCTCTGATGACAGCGAGGCACACAATAATCCAGGCCACCAGCAGAGACAAGGTCATTTTGATGTTGAGGCCGCCGCTCTCTGCTATAGTGCTGGTGGTGTTCAGAGTCTGACGGTACCAGAAATATGTTGTAGCTGAGCTTTTGTCACACTCTGGCTCCACAACTGTATGATTTACAGAGGGAAAAAAGGGAGGATGAGGCTTAAGTTTGAGGGAAAATGAAAGCAAACAGGTGTGGCGGCCCTGCAGAAGATTTAGATGTCCCGGAGAAGTGGGAGGATATATATAATGAGATTGAGAGTGTTTGCTCAGGGTCAATACCCCATTTCGAGGCTGGTTTACACCTCTCAGATGTTAAATGAGCCAAACAAGGTCATCTGTGTGTTTAACAAGCAGAGCATGAACATACAATTCACTACACATGAGGTTTTATACCATGATATCACAGTATAGTCTCTGGTTACCTTGAAGAAAAGATATATACTCATAAACCTAAATAAAGTTGCAGTGAGAGCTCTTTATAGGTGTATGGTAATGTAAATCTGACGTATTTAGGAAAAAGCTTTTGTGAAATATTTTATTTAACATTTTCTGGTTCCTTCTTACTTAAGCTGTAATCATCACACATAAAAAGTTTCCAGTGAATCTTTTTACTCCCTGCTCCAGCTGTCCTTCAGCATCAGTGTCCTTCAGTCTGAATCTCTGCTCCTGTCTCTTTGCCAGCAGCCCGGCTGAGTCGTACTAACATGCTCTGAGTGTGCCTTGGTCATGTTTTCAGGGCTTCTAATCAAATACAGGGGTTTTTAATCTGGATTAAGCATGGGGAGTCATGACAGAAAGTTGAAAAGGTTTGTCTTGTTGCTCCCTGTAGGTGTGCTAGTAGACTGAGGCTGAGGGCCTCATGCAGGGCAGATTTGATCCTAAAGCCGATAGCATTGTAGCCCATTGAGGAATCATTGTGAGAACAATATACATACTACAAAAAAAAAAAAAACGACGACAACAACAACAACAACAGTGACACAAATGGATATTGTTCTGTACATAATCCCGAATGTGTACACACTCTTGATATTAGATGAAAGCATTAATCTACAGTAATGGCATTTCACTCAGTGGGTTGATTTAAAACAAACAAACACAGGTCTGTCTGTCTCATAACTACCTTTTGGCCAAGTCTCTATTTAGCTAATGGAGCGACAAAAAGCTCGGCAAAAGTGAAGCCAAAACCTGTAAAGCTTCCATGGTGACTCCCTGTTGTAAATCAAACTAAACAGCACTGCTCTGCACACTCCTCTTCACACTACCTTGCAGCCTACCATTACCGGTGTAATAGAAGTAGCAGTAAACATAGGAGCTATTCAGCTCTCGGACACTGATGTCTTCAGGGACACAATGAAAACTAACATCATGATTAGCTTTCTTACGAACATTGCAATCTGCTAACGCACATGCTTGTTTCACGATTGTTCCCTCTACTTCTCTAAGTCTGGCCTGCATAGCGGGGCTCCAGGGGCAGAGATTGGATTTGTGATGTAGGAAATCTCACTATGTCTGAATCTGCTGTCTGAGTCTGTCAGGAATTCATAGCGATATGAATGCAGAAATACTCAGAAATGCACTGAGTCACACTTATTTATCTCATGATACGTCCTGTAGCATCAGAAAAATGCCATATGAACATGTAGACAACAAGCAAAACATGATTTTCATCTGAGTGGGTCTTTATCTATGACTGTCCACTGGCACAGGACTCAGTGAGGCAGTGATGGCCTTAAAGGTGAGGGGAAGAGTCTTAAAATCAAAGCATTGTTTGACTTGGAGCCAGTGAAGCTGCTGAAGGACAGGAATGATGTGATTGATGGAGGGAGTGATTCTGATCCGGGCGGCAGAGTTTTGGGCCAGAGTTTAAGGATGGATTTGAGAGGATGACCAGAGAGAGAGGGGAGTTACACAAGTCAGTGCATGATAGCACTAGTGTGTGGACAAGAATAGCTGTACCATTGGGTATGAGGGATGGGCGGTAATGTTAGTAGTGTGGATGGAAGTATGCAGACTGAGTATCATTACTGATGTGGGTTTGGAACAATAGCGTACTGTTGAGGATGACACCCAGACTCTTAACCCAGAGGAGAGGGAAACTGTTGATAGCAAGAGCCTTTATTATTTTACAAATGAGGAGAAACTCGAGGTAGGTTTAGTGGACGAGCAGAGCAGGGTGTCATTAATAAAAATTAATGTTAAAGTCATGGAAAATACACCAGAGGGGAAGTGGACTTGGATCTTAAGGTTTTGAGTTGAATCAACTGAGTATGGCCAGAGAGCTCAATTGGTAGACCATACCAACCTGTTTCATCTTTGCTGTTTTATCAGTAAGTTAAATGTGTTCTTCAGTTAGTGATCTATCTGACAAACTATTTTGTGGGTATCTACAGATATTTGAGCCACTTTAACTCCCTAATGTAAAAAAACTGCTGATTTTGTGTGCGTTTCAATTAGTAATTTTATGCATTTTTAGCCTATATCATCACATACTTTAAATTGGAGCAGCAAAAATTTACCACTGTGATGTTTATATCTACATTTTTTTCGTGAAATACTTGCTGACATTCATATCAGCTTTGTCTGCTTCGTGTGTTGAGTGCCAGCATGCTTGATAAAATCATTGCATTGTCATGGTAGTCATGTTAGCTTGTTGTCACTTGCACAATCAGCTGAGGGTTATGTCTTGCACATAGCATGTTCACAGTACCTTAAGTTACTTGAAAACATCTACCACATATATATAAGGACTGTATTAATGAGATGACACTCACTGGTCAGTGTCCCGTTCTTCCTGACTGGACATTCACTCCAGGGAAGAGGATACTGAAAGGACTGGAAGAAATAGAAGATGCTCCAGCCAATGATGACATTATAGTAGAGACCCACAAAGCCACACACCTATAAGATAGATAGATAGATAGATAGATACAGAGAGAGAGAGAGAGAGAGAGAGAGAGAGAGAGAGAGAGAGAGAGACAGACAGACAGACAGAGAGAGAGAGACAGACAGACAGAGAGGATGTATTAGTATTAGGTCTTATATTTTCACCTTTAAAAATTCAGCATAATTGCATAATAACATCTGTACAGAGGGAGAAAATATGCAAATGAGGCAGCATGCTTTGTAAATGTCCCATGTTGCTGTCAGTCTTATTTGCAGTCTTGCCAGCCAGGACATTCAAGCGCTAAATAAGGTTGGGGAAAGCATGAATAATTAAGGTGCTCTCTTTTCAACACTGATCTTGTGTGAGATATTTATAGCTGCCTCTGCGCCAGCCGTGCAACTCGGAAGAAAGGCTACCTTTTCACTCTCAAACACGTCGATACCTCCCAGAATCCAAAAGGAGAGGGTCTGAAATAGTGTGAGGGCTGCTGTGGTGACTTCTGAACTCAATACAGCTGACTGCCAAGTCAGGGTTTCGTACACTCTCGAATCATGCATGAGGCAAACATAAACATTCAGATTAGGAATAAATTTAGGTTTGCTCCTCTGTAAGATCAATAGTTCTCTAAAGTGTTTGCCTCTGCAAAAAAGGCACCTCCGTGAATCACACAGACAGAGCTGGTTTCTATCCTTTAATTGATGCATTGTCAGCAGATGTGCTTTTGTTTAACTGCAGGTCTGACAGCTTTTATCCCCTCACAACCTTTATATCTTATCTGTGGACTCACAATTTCTCTCTCGACCTCACGGGTGTCATAATCTGCTCTGTAGGATGCAGAGGAAAATGTCATCAAGAGTAGGATTTAGACTAACGACTACAAGGATGATAAAGTACTCTGAGTTGGGAAAAAAGGTTTATTTATTTCTTCATGTCCTTACCATCAGACTGGACATCCCAATGCCCCCCAAATTTGGACAGACATAGTTCCAGACCCCGATGCTCCCACGTCGGATTTTCTGACCCACAGCAAGCTCCAGAAAGAAGAGCGGGATGCCGATGATGAGGAGGAGGATGAAGTAGGGCACCAGATATGCACCTGAAACAACATGAAGACATATATTTTAGTGAGGCATCTATCATAACCAGATCAAATCTGTGGAAGCATTATTCTAAGTTTTACAAAAAGTGGTTCTTTTTGATCATTTCTTCATGGAAATGCAATCAGATTGAGACGCTAAGGCAGAAGAACTACCCCGTCTGCAGAGCAAAATGATGAATATGGTGATTGCTACTTCAGGGAAATGATAAAGGAATGATCAATAATGTTCTTCCTTGAGCTGTGTCACCCCGCTGTAGTCCGTAATGGACTGGCCCGAGGTCTCGCTACAAACAAGCAGCTGCTGGAAGAGAGTGGGTGAGTTGTGTTTAGTCTCTTTGCTAAAGAAATGAGGCAAAGTTAAAAAGATGTTTGGTGGCTAGTGCTGTGGCTGGGACCCTATATGTACTGTTGATGAAGTTAGGTGCTGTTCTCAGACCGCTGTGTATTGCTATTGTGCGGTCGTTACTAAAGTTGGTATAACTAGAGAAGCAAGCGGTCGGCAACATTCATCTCTCGAGGGAGTGTCTAACTCAGTGTTACGGTGTGTTTTACCTTAAATTAATTTTACGCCAGAAAATCCCTTTAACATTCATCATTAATGTATTCACATGGTCTTGACCTCAAAAACACACTCATGTAAAGCCTCATGAACAGAAAGTTCAGTGACATTTCAATGTTTTCTTTTTTGCTCTCACACAGTAAATTGATAGTTTTTCAGCCGTTTAACCCAACAGTCAGTGATAGATTGATTCAGTGGGCTAGATTCACCCAGCATCCACATATACTCACAGACGCAAGGTTCCCTGCTGCATAGACAAATGTTTTTTTTGAATTTCATTTTCATCATGGTGGCAGTCTAAATTTGTCTCGCTGACGTTTAATCCAGTCGAGCAAAATCAGGATACGACTTAGTTGTATGTGCAAAAGAGGAGTGAGTCATGATCCTGGACTTATGACGAGGAAACAAGTGAAACTATTAATATATCCAAGATAGGAATTACATGGAGGGGTGCTCACATTTGATATTGAGCGGCGTAATGAGGCAGAGTAAAAGGCTAAATCAAGAAAGCTGAAATAGAGAGGATAGTGAGGTTAAATGTAGTGAGACGCTTTGGGCCTGTGCCAGGGTCCTCACATCAGCTTAGCGCAAATCCATTCAATCACAGGATGTTTAAACTAGAGCCCAGTAGAAATGATGTACGGCCGAGTGATGGGCATAAAGATGGAGGGTGAGGTGATAAAGGAGGGAGAGGATATGATGAGGGAGAGAAAGAAAACAGACGAGAGAAGCCTACACAGTGATAAATCCCAAACAACACAGAGCTTTAATGCATCTGTAATTGGCTGCCACACTGACAATTACAGGGTGATAAATGGATGCTCACCAGGTCATGAAACCTGGTGGTCTACTATGGGTGAATCCTCTCTGATGGTTATAAATCCTGGCAGTGTGCAATAAATCAGACACACACGTTGAAGCAGCAATCACAATACCTTTAGATGTTGTGAAACGCAGCATCACTGGTGCCATAATGACGAGGCTTTTACAGGTTTACACTGCGTACTTCTCTCGTTACATGCACTCCAGACCTAAATAAACCCTCATCATGATACAGTTACATTCATTTCTGAAATCGAGCCCTTCTCCCGGCCTGCCCTGCCGGCAGTAGTAATCAATAGAGCAGCTATTTTTAGACTGTGCCTTTTTCTGCACAATACAGCTGCTCTCTGAGCTTCTCAGTGCTGAGTGGGAGTGTTTGTGCAGCTTGTGATAATTAAGTTTACTAAAGTTCAACTAACAAGGAGCTGTGCACGTCTTAGATTCATTTATGTGCAAGTCAACTTTGATTTATTGAGGCATTATCATCCATATCCAAGTGCCGATAATTCTGTTCATCACTGTCTCTACATCAGCTCAAAAACAAAAAACTATACCCTAACTTCAGCTGTTTTCTTATTGTTATGCATAAGCAAATGTTATTGGATCAGGGTCGACAGCATAATGCACAATATAACTAATTATTGCCAAAGACTGAGAGGGACTTTAAGGGCTAAAATACTTAGTATTGTGGATATATTGTTACTGTGTAAAAAGCTTCTATAATTTCTATTCAGTCCAAGTTCATTGTTACAAAACACTAAGTCTGCAGCCATGCTGTTTAATATGATGCTAATGTGCTTATGATTAGACATTATATTGCAAAAGAAGTTCACCATCTAAGTTCAGCGTAATAACACCCTAAAATTAGCTGACAATGATTAGCTTCACATAAATCAAACCTGAGGCTAATGGGAACCAGAGATTCATACAGCAACATAAACAAGAGAAAAACCTCAGAGTTAGACATCTATTTTTGCAGGTTTTTACCCATAATTTAATTTATTTTATTTAACCTTTATTTAACCAGGTAAAAACCCACTGAGATCATGATCTCATTTACAAGGGTGACCTGGCCAAGAGGTCAGCAGCACACATCATAATAAATGCAATGGATATAAGGGAACCAACAACAAATTCACAGTTAAAGTGCAACAAACATTTTGTGCACAGTTACAATTTAAAAACACAGGCATTGTTCGTAGGATTCTCGCAGCTTAACAAATAAAATGGAACAAAAGTCTTTAAATGAAACCAGTTCTGGCATTTTCAGCTCTGTTTGTATAGTGTTCTAGGCTGTGGGGGCAGCACAACTAAAAGCCTGTTTTCCCAATTCAGTTTGGACTCTGGGCACATTTAGATGATAAGCTGCACAGGACCGTAAGGCATAGGCACTTCTTGATTTCTGCAGAGATAGGAGGGGACCAGTCCAAGGAAAGACTTATAAATCAACAACATTCTAATGGGTGTACCTCCTGGAGTTCAAGGAGGGCCACTCAACTTTGGCATACAGCTCACAGCGATGAGTGAGGCGACCGCAACCAGTCACTTAACGTAGTGCACAATGATAGACAGTGTCCAATGCCTGGAGACATTTGATGGAGGCACTTATGTACAGGACATCACTGTAATCAGTGATGAAACAATGTAATGAAATAAAATGATCTGTTTGTTTGTGTTGCTCCACAGATGGTGAGACAAGCTCATCTTCAAAACATCTTTGATCACACAACTTCATGTGGATTCAGGCAAACTAGATTAAATGGCAAAATTTAACAGTTGTCTAAATGTGTCAGGCTGCCTAAAAACTCTGACATTTTCTTATTTATAACTTATAACCAGTCTCATCAACATAAAAAGACAAAGTAACTTTGATATATTCTCTTTTATTTTTGATCCATTCAGTATTTTTTTAGAAATAGCCCCATTAAAATTGGTTTTCTGCTCATCATCATGAGTTGAATATGTTGTTTTATACATGAATATTTTCAAATGTGCCATTGCACTTCTCTACAACACTGAAATTGTTTCATAATTTATTGTATTTACAACCCTGATGTGGTTATAACATCCTTCAGCCCTTCCTGGATCTGACACACAATTGGCATGAGTGACTCTTGGTTATGTTGTCATTTTGGTCACTATTTCAAAGGGTTATTTTAGAAATGACAGCAGCAGCTTGTGACACTGTCACTTTCTCACCTCCTCCATTCTTCTGGCACAAATAAGGGAAGCGCCAAACGTTCCCCAGGCCCACAGAGAAGCCCACCTGGGCCAGGATGTACTGCAGTTTGCTGTTCCATGCGGGGCGCCCGTCATTCTCAGGCACCTCTATCTGAGGGACTTTCTTCCCGCCGGCCCCGCCGACATTCAGGGAGCTGTTCTTGTAGTCGACTGGCTCCTCATGTGCGAGCAGGTCAGCCACCGACTCTGTGACGTGCTCAAGGCTCTGCTCGCGCTGCGTCACCTTGCTGTTCTTAGGCATCAGGGTCGGGGAGGGGGTGGGGGTGAAGAGAGAGAAAAGAGAGAGCGAGACAGAGACTGGGTGGACAAGAGGAGGTGATACAGGCAGAGAGTGAAGGACAGACAGATGAAGGTATAGTGTTTAAGTAGATGCTGAAGAGGGGTTCAGGTCTAGGTCTCAGGCCTGCAGCACAAGAAAGATGAAGGGTGGAGGACAAAATCATGATTAAATTTGATGATTTTCTTTAACTGGAAAAAAGTAATCAAACTTCCCCGTTCATATGCTCATTTACTGTGCAGCCATAGGTTTTCTTTTCCTGTGATCTTTAAATAACACCTCACACACTTGCTGACTCAATTATTCCTCTGTTAGGTGGTTGGTTAAGCTTGTAATAAAGCACACTGAGTGGTAATGCATGGTTATGACTCTTCAGTGCCATGAAAGATGTCAACATAAAGACAGGGGGCAATTCATCACACCTGCAGGTTCATTTGACCTCATTCTCTCTCTCTCTTAAAAAAGAATAAAAGACACTCAGCAGTTATTATTACAGCAAAAATATAAAGAGAAACTGTATATCTTTGTCTCACGCAATGTTTTAGTCCCAAAAAATTCTCAATCCTGCAAATTGTTCTATTTAATTTCCCTGTTCTGCAAAGCTTAACTTCAGCGAAGCTTTTTTTTCTGGTAAATCCTCTAATCCTCTGGGGCCTTGCAGCAGCAGCAGCAGCAGCATCCGTCCATCCTCACCCCTCTTTCAGGGAGTGGTTGGTTCGACCCAAACGTAATGGAGGAAGTGAACATGATGCTTTGGATGAGGTGCTCATCATATCTTCTCCTGATACACGACACAAACCTCTGTGTTGGCTCATTATTTATTGAGCGATTATACAAATCTGCTGCCCATGAAAGTGGAGACTGCAGAGCTTATAAGATGTTTAACTTCACATTCAAAAGGGAAAAGATATAACGAAGAAAAAATTTAAACAGAATTGCAGCTGATATAAGATTCTGCACCCCCAGAGTGATGCAACAGCAGTTTTGCACATGTGCTTTCATCGTCACAAGACTCACTGCTTGCATCAGCCTGAAACAAACTCTGCTTCCACCAACAGATTCTCCAAAAAGAGCGCAAACTCCACTCTGAGCCCGTTTTAACAACAAGAAAAGCTGCAAACTGTCAGAAATTCCTTCATTTGGCTCTGAATGTGTGCTCTCTGTCCTTGTTTGTGTATTTTTTTCCCTGTCCCAACATGGATTTCCTCTTCTGTGCATGTCAAGATGAGCCTATGATGCAATAATCCAGCCGCCATTCACAAGTCTTCATAATCCTGTGTGCATTAACTGTAAAGCCCCCAGTGCTGCTTTTCTGTCTTGTCATTCAATTCCATCTCGCAGTACACAAGCCACGTAATATCAATCCGGGTCTGCAGCATCCAGCCAGCACAGACAAATCAAAACACATCGACTCTCCCAACCAATAATCCCCCAAAAACACAGTTCAGATGACCCTAGCTGTTGCACACAGTACTCATGCCTTTGCAAGGGGCCAAGTTACTTGTCTCATGTGTCGATCATGAGAGGATCACGTTCAATCTCACTTCTAAGGCCCAGTCCAAACAGATGTTTTACCTCCAGGCGTTCAACCTGGAAACATGTCTTCATGATTTTATTTGCTGCCTTTACAAAAGTTCTGTTAATGGAGGGCATTTTTCTGTGGCTACATACTTCACTTCCACGTCATTTCTACATCACTGAAACTTATGAACAGGATGCGATATAAGGTATGGGGACATAATGATGTGCTTATTTAAGCAAATACAATAAATTAACTGTAATGAAATCTACAAGAAATCAGTTCTTCATGTTCATCCTCAAACATGGATCTGAAAATATGAAGTCAGGTTTGTCACAGATTTTCTAAGTAGACATCTTTATGCTTATTTTGACCGATGAACAATCGAAAACCTCGATATCTTATAACGTATAACACTTAAATCTTCAGGTCATCCACCTTGAGAGGCTAAAAGAGGATGAGATTCTTACAAGAAACCCTAAAAATTTTAACCGATCAACCCAAAAAGTTTCTTTTTGAGTGATTATTAATGGGCCCAGCAGTGCTCCAATAAAACATGTTTCACTACTATAGTGGACTTCCAGTATAGTATTTGAATGACTCTACACATCAAATAAACAATAATATTTCTTCTTATTTCTCTTAAAAAAGATTAAAGATTAAATGTAGCTCTTTCTTACTGTCATGCAAGGATGCTGCATAGAAATCCCTGTTATGAAATCAAGCGGGCAAGTGTCCAGCACCAAGAAGGTCACAAGTTCAGCCTTAACTGTGACCACATGGTTTTACGCTCCCTGGACATCACCAAGCCTGTGTCCATGAAGTGTCCATGAAGATGTTGTATACTCTGGGTCTCATTCTGATGTGTAAAAGTAAATTCAAGATTTTTTTTCCACTTGCTTTAAGTTACAGGATTTGGAGAGTTATGAGCCTGTGTAATCAGACCTGTTTAAAGGTCCAAAGTTGTTCTTTCGATTGATTGCTGATCCTGAGATTACCACCAGCTTCTTAGACAAGTCTGAGCCCAAAAACCATTAATCTGCTCTTTCACTGTGTGAAGCATTAAAGGTTCAATACCACTGGTTTGCAATCCGCATCTGATTCAATCGGCCAAATATCCCAGAACTTTGAAAACTAACCCTCATAAGTGTTGTAACAATCTTAAATGTATTTTGTCTTCATAAATAAGAGTTTTATCAGTCACTGTGAGCACCAGGACACACATCTGGCACTGATGCTTACAGTCCTACATGTGCCCTCATCTCTTGTTTTATTGCTCATCTGAGGGATGCAACGACTTTTAAACACAACCAAGGTCACACACGATTATTTTCTGACCTCTCTACAAACTAAAACACATTTCTGTCTAGGTCTACATTCTGCTAGATTAAATAATTGCTCAAATCTACCCTGGATTAGATAAATAAATCAAACATATATAGGAAAAATCAATATAAGCTGCTGTTTCTAGCTACCAGTGAACTTTCTGCAGAGACAAACTGTCCATAGGCTATCTTTAAAATTTCAGTTAACAGCACTTACCGCGCTGCTCTTCTTCTCTGAAAGAGTGGAGCAATGTTTGAAGAAAAATATATTTCTCTCCTCGTCTCTCACAGATTGACTGTATCCAGGATGTATTGTAAAGACAATTTGTTGAGAGGCATGAGTATATCCGTGGGGCAGCACTTGTGAGTCGTTGTGGCACAGGCTGTGCGCTCTCAGGACACTGGAGGACGGAGGATCACATGCTCCTCTGGTCGCGATTGACATGCAGGGAGGAGAGTCCGGGACGCACCGTGACGCACGAAGCGCTGCTGCTTATTAACAACAACAAACGCAAAGCATCAGCTGCCACTCATTTTCACTTTGTAGGAGACTTTAAAGCATCTCCAAACGGGAGGGAGGGTGGAGGAGGGAAATAGGGCGCGGATTTGTCAAGGTTATCCACACCTACCTGAGGAAGTAGGAGTAGCTGACGACGCAGCTGTCGTCATTCCAATTGATAAAAAATTTAAGTCATTTAGCAGCGCCGACAGGACGGGCTGCATGGAAAAACCACCCTGTAGCCTATTGTAAAGATAGTAAAAATAGTTTGGATGATATTTATGACATCTTCCAAAGGGCACAACACAAGAGAAGAGATGAACGAGCCTTTTTAAATTCCCCACAATGAAAAAGCATTAAGGAAATGAATCAAACCCATAATAAATAAATGAACAATACATGAATGATATAGAGGGAAAAGGAGATGAAGGACATTTGGACTTTTTTAAGTGCAAATGTGTGATCATTATTCTCTGCAGGATGCATGGATCATGTGGGGAAGAAACGCTAAACTTAAGAGACATCCATTTCAAGAAACATGCACCAGCCGATGTGTTCACAAAAATCACGAGTTTAAGTGCCAAAGAGAGGCAACCAAAAGGGCTTAATGTGTCAAAAGGAAACTCTCTTTAGGAGTTCATATCATATCATATCATATCATATCGCATTATATTATATCATATCACATCATATAACATCATTTTTATCATATCATATCAAATCATATCATATCATATAACATCTTTTTATCTTATCATATCACATCATTTTTATCTTATCATATCAAATCAAATCATATCTCATCATATCATATCATATCATATCACATTACATCATTTTATAACTTATCACATCATTTTTATCATATCATATCAAATCATATCACATCATATCATATCATCACATCACATCATATCATATCATATCATATCATATCATGTTATATCATATATCATATCATATCATATCATATCATATCATATCATATCATATCATATCATATCATATCATATCATATCATATCATGTTATATCATATCATATCATATCATATCATATCATATGTCTTGGCCTTATGCACATTCAAGTCCAATCCATTAAGTACTTTTTACCCATGTATCACCATAACAAAAGTTCTCCTTTGATACAAACATAAAGAAGAAGACTGCAGTCTCTCAAAGATTGTTTTGATGGATTATTGAATTTTCCCAATTTCATTACTGACTTGGCAAAAAAGTGTTATTATGAGGCATGACCAAGTGTTAATGCTTTGAACTAATAACATGCTTTGTTAACCCCTTCAGTGACAAGTTTCTGGTAAATTAGTGTGAAACAATTGAAAACAAGTACAGGTCACTCTGGCAAAGAGTTTAATGTCAGCCATGACTTGCAAAAAGTGGACATTCAGTGTTTATCCACCAAATGTGTGCATCTTAAAAGCCAAACAGGACTTTTTAACAGAAATTTGTCTATATGATCAATTAAAGCAGGTGAGACCAAGCACTACAAGAGTGACTCTTTCTGTTTAGTCACTTTTCTATGCCTGTAATTGCTATGAGGAGGTAGGAAAAAGTGTTTTTAATACATTTTTAACTTCTTTCGACAGATATGTACAGTGGGTTATGTTCAAAGTTAAAAGAAATCAACAGAAAAACAGAAAAAGATTGCCAGTGAGGATAAGAGGCATGCTGACCCAAACATGGATGCCTGGAGGAAAGCAGGTCTGTGCTCAATGCTCATCAGGGGGAGGGGAAATAGAGATACATTTCTCCTCCACATTGAAGAATTCTCTTAAATAAGAAAGCTGCATTTCTTAAAATCAACCCATCAAAACCCACATTTCCTATCCTTACCTTCTGAGGAAACGCTGTCAGTCCTCCTGAGTGAAGGAAATGACAAGGATATGATATGATATGTGGCATGACATGACATGGTATGATAGCAGCTCTATTTGGTTACATCATATTTCAAACATGGTGTGTGTTAAATGGAAAAGCCTTATCGGAAAATCAAGTTTTTTAGAGAAGTCCATAGCTGATACTTGCAACACACAGGTCAAGTCTGCATCTCTATTTTTCACTGTTTACCCCTTTTGGGACTTAAATTCACCGTCCAAGCGGATAAAGTCCATGGGATTCTTTCTATGTATGATGACTTTCCAATAATCTCTTTCCAACAGCTTCATCACTGCGATCAAATTTGCTCTGTGTGGTCATTTCTTGGTAAAAAAGAAAAAAAAATTGGACATGTGACAGAAGTGTTGCAGGCACAGCCATCCAGGGAATCATAAATCATGCCTCAGTCCACCAGGACATCCTGTAGCAGCTCTGAGACGGAGAAGGACTATATGATAGAAAGGCCATTATTCATCCTGACCTTATGGATTTACTTCAGCACCTCAGTCCTGAGGGTTTGTTGTCTTTATCTGATTTTTTCACTCACTTGTATCTGCGTCATGTTTCAGAATAGAATTTACGGTGAGTAATGAAAATATATGAAGAAGCTCAAAGCTTAAAAAACAGTACAGATTTGATATTTTGCATCCATTTATATCACACTTTTTATGCTCTATATGATACGTTACACAGATTGAATATGCCATAGTTTATTTTTAAATGTTACACCTAACACACTCTTGAGGTCCAGTCTGGCTTACCTATTTCTGCAGCTGGCCCTGGCTCTGTAACGCTTTTGACGCACCTTCTTGGAGCTGACTCTTGGGAGCAGTTGCTGTGGCAACCTCAGGATCATATGACAGACTTTGTCTCATCTCTGCACTCTCCTTTCTGCATTTTCCCTCAATAAACTCCTTGGAAAACAACAAATGCATTTTAAACAGTCACTTATATATGGATTACCTACCGTGTTTCCTCTTCTATCAGTTTACTTTAACTATGTTTTCCTAAGTTTTTGTCAGAGTCCTTTTAAAAACACATTGTAATCTAAATCACATGTCCTTCAATGAGTAACACTTAACTGATTCTCCTTTTTTGGTGAAATTTGCTCACCTAAAGCTGTCCTCTCTGGACAAGACTTGGTAGGGTACAGTGAAGTAAAGATGATCTTTATCTGTCTTCTCACCCTACTTTTGCTTTTATGACCTTTTTGGTCAGGCATTTTCTCATAGGAAAAAATGCCTGACCTTCAAAATCAAAGAAAATACATGCTTGAAACAGCAGAATAGGACTAAAATAAGTCAAAGAGCATGTTTAAGAAAGTCAGTTTAAGAAAAAAATGAATAGCACAAGGTAAGGCAATAAATTGATTTCAATCTTCCTCAAAAACTGATGCTAACATGCAGCTGGCCATGGCAGTATGTCTGCTAATGAGACAACTGTGTGTCACACAACAATACACACACATCACTTTGTGTGTTTATTAAGCCTGCATCAGCAGCCTCACAGGCCTGTGGGACAGTTGGCACAGCAGCGCTTCTGCCCTCTCTGGTTAGCAAATGACCGAACAGTCCCATCTGGGTTTGAGGAGCTGCAGCTTTGTTCTGCCTCCCTGCAGTGTCTTTTTTTTTTCTCAGACCTGCATTTAATGTACATACTCAACCTTTTTTAACTGCAGGTTTTATAGGACTACAAACTCTGCAAAACTGGTTCTGAGCTCTTAATTTCATATTTCCTGTCACAGTTTTGTGTGATTGCATGCTAGTGTTTTCCAACCAGAACCCGAGATAAAGAACTGCTTGGTTGGTAGTTTAAGTGCACCCCATGTACTAAGGCTGTAGTCACTGACCTCACTCTAAAGCCCACCATCTTCTCCCCACTTTCCTTTCTCTTTAGCTGTCTGAATAAAGGAAAACATGCCTGAAAATATACTTAAACAAAGCAAATTGCGCTTTGCAAATATTTGATCATTTACAACAAGATTTTATTGGACAGATGTGTGATGGAAAGTCACCTTGCAATAGAAGTGATCGCACTTTATCCTGAGAGGATTGGGAATGAGTTTACAATGTTTGATGGCCGCTTAAACAATAGTGGCTGAGAAATTGATCTCAAAATGACAAATGTCAGCATTTTGGTGACGTTTAAGAAAAGGTCAGGAATCTTCACAGATTATTAGATTCATCCTCTGGACACCATGAACATCTTAACAGAATTAAATAGCAATCCATCCAGCACTTGTGGATGCACTTATTATGTTGGGATCACAGTCAAGGAGTAGTTAACAGACTGACAGCAAACTGTTTGTGTCATTTAGTCTTGTTCAAGTTGATAGTCAGCACTTCACATAAGTCTTTGGCAAGCTTCCCAGGCTTACTGCTTTTTTCCTTTCTCTATCACATCTCTCTTAATTGTTTCACATTTTATTGATCAACATCCGTCCCTTCCCTTCCTGTCACAAGTCCTCTTCACTGCACCCTTCCTAAGATCATGAAGATTTTCTCTCTGGAATCTTGTCTTCAAACATCCTCAGCTGCCGTCTGACGTCAGCACCCTTTCGCGGCACATTTTTGCTTCTCCCTGCTGTTCACCTTCAGTCGCCTCCAACTTCACATTGTCTCCTCCTCTGCTTTGCAGCACCAGCTCTCTTTCGTACCCCCCTCCCCACACACACCCACTTCCACTCACGTGCACTCATGCATTCTGCATCTGCACCGCCACATCCGCCCAGTACTTTTCCTTCACTCCTGTCTCATTTATATTCCTCTCTCCCCATCCCTTTACTCGCTCTCTCTCTCTCTCTCCCTCCCTCCCTCCCTCCTCCCCTGGTGTTTTGTGCTGTCTGGGTCACTCTCAGCTCCTACAAAAGCTCCAGCCTGTTCTTAGCTCTGTGGTATCACATCTCGTCGATTATTCTTGTTACAAGCACTTAAACAAACATTATTACATTTAAATGTAATTCCAACTAAAAGCAAATGAATGTATTTGACAAATGTGATTATAACTTAAATATTAGATGATATCGTCTCTGTGATCAATGCACTATGGTCACGTTAGTCTTTGAACTAAAAGCGTTAAACCACTTAATGTTGATGCTCTGCTAAATGCCAATTGACCCTCCATATAACCCCCCACTGCACTGTGTTCCTGTTTTTACTATTTATTATGTATAAATAAGAACGCAGATCTTTTTATATATACTTTTATTTATTTGGTTTTTATTCCACCACCACTCTACCTCCAGAAAGTGCAATATTACTCACCGTGCTGCTAATTTACCCAAGCAACGACATTTTGTTGCAGAGAGAAATAACTGCTGTGTTTTATTCTGTGCAATGACATATAAAGAAAGTCTAAGTCTTTTTGGCCAGAATCTACCCAATCAACATCATACAAACATGTGTGATACCATGTGAAAAAAGAAAGCCCCTTTCTTTTTAAAAGGATGAAAAAAAAAAAAAGTTTTATGCATTATTCAAGATGGAGAATGGTTGAAAGTGCTTAGTCTTTTACTAATATTGATTTCATATGAAATGTAGACATGAAAACACCCCAAAGTCTTGGGTCTCTATCTTGTTCGTGAGTCCACCTTTACAGCTCTGTAGCACCTCCTGCTTTCCCAGAATTCCTCAGTGATCAGAGAGGTGGTGGGGCTGTGCAGGTGTTCAGACAGTGGAGAAAATGGGTCATGTGCACCTCTGACAGTCACACTGCAGTACTTTGCAACACACTTACATTACCAGAGTTTACATTTCAATACTACACTGAAAAAAAAGTCTGTTTAATTTACATTAAAATAAATTTTGTACATCGGTTGCACATATTAAAGTCATGTTTACCAAAAACAATTTATTCATGTTCAGTATTCTCAATTCTTAACTTTTTAACTCAACTTTTTAATGTACATTTAACACATTTCTTTCATGTTATTTATAGTGAACTACCTTATGTTAAACTAACAAGATTTTTTTATATATAGTATGTTCAATTTATCTATACTGAACAAATATGATTTTTTTATGTATTGTATGTTCATTAACTCTATATTAAACTGACACAACTTTTTTGTGTTTAGTTTACTCAATCTTTTATGTGTTAAAGTAATGTGAGTTTTACATATGAAGTACTTGCAGCTTCTACTTTGTGTATATCCTAAATAAAATTAATTTATTGCTGTACATTGATTTGATAAGCTGTAATGAAAGTTATTTTGAGAAGTATTTTATTGTCAAATTTGCATCAAGAAAACAGAGGACTGGTGGGTATGTGAACTTGAAAATATACTGAGTGCTGAGGTGAATTGCAGAGCTTTTGAGTAGAGTCGTAATACAAATGTGCATGATGGGAAATCTATCACAGACAGCATAGCGACTCAGGTTAGACAGGTGAGGGATTGGACACTTGGTGACAGACAAGCACACACAGATCTGTAACTGAGTGTCTGTTGGACATGAAAGCTCGGGTGCAGTGTGTCAGGCCATGCTGTTCACCTTAATGCCAAACACCAAAATAGAAACTCATTAAAAGCTGTTTTTTCCTCACTAATCCTGAGCAGATCCCCCCTCTTTGACAGCTCATTAACAAAAACCTCCACATGTCATTCTGTTTCAACAGTTATCAACAGATGAAGCTCATATCAGCTGCGGCATATCTAAAGCTCTTGATAACAGCCCCGACACAGCAGCTGTTTTTACTTTATAGCTTTGTCATTGTTTAATATTGTCAGTGACAGACGCACATTTTTGGAAAAGGAGGAAAATACAACTGACCTAAATATGGAGAAGAGATTTGAAACATGGAAAAAATTCACCTCCTCATTTTACGTTAGCACACTTTGAACCCATTTTAAAAACTGGGCAGATTGTTTATAACTGGACCTGCGCGGGGTCATGTGATGGTCTGTAGAGGTACTTCACCAGATGGTCTCTCAAAGAGGGGCCAGTCAAGCTTGCAGGGTTGAGGGCAAAGCTCTCATCCCCATGATTTTGGACAAAATAATCCTTTTAAAATACTCTTACAGCAGAGCATGCGGCATGTTTTTTGCATTGTTGGTACAACATAGTTGATGGAACAGATATTACAGTCAGGCTCTATGGGAAAAGAGGAACACAGATTATTGAGATTAAAGACTTGGAAATAAATAACATAGAAGACTGCTCAACCCCTGATGTAAAAGACGTATGAGGTAAGCACTACATACTGCACACTTTGTCTCAGATGAAGGAACACTTTTGTAAATGATGCTCAAACAGAGAAATTTAAACGAAGTGGGAAATAAAATCACCTGCATGCAAGTATATGTTGTTGTTTTTTTTTTTTGTTTGTTTTTTTTTACCACTGTGTATATTCTTAAATGTCAGAGAGTAACACAAAGAAAATACAGCTGGAAGTTTATTAGTTTGAAGTATCATAGTCAATAAACTCATGATCTTTTCCTGTTGTTGTTGTGCAAGCTGTAATCCCATGCGTGGGAGGGCCCTACATACATGCCTCAGCGTTTCATTCCTCTCCTGTTTTTATCTACAGGGTTAAAATAAAAATAAAAAATCCTCTCAAAACCTAGTGAAGTATGATCGATGGCTTATTTTTCAGTATGTTTTGAGTTAAGATTTTCTATCAAATGATAAAAGCCACATGGAAATGTAGACAATCACAACTGCCCTCCATACTAACTTCACTTAAGCAGTGACTTTATGGACACTTGTGTAGGTAGATTGATGTAAATGTTCTTTAACTGGTGCTTTGCAGTGATATGTCAATGAATAAAAGATATTTACAATAGATGTCATACAGGGTAATGAAATTGGTTTCAGTGTTATATAACGCAGACAGATTAGCGGCTATGGTAAGCAAAGCTTGGAGAGTATGTGTTAAGGTACAAATATAGCTTGTGGTTGTATGCATGTGTATGTGTGTAATTTCTGCTATAATTTTGACTTTTTGAGACAGAGGTCAAGCATGTATTTATTATGATATCAATATATAGAAAAAGTCAGTATAATAAGTGCATCAAAGTTGAAATATGAAAATAAAAAAAAAGGTATTTGAATGTTTAATTTCAGACTGGTAAGTGCAATACTCCACTTATTTCTTCGGATGACAGACTGAACATAAAGAGACACTTGCTGGGTTTTCAAAGTGCACACTTTCACCCCAAGGTGTCACTGATAGGCGGTGATTTTAACTGTGAAAAGGTAGGACACATAGGTGTAAGTCTGATTTTCCTGTTGTTCCTATCTGCAGTGAATTTGGAGGTGAAGTGGAACCTCTGTGCCCTCTAGTGGTTAAAATTGTTTAAGTGTGGGGATGGCTGATCGATAGTTGGTCTCCTGCAGGAAAACACAGCTAACAACTTTACAGCCATCTCAAAGTAAATTTGTTTCCCTTTGATTGACCAGTTGATTATATATAAATATATATAAATTATATATATGATCGCAAAAACTTTGCCACTGTTTTACAGAAATAGGGGAGAGTGGGGTAAGATGAGCCACTTTTCATATTTCAGATCACTACATCAAAGCAATCATAGTTTTGTCTCTAACTAGAGTATCTGCATATATTTCAGGTTGCTGTGCTGCAAACCAACAAAATGAGTGTAAACATAACTGTCTTGATAATATAGCATGCCAAAAAAGTGGTCTCCTCCCAACTTACCCTGTGTATGGGTTAAGTTGACCATAGGAACGGGGTAAGTTGAGCCATGTCCCTACTACCCCCCACTCTCCACTCCAGCCCTCCCTCACCTTCTCTCTCCCTAAATAACAGTCACTTCTTCACATTCATGTGTATTTTTATCTATTATACACTATTCAACTGGTACAATTATTAATTGCATTATTATTGGATATAACTGCTAAAAAGCTGTTTTGTAAAAAGTCATTTTAACATGAGAATGTCTTTAAGTGATTCAGAACATTCATAGCTGTATTTTTGAAAAGAAAAAGTCAAACATTTCAACAATCTGAACTTTCTCAGTTGAGCCAAATGGATCAACTCACCCCAGAACTACTATTATGACTTTATTAGTCCTCTAAGCTAAAATGGTGGACTTTTATGCTAGGTTTCTGACCTCATGTTGTAGCTCATAGATACCACAATTGATGTATGAAACAATTTTAAAATGATCTTTTTTAGGTCTGAACACAATTGTAATAAAACTGACAGACTAAATTCACTTTCAAGAGTGAAAAATGTTTTTTTGGAAATAAATGTCTAACCCCTTCACCCACGTGCTTCTAACCTTTACAGACTCCATGAATTGATGCCCATCTCCTAAATATTTGGTCACATGATCAATTTCTTTTACCATTTCCGAGCAACAGGGGGTGGCTCAACTTACCCCACTCTCCCATATATATATGTACTTGATTTGATGTGTTTTATCAAGACCCATAACTGTATCGTTCTTGAGACACACTACAAACTTAATTCCGAGTTTTCATCTGCAGAGAGCTTGTCAGCTCCTTGTCCTATAGTTTGCCCTTGCACCTTTAAACAAAGTGCCCTTTACCTGCCTTGTGCAATCAGCATATCTATGTCCTAATTCAAGGACATGATAGCCGTCTCATTCAAACACATCATTTTATTGCAGCTCTGATACTCTACCTACAGGACAGCTCAAATACAGACTTAATCATAAGATCCATATTATCAATTAATTTCAGACAAACAATTTATTCATCTATTTTTTTTTTACTTTCCCGTCACAATCACAAGGACAATAGCAATTCCGGGGACATTTTTTTAATTCAACTTGTGCCTTCAGCTCTGTACTTTGAACCCGATACAGAGCCGCACCCTTCTTTATAATAGGCGAGCGGCTTTCCTGTTCAAATGAGTGACACTCTCACAGCCAATCGGCTTCTCCTACAAGCGCGTGGGCGGGACTTCCCGTAAAAGCACAACGAATTTTCAATATGGCGACTATGTAGCTCGCTTGAGAGTGTGGCCAGCCGCGTAGAAGTATTACTAGTTTAGGTTGATTTCAGTAGAAGTTAGCGTACTGTGTGCGTTGTGGTGTCTGGACATAATCAGCTTCTTTCAAACAATGAAAGGAAAAGAGCGGTCACCGGTGAAGAAACGCCCTCGAGCACCGGACGACAGCAGAGACCGAGGAGGAAGCAAGAAGACAGGGGTCTTGTCGACGGTTGGGAATAACCACGGTAACGGTTCCGTTCAGAGCGGCTCTTCATCCAGACGGAATGAAAAAAGAGACATAAGGGACTCAGACGGACAGAGTTTATCCAGTCGGGTTGGTGGCGGTTACGACTACGTGGTTGTCCCGACCAAGCCGTATGGTGGCGCTGACATTTCCGCGGAGACGTCCAGGTCTGGTTCGCGCGGCGACCCACGGCCTCCACCGAACCCGGAGAGTGAGTACAAAACTCTGAAAATAAGTGAACTGGGCTCTCAGCTGAACGACGAAGAAATAGAGGACGGACTCTTTCACGAGTTTAAGAGGTTTGGGGAGGTGAGTGTGAGGATAAGTCGCCAAAACGACGAGAAAGTGGCGTTTGTGAACTTCAGGAGGCCCGAGGACGCCCGAGCGGCCAAACACGCCCGCGGCAGGTTGGTGCTTTACGATCGGCCTCTGAAAATTGAGACAGTTTACCTAAACAGACGCAGAAGCCGCTCCCCTGTTTCAAAGGACGGTTTCTCCTCAGGACAGAGACATCTCCACTCTCAGAGACAGCTGTCCCCTACTGGTCTGGGGTACAGAGACTTCCGGCTTCAGCAGCTGGCTCTCGGCCGTCTCACCCCTCCCGCTCCTCCTCCTCATCCTCACTTACGAGATCTGGAAAGAGACAGAGATTTTTCAATGTATGATGCGAGGAATAGACCTCCTTTTATCCCCGAATGTGCTGTCTACCGCGAGGAGGAACTGGTGAACCCAGAGAACGACCAAAGGGCGAACAGGACTTTGTTTCTTGGCAATCTGGACATCAGTGTGACGGAAAGTGACCTGAGGAGGGGGTTCGACAGGTTTGGAGTGATAACAGAGGTGGACATAAAGCGAGCAGCGAGAGGCCAGACTAATACATATGGATTTATTAAGTTTGAGAATCTTGACATGGCTCAGCGTGCCAAAGTAGCAATGGCAGGAAAAGTGATGGGTCACAGCCAAATCAAAATCGGCTATGGTAAACCTACTCCCACAACAAGACTTTGGGTGGGGGGCCTTGGACCTTGGGTTCCACTTGCTGCACTGGCCAAGGAGTTTGACCGCTTTGGGACCATCAGGACTATAGACTACAGGAAGGGAGATGTGTGGGCTTACATCCAGTATGAAAGTTTGGATGCTGCCCAGGCTGCATGCACTCATATGAGGGGCTTCCCTCTTGGGGGTCCTGACAGGAGACTCAGGGTGGACTTTGCAGATACAGAGCATCGCTACCAGCAGCAGCAGTATGTGCAGCTTCCTCTCCCCCTGCCACACTTTGACTTAGTTCCTGAACCCTTTGCCCAACGTCTTAGTGATCCAGTGAGAACCAGGGAAAGGTCTCCGCCACTTTCAGCTCGATTCAGAGACAGGGACCTGTACCCCGGTGCTGAATGGTCCGGCTTTGGTGTTCATGACAGGATCCGAGAACCCGGCTTTGATCCTTTAGATCGACTGGAGAGGCGCTCTCATGAGACCTGGTCTATAGAACGAGAGCGTGAGTTGCAAAGCAGAGATCTCAACCGCAAAAGGAGACATTTGGATGGTTTCCGTGCAGATCACTCACCTGACATCAGTGACTTTGGTGTACGTCGTCATGGCAGCTCATTAGAACGCAGCCCTGGAGGGAGCAGCCGAGACGGGGGACGCTACAGTGACCCTGAACGTTTGCCTCGCTCTGGCAGAACCACTCCCAACAGAGAGCGACAAGAGACTGGCTTTGGTGACCGGAGAAAAAGGACACTCAGCCCAGGTGAGCCAGGTACCTGCTCTGACAAGGAGCGCAAACGTAAAGCCAGTGATTCCTCCAAGAGTCCAGCGAAAAAGGACCTTTGCTCAGGGCACCCTTCATCCTCCTCTTCTTCCAAATCTGGTCAGCAGTCCAAGACAGCAGCTCAAGGCCAGAAACTGAGCCAGGTTTGGGAGGGTGTCCTCCTGCTGAAAAACAGCAGCTTTCCAACATCGCTACACCTGCTGGATGGGGACGTGTCCGTGGCAACCAGCCTGCTGGTAGATGGCTCCACCCAAGGTCAGGTGTCCCAGCTAAAGATCAGCCAGCGTCTACGCCTAGATCAGCCCAAGCTGGATGAAGTGTCTCGTCGCATCAAGGCTGCCGGCTCCAGCGGATACTCCATCCTACTCGCCGTGCCTGGAAAGTCTGAAGATGGAGGCGCACAAGATTCCAGCAACTCTACAGAAAGGCCGCTGAAGAACCTGGTGTCCTACTTGAAGCAGAAGGAGGCCGCTGGCATCATCAGCCTCCCTGTGGGTGGGGGGCGTGACAAGGACCACGGAGGGGTCCTTCATGCTTTCCCTCCATGTGAGTTCTCACAGCAGTTCTTGGATGCCACTGCCAAAGCCTTTGCCAAATCAGAGGAGGACTTCATGTTGATGGTCATTATCAGAGGAGCATCATGAAAAAAAAAAGGGCGAATGTAAACGTTTGTTTGACATACATGCACTGTTAAACTGTGAGCTGTTAAAGCAGATGACAGGGTCTGAGTGGTAGCTTGTATCTCATCTTGTGGAAGGTTTAAAGAAAAAGAGTCACATTGAATTGGTACATTTTGATAGAGCGATGAAAATAATTATTGATACAGGTGACATGCTGCCTTCTACTGTTAAAATGTCAGAGAAATGTACATGACCTGAGGGGTTCTCAGCTGAAAGTCAGACAGAGCAGTAATTCTATAAGTTGCCTTAAATCATTGAAAATAAACACAAGTCCTTCATGTCATTTCATATCATGCCTTCCAATAACAAAAATAGAACTAAGATTCAAAATGAAATATTTAGCTTTTGTTTTAATCAGTCATAATCTCAGCATTGATGAAACCAGTCAGTGTAAACAGGTTTTGTTGTATTGTAATGTTTGTACAGCCAGCCTATGAAAACCAAGTCAAACTTGTATACATAGTATTTTTCTCCTGATTATGGATATATGTTCTTGATCTGAAACTTTACCCATTTTCATATTAATATTTAAGATGTGCATCTGTGTCACTTTTGTTGATAAAGTACAAAATCTGCATATTTTCAAAGTCAAGCATCAATATAACTGCCTTTTTGTTGAACTTATGGCCAGTAATTGCATGAAGCTAAAAAAAAGGGGGGAAAGAATGAACTGTATAAGTCCTCATCTCTAGTTTTATGCACTTTTTTTCTTGTATTATGTTAAAATGCATACATGAGAGCCTGAAGAATTGTATTATCAAAACCATCAATATCAATGCTTCTGTCTGAGCCACATTCAAGGGTTAAATACCATAAAATGAAATGAGTGCAGTTTTTCAGTATTGGTTCATGTTTGAGAGGTGGACTTAAGCAGCAAGACCCTAATGTTGTTCAAACAACAACCTTACAACTAAAAACTAATATTTACTCTGAATGAGGTAGAAGAGAGGAGAGATGGGACTTGTTCTGTTGAATTGCAGACTCCATATAAGTTTTTTTTTTTTAGTTATGATAGAGCTTCTGTTATGCTTTGAGTCATGAATTGCTGAAAAACATCTAAAAAGTATTTAAAAAAAACAACAAAAATAAATGAGCACCTTCAAACTGCCCTTCAATTCAAGACTGAACACCAAATTTAACCACATGTAGTGTACAATGATAATGACAAACTTTCAAATTTGTGATCATCCAATTTTGCTGTTCCGCTTGAAACTTTCCTGACTGATAAACCAAATGACACAAATGTGTGGTTAACAAATAGTCTGAAATCTAAATATTGTCTTTATTTTAACAAAGCTAAATGTCAAAATCTGTGCAAAGCCACTAGGTATTGTCAGTCTGCTGTTTTGAAAAGCTGTGTACAATGTAGTGTTGAATTTGTGTCCACCCCTTTTATATTGTGCTGTCACTCCCATCAAATTTGGTATGTTGGAGCAGTAATTTGTTGATTAATTTCTGCACTTTTACTGATATAATTCACTAAGTACAATAACTACCCCAATAGAGCATGAATTGTTTGTTTTGAGAGAAGGAGATGTAACAAATCCAGAGATGTATGTATGCCATGCGCATCTTTAATCAGGAGTCTGTAAGTGGAAAATGTTGCTACGCTGGCTGGCTGTGGACTTAAGTGATTGAAAAATGCTAAGTGATCAGAGGTGAGACCTCCCATGGCCTTGCACACCCTCCTCTGAGTGGACAGTTAATGATTGTTTTTCATGATTTGATTGAAGTTCAATGTTTCAAATGGAAAAAGAAAAGATTTGTGCTGTGTACTCAGGATATCTGGAGAGAGAGGGAGAGAGAGAGAAATGGAGAACTTCAGTGCTCATGGGCCTAAGAAGTAAACCTGTCAAAAAACAGAAAGTGCAACATGCACTTGCTTTTGTCTTAATAAATTTACTCTTTCGTGGGAAACACAAGTGCCTCGGAAGACAGCTTTTGTGACCTTTTCTGTTCTTGGAATTGTCTATCAAACTCTAAGGGCTTTCACTTTGACAGGAGGAGTCGCCCTGGCAGACACCCAGGCAGGAGGTGTAAGAACGGAAGAAGTCAGCCTCCTTGTTCTGTACCTTCATTTTGTTGATCATCATTTGTTTGAATGACCTCTTTGTGAGGTATTTGACCATTCCTTTAGTACTTTTCCTCAGCCCGGCTGTGAAGGCAAACTTAGTCACTGTGTCTCATCAAATGTGCCACATATCCTCAGTCTCCCCCTGGCCTGTGTGGCTGAGAACCAGCAAAGAGATTGTCTCTCTGGTTTGTCACTCATCAAACTCAGCCCAAATTGCTGGGGTCGTCTCCATCTGTCAGCCTCAGCGGAGCCACAGCAGCGCTCTTCCCTCTCGCCCGGCTGTGTATGCAGCAGCTGCTGCAGGAGGAGCCTTGTTCATTTATGTAGTTGCTTGTTCTTACATTGGAGTTACAAGGAAGATGTCTGTGCTTTGTGTGTCTCGTGTTGGAAGACAGATCCGAGACATCATCTGAGAGGAAAGACAGCAGAGGAAAAAAATCTTTGCAAATCTTTAGCTGACATGTTGATCTGATTTACACACTTTTCACACACTGTGCCAAACCACATAGGAAATCAAAGTGAAAGTATGCAGCTGTCATAAATGAGAATCTGCTGCAGGATGTGTATCATGAAGACTGTGTTCCTGCCTGTGCTGCTGCAGACCAACTGGACCAAAGCAGCTTCCCTTCTGCCCTTTGTCTTCACATGACGCCTTTGCAGCGGGTCCTGCTTACCTGGAGTCGTGAGGTGCAACAGGTTTTAGTCTCACCCTGGCTGTACTCCCTGCTGGTCCCCATGGTCTAAGCTGTTACAATGGGTATGTAGTGAAAAGTTTGACTACACTCACACAGGGGAAAGGCTGGTGAAAAGATAAAACCCACACTTAATGTCCCTATAAGTAACACAAAACTAATACAAACAACCAAAAGACTGAAAGATAAAAAAAAAAAAAAAAACATACTGTTGTATTAAAGCAAATATATATAGTCAATAAATTTCAGTCTACAGCTGCTAGACTTATTGAAGTTGGACTATGATTGGTGTAAAAGTAATATCACTGTGTCCAATCACAAAGATCGTAAAAGTGCTGAGGCGTGACCAGAAGTGAAACAGAGTTGTAGTGGAGCTGGTTTGTGAAACTTTATAATGATAGAGTATGATAAATCAATTTTAGTTTATTTTTTCTGTAATCTTAATGTGTCAATTTAATCAGCAAATGTAGGCACAACACAAGTAGAGTATTTTCGTCCAATTTTAATTAGTTATAACAAATGTACCCTCAGTACTACAGTTACAATACTTGTTCTTCTTTTACTAGTCATAACTGCCTGTCACTGATAATGGAGAGAAGACCTGAGGTTATGTTTTCCTCCTTTTTAATATACACATTTGTTGCTCTGGACAGTAAAACTGAGTCTCAGTGCAAGAGATTTATTTCTTTAAACTAAACAAAGCTAGCGTTGAGTACCTTTAATCACAGCACAGTGAAAGTGTTGATAACAAATGACGCTAAAGATGTTTGCTTAGGATTAGTGAGATTACTTCATCTAATAAGCAAAGTTTATGACATTATGCCCATTTTACGCCCTTTTGTTGTGCTCACTCTGCACTTAATTCTTCTAAAGTCTAAAAATGGGAAAGATTAAAATATTTAGTATTATAAGAACGGGAAATTTAAACAATATAGTGCATGTTTGTGTTTGCAGCATCAAGTGGTAATTATCCATCCAGAAAATAATAATAATAATAATGATAATAATATTAATGATTATGATAACAATACTACTACTAATAAAAATACCAATATAATATTGATAATTATGATAATGATAATAACAAAAATAACTATTTTTTCACTGCACTTAAAAACAGAAGTTCACAAAGTGCTTTGATAAATAGTTACAAAGCACATGGAAATACAGACGTAAAAAAACAAAACAAAAGGCTCAGTTAAAAGGGAATTGAAAGCCATTTTCATAAATCATAAGGAACCCAGACAATACAAGAACCATGCAACATAAAATGAGACCATAAGGACCAAAATAAAAACATAAACTAGGTAAGAAAAAGAAAAAGCAATAAAAAGGGGGGTTGAAAGCAGAAACAGGATAGTAAATATAAAAGACAATATTAAGTATAAAAAAACAAAAAAAACAGTAAAGCTGAAATAAGAAATTGTCACATAGTCTACCTTTAAGAGCTGAATAACAGTGAAAATATGTCTTTTCTGAGAAGTTCATTTGAGTTGTAAGTTCAGCACACTAACAGGTTTTATACACTCAAAAAAAGTTTTTGTAGTATATCAAGTATAAATATCCTACAGGACTGATCTAAAGATTAACACTGAATACTTCATTTTGATTTTTAATGAATTTTTGGAACTGTTTGATCATGAGCTGATTTTAATCAAAATGCCCAGTATTTCAGGTTTTCCCTCAGAATAAAGGTGAGAAAGACGAATCCTCTCTGTCAGAAGACTCCTGTCCACCTGCAGTGAGACTGAATCAGCTCCGTGAACTTCACACGCACATCCAAAGTAAGTAAAATTTAAATTCTTCTCTACTTTTTACATTTTATTTAAATTTAAATCGGCATTTTACAATTGTGATTTTACTTGTGTTTTTGAGCTTTAATAAAGAGTGTAAAAGGAATCTGATGTTGTGTTTTCTTTTCACAACATTCCCCTCGACACAGTCAAGCGTACTTTGAGATTGAGAGATTTTGAATTGAGAAGATGCCAGTTGAAGTTCTGACTCTGTGAGTCCCACAGAGGGCAGTATTGAAACAGAGTTATATCAAAGTGCAAAAAGAAGAAGTGCCCTATTTGTTATCGGGATGATTTATATTATTTATGCTTGACATGATGATTCCTGCACTAATGCCTCTGTTATCAGTACTAGGCTACAGCTCATGAACCCCTCTCTACATGGATCCAGGTTGTTTCTTTCAGTAAATTCTTTTTTCATATTTTAGTGGTTCATAAACTGTTTTATGAACCACCTACAGTAAGAGAGATATATAGATATTAAAACTTGGAGCCACTTCCTAACAATATCAAACTCTTGTAGAATTACACTGAAGTTACTGTATTTGCCTTTTTGAAATTATATTTATAAAAGTTTTTATCTATTGAACTGTTCCAACCCCAGAAACACCACAAAAACGTTTTACAAAAATATGTAAAAATCCCAAAGGACAGCAGTTTTAGTTAAAACAGGTTTATGCACAATACTGATTATTTTCACAATTTATTAGATCTGCATTTATTTCACTATTTCATTTTATTTAAGATAAGATAAGAGCAAGTTAATAGATTCCTGAAGGGAAATTCAATTACCTTCTGTAACAGTAAAAATACCATGTAACATTATTCACCCAAGTCTTTCACCGCTTTAAGATACTCCTTTATTAGTCCCACAAGGGGAAGACTTTTAATAAATAACAGCTAAAACTGATATTAAGTATAAACATATCCTCCGTACTGTAACCTCGTGTGTCCTCCCACGGAAAATATCATGAAGGCTGTAGTGCGCAGTGTGCTGCTTTTTAAGGCATACTGAATCAAAGCTGTTTACTTTATAAGTGCTCACGTGTTTTACCAAGCCACAGAGCTGGAAATCGATCAGTATGCCGAACCGAGGTACAGATGTTTTTGTGGCCAGCAGATGGCAGAGGACACTCTGAGCTGCACATTTAGCTTCTTCAACATTCATGTGATTCTCCTGGGAGGGGCCTGAGGACAGGATGAGTCATCTTACTGAGAATTCAGCCTCAAAAACACTGAAGCAGCTGCCACTCATTCACTGTAAGTGCTGGCTTACATTCACACCATCTCTGTGTGTGTGATGTTCACTGATCAGAGTTTTTCTTTAGACTGCTTTACTTGATCTAATAATAACCTGTGATTCAATAAACAGGGGATGTGTCATTCACCCCCTATCCATTTCGACACATGCATCACACACAGCTATCATTAGCCCCCTCATGTCTCATATGAGCAGGATTATTTCCTTTTAGCATCTTAATAATTAAATAAGCATGAATTTAACACCCTATTGTTTCTGTGCTTTTTACAAATGATTACACACACCTGGCTGATGTTGCATAAAGAAAGGGTAACATGAGAGAGGACAGGGACTATGGACGTCCCTGCAGACCTCTTCAATGATTCATTCTGCAGAGAGACGGCAGAAGAGAGGTCACACTGCAGCATCTGTCAGAGAGACAGACTGTCTTTTGGATTGAAATTAACAGAATAATGAAGAAAAATGATGTACATGATTTCTTTTCTTGATAAATCTGAGATGTTAATTTGATGACACAAACCTAGATGTTCGAGGTCTTAATAGCGCTGTTCAAACAGGCTGTTTTATCCTGTACAGAAGCAGGACAGAACAGTCTAAGTAAAAATAAAGGTGAAAATCCAGCACATGCTAGATAACGCCAGAAGAGAATAATTGAGAGGGGTGGGTGGCTACATAAGAGTATCTGGGTTTTTGGTCTCCCGTTTCACCCTCACAGAAAACAAGTCATTAGTGTGACACTGAAACTGCAGCAGGGGAACGAGGTGAACCTAACCACTTGTCAAAATAAACTGTGATAAACATCCTGTCATTTGCTGTCACATCTGGAGTGAATGGAAATGTTTAATGTTGTAGGAAACAGTTTATAGACACCTCTTAAAAGAGAGATGGAAGTCAAGAGGCTAATCACCAGCTAGGGATTAGCTCTAAACAGGTAGAAACAGCAACCCTGGCCTGAAACAAACTCTCTGAAGTAGTCGTCACTGGTGAGTCTATTAATACATTTGCTGCAAACTTAACAAAGAAACCGTTGAAAAACCAACCTTCAATAAATCTGTTTCAGACAGTTTCAACACAAACAGAAAACAAAAGGAGGCCATTCACTCTTTGTTTCCACATTTTTGTTTTTTATGAGCCACAATAACAACACAGATTTAACAGTTAGTCTTTCAACAGGTTTGCATATATGAGAACACAAGGTTGCAGTTGAGCACAGAAACACAGCAGGTGACTTCGACACACTAATGACAATATAACTGCTCTAACTGTAAACACCAAACATGCGTGTCATTCAATTCGCAGCATGTGACTCAGTTTTTGGTTATAAGTGACTCTCAGAGGAAAAAAGACAATTTTCGACAATCCAAAAAAGCACTACAGAGAGAAATGTTTACATTATATCTGATCCATACTCACAATATCACAACAGGTTCAGAGTTATTATTCCCACACAGACAGTAAAGTGAGGGGTAAATGTGTCTTTTTGATGTTAATAAAGCACCATGAGAAGTAAAAGCATAGAAAAAGACGTCTTTCAAAACAAAAGTACATTCGCTGTACATTGCTACATCTGTTAATTTCACTAGTAAAGAGTGTTATTTTATGGATTTAATATCAGCTTCTAGGATGTCAAATGTTGTCAGCTTTAGTTATCATTTTGATGGTGAAGTTAATTCTTGTATTAGTTGTCGTATGTATTGCTTTAAACATGCTTGGTAATGATCATTCACAGACAAAACTGCCAAAGTGAGATTATTTTCATTCAATGGACCTAATCGTCTGTTTTTGTAAGGACTCATCCTCATCTATTACACAACAATATGACAGTGTTTCAGTCATTTAACAATCAGTAAGACTTGTTTGAAAACTGCTGCTCCTCTGCTTATATTTTATCCCCGTCAGACATTTGCTCTGTGCTATTTCTGACTGTTTGTGATTCTGCCTGCTGGATGGCTGGCATTTCCTGATAATTTCAGGGTTGGGCACTAAAGCCCACAAGGATTCAAATAGATGATGCCTACTCTCTGTTGTCTCCCCTTGGTGATGATTCCTGGCTGCTATTACCTGTCTACTGAGGCAGGATGTACCGACATGTTTACAGCCTGGATCTCACCCTGAACTAAACATCTACGAACTACATCTGATAAAAATACAGTATTTTAAATTCAAACACACTGACAAACCTATATTTCAGTATCATTTTACACAAACTCTCTATCTCTGCAGACTGTCGGGCTAAGTTCACCCGGATGAGACTAAACATAGGTGCTTCCACTCCGAAGCAAACAGGCAAAAATTCATAAAAGATTCATAGAAGTCCAGACCACAAATAGAAAGAGAAGCAAATCGTAATCAGGAGATAAAAAGTCTTTCTACAGCAGATGGAGGCCGATTTTCCTGCAGAGATGTGAAAAATCATGCCATGTAACAGCTCCAGGGTGAAATAACAATACCCGTTTTTTTGGTTAGTTTAATAGTGATACTAAAAACTGGTGGTTTTAATGTCGCAACTGCAACGTATAAATCTGGTGCAACGCTATCTTGCTTATATCAAATGTTTTGTTGAAGTTTTTCTTCATATGGGACACGTCAGAGACTAAACGACTGACTCACTGAAAAAGTTCAATATTGAAGTTGATATTCTGTAATTCTGCCAAATCCAGAATGATTTAAATCAGACGTGTGCATAAGGCTAAAAATGTCAAAGCAGCTTATACAACACTTCAAACTTTAGTGGGAGATTTTTTTAAGTTAAAGAGTTGGACTAAAATTTATTTTTATGTCTCTTTATGGTATACAAAAGCAAAGAAGAGCATCAGTGACAAGATTGATTATTTTGTATGATACTTCTTTATGTCTAAAATCAGTGTGAGTGAGTAGTTGTCAGCCATACAGCTTATTTTGACAGTTACTGCATAAGACATTCACAGTCAATGATGAATTTGACAGCTGAAAGTCAGCAGGATTAGTTTTGTTGTCAGAAGACACTATCTCTGCATGTAGAGGACGACAGCGAAGACTGCTCTGTCCACAGGGGGCGCCAAAACTGACACAAACTGGAAGTTCCTCACAGGAGCTTTAAGTAGAAGATGCATTATCAATCTGAAACAATAAAAAGAGCTAATATTGCACTTGAATATATTAAGTATCATGTTCTGGTAGACTGATAGTGCGTTCGAGTTACCACGGAAGTCAGATGTCGGAGCTGAAAATGACTTCACACCTAAATTACCAGCATATCAGTTACCGCTTGCCTTGTCCGAATATAACAAGGACAAGACAAGCGCCAAAATAACTTTAGTAGATGCAGCCATCTTGTTTCCGCCTTCGATTTTGCTTTTTTCCGACTTGGTAACTGAAATGCTGGTAACTCAGGTGTGTGACGTCATTTTCAGCTCCGACATCTGACTTCCAAGGTAACTCGAACGCAGCATAAACCCAAAAGGAATGTAAAACATCATGAATATTAAACACATGACAGCAAAAGATTAACTGAGCTCTGTAAGCTCTGCATAAAAATTAATCCACCTTTCAAGCAGCAGCGTCCTTCCAACACCTTCAGAGCTAATGGTCCCCTCTGCTAATAATAATATTAAAAAAAGCTCTGTTCCTTTTTTTTTCACCATGAAGCCAGTCAGAAATCAGTTAAAATGAGGAAGAACAGTAGGCTTCATGTCATCCTTTCAAAACTCCGTATATTTTAGTGTCTTGCATAGCAGTTTCTTGTGAATCAGCCAGAAAATTGCACTTTCAGACAAACTTTCAGCATTGACGATAACGTAAACAAAGTCTGTGAACAAAGAACGAACAAAGTCTAACCTGTGAAACAACCGATAGATGCAGCCATTCCAGTATTTTTCATCACAGGATAATCTTGTTTATTTCTTGGCATGATTAGTTTGAAGTTTTTAAGGTGTTTTGACATTTTTTTCTGACTTGATTTGATTTTTTTTTAAAACACCATCATGCTACTGAAGCACGCAGCCAGCTGTCATTTTGTTTGAAAAATGATAATTTTTGAGTCTTGCACATGTTCAAAGCACACAATCTGGACTGGACAATCACTGTCTTCCCCTGAAGGATATCCCTCTGACTTTCACACCACCATGGGAGTGTCAGAGCACACAGAGCTGACAGACTCTGCGTCAGACCTTCTTCTCTCTCTGCCGTCCCCCTGCCACTCTTCATCTTCCTCACCTATCGGATTTAGCCGTCCGTTCTGCTCCAGCTGGTCTTTGGGTTGCAAGAAGGGCACTTGTCTGTAGGGGAATCCTCCTCCTTCCACTCTCTCCTGCTGTCCCGGCTCCTCATGCGCCTGAGAGATGCTGACAGTGGAAGAATGGAGGCTGTCTGCAGGGTCAGTTTTCTCTAGATCCTGGTCTGGACAACAGGGGCAGCGGCAAGGAGTGAGGTACAGGTAGATGAGAACCATCACCACACTCACCAGGCATGCTACGAGGGTGGTGTAGGCTGTTTTGAGGTTCTCCAAACCACCGCTTGAAGTGGAGTTGAAAACCACCACAGTTACATAGAGTGTCTCATTTAAGGAGTCGCTGGTGGCAAAGCAGGTGTAGACCCCAGAGTCATCCACCTTCAGGGGCCCGATCTGCAGGCCGCCATCTGGACGTACTATAGCCATCTTGTATTCTGGAGTCACTGGGACGTTTCCGGGCAGCTCCCAGCTCTTTTTCATGTCCCTCTGCCTGGTGTCACAGTCCAGAACCAAGAACTGGTCCAGATACGCTTTCTCACCCATGATTCTTACCTCGCTGCAGTTAAGATAGGCCTTGTCCAGATCCAGAGTGGTCATCCTCTCTTTTTGTGCTCCTGGTAAGACACAGGTATGGCTGCTACTAAAGTCAGTGGCTGAGCTGAGCTCCCTGAGGCGCCACCTTGCCAACACGTCATACAGCTCACAGCTGCAAGGCAGAGGGTTGTTATGAAAGTACAGGCCATTTTTGAGCCAGGCAGGCAGAATCTGAAGCTCCTGGAGGGGCAAGGATTTTATCCGGTTTGAGGAAACATCCAACAGTCTGAGACTTTCCAGTCGGCCACGTTCCTTCACCAGCTCCAGGGGGAAGCGTGAGATCTGGTTCTGGCTCAGGTAGAGCCTCTGCAGGCTGACAAGGCCTGAGAAGGCTGAGCGATCAATCTGAGAGATGCGGTTGTTGTAAAGCAGGAGGACTTCCAGGTACTCCAGTGGCTCAAAAATATACTCATCCAGCTGACGGAGGCTGTTGGAAGAAAGGTCCAGGTAACGCAGCCTGGTCACGTGAACAAACGCTTCAGAGGACAGGAAGTTGAGGCCGTTGCTGCTGAGCAGCAGACTGTGCAGCCTCATGAGTTTAATGGGTGTCCACTCAGCCTGTAGCCTGCTGATGGAGTTAAAGCTGAGGTCCAGGACAGCTGTGTATCGAGGCAGAGCGAGGGGAACATGCGTGAGGTTCATCCTGGAGCAGCTGATTATGTTACTGGCGCACACACACGTCTTTTGGCAGTCCAGTGGGCTTCCTATGAGCTGCCCACTCACTCGCACTGATGCCAACAAGAGAGTCAGAGGTAAGATGGTGATGAGACACCTCCCGCGAAGTGCTGCCACAGGGGCATGATGGGATATCCACTGCAGCCCCCTCATCATGTCAGGGTTATACAGTACAGGAGCCTGGTGTGCTAGTCCTCAGAGTGGGAAGTCATAGCTGTAAGCACAAATTTTAAGACGAGATGAGTCAATTCAAACTCAGACAAAAGAGCTGAAGTCACTCTGAAATGAGATGATCCAAATGACAGTAATTACTGATAATGACGCAAATTCACACAGCACCCCATGTTTTCATGCACCCAGGGGCGCATTGCAGCAGTCAGATGATCAAAAAGTTATGAAAAAGTCAAACAAATAAAGCTCAAATGAACAAGTAAGGATGAAACTGTCATTGAATTGTTCGAAATCAAATTTTGAACATAATCTTGACTATTTTAATCGACCATCATCACATCACAACACAGTCAGTGTGATATCTGTCCCAGCAGACACAAGCGTCCCGCTCGCTACTGCCTCTTTCCCTTACCCGGTCTCTGGAGATCCGAAGAGAAAAAAAAGGAAGTCTAACAGACCAGTTCTGGTAAATAATCCTCTACAGGAGCTTCTTCATCACATAAACAGAAACCTCTCCAGCCTGTAGGCGCCGAGAGTCACACGCAGAGTGACTGCAAAAGCCTGTCTGCCGTCCTCCTCAGTGGTGAGGAAATGTTGATCTGAGGGGCGCTAACGACAGAGCAGGGGGTGTGTCCCATTTCTCTCTCATCTCCCACCCTCGTCCACTCTCCGTCTCCTTCCCTTACTCGTGTACACAATGCATATTGAACGGTATACCATCACTACTACTGCTCAACATAATAATACATGTATGAATGCTACAATATCTAAAACAATGATCAGGCAACTCTGAAGTCTGCAGCAAACAACTGACAACTAGTACATTCATACCATACATGCAACATGTTTGTATGTTTGGTTTATGAATGTGAATATGAACTTATGGCTATTTTTAAGGGCACATACTGAAAATGTCATATACCCGATAATGCACAATCATAATAATGCTGTTGTGTGTATTCTTTTGTTTTCAAAAAATAGTGGTGAAAACAATAGCAAGGTGAGGCTGCAATAAGAAGTGATCACACTCACTTCTCTACCAGTCAAGGACACTTCCATTAATCTCACTGCCGTAGAGTTTCTTACTCCCACCACAGTTTAATGTTTTATTGATTGTGTTAAATCTATCGACTGCCATGCAGTGTCCTGGGGAGTGACTTGATGAGCTTTAACACTGCAGGTTCCTTCCTCCTTTTGTTTCTCTTTACCTCAGTGCTGGTTATATTCATGATTTTCTCCTTTGTGATGTTACAGGACTGTGGTGATCAGTGCGCTAATGTACTGAAGGAGCAGAGAGTCCCTGCCTCTGGCTTGTCTTATCGCTGTGGTGAAGGACAGGTCACACTCTCATTGTGTGTAGGAAACTGCAGCTGCAGCAGTCTCAAAGCGCAGGACGTGATGTGGATGCAGCAGTGTGTGAGTAATCAATATGCAGAGTTCAGAGCAGCATGCACAGCATGAGGTTTGCATGAGCAGCTCCTCCTGCCTTTTAAACAGAGACTCCTTTAAGATACAGTTAATATATTGTTTCTGTTTGGTTTGAACACGAGGCACCATTACTAGTTCCTTTGGTTTCACTCTATTAGTTCTTTGCTCTTTGCAGAAATAATGACAAATGATGACAAACATAATGATGTGATCTTTTTTGGGGGTTTCATTTTACATACTTTTAAATCCTGCCACTGAAATTGCAATTGATTACATCTCCAACTAATATGCATTCAGCATGCTTCTTAGGAGTTCTGATTGATGAATCCTTATCATGAAAAACTCAAATACAAACCATTAAAACCAAAGAGTTTTGGCGTTATTTACTGAACATGTCACTTCAAAAACTCCAAGTTAGCCACCATGTCATATTATGCAATTGTTTATCTGCATCACACGAATTGCCTCCAGACTGGCCTTTTTGTGCATAGCTCCTAAAATAAAACTGCCTTCTGTGAGATATTTTCTTATAATAATATTTGTCAGATTTATTCAACACAGAATCCTCATCCCCTCAGACTCCTTTTTTTCCTGGACTTCTCAGTCTAAATTCAGATTAATCTGCAGATAATCCAAATCATGGAACTCTAGACTAGCTTCAACCAACGCTCTGTAATGTAAGTAAGAAAAACGAGTTGTGATTAATGTCATTTTATGATGCATCTTATCTGTTATTGTTTTAAATGTGCATTCTATAAGCAAAATTCATATTAATGTTCTGTGGCTGTCAGTCAAACTGTTTTAAGCTGTGTGTAGATGCAATTTATGGATATCATATAACAATCTAGTTACAAACTTTCGCCAAGTTGAGTGCTGATTTGTCTTATTTATTAAATATTGTGCATTTGTATTTTCTTATTCATTGCTTTGACTATCTATTATAAATTCTGCTTGGCAAATTCCACTCTACAAGCACCTGTTTTTTTTAAGCACATCTCACTCGCATTCTCACTCTATCACATATTTGTTCTTCTTATGTCCTTATGTGAAAATAAATAAAAATAAATAATATGATGAAAATGATAAGAAGGCCTACATTTTTGGGGGGATATTAAGTCATTAATATACAGTATGGAGGTATATGAGCAACAAAAATGAGATTTGATAATAGGAGCATACAACCTTTAGAATTCAATAAGGCAAACTTACACTACAGGCCAAAAGTTTGGAAGCAAGGTCATTACAGGCCGAACAGTTGGGAGTAACTTCAAGTTTTTGTTCACAATGCTTTTTTTAAAATCCAGCATGAGTTTTATGTATTTTGGGATGTATTTACTCCATGATCACATGTTGCTTTCATAGAAATGCACCATTTTACTCCATTTACCTTTAGATATACATTGATGTTAACGGACCATTGCTAAGTATATGTCAGCAAAAGATAATAAGGGCTTAGTTTTAGGGCTGAAAACATTTGCAAGAGTCACAACTTCAGTGTAAAAGCAAAAAAACAAATCACAGTTGGATTATTTACTTTAACTTTTTGGCTTTTGAGAGTCTGCATACAAAAATCCTAATAAATCTCAACTGCGTTCAAACTACCACAAAAATGGCTAGAGAGAAGCAACTGAGTAAAGAAACAAAAGTACTGATTTGTACATTGAGGAAAGAGGGATACACAGAAAGTGAAATTGCAAAACGCCTAAAGGTGTTAAACAAAGGAGTCCACTACACTCTGAAGAGACTAGAGGAACCTGGAAGTTATGATGATAGAAAAAGACCTGGACGAAAGAGAGTTACTACAAAAGCAGAGGATAAACATATTATTGTCACCAGTAAGAGAGATTGGCAAAAGACAGCCCCACATATAAGGGAGGAAATCAACATGACAAGGCCGAAACCCATATCTCTGACAACGGTGAAAAGATGATTTCAGAAAGGCTGAGTATCTGCAAAAAAACACTACTTTGTCCACAGAACAAGAAAAAGAGATATGAGTGGGCAAAAGCTCACAAAAATTGGACTTATGATGACTAGAAACAAGTTTGCACTGTTTGGTTCCAAATGTAGAGTCTATGTTCGCAGACAAACTGGTGAACGTCTGAAAGCACCATGTGTTACACCCACAATTCAGCATGGAGGTGGTAGTTCCATGGTATGGGGATGTTTTGCAGGTGATGGAGTAGCAGATTTGTTTGAAGTTAAGGGTATCATGAAGAAGGAACAGTACCACTCCATCCTCCAGCACCATGCTGTTCCATCTGGACTCAGACCTGTGGCTCATAAGTTTGTTTTGCAGCAAGACAATGACCCTAAGCATTCTGCCAAGCTCTGTCAGGGTTACCTAGACAAAAAAGAAGAGGAAGGTGTTCTTGAAAAAGATGGTTTGGCCCCCTCAGTCTCCAGACCTTTCTCCAATTGAGCTTGTGTGGGATGAATTGGATCGATCGGTCAGAAAAACGCGTCCCACGAATCAGCAGTCTCTTTTTAATCAACTTAAGAAAGCTTGGAATGCAATCCCTGGAATATACCTTAAAAAACTTGTGGAACGAATGCCTGGTATATGCCAAGCTGTTGTTAAAGCCAGAGGAGGTTACTTTAAAGAAAGCAAAGTCTAAGCAACAATAACTCAAATATCTAATAATTGTAGTCAAATGTCTTCTGATAAGTTACTCTGTACACGATAGTCATGTTTATTTTGTTGCAAATTATATAAATAAAACTATGATCTTTTTTTGTACAAATCTGATCTTGCTTCCAAACTTTTGGCCTGTAGTGTATCATCGATCAATATTTTATACACCTCCAATGTGTTTTTACTCCTACCCCTGGTTTTGGTCCCCATCACCTCCCATGGAAATATCTGTCTCTTTTGCTGGTAAATGCTCTGCCATATCCACAAACAAGCTAATCCTTAACTTTTAATACCTATCCTAAGGTTTTGAAGTCATTGAACAGTGGGTGTTTGAAGCTTAAACACAACAGTGTGTAAGAAAAAAAAGTTACTGAAAGTTGATATAACAACAAACTAAATTTAAAGTGATTTTTTTACATGGTCTTGAATGTGTTCTAAATGTGACTAGTCATTGCAAGAGCCTTTTGAAGACAGGGCCTCAGGGTCAGATTATAAAACATTAGAAGAAGGCGCTTGACTAATTAGTGGATAGTGTGCTTTAGTTGTGCTTGTTCCTTTACGTGTTTATTGAATTAGAACAGACCAGGTGTTATAATGTATGCCCAAGGCTTCTGAGTATATGAGGCAATTTTTTTAGCTTATGTGAGAATCAGATCCAGCTAATGAAGACAGGGGTGGGTAGTTAATAATAGGCAGGTTACAGGGCAAAATCTGAAAGGCAGTAAAAGCAGAACAGCTGTATATATTGTATATTATATGAAATATATACGACTGGGTTTATTTATGGAGTATTCACAGTAGAATGCATTCATCTTCTATTTATGTCAAACAGGCCACAGCTTTTCCAGCAGCAGCACTCATGACACCCTAAAACGTCCACCAGGAGGGCAGTATCATGAGTGAACCAGAGAAAGAGTCTGAAGCTGAATACCAAAGAGGCAACAGTTCATATGACAGGATGACATATGACCATCCAGCTCATGCAGAGCCGATCATTAAAATCATGCCGTGAATCTTCTGTGCACAAGGTCACCTCGTGTCGAAACCCCACAGGAAGATGACATGGTCCACACGTCTGGTTGCCATGGGAGCAAAGGGGAAGAGGTGATGGTGGAGAAGAGAGAGCGGGCAGTGTGTGTGTGGGATAAATTGATTGTCATGTGAAGAGTGATGGAAACATTTGAGGTATAAGATGAACAACTATGAAGAGAGAAGAAAGAAAGGAAAGAAAGAAAATTCAAGCGAGAAACTTGATGATTTTTAAAAGGCATCTATCAGTAGCAGCATAAAAAGCAAACAAAAGTCACAGTTAGGCAGTTGTGACACAGGATTGAAACAAAAGCTTGACATACAACCCTCAACATTCACCTGTAAGTCTTTAATTAATGCCCAAACTGTGTAAAGAAATCAGGGTAGGCTTTTAAAGGTGGATCGAGTCACACTGTGGGGTGTCTTTTACAGGACAATGTTACAGAATCCAGCTCACATACCACAGACTTGATCACAGACCTTGTCCTG